TTAATGTAGTCCGTGTTAATTTATAAAAGATTTAAAAAAAAAAAATCAACCGTACCAATTAAGACTAAAATCCTGTATTATAAACAACTACAAAGAAAAGGGATTATGTCACTGAATTTTATATTGAAGTAAAAGAAAAACCTTTTCCCCAACCTTGTATTTGAGGTAATCAGATACGTTCTGCAATATAATCATGATTACACACTCTTTTAAAGTGCTTCATTAAAGTTCTTCAAGTAATGTCAGTCCAAGCCAAGTAAAATAAAGCAGATATAGCGGAGAATCAATTGAATTGCATCAATTTTTTTTGCTTAAGATTCATTACTACTACTTTCCTTCTTTCTACTTTATTAGTTAGTAATCAAAATGGGAGTTCCCGCATTTTTTAGGTATGAGAAAGGGTATAAAGAGAAATAGATAGAGTATCTCACTATTTTTACAGATGGCTATCTGACAAGTTTCCAAAAGTTGTTACTCCCGCAGTTGAAGAACGTCCCAAGATCGTCAATGGTACGGTCATTCCTGTAGATACAACTAAACCCAACCCAAATAATGAAGAATTCGACAACCTTTATTTGGATATGAACGGTATTATTCATCCATGTTGTCATCCAGAAAACAAAGTAAGAATTCAGTGGTTGATCAAGTGTCAATCAAAAGGAAAGAGAAACTGATCATTTGTTATATAGCCAGCACCTGCTACAGAAGATGAAATGATGGTGGAGATCTTTAATTATTTAGATCGAATTGTCGATATCGTTCGTCCTCGAAAGCTATTATACATGGCTATTGGTAAAGAAAGCTATACTTTTTGTTAAACAATCTCCCTTATTCACACTCCATCTAGATGGTGTCGCTCCTCGTGCTAAAATGAATCAACAGCGTTCACGTCGTTTCCGTGCTGCTCAATTAGCACAGATCGAACAAGAAGCTAACGAAAGAGTTGCTCAAGAACTAGCAGGTAACAATAACAGATAAGCACTATTGTCACCAAAGGAATAACACTTAATTTATGATAGCTATTGGACAAGAACACCAATTGAAAAAGAAGGAAGAGCACTTTGATAGCAACTGTATTACTCCTGGTACACCTTTCATGGCCCATTTGGCCACCTGTTTGAGATATCATATTGCTTCCAAACAAAATACAGATCCTCTTTGGAAAAACGTAAGTTGTCATCATATAATTAAAGCTGCTGGTTGTTTATATATACGCAATAGTTAAAAGTCATCCTTTCAGATGCAACAGTTCCAGGTGAAGGTGAACACAAGGTCATGGAGTTCATTCGTATCGAAAGATCTCGTCCTGAACACGATCCAAACACCTCTCACGTTATGTATGGTTTGGACGCCGATCTGATTATGCTTGCTTTGGGCACTCATGAACCTCATTTTAAAATTATTCGAGAGGATGTCTTTGCGGATAATAAGAAAAAGACTGTGTGCGGAAATTGTCAAAGACGTGGACATAAAACAGAAGAATGCAGATGTAAGTCAACTTGTTTATTTAAAAAGAACACGATTATTTATACCATATCTGCTTGTAGCGGCAGTTGTGACACCTTCAGTAACTGCAGCAAACGGCGCTGAAGCACAAAAGTCTGAGGAAGTTGTAGATAACAATCTGAAGCCATATGTCTTCCTTCACGTCAATATCTTGCGTGAATACTTGGAGCACGCACTCAAGTTCAATGTTCCAGGAGTCCCTTGGGATCTGGAACGTGCGATTGACGATTGGGTCTTTATGTGTTTCTTTGTAGGCAATGATTTCTTGCCTCATTTACCGTCGTTGGAAATCAGAGAAGGTGCCATCAGCAAGCTTAGTTTACTCTGGAAACAATGTATGCCCTTCATGGGAGGATACATGACTAAGGACGGTGATGTTGACTTGAAGAGAGTTCAGGTTTTAGTATCCGAGCTAGGCAATATGGAAGATGCAATCTTTAGAGAGAGAAGAGAAAGTAAAAAAAAGGAACAATTAGCAAATATGTATGGTTAAAACTAAATAACTATCTGTAGCTGAGGAGCGCCGTGCTGAAGGTGCAAAGAGAAGAAAGTTGGAAAACGACAGACGTGCAATGGAAGCAAGGACACTTGAGAACAACAATTTTGCTTTGATGACCGCAGCTCCAGTAAACAACCCCAGCGCTGGTATGTCAAATAGAGATGTTGCAGCAAATCGAGCTCAGCTTAGACAAGCCAATTTGAGCGCTGCTGCTGCACTGAAAGCCCAATTAGCTGGAGCAGCAGAAGATGTTGCACAAGCGCCACCTATGGAACAAAAGGGTGTAAAAAGAAAGGCTGATGAAATTGAAGAAGAAGAGGAAGATCCAGTCATTTCTGATGACGATGATGAGCCTGAAACTTACGACCCAGTTGACCCCGTTGAAGCTGGTAAAGCTATTCTCAAGAAATTTGCTGATGAAAAGAAGGAAAAAGAAATTGCTGCTCGCGAAAGAGAGCCTGATGATGCCGTCAGGTAGGATTTAACTCAACCACGCTTACTCTATTTATACTAAATCATGAATACATAGACTATGGGAAAGTGGATGGAAGGAAAGGTACTATAACAAGAAGTTTCATCTTACTCTAGATGAAAAGGATGAAATCAGACAGTAGGTTCTCTCTAAACACTACCAGAAAAAGTAATTTACACAACATTTTTTAGCATCGTAAAGTCTTACGTGGAAGGTCTTGTCTGGGTCTTCAAATATTATTACCGAGGATGTGTGTCATGGTCATGGTACTATCCTTATTATTATGCTCCTATGGCTTCAGACTTTGTTAACATTGATTCGTTTGACATCAAATTTGAAAAGAGTGCGCCACTAAAGCCATTTGAACAGCTTATGGGCGTTTTGCCTGCTGCAAGTAGAGCACATATTCCCAAGCCATTCCATCATTTGATGACTGATGAAGACTCGCCGATCATTGACTACTATCCTACACGATTTGAAGTGGATATGGATGGAAAGAAATGGGAATGGCAGGGTGTTGTAAAGCTACCATTCATTAACACTAACCGTTTGCTGGCTGCTATGAACACTGTATATGATCAACTGAATGAAGAAGAAGTGCAGCGAAACTCTGTTGGTGTATCTGTATTATACATTAGTGAATCACACAAAGCATATAATTTTTTAAGCACAGTCTATACAAAGAGATCAAATGAAAAAGCCAAGTTAGATGCTCGACTAACGGATGGCCTTACTGGTGAAATCGATAAAGATCCCGAATGTATTCCTAGAAGCACCTTTTACTCACCACTGCCAAGTCACGATCTACCAGACATTACAAATGATAAATCAATAAGGTAAGAGAAAAGGCACAACTTGTATAAACGTATAATAACCATCATGTATGGCAGTGTTGTATATGAGCTACCATCAATACCTGAAGATTACAATTTCTCAACAAATCTACTCAAGGGAGTCAAGATAAGAAATTGTCTAGGCTATGAAGATATACAGCTAGCTACATTTGAGAAAATTGATAGTCGCCATAGGTACAATAATAACCGTGGATGGACATCACAGCTCAACCATATGGAAGATTATAGAGAGCAGTAAGTGTTAAAAGTAGCAAAAAGTAGCAAATTAAATAACAATTACTCTTAGTCAAAATCAAAAGTATAATAATAATCGACGCGGCGGTTACCACGGCAATAACAACAACAACCAACGAAGAGGTGGGGGTTACGGAGGAAACTACGGTGGAGGTTATGGTGGCTATGGAGGCGGCTATGGTGGCGGCTATGGAGGAAGCCACGGCGGTGGCTATGGAGGAAATTATGGCGGTGGCTACGGAGGCAACTACGGAGGAGGTTATGGCGGCCATAGCGGCGGCTACGGAAGAGGCTATGGTGGTGGCTATCGCAACTAAAGATTTCAAATCCCTTTATGGTATTCAGTGGCTCCTAAATTGAAGTTTGTTTTATGATTAAATGTATACGAAAAAGAATAAAAAATAGAGTACAGTTTTAAGGAAAATGCAACCATTATGACCTACTTATTTTTTCGATCAAATCAGAAAAAAGAAAAAAGAAGGAAGAGGAATATTTATGAAAGAGAATAATCATAAACAAATATACTATATATATTTTTCTTTTCACTCATCTTCAGCTTTTCTTTTTCTATTGTTGGAATCAATAAGGAAACAAGGAGGGAAGCATTCTAATTCAGCATCTAAAAAAACAGATGCAGATGCTTTTTTGATTGTTTCAATGGTTCCATTTATGACTTGAGCTGAATTGTACATCAACTGCAGGGCACGTGACAACAGACAAGGAATGTCGTTCGCGGTTTCTGGCAATCGTAGCCGTCTTGAGCGTATTATCACAGAGTTTGAGCCTCTATCAAATGTCATCAGCAGTGCAGAGATGCTTGAATCTATTGCAAATGATATTAAGTACACAGTTTAAAACGCATTTGATTCTTTTTTTACTCTTTACTACTGATGAGAAATCCAACAATTTTGATGATACTGATATTGATCTAGTATTGCTGGGGTAATAGATGCTATATGTTCTGAATATATAAAGAAGTAACAATGGAAATGTACGTCGATGAGTCTCTATATAACCTCTATTACGATCAAGACGAGCGAGAGCTCATTACTACAAAGAGCGCCATTTTATATACAAACAGGATTGTTATGTGACCAATGATAATTGAGCATGTCGCGTTATATATTAATAACATCTACTGTTGTCCGTCTCTTTATATTATTTATTCTTAGAGTATAGGTTTATAGTAATCTCATACGACAAAATTAAGTATTTGTAGGATAAATACAACAGGAGAGCAAAGTTCGTCATCATTAGGGGAGCCTTGATTCCCATTTCGTTCATTTCCTTGATGCCGCGAGAACCACCTTCGGCGGCGTCAATTTCAAGACAGGCAAGCTCATGGAATACATAGTGAAAGCATAAGTCGGGCTGATCTCTAGAATCTTCTCTTTCTTCCTGTCGTATATTGCTAATAATTCCCAGCTTGCTTTTATGTTCAGGCGAAGTATAGCTTTGCTTGCTTCTACTAAAAATGATTAGTACTGATAACTAATAAAAGCAGTTATATAAATAGAATACCATTGATCATACGTTGTCACAGTGGTTCCACTCGATCTTTTGGATTTGTTAATAAGCCCATAAGCATCTTCTAATGGATCTTGTTCTGCACTTTGACATCCTTAAATTGATATCATTCTCATCCACAAAAAGAAGAAATAATCCAGAACAGCTTGCTTTAGCCAAAAGTCCTCTGGACTATTTGCAGGAAGTGCAGGAATTTTATTGAACTTGTCATAAATCTCTCTGGAAACACTCTGATAAGTGAGAAAATAACTAGAACAAGAATAAGTGTTAAGGTGAGATTGTATAAACTTACTTCCTTGTCCAACTTATACAATATCTCTTTCAAATTGTGGAGTGGCTTATTGAGTAAATTATCTAAACTTGAAGATATTTTATCCAAATCTTCTGTCACCATGCGCTTTCGCCAGATACCATCATAAAGATCAATGATGTATGAGCAAGAAGGACTAAGAAGATAAAAATGTTAACGTGAATATGTGCTTCCAGACTTTTTTATCACTAAATCGCTTACTGCTCATACATAGATGACTTGGAAGTATTGTATACGACATCTTCCATAGATCTTCCTGACTTTAAATCCCATTTGTTTTCACTCATACTGTGGATGCGCTAGTGGTATTATCAATGAACAGATGGGCTCATCTCGGGAAACTAAGAATACATCAAGATGGAATAAGTAATTTATTAACAGAGAAAGAAAAAGATTCATGGCAAAAAAGAGATTAATCTTTATATGTAAGAATAAATGTTGCCAACGAATTACATCTTATAAATTATATCATATGACGCGCCATCAAACACTACAGATTACAGATGCAATGAACTAGTATTGCGGGCTTAATACGAGATATTATATTTATATTAAAGATGAATTTGGCTTGTGTACGAAATATATATTGATTATCTTGCGTCAGAGAGTAAAAGCTTCTTCGATATAAAAGCAGAAACACGACAATACTTGAGATTTTGAATAATTTGTATACTAAATTTTCTTTGGTAAGTTTATTTTGATGTGCATCTTGATGAAGAAGGCTTGGTGTTCTGTATTGTCTTTGACACCTCAACTGTAATGTTGTTTTCAATAAGATTCTGCCAATTGTCTTCATTATTTGCTGTTTTTTGCAAAAGTATCCGAAACATTTTTCAAAGCGCCTATAGACACATTTCCAATCTTCCTTAAATTTTTCCAAGCTTTGTATGATAGCTAATTTCATTTGTTCGACGAATGAACCCCATTTTACTTTTTAAATTGATGGGAAATTTGTGATAAATTACAAGTGAATTCTATTCAACATGTAAAACGACTTAAAATTAGTATGTCAAACAAGGATTGTAAAACATCGCTGCCAAGTCCAAATTCACCTTCTCGACATTCCTCATACATGCTGTAATCAAACTTCACTAAAGAAAAAAAGATTAAACAGGCGAAGTGGATTATTTATAAGTGTCCTGAATTTGAATATCTAATAGCGTCATAGCCCAAAATAAAGACGCAACCCTTGTATTTGCAATTATTTCCTTGACTCTTTCAGCTTCATATTAGTATACAAGTACTATACTAAATAAACAAAGGTATCTTCACTGTCATTGCAAAGGTTGGAAAGCATGTGTACAAGGTCAAATTACCACGTACTATGATGATACATCCTATCTTCTATATCAATTTACTGTCATCAAAAGAGATTTCACATCTCTCAGTCATTTCAGGCCGAAGCTATCCTCCATGTTCACCAATAAAAGTCAAGAAAACATTATGAAGTTGAAAGCACCAAAGATAGCCGAAGATTTTGTGACTTTGTACAATATTTGGTAAAATGGAAGTGATACAATAATCCAGTAGATGATACTTTAGAACCAATATTGATTGGAAAAACATCATACTATTTTATCACCAGATAAGGCTCATTTTTATCCATTTCATGCATATATATATTCATATTATTTTTCATGGTTATAAAAAGCCCTTTTCTCATATTCCAATAAATTGCATATTTCATTAATACCTCTCATTCATGATAGGCAAGCATCCATGACAATAAAGTTATTAAGTGAAGTATGTCGTGTACCTTAGCAACCCACCCTGTTTCGAGCGCCATTTGAAATAGTTTATGCAGACCTGGAAGATCCATTGCTTTACTATAAAAATGAACGTATAGTCATCAAATCTATTACGATCACAGTCATCGCTAATGTTGGTCTGCATTTCACAAGCAGAAGGGAAAAGGATAGAGATATAACAACAGGGAATAGAGGATAAGTATTTTACTTTTACCTTTTGCCTTTTTTTCATGTGCATTAAAAATAAAAATAAAAACATTACACTCTTGTGTTTTCCTAAGCCAGTAATTCAATCACCTATGTTTCATTCTTGATAAACAGATTTTGATACAAAAGGTTAGAAGAATTTGTTTTTGGTTCTTATTAGCGAAAAATAATAATTCATTATTGCTTTTATGAGGCAAGCCAGAGTGGCTAACCAAATAGATCAATCACGATTGGCTTTCTTTCTTTGATTGACAAACAACAGCTGTAATGGAATCAATTGCATATGTTCCACAGAATCGGCAGTCTAGTGCTCTTTGAGAAAAGCCTTATTTTTTGTTTACTATCAGCTGCGTTTTTAAAGGATACTGCCTCCTTCTCAACCTTTTCCCTTGTACATTTAATTCTCACCTCACTTTTTTACTCATTATTAAAGAGAACGATCAGAAATATAGAAAGACACGCACTGGAAATAAGAAAAGTGGAGCAATCATAATAAAAAAGTTATGTGTGAGATCAACTTTATGTAAACAAGTGGCCTTACAAAAGAAAAGAGACTATGAAAAAAATAAATGTAAAAAAAGGGGGGAGGCGTTCGGATGCTCGGATATGTTCTAATATGAGAGAAATAGAAAATGAGTTATTTGTTTATTCATACATTATTGGAGAAAGAGAGAATGAATCATTTATATTCAGCCTAAACAACATGATTCACGTAAACAAAAAACTATAAAAGAGATAATCATTATTTTCTTTTTTTTTTTTCATTCTTTATCTCTTAAAAATTTTCTTATACTTTTATTATCCCCCATGTTGAAAAGGTATAACAGCGTTTGGGTGACCTCAAAGGGCGTATAATTTATGTCATCGTTTAGAATATTCACTTTTACTGGCTCTATTTCATGGTTCCTTATATATCTTACTCTATCATAATGACCTCTCACGGGATGAAGCCTTAAAGAAACCTCTGCTACTCGCTAATACTCAAAAAAAAAATGCTTGCTACTGCTTATCAGTACACTCAAACAATCAAACAATCAAACAAATACCCAAATACTTACTTATGCTTATCAATACCTGCAAATGATCAGCAGTGCCTGCCACATGCTTATCAACGTCAGAAAGTCCCTGAAGAATCTTGCTCATGTCTATCAATGTCTACTGCTAATCAGTACTGCTCTGGAGTAACTACATGTTCAAACTATTTTGCCACTATCTGCCAAACTTTATCAAGCTCTGCTATAGGTCGCTGCTTCTCTACGTTGGATCACCCCGAGATGCTCCTATTGTTATGGCTCTGCCTCTAAAGCTGATGAATGGCCCGTAAACCCTCCCTTGCTGCTGAGCTCGATGGTTGCGATGCTCCAAATGTTCAATATTCCGATGTTTCCACGGTCATCACCCTTTCGAAACGCTTCGTCCTAGGTACTTAGAAGTGCACTCTTTGTACGTTGAAGCATCTCTCTCGTTGAATTTACCGTGATATGGTTTTGAGATTGACTTTTGTTTTTTGAGATTTGAATCTTGAGTGCTTTTTATTCATGGAGGGCTTACACCGTGTAATCTTCTGGCATGCAGTTTATGGTTCTAGACATCTTGGGTTTGAAAGCTAGCGATAATGTGGCTTTCTAGACTTATGGAAAGAGAAAAAAAGAATAGCTTTCTACTTGCTCTCTAAACTTGGCTATCAAAAAAAAGTCTCTACTTATTCAAAACTCTCTCTTTGGAAATCAAACTATTGCTTACTTAAATAAAAACTTCATTTTGTTATTCCTACACTTTTTGCTCGTTAGTATTTAATACGACTACTTTCATATCATTTATTGCACTTTAAAGTACATGGAATTTACTAATGAAATCTTTTTATGCACATCCTTGCAATTACTTCAGTATTCCTTCATCGTTTTGGCTTTTTGTTTTAAATCAGGGGTTTTTTTTTTTAGCTATGAGCTTTCTCTGGCTTTTCTAGTATCTTTTAGAAGCTAACTGTAAATGCTTTTTCTTTTTTTTTTTTTCTCTATCCTGTATTATCACTGCGGTCTGTTTTCAACAGGCTTGGGTGCATCTATTGGGAAGAAAATAAGTACTGAGAGGATCAAGCCGTTCGGATTGATCAAATTGAAGGTTTTTGCTGACGAGTGTTATTTTTTTCACTGTATTTCTTTACTGCTATTATTAATTATACTTGTAGTTTGTGCCATTATTCTAGTATGAAGCGATACAGAGACTGTAAATTAAAATGTATGCTCTATTATAGTTTTGTATTCGAGTAACGTAGTAAACTATTTCACTTAACGCGCAAAGGCTTTATGCAGTCGATTAATAAAAGCCAAGTGTCATGAAGACTATCAAGTACTCATGTTTATTCTTGTTATATTGCACTATTTGAACTATGGCTATCATACATGTTAAAAGCGATCCATCATCACCGGATATGAATAGCATGGTAAGATAGCCTAGGTTAGTCGTATCAACTATGCGTCTCACTTCCAGGAACCACCAAATGACCTGGGTCCTGAAAAGACTAGATAGTTTATAAAGTATTTCAATATGGAGTTTAACATTAAAACCATAAAATAACCGCGTTTGCCACTAGACGTGTGTTTCATGGCCGTATATCATTTGGTCCGAATAGTGAGTGATCGTTACTTGGAAGGAAGTTACCTTACTCTAGATTTTCTCAAGGACAAATTGCGTGTATTTCAGCAAAGTATGGTTTTGATTCCAATGTTTTAAATATGTTCTTTTATTTCTATAAACTATCACGGCTCTTCTTTTCAAATTTAGCCTGTGTAAATATTCTATCAATTCTCATTTCTTTCTGACGATTGGTCGTCTCACGATAGATGTACTGACAATCGACTGTGCTGAATCCAGCAGCTTCAAATCTTGACTTAGCATCTTCTGTTGAAAAGAAATAACTCATTGTACCGTCTTGACGTACATATAAATTATCGCCTAACCGTTTATCTGAAGCTTTACTAAATTTCACTTGTGCTTCATCATAAAGTCCATAATCGCGAAACAATACTCTTCCACCTGGTTTTAGTACATTATAAATATTCTTGATAGCAACTTCCATCTTTTCTGGAGGAATAGCTGAGAAAACAAAAAGGGCAGACACCTAATATCCACATTAAACCTCTCCTTTTTTTTAGGTTTTTTTTTTTTTTTTTTTTTTTTCACTTACCAAGTCTAGGCTATTTGGTTCAATTTGGTCAGTTAATAGATCTTGAGTCAAATCGCATACAAATGCCTTGCAACGAGATTCGTCGTATTGTTCGTTGGACTTGACCATATCTATTGCTCTCTTTGAGAAATCGCATGCGTAAATAAATAGCGAAGAGTTCTCTGCTAAGGCTGGAAAAACAAAATTGCCTACACCGCACCCTATTTCGAGTAAATACTTTCGATTGCCTGATTGATCTGGCGCAAGTTCTTCAAATTCACGATCTGTCCAATGTCGATCTATAAAAGAAATATTACACAATGAACACATGTGTATACTACTGTTTTAGTAGCATACCTTTAAAGAACTTGGTTGTGTTTCGCTTATAGAATAGATCCCAGTTCCTTGCTGCTTCTTTTTTATATTTATTCACCCAAAAGGGTGGAACTTCCGTCTTGTCACTTTCTATAACCTCTTTGGCTCTGTTTACTAGCTTATCAAGCTTTTCCTTGTCCAAGATCACTCGTTCTGCATCCCTTTTAGTGGGTATTTTGTTGCTATCTTCCTCAGTCATTTTTTTTTAGGTTTCCAAAGAAAACAAAAGAGAGGCTTGTTGAAAATAAATATAAATTTCGCTGAAATTGATTTGTTCATCGCATGCAGTAATAACAAAAGCCAGTAGACATGTTTCAGGTTACTGATATTGAAGAAGTTCATATAAGCATGCCCATGACAAAAATAAACTGTATAAGTGAAATCATATAAATCATTTTTGATATTTTTCAAGGATACAATGATTCTGATCCAAGTTATTTAGTGGAAAAAGATGGACAAAAGAAGATAAAAGGCTTTTCAAATTTGTGAATTGCTGGAGCAAGCAACGAAATGCCCACAGAATTCCATTAAGCACTCGACCTCAGAATAGAAAGGATTGTCCAGTTTAATATTTGAAGAGATATTTTTGTACTGAGAGGGAAAAAAAGAACGACAAATCAATAGAAACGGAAAGACAGTAGAGGCTTACATCAAGTCATTATGAATCTAACGCGTGCTATGATTATGCTTTTGTTTCAAATGATACATCATCAACAGGGGAGCCTACTTTAGCCAAACTTATGCGTTATACTGTGTGCGCGTCCGTGTCTGTATGCACCTTTACTTCTCCTTGTGATCAGATTGACAGGACAGGATTACAACTATTTACAATCAACAGCAACACATACATTATTTATTATAGTGTCTTTAGAAAAACAAAGAGGGGAATGGATGACGTCTGTGTATATGTATATATTCCTTATAGACTCCTTACAGTTATTTTTGTTTCTTCTCTTCTCTTTTGATAGCAGCATCCACTGTCTTTCTGTATTCAGTAGTTGCAGTTGGTGGTATCGTGTTGTTTAATCCAAGTTGTGGGAAAGAACGACCAAACCATCCATATTTGAAAAGGAGCTCATTAGCGAAAATCTCACCAAAGCCAAGCATGACGCCATTAAAGAATGGGAGAACAAAGTTGATAGCTGCTGATTTCAATAACCACAATAAAGTTGGGTTAAGGTACCAGGGTTCCTGCCGAATGAGTGCGGTCTTGTTATTTTTGGATTCTGACATCTTTGGTGTAAAAGAGACACAACAATAGCAAATAAAGAAAAAAAAAAAAAAAGATAAAGTGTGCGCTCTTTATTTTAAATTTCTTTGTTATCAACCGCACATTAATATGATATGTCTTTATTCTATAATACCCTACTTTCTTTGCTGCACAAAGCCTTGTCCAACAGGAGGTGCCATCTTTTGTTGTTGTTGTTGTTGCTGTTGAATAAATTGTTGTGGAGGAATAAATGCAGGAGGTTTTGTATAAAAGTTGATTTGCTGTTGTTCTACCATACTAAGCAAAGGATAGGTGTTATTATTGTTATTGTCGCTTGTAGCCAACGGTGGCACCTTGACTAGACGCCAATGATCCTTATTATATGTAGGCGTAAGGTTTGCATAGGGTGGTAAAACCTCGGCTTTTTCTGTTGTAGGATATGAAAACATTTTGTGAGGCAAGAGAGATCCTTTGTACGCAGGTTCACATAATGGTATATTCTCCATTGTTTTTTCTATTAGCTCTGTATTGGCAGTTGCATTTGGTGGTAGCCTAGACAGCATCTTTATGATATTCTCTTCCAAAAGTTTGGCTATATTTTATATTAACATTAATTCATCCATTCTCTTTTACATCCTTCTTCTTTACCTGTCTTTAATTCCTTTTCATCCACTACTTCCCCTTTTTCAATTCTTGATTCTTGATGTTCCATTAATTTCTCTAATAGTTGACAATTGTTTGCCAGTTCTTCTTCTACAGTACTGGGCAATTTATTAAATGCGTCTTCAATCAGGTTAACATCCAATCCTTCCTTTTCAAGCCAAGCTTTGTTCAATTCATCCACATTCTCATCATTTTTTTCACCTATCTTGTCTACTTTCAATCGCTTTGCTGTACGACCGATATATGTGTTTTCATATGTCACATTTGCATTATTCGAATCATATGTTGGAGCAAAACTGGAAAAGGCTCCAAAGTCAAGCCATTGAACTATATAATAAAGGTGGTCTCCTTTTAGTCACAGCACTATTTTATTATAGTTATTGTGAATACCTGGCACAACTGGTTTATCTTCGTGCTTCATCAACTTTGGTGGATACTTTGGTGGAGGGGCTATAGTTTGCTTTAGTGATGGTACCTCTTCCTGTTGTACTGGTTGTGATGGATGAATAATCATTTCATGAACATTTTGTGCTATAGAAAATAAGGTGAGCTGTAATCACTATAAACAAAAAGATGTATCATACGCAATTGGTCATTTGCTGGCGCTGTTGGTTCTTTGATAGTTGTATCACTAAATACATATCCATCTACTGAAGGCCTAAATAGAGCGACTACTTTATAGATATTCCGTTCTCCCTCTTGGATGTTCTCGTTCAGTCGTTCAGATTCAAATTTTAAACAGCCTTGAGTAAATTGATAGAGCTGCTTAAACGTGTTCATTTCTTCTTTGGATGATTGTATACTGGGCACAACAGATAGAAACAAGGCGTCAATGTCATTCTAAGCGAATGATATTAGTCAATTCACATATTCATTGCTGTTGTGTTAAGGGGCATACTTTAAATGAATCAAAGGTTTTGTATTTTCCTTTATAAACGCGATCCTCTATTGATTCAATAGTAATTGTTGTATGCTCTTTGGGTTCTGTCCATAATATATGCTGCTTATCATAGCTATGTGAATTATGACATGAGTATACAAAAGAATGAAATAGTGAGTACTTCTTACTCTATAATTGTTGAAAGAAACTGCATCATCACTCTTTGTTTTGGTGTTTGTGCTGTAGAACCTTCACGCTTTTTTCTTGAACTGAATCGCTTGTTACGTATCTCTTGGACAGTTTCATTGGCTGTTGTCTCTTCTGGATTTTGTGTTGAAGCAAATCGTGTCGTAGGCATCTCTTCTACTCTAAAAAATAGAAAGAAGAAAAAGGAAAACTTTTTGAATTTCTCCGCTCATGAGTAGAATGTGTCTGATTGGCTGTCTTATCTTTTGCATACAAGCTGATACATTTGCGAAGTTATGAAGTATCAACATAATCACACTTCAAGTGATCTTTGTTGCTGTAATTAATTTTTTCTTTATTTGTTCGAATTTTACAATGTAAATATAATAACAATAAAAAGCTTTTTTTTTGGATCTTTATCTTCTTTGAGAGAGAATTGAAACAAACAAAAAGACAATATAGGTCCAATTGAGATTTTTGTGTTTGGGAGCATAGAAAAAGTCCTGACTGGTTGAGTATATAATGGAGGAGACAGAAGACAATGTTACTAATGGAGTGGCCAAAGGTTCAGCTGTTTTATGGTGTTTACGGCACACTTCATTCACATAAGGGATGCTATCATCCAAACACCTGACTGTCCTTTCCTTAATTCAGGGTTCTTAACATCTTCCAACAATCTCTTACTTGCTTTGGAAAGCTGACGATTTGCTTGGCTACAGGCTTGCTGCAATACCGCAAGGAAGTTTTCGTACTTGTGTATGTCTTTAATATATAAATAAGCGTTGATGAATTTCTACATAATTTCTTTATAAAGAATAAGAAAAAAGAAAGAACTCATTATTACAACATCGTCATTTTATATGAAAACACGATTATGCCGTGATTAATGAGAATTGGACGTGTTCTGTTATATGCTAATAACATGTATTGCTGTCAGTTGCTTTGTGTTGTTCATTCTTACAGTATAAATTTATAGTAATCTCATACGACAAGATTGAGTATTTATAGGGTAAATACGACATATGCGTTCCATTGATATTAATAATTGTTTTTGTTCAATAAAAAAATGTGCAATAGCAACTAATGGGCTAAGTGGTTGCACGCTCAGGTATGCGTGGATGGAAAAATTTGACCCAACCTGAGTAGGGTAGTCGCATGGCAAATAGAGTACCTAAATTTTGTTTTGCTTCCACATCTATAATATTTTGAGTAGTACTGTTGATGCAAACTACTACTACGATGGGTGCGAAAGGTACTCTTTTAAAATTTGAAGGTAATATTCGTTTACCCTTAAATAAAATTTCATGTTCGCAGTGTATTGGACTTCTACTGGTACAGGAGGTAGGTCGCGGTCTCTACAATTTATGGATGCGTATACAACATCTGGCTTCATTAATTTTGCCTATTCAGCAGGCAATGCCAAATACTTTTCTTTTGCATGTTCCCCTACGTAGAAATCCTGAGTTAATATGATACACAAAACAAAACGAATTGACAAAAAATGACAAACACTTGCCTACGAAATTATTTGCAAAAATACTTGCAATCTCGTGCTTTTAAGAAGAATCAATTTACTCATTAAATCTGTATCTGGTTTATGTTTTTCAGCTAGAAAAAAAAGAATCCTCTGGATAAAGACTCTAGGCTCATACCTCGAATTGCTGAGATAAGCAAAACAGTTAATGTTGAAAACTGCTAGGACTAGACAAGCACACACAAAACTATTGGGATAAGTGTCTTAATAAAGAGCTATGATTGAAATAAGGAGTGATGCCTTCAAACAATAGCATCACATCTAAAAATACTGGTCCCGAAAAAAAAAAAAAAGAAAAAAAAAAAGCATTGTGTCAGAGTTATTTTTCGCTGTATCAAATTGCTTTCCGAAAACAGCTCTTTAGTTTAAGAATTCTCCCCCCTTTTATTTTTTTCCTAAATGACAGATCAAAGTGATCAAGATGGGTTTACTACAGTAGAACGTTTTAAATATAAGAAAGTGTCAAAGAAGAAGAGAAATAAGTATACCTTTAAAGATCCTGATGACTACACAATTGATGATCTTGAAGCAAAGTTAAAGGAAAGAAGGTAGTGGTAATAATAGTATTCATGTTTATAGATATTAACCTCTTGTTTTAGAGAGTTTTTAGAAAATAGTAGATTTTATAAAGAATTATTAGGTAAACTAACTTTTTTATATGTTTCCATGGTTACTTATTGCTCTCTTTAGACATATTTAAGGAACACCTCTTGAGCTGCAAGTTTAATGATATTGTTTGTTATGGCATTGGATCTATGCAGAAATCAAAGAATGCTCAATACCAATTTATACTTGCTTTGATTTTGAGAGACTTACTCAATGTAATTAATGAACAATACATGACAGATGGAGAGAAACTAATGATCATTAGATACCTGGAAAAATGTACATCTTTGATCCAGTCATGACAGAATTAGACAAGGAATTATGTGCCATTTATAAATTAGACATCATTCAGGAAAATGAACAAGGAAAAAGAGCTGTGGAGCAATCGACACTGTTCTATATGCCACATTGTGGTAGAGGATTATATAGCAACACCCTCAGTGCCAATTGGACAGCACGACAACTTCCATTAATTACCATTATTGGCAACAGATTTGATATGTATGTTGGAAGGTAAAGTGTGGTTTGTTATTACTACATGATGCATTACAATTAACAGATATAAAAAGTCAATTAGAAAAGGACTTGATCAGAGAGTGTCCCTTCCTTATCCCTGCTACTGATATCCTCAAGATGGTTGCTTTCCCAAAAGAGTTTGATAACAATCAGATATTTAATGACCTCTCAATACAGACCTTCCCAAAAGAAACCGTGAGGAAAATAGATGATTCATTTTGGTTAAATGTAATAAAAGATAGCTAGCGGGTTCCCCTCTGTGCACCTGCTACAGCCAATCTATCTGCCTTTTCATTACCTTCTTCCCCAGAGTGACCAGGCACGTAGACCACATCAACAGGTGCCTTTCTATGATCAATTATGTCTACAATCTTTTCGAGCAGATCTCTATTCTCCACAGGGGTGCCTTTTGATGATTTCCAGTCATTCTTCTTCCAATTCTTGGACCATTGATTCACCGCTTTGATCACATATTGAGAATCAGTTCTGATCTCCAAGGGCTCATTGGCTGCACTTTGCTCCAATGCGCGCATGACAGCTGTTGCTTCTGCTCTCTGATTGGTCTGTCTTGAGCCTTCAAGAGGCCTACTCAAATTTCTAGGGTCATTGTCGCCCCAATAAACACCATAGCCTGCTCGAGCACCCACTTGACCATTACCAGCCGAGGCACCATCTGTATAGACGACGGTTTTTCTTGAATGAGTCCTTTGAGATGCATAGGGACTATATCGCTGATAAGCTTGGGATTGAGTGCTTCTTGGAGTAGAATAAACCTCTGAAGTTTATATAAGTACTAGGCACTTTGAGTAATATTTATGTTGCACCTTCTTCCTCATAATAATCAGTTGAACGAGAGTAACTGGGTTGAGAGTAGTTTGAACGAGAGTAGTTATTGGAGTCATTAGCTCGAGAGTTGGATCGGGAGTAATTATAACCAGAGTCATTAGAACGAGGGTAGTTAGAACGAGAATAATTGGGTTGTGAATAGTTTGAGCTTTCTACAGTAATGTTTGTTTTAAAAAAGAAAGGAGGAGCATTTGAAAGTAAAGTCTAACCTGCATCCACAAAACTTTGAGCTTCTTCCAAGGAATTAAACTTTTTAAACTTTGCACCACTCACACCGTTGACTTGTTCTTTGCAATCAGCCCAATTTCTATATATGCCTTGATGACGACCCACTCTGACAGCATAATATCCCCCCATGACTTTCTGGACACTGCTTTTCAAAACGACAAATTAAAAATTAAAAAAAGGATTTTTAGAGTCTGTGTTATCTTTCTTTTTTATTCATGCAATTTTATCCAATTTCAAAAAAAATACCCACACGACTCAACTATGAACTTGTCAAGAAATATTTGGAACCCCTGAAAGGTTCAGTCATCTATCTTACAGGACGAAGGACTCAAGCAAGGGATGATACAGATGTTGAACTCGATTTTCGCCAAGAGAGCAATTTCTTTTATTTGTCAGGCGTGGAAAAACCAGGTTATGGTATCTTGATTCTGACGGATACGGACGAGATATACCTCATACCGCCTACTGTGCCTCCTGTTCAACAGCTTTGGAAAGGAATACCTGATAGTCATGATACACTTGTTAGAAAGTATGACGTGAATCATATATTGATAGAGGAGGAATTGTCTCCATTTATCCATAGAATCAAGCCTACGACCATCTACACTCTACCCTCTGCCACAAATACATTTGACTCCTTTCAAGTAGACAACTTTAGACTGATCACAGCAATTCATAAGGCGAGACTGATTAAGAGCCCTTGGGAAATTTCGAATTTGCGTTACGCAGCTCATATCTCCTCACATGCGCACCTTTCACTCATGTCACACGTTGCTAAACAAAAGGGCCAAGTGATCTATGAAAGCGAACTTGAAGCAAGATTTAGATGGATATGTGCCAAAAACGGGTTACCAAAGCAATGTTATATTCCCATTGTAGCCTCGGGACCAAGAGCGGCTATACTTCATTATACGGATAATGACAAGGTGATACCCACTGACCCTCATGATCTCATCTTGGTGGATGCTGGTGGTGAACGTCAGTGCTATGGTAGTGATATCACCAGAACCTTTCCAGTGCTCGGTAAATTTAGTCAAGAAGCAAAGGCAATTTATAGTATTGTATTGCAAGCACAAAAGGTATAATTCATATATTGATGCAAAGGCGAGCGCGCTTATCCTTTACCCTTCAAACAGCGGGTTTTAGCTAGCTTACGGCCTGGTGTGCTTTGGAACGAGATGAGTCACTTGGCCATACGCGTTTTATGTGAGGGACTTTTGAACATTGGTGTCCTCAAAGGCGATCTAGATCAATTGATACAAGTCGGGGCATATAAGGCGTTTTATTTTCATGGTAACACCATCAGCACATCATACAGCACTATTGGTTTTCTCAACTTCCTTTCATATTAGGTCTTGGGCACTCTGTAGGACTCGACTGTCATGATGTAGGAGGGTATGTAAAAAAAAATGTCTGCTTGATATCGACTATCCTGACAAACAAACAAAAAAGACGCGATATAGGCATTTTAACAAGAAAGGGCAAATCCTTGGAACTGATGAATGAGCCTCTTCAGGAAAACATGGTGATCACAGTAGAGCCAGGTCTGTATTTCAACGATGTTAGCATTCAAATGTGGACAAGTTTACCTGAGTACACCAAATATTTCGATTTGAGCAAAATCGATCAGTATCGTCCAGTTGGTGGTGTCCGTATTGAAGACACTGTGCTGATTACCAAAGAAGGGCATGAGAATTTTACAATTGTTCCAAAAGAAGTGGACGATATTGAAGCCATTATGAAGCTTTGAGTGCACTTATTAAAATTTTTGTCGACAAGACCATAGTTGATAATAAAGTCTATTGTTTGAAGTATGCCTCTCTATCATATTGCTGCTGTGCGGTGTTCGATCCGAAAGAGATGTCAAAAAGAACCGTAGAAATCAGGTGACCCTCAGTACTTTCCGGCGTGTGTTCCGGTACATCTTTTTTTTCTCTCTCAATACATGTGTCACTAGAGCGGGCTTCTACATTTTTGGGTTTGTTTTACACACAACATGTCATTTCGAATTCTGTCAAGGGCCCTTAGATCTGCTCCTCGAACTACATTGCTCAGTACTGCTATCCTAGCGCCTAGGCCAGTAGTAACCGTTCCTATACTACAGAATGTGCGAACTTATGCAAAAAAGAGCAAAGACAATAAAAAGTCTAAAGCTGAACAACAAGACGTGGGAGCAGAAGTCAAAGAACCCTTATTTAACCAAGGTCAGTTTGAAGCACGCTTTGAGCAATGTGTTCAATCTCTAAAGGAGCATTTGTCCAACATTCGCGTTGGCAGAGCTAATCCATGTAAGATCTAATGACGATCATTGTGAGTTTATATATAAATGTATTTACTTTTTTCTTAAAAGCATTGTTGGATGCCGTAAAGGTTAATATTGAACACTCAAACTTTCCGTTAAGAGACCTCGCACAGATCACAGTGAGGGACCCACAGACCTTGATGGTGATGGTGCATGATACTGATGTAAGTGTCATTTTTCATTATATTTAAACCAACACTCACTAAATTGATTCGCCAGTATACAGCATCTGTAGATAAAGCTATCCGTAATGCAGGATTGGGTTTGAATCCAATTGTTGAAAGTAAAGGAATTCGTGTGCCTATTCCCAAGTAAGAACGGATAAAAGGATATATGGCACGTAAACTGATTACACTATCATTAGACCCACAAAGGAATCTCGAGATAAAATGGCCAAACTGGTTAATACAACAGGTGAACAGACAAAGGCCAAGATTAGGTCTATTCGTCAGGATGGCATGAAGCTATTAAAAGAAGACAAGAAGCATCAATCTGCAGATGATATTAAGAAAATGGAAAAATTGGTAATTTAGATTGTGATTCTTGTATTCAAGCTACTCACAAATAAGTAGGTTCAAACGATGACAGACAAGTATAACAAGTTAATAGACGATCTATTAAAAGTAAAATCCAAGGAAATTCAATTGTAATAAGCTGGCATCTACAGCACTACAATAAAAATAAAGCGGGTCAGATCCTACGATTTGTATAAACATCTAAGCTCATTACATCATTTTGCCCTGTGCAAATGTGCCTTGTGTGAATAGCAAAACCAGTAAAACCAAAAGCCCTCAGATTGCTCTAAACTTAACGACGACAACTTTTGGATTGTCTTTGAGAGGGCTAACGTTTTATTTTCAAATTCCGAAAGACGATCTTGAGATACGATTAGTAGCTTGTTTGTTTATGCAATTGTCTTTTTGGATCTCATTGTGCTCTTTAGGTGCAAGCCGTCTGAGAGCTTTTGCTTTGAAGACGCATGACACATTAAATCAAGCAACAAGGGAGGGGACTATGAATATTACTTTTAGTGGATCAGCTTGTTCCACAAATGATTAATCACGCTGCTTGTAAAAAAAAGGCTTAGTCTTAATAACATAAAAGGAGCCACATTATAGATTTGCTTTTTCTCTGGCACACATGAAGTCAACAATAACAACTTTGTTTTAAATAATAGTCATTATATAAGAAATGTTATTCTTTTGATTGCTAAAACAATATCTTTGTTGATAATAGCGTATTGATTAACGATGCACATGATATTTTTTAATAGAGAGCTTTTCCTTAATTCTGTGTATTCTCATTAAAAATAGTTGTTTAATCGTACTCATTATTATTGACTTTGTAAAACAAATAAAATCACTAAAGGCAATTGCTTTAATTGGTTATGTGGCGAAGTGTGCAACCATCCACTTAACAACAGCAAACCTTGATTTATGCATCAATATGATTTAGTGTTCTTATGGCTTAAACAAAAGTCTAATTCTTTTCTTTCGCCGATATTTCTGTGACCTGAAACCCTCCCCACACACGAAATAATCTCTCACTAGGCATGACGTTATTTTAGAGTCTATGTAGCTGGCTTGGAAATAAGAGTTGTTCATTTCCAAATCCAGTAGCTATTTTTAAATCATTAACTCCTTTTCTTTCATTTCTTTTACACTTCCGCTTTTTTTCTACTTTTTACTTTTTTCTTTTTTTTTTTTTTTTTTTAAAGAGAAAGAAAGAAAGAAAAAATGACATGGATTAAGACGCTAAAACAACAAATGAAGAAACCAGCAAATTGGGTGAAAAAGAACAAAAGAACAACGGTTTATCTACTGAAATGGATCATCACTTTGATCTCTGTTGGATTGATCTCATTCTTTATGCTCTGTCGTTTAGAGGTGAATGCTCACGTCTATCTTAGAAACTGGCTATCTCCAGAAAGACCTGTGGCGATAGAGCCACTATCACATTGCTTTGACAACCTATCTCCCGACAGTCCTTATCATCAAGGCAATAAGAACTTTACTGTCAACTTTGTTCCTGGTCTTCCTGTCTGGGAAGCAAATACATGCTATGACTTTGCAGCCTTGTTTCACTCTAGAAGATACCCGTACGCAGGCAGCCAGTTATACCACACCTATTGGTCTTCCAATCTAACAAAAGACTTTGACGAGAAACCACTGGCAACACTGCGATCCTTTGCTGCTACTCAAAACACAAACCATACGATGATTCTTTGGATACCAAAAGAGGATGAGCAACGTCTGACTAATTCGAAAGGATGGGTGGCACTTTCGAAAGACACAAACCGCATCAGTTACCGAACTGTTCAACCTATGGACCTCACAAAAGGAACAGCTATAGAACCTTATGTGGACGTTTGGAGAGTCTTGGTTAGCGAAAACAATGACGGCACACATAGAGACGACTTGTTAAGAATGCTTGTACTCTATCAGTTTGGTGGCGTTTGGTTTGATCTGGACACAATGTTTATTAGAGATTTAAGCCCGTTATTTGAACACGAATGGATCGCACAAGGTAGTTGTAAAACAGGGATGTTTGGAAACCCCTTTACAGGTGCATTATTCCATTTCAATCAAAAATCACCTTATGTATGCGAGATATTAGAAGGAGCAGCGGATTTGTTCAAGGCAAGAGAAAGACAGGCGAATGGAGAATCTGATATACCAAAGCGGCACTTGATTAAAGGACCCGAGATATTTGGATCAAAACTTTATTATAGAATATATAGAAGAGTGTTACACCATCGTATTAAACCTTGGTCCATTTTACCGTGGTGCTTTACAGATCCATCACAGTGCAGAAGAAGCAACTCGATGCCGAGTCTATTTTCAAAAACAGACTTTGATGGAAAACAAGTTGAGAGGATTTTTGCATATCATTGGCGTGATAGATGGAGTTCTGTGCCTGGATCAATTTATAATTATTTAAGCTCAATACACAAGAAACGAATAACTTGGTAATATAAAGATTACGTTAATAAAGTATCACTGCATTTTTTCATATTCTTTTTCGTATGCTTTTTTTCTCAAGCAACAGCATGTTACGTAGAATGTATTCTATAAAGGGTAAGACTGTTTTGAAGATGGTCAAGTGAGCATCTTTGAACGAAAACGGGAGAATAAGGCAATGAATTGGGAATTAAGAAGTTGATCCTCATAATACTTAAATCATACTACAAGTTTGAATTGCAATCATTATGGTTTGACTAATCATTTGGCCAACTAAACTAGTAAAATATAATAAAAAGGATATTGCCTTAAACATACAGTAGCAGCAATAATGAGCACCTCTTCTTTCATACATATGTAATAATACTTGCTTTCAACAACTTTCAAAGACACGATATAATCATATATATGTTTCATGGATTAAACTAGTTCTTTGAAAGCGGCTGTGTGCCACTTTATTCTTATACTAATTGGACTTAAAGTTACACTATTTCCAGAAAGAGATATCGCGCTGACTTGTCGCTTTTTCGTATAAATTGTATTATAAAAGCTATAAATATGCGACTTTACATTCTGAAAAGACTGTATAGGATCATACAGTAAAGATAGAAAACGCGTACTACTCAATGAATACACAAAGTCATCCTATTTTAAAAAGGAATGGAAGCAAAATCATGACATTGTGAAAATGACTGGTAATATAAGAGAAAACGACTCTTCGACGGCATATAACATCACTTCAGCCTATCAAGCTGCCTATGAAGCTAAGTTTTTCTAAAATAAACCTACGTAATGGCCAAGCTTGGGTAAAAAAAAGCAGAAGAGCTTAATCAGAGACATCTTTGAAAAAAGGTAATCATTATAAAATAAAGCTGGTACTCCTCATTCAGGAGTATCAAGAATATGCTGCTGACAAAATCGATCAACGTACTAAGGCTCACGTTTTCTGATTTGGTTGATAGCGCAACTGCCAGCTTTGATAACTTTAGCTTGAAGGAAATCAGCGTCAGAAAATTTGCCAAAGAAGAATGTGGCTCCACTTTCAAGCGAGTGACTAATCACTCAACAGATATGAATGATAATGACAGGGCAAAATAACGATATTAATGAATTCAAATCTGGGGGTTACAGATATGGACTATCTTTTCCAATTGTGTTTGCGCATGAACCAGGACTTAGCATCAACATAAGACTATAGCTTGCTTGATACAAGGTACATGAGTCTGTAATCATAAAAACCTACAATAATAGATATTATCTGTACTATTCTTGATGCCATCACGGTTTTTGGATTAGCTGATATGAAATTGTCTCAAAAAACGATAAAAGAAGACAGTACTAAAAGAAAGCGAGCCGCAGCTAAGAAAAGTATACAAAAGGGTACTATTGATGATCATTATTTAAAGTTTATTGAAGAGGCCCTCAACCTGACAGAAAGAATCTAGCAATGAAAATCTGTTTTATTGTAATAGGGTCATAAAAGCCAAATAAGGTATATCTATAAAACATGAATAATAATACACAAAGAACTTTTGTGATATCCCCAAAGAAGAATTGTTCATACAATACTGTTATTAATTGGAGGCATTCATCATGTATTTGTATCCTGGATCAACATTAGAGATGGCCTGGCTCCCCTCTCCCTTTTTTAACCTTTTTCTCCTTTAATGTTGCTACCAGGAGCAACAATATGCATCTATTACCATAACCTAAATTTTACTACCCCCTTCTCAGAAATCCATTATATAAAGAAAGCCTCAATTAGCTTTAATCCATTTTGCATGCACCCAACAGGAACATAAAAAAAATGCAAGCCAAACTCTTGACACTCGCTCTCTTTGCTAGCTTCTTTGCTACTGGTCTTACAGCACCTATCTATGGTCACTTGACAGAAAGAGAAAGCGCAATTATCAAACCAATCATCGAAGGCTTGAAAGTTGAGCCGAATAATTTCCAAGCAAAGTGTGTATTCCAGTCTCTAACCAGAATTACTACTGCTTTTCCTGAATACCCTATTGATGATTTGGTAGCACGCTTACCACCAAGGATGTTTCATGCATGTTTCGATACCGAATCGCCAGATAAACCAAAGCAGTGTTAAACATGACTTTACAGATATTGTTACTCGTTATTCAGTTAATACTTTGAAGAATGAATAAATAAAAGTAAATCAATTTAATAGTTGCTAATAGATATCTTAACACTGCCAAATAATTTACAAAAAGATGAGCATTAAGCTCTCTGTATTCATAACAGCTTTTTTTTTTTTCAATTACTTGAGTGACAATGTGCCCCTAAATCGCCTTTTGGAGTCCACGTAGCTAATGAAGCGTAAAATATTATTGAAAAAAGAAGTATATTCAGAAAAATTGTGCGTTTATGAACAGACAAATTATGGGGCTTGTACATATCACAGCCATGCTTAACTATCCATTTTTAATAAGATGGGTCAATAGAGGTATTCATTTCCTAATCAAGATCTGCTTGTAATAACACACACAGTTAACCCATTTTTTGTGAAGAAATTAGGGGTTTTCATCCACAAAATGCAAAGAAAAGAGAGATTGAATGATCATAACTTTGCACAAATGTACTCTGCAAAGTATTTGGGGAATCGGGAAGCAAATCTTCTCTAATTTTCAAAGGCCTTTCCAGCCCTTTCCATAATTTCAGTAAATTCATTCTAAAATCATATCCTAACCACTTCGAAGTCTTGTATGGCCAATGTGCCGCAGTGGACACGGGTTGAATATCAATATTCTCGCCACTTATCCATTTTTTCTTTTCTTTGAAATGATGATACCCCATAACCGGCATAGTATTATTTCCCGCTGCAGCCTTTACATGTCGTAATGTATGTAGTGTTTCAGTTAATGCCTCGAATTCATGATAATATCGTATTTTAGCACTGATATTGACTTATAGAGTGTTCAAAGAGCTTACCATGCTTGACGCAGTACCTGTCCATATTCTATTGTAGATAGAGTGACAACACATTAATAATATGTACTACAGTGTGGTATATATTGCTGTCGTGTATATTACAAAAAGAAAGAGAAAGAAAAAAGAAAAAAGGGCGATTTATTACTTTTACTGATACTACACACACGAGACGGTTAATGCTAAGGGCACTTCCTCTAGGCACTACCTGTGATGCCACTTTACAACATCACACTACCAAATTCGCTATCTAACCTTAATTTGTCTAGTGGGATATTCTTTATGAATTTATCATAATACGCTTGAATGATCTTGGTTCTTTGTTGACCGAGCTGACAACATAAAATTAGAACAAAGCAATAACTACATTTTTACATCTCTTCTTGAAAGATAATTCGTATTCTACATCAAGGAATATGAAAATACGTCTTTTTCTTAACAATTTTAACGTGATATTATCCATTGAAAAGTTTTGTTGACAATATCATAAGTAGTGTCTGTAGCATTAGCCTCTTTGTAGTTTTCCCCGTGCACGTATGGTGCATTTCTTTTTAACTTGGCAGTCGGAGTTTAATTCCAAAGTTCGAAAAAGATTAAAACAGATTGACACTATTTTTGGTTTTTGGCATAGACACTTCCTTCAGATGATCATACAGTGGCTTTTTTTTTGAAATGATACATGGTGTACAAGATAATCTTCAACATATTGATTGTAAACATGATTTACTTGGAGTAGCTCATTCAGTTCTTGTCAGTAAACACTATTTAGCGCTTATAGTAGCGACAGAATTTCAATTGATTTGGCTGATTCAAATGTACCAGACTCAGAATTTTCTCTTTGTTTTCTTATAAGTTTTTGCCGTTTTGTAAATGTAGACATTGCCCACGATATGATGTGAAAGAAGAAAACAGGGAAAGTGTCTTCTAATGGCTTATAATTTCGTGTAACAAATTGTGACACGATATACCATTTAAAGAAACTCTAGTCAATAGGAAGAGCAGATTTCATAAGCTCTCTGCTTAATTTTCATTTCTTGAAAACAATTGAAATCTATTCAGATCAAATCTAAACGTGTTTATGGAGAAGAGAAACAGTTAGAAATGATTTAACATTAATTATTAACGGATTCGGCCTCTTTTGTTTGCAAAACATTAAAGTCTGCTCACTTTGATTACATTTCGAATTTTCGACAGTAAACTTCGACTGTCAAGTTAAAAGAAATGCACCATAACTTCAGATCACGTAGAAATGTTCTCATTCTGTTCAATTATGATTTAAACTGCTTCCATTTCTTTTTGACTGGTACTGTTGTGATAAACAAGACGCCCCTTTTCTGTTTTTGCTTATATCCGAGGCGCTCATTTTCTTATTTTGCTTAAATCCATCTGTTTATTTCAAACTTCTTTTGATTCCTTTTTGCATGATTTAAAACAAAGTAACTGATTAAAGAGAAGGATTATATCTTTATTAAAGTGTTATAAAAAGTTAGCCTGTACATTCATTTGTTTACTTCACTTTTTTATTATCAATACAACACTTTAATAAAGATATAATCCTTCTCTTTAATCAGTTACTTTGCTTTAAATCATGCAAATAGAATCAATTTGGAGAGGATTTTTAGTTCTTCGTTTTTATTGGATCAATTATGACACAATTTCAAATTTAAGGGGCTTGAGTATAAAGATAGATTTAAGAGAATGACCACCTCGGATCTAAAAAAAAAGTAGGAAAGAAGGGCGTATTGCTTATCTCGATAATATCAATAAAAAGGAAAGGAAAGCAATTAAAATGATTTTATACGTAGCACAGATCATAGAATGAAGCATCCCCATTATCTTGCATGAATTTTCTTTTGCCATGCACGCGAAAAAAATAATAATCTGTACTCTTATTTATTCTCTAGCTTAGACCTTATGCATTGTCCGCAATAAAGGTGTAAACATTTACTTTATATTACTATCATCTCGCTAGTGATCTGCTTGTCTTATAACATCCTCGTCTGCTGTCATAAACACAGATAATGTAGATCATCCTAATATTAAACATGTCTTTCAATGTAATTAAACAAATTTACGTATTTCTAGAGTTAAATAAGCAGCTTGTTAACATCCATAGTAGCGTTATTGTAAAGGCGATACAGTAAATTAACTCCCAGTTCCAGTAGAGCTTTCATCTTTTAAATGCGATGATGCATATTTGATTGTTAATATATTGTACTGATTTCACTAACAAATAAAGAAAAGATTAAGCAATAATATATCACGAAAGGACGCGTAAGTTATTTTATATCTTTATTCACAATTACGCAAGCAAATAATGAAACGGGTTTTTAATCCACTGTAGAATAAACGTACCTTTGACCCCAGAGGCGTTTTTAGATACTTCTTTCCTTCTTTGAGCTGATCAAAGCAAACCTATCTAATAAAAGCATTATGCACTCGCAACTACCATATAGGCAAATAAATATAAATTTATTTGTTTCAAAATTAGTGCTTTGCTATTTTCACAGCACATCTACACAGGATTTACGCAATATTTACAACACTGAAGTATAAGAGAAATATCTTTTTATTATGTTGAGAAGACAGAGAGAGCTCATCATTAAAAGCAATATCATTTTGTAAGAAAACAGGATTATTGCATGAATTGATCACGAACAACGAGAATTGAGCATGACGCGTCTATAAGAATAATGAATTTTGTGGTCAGCTTTTTTTTGTTTCTTTTTTTCTTCAAGAACTTTTTTACAAAATGGGCTGTATAAGGTAAATGCTATAAATAAACCGTATGAAAGATTGTATATAATACTGTGTAGGTGTCGTGTGTCTAATTCTGCTTGCTGTGTAAATAGCAAAACTTAATGCTACATTGGTAAATTCAAGTTAAAGATTTACTAAACTTTAATAACACTACTAATAGCAGCCATTTTTAGGGTAGACATTATTCCGAAGAATATCAGAAGAAAATTTAATTATGAAGTTAGATTTACGAGCTTTAAGTAGTGTGAATAGAAGCCGAATAGATTTATGTGTAGGGAAGTTCGCAAAGAAGGTGTATAGATCGAGAATATACAATGACAAATTAAAAATGGTGACATTATCGAGGCACTATCTCAACCCTCTGCTTCGATAGGGACTACCTGCAAAAGACGTGGTAATCCCATTAATTCAAGTGATGGGCTTTGGATGTAAACTGTGCATTTTAAATGTTGTTGACAACTTTTATGTTCTGAAACAAGTAAACATGGCTGCTTACCTCACTACGCACAAATACCTTGCTAGTAGGGGTATCGAAGAATCAATTTATTTTATGGGAGAAGTCAAGGCAAAGCTATATTTGCAAAGAAGTAATTACATCAATATGTCTGACTATTTTTATACATAGGTGCATTCTTTTAGGGGAAGTGGAAGATGCCCCATGTAAATTGAAGTTGACAGATACGAATAATAAGAAAGACGATGAAGAAAATTATGAAAAAGATGACGAAAAGGAAGAGAAAAATTCATTATGACATTATAAATTAAGTTTATTTTAGAATAAACATTAAGCTGACATTCATTCTTTTCTTGCTTGAATTCTTTCTAGAGTATTTCTTTCTACCGTCTCCATTGAACTTTTTAAAGAGCGAAATCCCGTAGTCATATAAAGTACTTTTGAGAATACTCAAGTTCTCAGTCTTATTATTTACTTGATCCATCCACTGAGCCATCTTGGGTGGGATATTGGAAATGGAAGTCAGATACTAAACCTCTGGTTGCCTCTGCTAACTTTCCTTCAGGCTCAGTAATTCTTGTGCAGAATAGAGATCTTCTTATCCAATAATACTATTAAACCAGTTCAATCAACCGCCACTGAATGTGAACTAATTGTTGCATTGCACGTTGCAAAAGTTAAACCTACCTAAGTTGCCGAATAAATTGGTCGATATTACCCAAAAGCGTTACTTGTGCAATTCGCAAGCCAAGTTACCAGGTTTTCCAAGATGTCCTCATCAAAAGAGAGGTCTGCAATATTCTTCAATTTAAAAAAGTCATTTGATATTCGCAAAAGTTTCTTCAATGATATCGTAATTTAGATTTTGGAGATCAATCTTGTCTAGGAGCAAAAGGTACAGCTCATGATTATTCGGCTCAACAATGATATGACGCACCACTAAATAATGACTGAACCGTCCATAGTTATGATCCTTTGAGCAGGTCTTTCAGCCCATTTGATTTTCCTTTCAAGTTACCATTGGAAAGATTGTTGATGAGGGACGAAATTCTCTCTTGATTCTTTTCGGGTACAGCCATTACCTCTGCAGGGGCCATCTTGCCAAGCTGCTTTAAGGTTGCAACAATAGCCTCCACAATAGCTAAATATTTCCTCACACTATCAACCTCGGAGATAGCTTGCTTGCTTGCTTGTACCGAGGCTAATCACTTAGATGATTTATTATGAAGCAGAATCTTGTAAACATGAATAATATTTTGCTTCTTGATATTGTTTAAAGAAAAGAGATGCATTTGACTAAAAATTATTACAATTTATATTATCGTACTAGCTGATTTTCGATCAAACTCACCAAGGCATGCAAAAAAGTCCATCTGTGTGGGACCGTTTGAAGAACGATAGTAAGCTATGCTGCAGTGATATTCTTGGTACTGATCCTTTCAAAGTACAGTCTGACCATTTATTCTACTTCATCTCAGTATTTTTTTTTATCCTCGCCTGTTTCTCTTTCTCTCGGCTTCTTTTCTATAAGAGTGTGAATATTGTTCAGCTGAGAATATAATTGAGTACACAGTCGGCTCAGTTTAGCAAGCTTGGCTGTTTCAGCAGGCGGCCATGGTCTAATATTCATACAGCAGCTTCTTATTACGAAGAGACAGATAAGAGAGGTGCATTATATTTCTGTTAAAACTTTAAAGAATCACTTCAACGCATAACTAAAGGTTAGAAATGACTAATGAGTCATTCCGATAACACATTTCTTTTCTAAACGTCGATATATGCTGCGGTTTAGGGAAGCCCACTTTCAAACTTTATCTACAAATAGTCAGAATGGGCAAATCAAGTGTAAAGAGTGGCAAATTAGCTTTAAGACATTAACAGCAATCTGATTGGTTGTTAGATATACTACCTTCTCTGAATGACGTTCTTACTTTTTGCTTCCTGTGAGATATCAATTACGCGTGAAGTGAGTAGGCTCCTTTTGGCACCTCTTGAAATAGTCTTTTAGTAGCAAAATGGGCTGAACCTACCAAATACATCTGCTAATAAAAGGAGAGTTACTGTGATCAAACAAAAATCACAACTCATGAATAAACACTCTTTCACATAAGGCGTCTTTAATTGCTTACGCTTTCCCTATTATGTTTGAGTCTTAAAAGGCGAAAGCGAAGATATGGCTTGTTCATAGGTAATATTCATTTAATGACGGTAAAAAATTTGAATCAGTACAAGCAATGTATACTTTAACTTACATTACGCATCTTGTTTACTCAATAGGCAGTAGTTTGCTATTTATGAAGTATATGTATGTATTGCCTTCATATTTTGAGCTTAAATGACAAGATGTATCCTGGTGACATTCCCCTATGCGTCATAGAATATGAGCTAATAACCTGTAGAGCCAAGTTTAAGACTGTCAAAAGGCCATAAATGCGCATCTTGTATGACTTTATGAATAAAACAAAGAGTCATGGATACAATAAAAGAAACAGTACATTTATCTTTTCTTTTTTCTACACTCTATCTAGGCCAATATTAGGCAATTCATGCATAAAATGATGAACGGTGGAAAAATATTGGCCCGCCTAGAAAGAGCCTCAGCCTACAAATACATTGTGTGTGTGAACACACTGTTTCTGTCCGAGAATCGGAACTGAAAAAGTTCATCATTGTGGCAGTAAATGATGCATATGTGATAAGAAAGGGGCGTTTTTCCTTTTTTGGAAAATGAGTTCTCTCCGGTATTATATAGTTTCTTTCCTTTTTTCTTTTTTCTTTTTTATTTTCCTTTCATCTTCATCTAATGTCGAGAGAAGGAGCAATACATTTACCTAACGATGATGAATCGCGAAGCGACGGGATCGCTGAAAAGTTGAAGCAAGCTCGTATATGGTTCAATAACAAATGGAACGGTGATTCAAATGAACGGTCACCATTATTAAGCAGAGATGTCGAAGACCCACAGGCTGCCAAGCGAAAGACAAAGTTTAGAGCGGTTGTAATTGGCTCTACTCTTTTAATCGCATTGGTTATACTAGGAGTATCAGTGGCCTACTGGTTTAAACATCATGATAAAGAGATTGGTGGTAAGATAATTGCTGCCATGAGATAAACATTCTAATGTTTGACTGCAGATAGTACTCCTTTCCCTGGCTGGAATGATCTAAGCCAAACTGAAAAAGAGTTTGTTGGCCTGCCATCTAATGAAAGCATCCGAGAATATTTAAAGGTTTATACTTCTAAAGCACACTTGGCTGGCACAGAAAATGACAAAGAACAAGCTGAATGGACACATAAGCAATTTGAGTCCTTTGGCTTAAACAGCACTATCGAGACTTACTGGCCACTCTTGAACTATCCTGTAGCACGCCGTTTTGCCATTGTAACTGGTCCTGAACAATTCCGTTATGAAGCCAAGTTGACGGAAGATCCAGTCGAAGAAGATGAAACTAGTCATGATCCTAACGTCGTTCCTCTTTTCCACGGTTATTCGAAGAACGGAACGGTCAAGGGACGTGTCGTGTATGCAAACTATGGTCGTGTTGAAGACTTTCAGTTCCTGAAGGATCAAGGTATTGAACTCAATGGCACCATTGCTCTCGTACGTTATGGCGGTTCTTTCCGTGGCCTTAAAGTCAGAGCTGCTGAGATCTATGGCTGTGCCGGTGTCTTGATCTACTCTGACCCCATTGATGATGGACCACTCAATAAAGATGAGGCAAGCAACCCTGCCAAGTCATATCCAGATGGCCCTTGGAGATCATCAAGCTCAGCTCAAAGAGGTTCTGTCCTATACCTCTCTCTCGCATCTGGTGATCCATTAACACCTGGCTATGCTGCTACCGAAAACGCCACTCGCATAGACCCTGAAGATGCTCCCAGTTTGGCTAAAATCCCTTCATTACCTTTATCTTGGGAAGATGCATTACCTATTTTGAAAGCCACAACAGGCCGTGGTGTAAGTGGTGCCGACTGGAAAGGTGGACTCAAAGGTGTAGATTACTCCAGTGGACCTACTGAAGGAGAGGCTATCCTGGTTAATCACATTGATAATAAGATTACGCCTATCTGGAATGTCATCGCACGCATTGAAGGCACTGAAGAGCCTGATCGAGCTATTATCTTGGGCAACCATCGTGACGCTTGGGTGTACGGTGCTGTTGACCCTTCATCAGGATCAGCTTCTATGCTTGAACTGGCACGTTCCTTTAGTGAGCTCTTGAAAAAAGGATGGCGTCCACGACGTACGATCATTTTGGCTTCATGGGATGCCGAAGAATATGCTCTTGTTGGTTCTACTGAATGGGTTGAAGCACATAAGGAGTGGTTGGATAAGCAAGCTGTTGTTTATATTAACGTGGACGTCGCTGTTAGCGGCCCTGACTTCATTGCTGGTGCCTCTCCTTCCTTAAACCGTTTACTTTATGATGTGACTTCATCTGTTGAGGATCCTCGTACGGGTGGATCTGTTTATGATGCATGGAGTGCTCTATCTAAAGCTACTGGTAACGAAAGACCGCTCGTTGAGACCCTAGGCTCAGGCTCTGATTTTGTTCCTTTCTTGGATCATGTTGGTATTAGCAGCGTCAGTCTTTCATTCAGTGGTAATTATGGCGTATACCACAGTAATTATGACAGCTTTCACTGGATGGAAAAGTTTGGTGATCCTGATTTCCGCTACCACCAAACCCTTGTCAAGATCTGGGGCCTTCTTACTCTCCGTCTTTCAGATAGCCTTATTTTGCCTCTTAGCCCAACGGATTATACCACAGAGCTATACAGATATGTTGAAGACTTGAGCACTTATGCTAGTCCTTATGAACTGAAAGAGCTGCCTGATGCTTTAGATAAACTCGAAAGAACAGTACGCCGATTTGAACGTCGCCTGCAGCGTCTTGCTGGACGCCTGGCTGAGTATGAATCGTTAGCAGACGTTCCTTCTGTCTTGATTGATCGTTTAGAAAAAGCAAACAAGCGCCTTACTTACTTTGAACGCGGCTTCATTCATCCTGAAGGCCTTCCAGGTCGTGAATGGTTTAAGCATGTTGTTTACGCTCCTGGTCTCTGGACAGGATATTCTTCTCAGGTATTCCCTGGAGTTGTTGATAGTGTTGACGCTAAAGATGAAGAGCTCATTGTACGCGCTGAAAAGAATGCAGCAGAGGCTATTGAAAAGGCAGCAGAATTCTTAAAGATTGATTAATAATAAAGTAGCAGTGTAGTAATGACTATAAAGTACATGTCGCGTTCGTTCTTCCTGACAAATCAGACAGTAAATCCTTAATACCATTGTTTATTGTTAATACACTTGAACTTTAAACGATTAAAAGTTATTATTGCTTTGATTAGCTTTATAGACAGCTTCTATCTTCGTTAATAAAATTATCTTTATGAGATAACCAGAAGACTAATGAATAAAAAATAATGTACTGTTCATTTTATACTTACCAAGACGTTAAGGAATGCTCTGCCGTTATAGACAGCGCATTAAATCCAAGAGCACCGTTAGTCTTTTTGAAAGTCTTTTAAAGGGTGGAGAACTTTCATTGTCGTGTTTTAATTTGTAAGCAAAGATATTATATATATTTAATGCACTGTTCACATCGCAAATCCAAACCGTACCGAACGACTCGCACTTGAGGACAGAGTGCACTCTTCGCTTTGATCCAGAAACAGAGAAATTATTCATTTCTTTCATTTTACACTTGTTACATATCTGATTCGTTAAATACTCGTCAACCGAAATAAAAATGGTCCCCACGTTGGATTGTTTGCATTTTGTTTGGTTTCTTCAATAATACGTCTAGTAGGTGCAGCTCGTTTGCCTCTCATATTTGAACAAAAAGAACCATTTCTGACCGCAATGATCCGCTTCCGTTGAGAGAAGGAAGGGAGGTCAGCAGGAGGTAGAGGTACATGTTTGCTTTTGTTTGGTGTTTGATTTTTAGCGCCAGCTTTGCTTGATTTGTCATACTTCTTGCTGCTGTTAAAGGGCCTTTTAAGCCGAATACAAGCAAGTACATACTATTAAAAGAAAGCACCTTGACTGCTATCAATTCCAACAAGGCCATGAAAGTAACAAGCAAGCTTAGAAATATTGATAAAAAGAATATTGATGCTGTTCAAAACTTTATCAAAATAGTACAAGCAAGAATTCAAGACAAGACCTTCATGCCTCTCAAATAAACTGACCCTCGAGGATCAAGATACTATTCTTTGCTTCCCTTGTACAAGATTGATTCCAAGAATATATAGATTGATGCTTAATCTTTCTGGAAGCTTGTTAAGCAATGTGAAAACAAGATCAAACCAGGTCAAAATAATGATAATGACTTAACTTTATGGTACTTTAATATCTTTGATTTTTCAAAAATGGGCAAAACAAATATTGTCATTGTAGAAATGTGATCACTACTGATGGTTATGCTGTATCCTTCATATTTAAGAAAACTGTTTCCATCCAAGCTGAACCTAGAAGTTAACCAAAGACTCCCAAGGATTTTGCTGATATAGTTGACGACGCACAACTTTGGGTTGTTGGTCCTGGTATATCAACTATCTTTATTGCAATTGACTCTACAGAACATGAACGTATACGAACAACAAGTTTGGGAGAATACTATCATTTATGTGGTTACAACCTTGCTACGAGAAGACGAAAAGAGCACCAAGAGTGTCTTTAGACGAGTATAAGTATATTAATGAATTACCTACTTTAAAAACTGTAAACTTAACCTCATTTTTACTAGCTGCCTCTACACGTCTACAAAATTATCAAAGAATCCATAACTACTACTGTCAAGATAAATGGTATGCTGCTCCCTTGCATGATGTATGTTTTAATAACGTTGTGTATGGCATAGATCTCAAAAGCTAAAGTTCAAGACTTTATATCAACAAGCAAAAAGGAACTCAAGAAATTGTTTTTACTATTCCGACTTCGTGCACTTTTTTTTTTTTCTGCAGTAGGACCTCGATTCTGGAATGCTACACCTACTCACCAAGGGTTGTGACAGAATCGAAGTCCTACTGTATATTTTTTGGCAAGTCAACTGCAGTGAAAACTGGAGGAGGAGGGGGAGAAGCTTATATTATTACCAAGTGGTCTTTTGCATTTTCACCATATGCTATGATTTTTGTTGCCAACATTCAACCCCAATAATAACTGCTATTGACTTCAGTTCTTCAAAATGAACACTGCCTGAAGCTAATTTTTCTGGAAGGTCACCAGCTTTTTTTCTTTGTAAACACTACAAGCAATAGAAAATACATCAGAAAGTAAGCTAATACTACAGGCGCTACCTCTGTCCACTACCTGTGATGCCATCCAACAAAACTCTTCAATACGTAACGATAAGCTAAGTGTGACTTTATAAAGCCCTCATCTTGGTTTGTTTTTGTTGTCAGTTTGATCAATAAAGAACTGAGATCAATTCAAGTGTAATTATGAAAAATTCGTATTTTACATTATTCCATTGGGCAGCCTTACATGTAATGCCTATTAGGGGTACCCGTATCATTAGCCTATCTTCTGATGCATGTAGCGTTGGCCTTTTTCTTTCGCCTTCTCTAATCTTCACGCAGACAGAAGGCTCCTCAAAAAACTTCCACACAGCTGTATATATAAAAAAGCGAAATCGTTGATAACTCCTCTCAAGATATAATCAGAAAGATCAGTAATGGTGTTTTATTCGTATCATTAAAATAATAAAATCAAATTTGATAGTTATTATAAAAGTAATAGAATCATATATGTTGCATATTTTCTACTAATCACCATTGGTCTTCTTTCACTTAAAGGTGCACGTTCCATGACATATCCATGACTCTGGAACGACCCTTGTAAAACTTCTTTTTTAGATTCAAAGTACAATAAAAGTCTTAACTAATATTATCTTTAAATATGCCATCCACAGGAACATGTTCGGAATCAAACATAACTCGGATGGGGTGGTGCATAATGAAAAGGAGGCTACAAGTACCATGCGGTAGAAACTCTGTCCAATGGTGTCCATTTTGTACAAAGAGCAGTTTTTTCCTATTGAGATAAGAATGAATGAATATACATCTAGATGCTCTGAAACGTATCGGCTTACCATCTACCAAAATACCACAAACGATGTTTAATTATATACGAAACAAAGTTATGGATATATGTATCCTCGTCATTTTTTTCGTTCATATTGATCAGCAAGCGTGATATTCTACAAAATAAAAGAGGTTAAGTATTCGTGCGGGAAAACACTACATGCACCAGAAAATACACCAGAAGTTAGACTAATTCTACGGGCGCTACCTCTACTCACTGCTTATGATGCCTTCCAACAAAACTTTTTCCCAACTTGTTTTGTGTTCTTTTTAAGAAGAAAGAGATAAAAAGATACTGTTTTAGCTTTATTTTAATTTTATGTTGTTAGTTCAATCAACCACATGTAATTACGATAAATTCCTATTTACATTCTTTGATCTAATTCATGGAGGATAGAACATATAGCGGGCCATCGCCAGGTCCAGGACAAAGCAATATTAGAGGGATCAAATGTACGTGTCGGAAGGATATTCAAAAGAAAAGATATAGGATCAGCTATTGTTTCAGGCATACTGAGATGGCGATGCGTATTTAGGCAGCTGATGACGTGTCGTCTTGACAGGTTGTTGTTGGGATGGGGGAAAGATTTGGGGGCTACATCCGGCAACCAACCAAGGTGCTAACGTATACATCGGCTTCTTTATTCATGAAAATTACTTTTTTTGTAACTGACATTATCCACTAGCCGGACTGTATGATTATTTGAAATGAGGAAGTGTCTACACCAAAAACAGAAAATAGTATCAATCATCGAAATTTCGACAGTAAGCTCCGACTGTCGAGTTAAAACGAAATGCACCACAGTACCTTCAACAGCAGGATATTGAACAGATCTATCAGGATATAATTATTTAAAGCTGGCCCCTGACTTTGTTCACCTTGGCCTGCTTGAGTCTGCTATGTTAGCAAAAATACTCTCAAGTTGTGCTCTCAGCTTAGTATTCTCTTGCTGCATCTTAAGAGTCCTTTCTTCATATTCTTCCTTTGCAGTTCTCAGATCCCTTAATATTGACCTTTTATTTCAACTGCCTGAGCTGAAACAGACTTTACTACACCTTTAATCATTTTGAGTAGAGTTAAGAGTAAGAGATATTGAGCATTTCTTCATGGTCTTTGTTCATTTGGGACATGATTGGAAAGAGATTAAAAAATACTTTACCAAGTCCACTTTATGATATAAATCTATACATTCATGTATAAGACTGTAACTAAACAAAAGATACTCATTATTGGCTTTATGACAAGTCAGATGACTAAGATGCTACGTTTGTATGGCTAAATAATCCCTGTGCGCACTATATGTAACCTTGACATGCATTATGATTAATAAAAAGCAAACAATTGATTGTTCTTCCCAATAAACATTTTCTCTAGCTTCTATGCATTATATGTTATTACTAGTAAGGACATGTTCTAGAATTCATTTCGCATGTTTCCTATGACACAATGGGTATGTGTCACATCATCGAGATATTCTTGGGAGTCTTTGGAACAAAATATAGGTACATTTTTGCATAATTATGCAGATATTGATAATTTATAGTACAATTTTAAAGGAGCCGTGGCACATGTATATGTGTATAAATCTAATTTTTGATTTGGGGTTATTTTTTGATTTGACCCTGATTGACTTGACCAAGGGACATAGGGTCTATTAGGTTGGAGGGCTTATATGTATATAGGCATATATTCTTTAGTAAAGATCGCACTCGCTGTAGTAAATAAAGATAAACTAGGCTGGTACTATGAAAGTGTCATCATGAGCGGAGAAGATGAGTGTGATTTTAGTAAATCGGGAAAATAAAAAAATCCACATGTGTGTGTGGTGTCTTAAGGGCATTTTTCTCTCCTTCTCTCTCTCTGTCTTTCTTTTCTTTTTTTTTTGTGTCATTTATAGAATGCAAGAAGTCTTTCCTGTCAATTCAGGCAATGTTCCACCACCTTCAGTCTCAACCAATCTACTCTCACACCAACTTGCTTTTAATAACAATAACCACTTTCAAAATAACCTGAAGCGTAAAATAAAAAACGTGAAATCGATACCAAAAGTATAAACAATGAAAAATAAAATCAATAATAAACAAAAACTCATAATAAAAAGTTAAAATTAGATAGAATTCTTGGTCTTACATCCATATCCTCCAATACCCTGGACACAGCAAATGATTTGATCGCATATGCAGCTGGAGCGGTCGCAGTACTATATAATCATAAACGAAATAAGCAGATCGCATTCTTATACCCACCACCTACAAGTACATCATTCAATATCTCAGGAACATCTAATATCAGTCCAGTCAATAATACTAATAATCCAAATAACTCAATTGCCCAACCACTGATGATACCGATTGGTAATATTGCCAGTAATAATGAGCACCCTACCACAAATTTAACTGAAGAAAAGAAGGGGATCACACCTGCGAGTACTCGTGCAAAAACTATCAGCTGCTTAGCATTTTCACCAGATGGAAAGTATTTGGCAGTTGGAGAAGTAAAATATAATGAATGAAATACGACAAGGGGAGGGATGCTAAATGTACAGTATAGATGGGACATCAACCACGTATATTCATTTGGGATGTGAAAGAAAAGACAATCTTTAGAGAATTTAAGGCACACAAGTTTGGTGTCCTCTCATTGTCATTTTCTCCAAACATGAGATATTTAGTATCAGTCGGATTCCAAGTAAGAGAGAACATGTTTAGACATTAACCAGTCATCACTGACATATATACAATGAAGCACGATGGATACCTTTATGTTTGGGATTGGAAAAAGGGAATAAAGTTGGCAGGGAATAAAGTGACGAGTCGAGTGAACGCAATTTCTTTTTCCAAAGATGGATCTTTCTTTGTTACTGCAGGCCTGAGGCATGTCAAATTCTGGTACTTGGATAGTCGAGGCAGAATGCCTAAAAAAGTAATAAACCAAGATGACAAAGGGTATTTTGGTATAGTCTCTCTAATCATGCTTTTTTTGACTTAGGGCGTGGGTCGAGAAATGCAAGTGTTGGATGGAAGATCAGGACTGCTGGGTGTCTTACGAGATGCAAACTTTGTTGATGTCGCTTGTGATCATAGCTCGGGTTACACTTATTTTGTCACGGACTCTGGCATTTTGTGTATCTTTAAGGAGGGAAGAGTGATTGATAAATGGGTTAATCTTCAAGTAACGTGTGACCAAGAAAAAGAAAACGAGGCAAAATGATTCATGTCTTTTTTTTTTATTAGGTCAAGAGTGCCTTTTCGATTGCTGTATCTTCCATCTATGTCATCTGTACTTGCTCAGAAGGAATTATAAGGTACAAAAGGTACAAGTCATCACATATATTGACCTTCTTTTTCTAGACTATTTGAGCCCGTGACACTAAAATACTTGGGTATTTTACCCAAGCCACACCCCTTAGGTGTTGACATTAGTGCCATCACCTCTCCTGACATGATAAGATCCACGGACGATACCAATGTGTATCCTGATGCGGTAGCTATTGTCTATGATGATGCAGCACAAAGAATCACAACAGTCTATTCGGATCGTAGTCTGTATATATGGGATATTCATGATTTACAAAAGATTGGGAAATATCGTAGCTTTATCTTTCACAGTGATTGTGTTTGGGGAGTTGAGGTAAAGAGAAGTACTTGATTGACATGTGCTTTTATTTATTTGTTTACTTGCTTTAGCCGTGCCCCACTATAGAATCTGAAGGCTCAATTATACCCGCTAATTCATTTGCTACATTCTCGGGTGATGGCACCATCCGAATTTGGAACCTTGATCATCCTGTGCATCCTTCATCTTCATCACCGCTTACACCACCTCAACTATCTCCGCCCTTGATGACACCTAGCAGTAGCACTATGGTCAGTGCTCAACGACGAAACATATATTCCCGCGAACTTGTCAAAATGCTCTATGTAGATCCTGATGCAGCCGAGTTTATGAAACAATCTAAACATTCAGGCAAGTCGTCATATAAGAAAAAAAATAAAAGAGGAGCATAACATTATCAATGTAGATTATGCAGAAGATCAATATCCTGATTTTGGTATTCGTTCACTCAAAATGAGTAGCGATGGAAAGTGGATGGCCAGTGGTGATCGAAGTGGTAACCTTCGCTTACACTGCATGAAAACATGGGATTTGCTTGGTTACCAGGAAGCTCATGACTCGGAAATTCTTTCAATTGATCTGACGACAGGACAAGATGATACTCCTCGTCTAGTAGCTACTGCCAGTCGAGATCGTCTGCTTCACATCTTTGATTTGCGATCCAACTGCCAATTAGTTCAGAGTCTAGATGATCATTCGTCTTCAATTACCGCTGTCAAGTTTTCCAAGGATTCCAGCAAGTTAATCAGCTGCAGCGCAGACAAGGGTATTATCTTTCGCCAGCGACAACACCCAGTCACGCCCTTTCATGATACATCTACACCTCGTCCTTACATAACCTACCATAATCACTCAGGCCGAGGTACTGTCTTTGATATGGCTCTGGATGTGACCGGTCGATATATCGCTACAGTGACAGGTGAAAGGAAGTTGTACGTATTTAGTGTCGATTCTGGCAAACCCTTCCGTGTGTGCAAACCTGAAATGTCAGATGAGGTCGGTAAAGATAACTCGGGTGGTAGCTTGATCAACATAGACTTGGATCCGTTCTCAGGTACCTATGCGGTAACCAGTGGATCTGACAAGTACGTACGTCTGTTTGACTTGACCAACAGCACCTGTATCGAAAAAGTCGGCGCTCATGCAGAACTCATCACATCTGTCAAATTTCTGAGAACGAATACCGAAGAAAATGGATTGAGAGTTATTAGTACCTGTTCTGATGGCACAGTGTTTGTTTGGAAAGTAAGTCCAGAAGTGGTGGCCAAGATGTGTGCACGTGGTGGTATACGGTTAAAGACAGAAGAGAAGCAAGTCATGTTTAACTTGCCCAAACAACCAGCCATTGCTGGACAACAACAGCAACAACAGCAGCAGAGACTACGACGCGTATCCACAGCTACGGCAATACGGCCAACAGCAAGCATCTCACAAATGATCCGACAGAATGAACGAAAGACGTTTTCTACCATGTCCACAGCCGAACACAAGTATGACGAAATGTATAAACGAATTGAAGCTAGTCGACGTAATCGTAACAATAACAACGACGAGCCAATCGAAGAAAAGATAGCACCTAACAAAAAGACATTGGCAGATAAGGTGAATAAGCCTCCTCTTGAAAAGAGTGGGCGCTTAGAAAGACTACTGAATGGATATCCTACAGCACAAAAGCGCTTGACCACACGTCCTCAGGCGCCTGTTAATAATAAGTTAGTGCTCAATATGGCCAACGCGCGCCGCTCTCAGCCAGGAAGAAATAATGCTATTCTGGAAAGAGAAATGTCCCCTCCTCAGATGATGCGCAAGACTTCACCTGTGCTCATGAAGCGGAAGAGTCAGCCTGCTCTCAGTGCTGAGACGAATACAGCTACCAATGGACAAAGAAGAGCAAGTGATAGTATGTCACCTCCACGTCACAAAGCTGCGTCGCCAGTAGACAATCGAGTTGAAGGTAAAGTTGTGGATGATATGCTTAAAATGAACAAACAACTCATCTTTGCATTTTTTTTAAAAAAAAAGACGAAGAAGAAATATATGATGATGCTGTTGAAGAGTTCCATGAAGAAGAAGAAGAGGACGATGACGATGAAGCTGAAGAAGAGGAAGAGATTATATTTACACCCGAACAAGAAAAAACAAGTGGACCCTTTGAAGTTTCTACTCATCTTGATACCCCACCACTTGTTCATACCGACGAAGAAGAAGACGATGGCCAGAGCACTCCATCTCATGAAGACGAAGAAGAAAACAGTGAAAGCAGTGTAGACGATGACGCTATTCTTCGAGACATCGCATCGATTGAGCCACCACGTGTATCCGCATCCGTTAGTCGTTCGAAGGTACGACGCTGTTTACAAGATGAAAATAATGACGAACGTATTTGTAGCACGAAAAAGAGCATCAAACGACAAAGCATCACAGCCAAATTTTTATCATCATTGACAAACAACGGACCTGATCATACCAATCAAAGACCGTCTATTCACCACGTTCTGGATACCTTTAAAGAACATGAAAAGACTTTGCAAAAGGAGCAGGATCCAAAAATAGAAAGCGCACTAGCAGACTTGGATGGAATTGAGATTTTATTAGATAGCGTTTTAGATACATTAGTGAATACAATCAAAACTTCTGACAATGAAAAATCAATTGAAACTATAGAAACCAAGTTGATTCAAATTGCTGACAAGGTTCAGAGCAAAGTACCCAAGAAAAAAGACGTGGAACAAGAAACAGATACAGAGACAGCAAAGTTATTGGAAAGATACTCTAATTTATTATTAAACATGGTTGAAAGCAAATTGAAAAAATCCATCAATTAATCTGTAAATAAAAACTATATAATCCAGAAATTTCGGAATGATCAACATTGTTACACCATTTTTTGCTTTAGCTTTGTATCACCATGGCAACAGCCATGACATTATGCAGAGTGTTTCTCAGATAACAATCCTTGCTTGTCGTCAGGATGCTTAATATCTGAAGTAGATGTAGGAAGTATGTTGATGGCTGTCTTTTGCTTTTGAGATAACTCCTCGTATCTAAATTTATATTAATCACATGCCAAAAATAAAGATAAGATACTTTACCCGTACCAGGCACCACCCAAGAGAGTAAGGATGATGCCAAACGCATTAATGGCGTTGATAACGTAGTCAAAGATAACAACAGCCAGGATGATAGACAAGACCTGCTTGACATTACCAGCCACTGTCATGGTGAGGGCACTTGTCTTTTTATTAGCAGTAAAGCTGACAACATTGAGCCCAAATGCGATAACGCCGTTAAATAGCAAAGCGAGCGCAAGGCTCCATGTCATTGAGGCTTCGGAGAACTGCTTGACTTGATCTAATTCGCCTGTGACATAAGCATACATGATACATTGGATAAAGGCGAGCGGAGACATGCGGAAGAGTAAGTCAAGTGGGTTGAGCTTCAAGCGACCAACTTGAACACGATTGGTGACAATGGTCTTGACGGAAGCCAATATGGTGCCGAGAACAGTCAAGACGAATCCGATGAAGCTATAGTCATATTCGGCAAAGGTAGCAAATCCGACTCCGCAAACGACCTAATGGATATTAGAAACTTTGTTATACATATTATGTATATTTTACGTACAGGTAATAGCGACAGGTAAATCATTTTGGGGTATGACTTTTGTAAGAATAAGATCGATAACAGAATGGTAAATACTGGTGTCATTGCACGTACAACTTGATGAAACTAATCATGATTACGTCAAATCATCAGCTCAACAAAATTAAAATGTCATTTACTTACGGGAACCGATACTAAATTTCTAAAAATATGGATAAGTATATTTTAATAACCAAAGGAGGGAAACTTACAGAGAGACGTTACTGATGGCAATGTTGATGGTATAGAGTACAGAAAATAAAATCATGACAATATTTTCACGATCTCCTAGCTTTGCAGGAGTAAAGATGTTGAAGGAATAAAGTATGTAACAGCCAATGGTTCCACATAGTGTATGAATAGCGGTTAATGTCCAAGGATACCGAAAGTTGATGAGTAATAGTTTGTTATAGAGTGTTAAAGATAGATTGAATAGAAAGTAAAGGCCAAGCCAGATATAACCAGAATCCATGGAGAGTGTAAAGGGAAAAAAAAGAAAACAAAAAAAAGAAGAGGTCTTTTATTTCATCGCACCCCCTTTTTTTAATTTCTTGTCTCAATATGGAAAGTAAAATAAAATAAATTCAGCCCTATTCCAGGCCAATAACACCATCTCTCGCGTGGCAAAATAAAGTCAAAAAGGGAAGTAATAAAGATGTCTTCTTGGTGTAGATCTCCATTGCTTTATTCTATTATCAACTGTTCTCATTGAAAGGCCAAGAAGACGATGATTTACCTGAAAAGTAAATTTTACTCGGGTTTTTTATTATTATTTTTATATAAACGTTACTCTAACTCTTTCTTTCCTCTCTTCTTTTTCTCATTCATTCTTTTTCATTTTATGCTGTTTATGAAAGAATAGTTGAAGTAGAAAAAAAGAGCAGTTTTTTTTTCTTCTTTGTTACCAGTTCAATGCCAAATAAACTATTTCCAAATAAAATCAAAACATGGTGGCAACAACGATTTAATAATAAACAAGATACTTTGGATTGGAGATCACTTTCTCCTGATCATCCCCCACTTCCATTCCTTTCACCTGAAACACTACCATCAACCATTATTGATTCATCTATTTTACAGATGGAGTCTTCACCTATACAACATCATTCAAGTATAATGATAGCTACGAATAGCAGTCATAAGGTTAGTTACCCCCCTCTCCAATTATTATTCTTTGTTTTCTCCTTATTTGTTGTCTCTCTGTATACATATATATGCGCGCGCGCGTTCAGCACACATATCGTTCATGTCATACATTGACCGGAAAAAACGAACCGAGAATTTATACTCATACGATATTTATTGTTAAACATAGGTAAGAAAGGACCAACCGATCACAACGCCCTTATTTCCAATTTTGGAGGAAAGTGAAACCATGGTGACAGAGGAATCTTGTTCCAACGTCAACCAAAATACAACCATCATTCAGAGATCACCAGAAACATCGAGTACTTGCTCAACCCCTTCGTTTCATCCTCCTACTTCACTTTCCATTTTAGACTGTGTCGGTGATGAAGACAAGTGTAAGCAACTGTTTGCTAGAATGATTGTCGAAATGAGACAAGATCATGCTAAGCCCAGTCATCTGTCCCTTTCATTCGATGTGAATGGTAATATTCACACCCTACACATGTTGATTCAAGGTCAAGTAAACCATCAGAAATTTGACGGGTAATAATAACAGAGAAAAAGAGAAAAAAAGACGATTTTAACTTTTTATTTGTGTACATCAGTGTCTCACAATGTCTACCTCCTGAAGTCATGAATAATCACTACCACAGTGAAAAGGCAGCTGTTTGGATGCTTGGAATTCACTTGTACAAGCTATTGACGGGCAAGTATCCATTCTACGCTTCAAATGATCGGCAATTGTTCAAAAAGATGCTTCACACCAATTTTTCTATACCAAACGAATTATCTGAAGGTAACACATCATGTCAATTTGTGTGTATTACATATTGACATCTATTCTAGATGCTAAAGATATCCTAAGACGAATGCTGGCACCGGATCTAAGGAATCGCGCATCTCTAGATCTAATCATTTATCATCCCTGGCTTAAACCCTACATGCACGTCCTTCTGCCAGATCACAGCCATCCACCAAGACAACAACCCGTTTTTACACCCCAAGGGAAAAAGAGGAGTAGGTTTAAGCCACTGAGGCAAGTTCTCCTGTTGTTCTTACATGGCCCGTTTCCACCGCCAAAGAAACCCTACAGGGATCTATCTCATTTGGGAACCCGCGATTCTGTTTTTGCTAGACAAAGACAGATGTAATCTTTTGAAGTGTGCATTTGTATTATATGTAGATTTATAGACCGTGTTATTAAAATGATTTTTTATTATTGATCAAGAACAACGCGATGAGGAGATCTGTCTATCGTACTCGATCGGATGGGAGGTGGAGGAGGTGGGGGTCGTATAGCAGTTGAACGATTTCTTGCTACACTAGGTGGGGGTGGAGGCATAGATGCATGTTTGATGATTTCTGGTGAGGAATTAGTCTGTGTTACTGGTGTAGGAAATGAATTAGATGCTTGATGAAGACTTGGTAAACGAGTAAGTGATGAACTGTGTTGATGGTGTGTGTTGTTATGAGTAGATGATGTGGATGTAACAGGTGGTGGAGGTGGCGGTCTTTTAGCATTTGAGCTTCGTCTAGATTGTAGAGAAGGAGGAGGTAAGGATTCATTGCTGCTATTACTGTGATGAGTAGAGACTGAACTTGGGATCACATCATATTCTTCTGTATAGTTGACAGGAAAGATGCCTCTCTTACCATGAGCTTCACCAACCCACCAACCTTTATCGATCTCATCAATCACTGTAATTAAATCTCCTGCTTTAAATGATATTTCATCGTCATTTTGACCATTAAAATCAAATGAAGCTTTTCTATACTTTTCAGATTTAGGGATTGCATCTAAAAAAAGATTAGTTCAAATTGAAATAAATCCTTTTTTTATACACAACTTACTTTGTGTCATAGGACTATTATCTCTCACCATCATGACTTTACCCATGACCTCTCTTGGATCAGAAGCTGAACCTTGTCCCCAATTATGCTTGATATGCTCTAATAGTTCTTTGGCTTGATTATGAAAATTACACTGTGCTTCTATAAGATTGAACAGTGCATCTCTATGTTCATTCTATTTAAGTGTTATATAAACAATAAATGACCTCGTGCATTACTCTATATTACCTCAAATTCTTGAAGATAGGCCATTTTTTGTATAATGTCATGTTCTGTTTCTTCATATTTCATTCTAGCTGCTTGCATTTCTTGTTCTAATTCTGGTTTCTCTTTCTTTGCTTTATGTAATCTATTCAGCTTGGAATCATAGTCGAGTCTTTTCAATTCTAGCTTTCTTCTAAGCGCATCATAATCTTTATATTCGTGTAATCCACTTTCTATTACTGACATATACCCAGTTTTTAGTTCATTTGCCAATGCTTCTTGAAGGGCCGCTATACGTGTTTCGGTTTGTCCCAGGTGGATCAAAGCAATGCCTAAGTTAATAAAGATTAGCCCATTTTAGATTAATATAAATTTTAAATTACCTAGAGCAGAGTCTTCAGGAAATACAGTACCATAGTGATATAAGCATGTACCAAGTACTTCAAAGGGCATCATTTTACTCTTATTATCTTCCGGTGATGGTTTTCTCTTTAAGAGATATTTGTAGAGTATTTCACATGCTGCCACAATGTACTCGTATCCTTCTCTTCTATTCTCTGTTTCCTGTTGAAGTCGTTGAAAGTCTTCTGTCTGTAAGGTCACTTTGGCACCTCCAAACTTTTCTCCTGTCCACTTTATATTAATTTTATTTGAGTTCCAGACGATAAAATAAGCTCTATTTAGTAAGTCGAACTTACCTGCTTAAATCTACCAAGATTCTTTATCATTTTACAGCTTTATATCTAAAGTTGTTGTTATTAGGGATAGGAAAAAAAAGGAAAAAGAAAATAAAAACAAAAAGCTTTCGGAAAGTTGTCAAAATAAAAAAACCATTTTTTTACGTCATTAGTAAGTCACGTGGACAGAGGTTATTTTTTAACTCTGCACTTTTTCTCTTTTTCGCCTGTTTTTATCTGTTTCATATTCAAAAAATGGCACCCAGCACACTCTTCCGCTCGGAAGAGATGTCCTTAATTCAACTTTATATTCCTGCTGAAGTTGCTCAACCCTGTGTTGCAGAGTTAGGCGAACTTGGCAAGGTTCAATTCCGAGATGTAAATAATTACATGTCATATATTACAAGTTTTCCCTTAACCTTGTTTCATGTAGCTTAATCCTGATGTCAATGCCTTTCAACGTTCTTTTGTGTCTGAAATAAGAAGACTTGATGAAATGGAACGTCAATGTCGTATGTTATAACCCTGTTTGTCTTTGTTTTTCTCGCGCATTTTCTAACCATTCAAAAAGGATTCTTTCAAACACAACTTCAAAAGTCAGACATCTATATCCGTCCACTAACGCCTGCTGCTTATCGTTCTCGTGCTCGTTCAGCTCAAGAAATCGATGACCTTGAGGAAACACTGAAAGAGTACGAAAGCCGTATCACTCAAATGAATTCCTCATATGAGTCTCTTCAGCGCCGGTACCTGCAGCTGACTGAACTCAGACACGTCTTGAGAGAATCCGCTGGTTTCTTTGCAAACGTAAGGGGAGACTATAAAATTGAAGTTGGGACATTATGACTTACTGTTAAACCGTAGGCTGAGTCTAGACAAGACAACCGACGTGCCTCCTTGGACGATGACTCTGCTCCTCTCTTGGAAAACGATGTTCAGAACGACATGGACCGTCTTAACCTGGGTTATGTCACAGGTGTCATCTCTCGTTCTCGTATGCAAACATTTGAACGTGTTCTCTGGCGCTCACTTCGTGGTAACCTGTACATGAACTCTGCCGAGATTGATGAACCTATTGTCGATCCAGACACCGACAGTGTGGTTGACAAGAACGTCTTTGCCATCTTTGCTCACGGTACCGAGATTATTGCTAAAATCAAGAAAATTTCCGAAAGCTTAGGTGCTACGTTATACTCCATCGATGACTCTGCTGACAAGCGTCGTGATGCTCTTCTTGAGGTCACTAACCGCATTGAGGATCTCAACAACGTGTTATCCACTACCAACCAAACACGTCGTTCAGAATTACTCAAGGTTGCTGAAAATATTACCCCTTGGACTACAATCGTCCGTAAAGAAAAGGCCATATACCACACTATGAACTTGTTTAATTATGACGTGAACCGTAAGTGTCTTATTGCTGAAGGATGGTGTCCTAAGAACGATATTCCTTTGGTTCAACAGGCCTTGAAGGACGCTACGGTAAGTAGAGTAAATGTGTTTTGAATGAATCTAACTATCATGTGTGATATTAGAGCGCCTCTGGCACCAACTTGCCTTCTATCCTAACCGAGCTTGAGACCAAAAAGACACCACCTACTTATCACCGCACCAATAAGTTTACAGAAGGATTTCAGGGCATTATTGATGCATACGGTATTGCTCGTTATCGTGAAGTCAATCCTGGTCTATTTACCATTGTCTCCTTTCCTTTCTTATTTGCCGTCATGTTTGGTGATATCGGTCACGGTTTCCTCATGGTTTTGGCTGCTGCTTATCTCTGCATCAATGAAAAGAAACTTTCTCAAATCAGAGATGAAGTAAGGAAAAAGCGATAAACAAAATAGAGCAGTTGACTCATCTCTTTAGATCTTTCAAATGATGTTTGGTGGTCGTTACATGATGCTCTTGATGGGTCTCTTCTCCATCTTCACTGGTGCTATTTATAACGATATCTTTTCCTTGTCCTTGAATCTCTTTAAGAGCGGATTTGATTTACCATCCAACTACACTTCTCATGAATCCGTTGAGTCTATTCCCAACGGCCATGTTTATCCATTTGGCTTAGATCCCGTAAGATGAGATATAAGAATATGTATAAATTACTTATATATCTGTGTTATAGGCCTGGCATGGTTCTGAAAACGCTTTACTTTTCACCAACTCATACAAGATGAAGCAGGCCATCATTATCGGTGTCATACACGTAACTATTATTATATTTTTATCATACATGTAACTCACTTCTTATAGATGACACTTGCTGTCTGCTTGAACGTCTTTAACCATATCTACTATAAGCGCAAAGCATTCGTCTGGCTTGAGTTCGTACCACAGATCCTCTTTATGCAATCTATCTTTGGATACCTTATCTTTTGTATCATGTACAAGTGGAGCGTCAACTGGTGGGAGCTGGACAGTGAAGGCCACCATATCCATAACAAACCACCCAATTTGTTAAACATGCTCATCTACATGTTCCTCACACCCGGTTCAGTGAAGCCTGAAGAACAGCTCTATCCTGGTCAAGGACCTATCCAGGCCGTGTTGCTGTTGATTGCTGTTGTTTGTGTGCCTTGGATGTGGTTTGGTAAGCCACTTTACTTGAAGAGAGAAGCTAGTCAACACCACTATGCCTCTGTGGCTGTTGATGACCACGTGGATGAAGAACAAGCTCAACACGCAGTTGTGCACGACGGAGTTGATGATGACGAAGAAGAGGAAGAGTTTGATTTCGGTGAAGTAATGATTCACCAGACGATTCATACGATCGAATTCTGTTTGAACTGCATTTCCAACACAGCATCTTATCTTCGTCTTTGGGCCTTGTCTCTTGCTCATGCTCGTAAGTTATATGCTTTATGTTGAAAACTTTGTCTTATTTTTATATGTGTATATAGAATTATCAAGCGTATTGTGGGACATGACATTAAAGATTTGGTTCAACATGACAGGTGCCATTGCCGTCATTGGTCTTGTGATCGGATTCGCACTTTGGTTCGGGCTGACAATTGCTATTCTGTTATGTATGGAAGGTTTATCTGCCTTCTTACACGCTCTTCGTCTGATGTGGGTAGAATTTGATGGTAAATTCTATAATGCTGATGGTATTGCCTTCCAACCCTTTACATTTGCTACCGTCTTGGAACCTGTTTCGGAATAAATAAAACTTGTTGTGTGTATCACATTGTTAGTTTTTAAAAAAAGAGAGAATTGTGTTTTTCCTTTTTTCTCTCCCTTTATGAATACACCTTTACTAAAACGTAATCGAACAACAAGTTCACAAGGCTCAGTAAGAGAAGAAGAGCAGTATGGCACATATTACAGATATCCTAGTTCATTACAACCTGGCCATTTCACCTCATTAGAAAAACTATTTTTCTTTATCAGTTCCGTTCTTTTATTTTTACTATTTATCTTTGTTGGCCTTTATGCAAGAAGTAGTACTGGACATGACTCACCAGTGATCATTTCACCGCCTAAACATTCCAACCAGACAAAACAGGTAACTACAAGAAAAGAAGGCAAAAAAAAAAATGATCATGTATATGTAAACTGAGAGAGATATAGATTGTCTGTTTAGAACCCGACTGTATCAAAACAGCAGCCAGCATCTTGGAGGTTGTTTTTTATACAAATAAAACATGAGAAAAAAAAAAACGACTGACGCCTTGTTTTGGCTTAGGACGTTGATACAGCATTAGATCCATGTCAAGATTTCTATGCCTACACATGTAATAAATGGATAGATCGCCACATCATACCTGCAACACAACCCATGATCAGTATTGAAACGATCACAGCGCAATCAATCCGCTATCGACTTTCCCAAATCTTGACAAACAAGAAGGAAATAAAGACAAGCGACTTACCTGACCCAGAGTCAATTCTGGATGATCAGCTGTTGAACAAGCTACGCGACATGTACAAGAGCTGTGTAAATCATAAAGAAGGACAGATCGAGGCACTTTACCCGCTCTTCCGTGCTATTCGACAGTGGGTCCCTCTTTCGGGACAAACGGACGAAGGACTGAAGGCAGCTTTGACCTATTTGACCGAGCGAGGCATATGGACTCTGTTTGAAATGAAGGTAGGACCTGATGTAAGAACCAAGAAGCCCGCACTACATCTGTTGCCACCACCTGTGAATGAGTACAGTGAGAAATATTTACAGACCGTAGTCGATATCTTGGAGCTCGTCTTTCGTCAGGACCGTGAATTTGGATGGAGGTCATGGAGTCCTGTGGCAACAGCACGTCGTATTATCGAATTTGAACAGCAGTGGATCGTGCCTGACGACAAAAAGGAGCAATGGACGTGGCAGGCCATACAGAACGAGGTGCCCTTTGTGGAGTGGAGATCCTTGGGTCGTCAGATTGTTGCTCAGCCTTCTCTTGTTAATGCGATAAAAGAGAATGTCCGAGGGACAAACGGAAGAACCCTACAGATGTACTTGATCTGGCGTATCCTCTGGACGTTCCTGGATACGGTCGGATACCCCTATGCAGAGCCTAAGCGCAGATTTGAGGCAGAAGCACTTGGTATTCGAGCCATACCTGAGCGATGGGAGTCATGTTTGACCACATTAGAGGACAGTAGTATGGGTCTTTTGCTCGGTCGATATTATATGCTCGACAGAAGGGAACTACCCATCGAACCTGTGCAGAATTTGATCAAGTCCATTGTCCGCAAAGTAGAAGATCGGCTACAATCGGAAGAAGCCGTCCGAAAATTAAAAAGCTTGCAGTTCGAGATAGGTTACCCTTCTATGATTCGATCGGTGATCCCACTTTCAGAATCCTTTGGTGATATGGCAATAGATGACCAAGATTTCCTTCAAAACATGATGAACGATGGAATGCACCGTGTGAAAGAGATGGAAAGACAAGTTCAACTGGATGAGCTCATATCCGTGTTTCTTCCCACAAGGACAAGCATAGATTACCGCTCAGATTATCATCAGGTGATCATTCCGGCAGGTGTCTTACAATTTCCTTTTAATGGACAACACAGTCCCGACTACGTATCGCAGAGTACGCTCGGGTGGATGATTGGTCAGGCAATGATGGTAAGTACTCACTTGACCTCACGTGGGGCTACAGTGTACGACAAATAATGTATTTATTGTAGCATGCATTGAGCGATAAAAACACGAGTAGTAGTGAAGCTGAATCGTGTTTGAAGACACAATATGAGTCCTTTGGATTGGATGGTGAAGAAACATTAAAAAGTAATATGGCAGATAATAAAGCATTCATTATGGATGACATCGTATCTAATGTGACCTTGCCTGGACTCGATCGGTGGACTAGGGAACAATTGTTTTACATTCAATTTGCTCGAATGAGATGTAGTAAGAGTACAAAGGAATATGATGTAAGAAAAAAAAAAGAAAATAACCATATACTAATTCTTTTTTATAGGCCTTTCAAAGAGATCAATCACCCGATAGATACCGAGTGAATGTACCATTGATGAACTCGCATCATTTTTCAAAAGCATTTCAGTGTAGATTAGGATCATTTATGAACCCTGAACACAAGTGTCAAGTTTGGTAATAAAAATTTTTTCCTTTTTTCTTCTTTTCCTTTTTTTTTTTTTTATTTTCTTTCCCTATTTATTTATATAAAAATGAAGTTTGCTAAACAATTAGAAACAGAAGCAGAAGATATACCACAAGCATGGAGACCTTATCTGATCCAATATAAGGCACTAAAGAAAATTATATCCAAAGTCACTCAAGAAATCGAAAGTCGAGGGTTATCTGCTTCCTTATTACATGAATGTCTTGATGATGAAAACAAGGATAATAAACTACCTGCTATTCGATATTATTTTACAGGTAATATAGAAAAACTACTAAAAAATGGAGCTAATACATTCCAACAGGCGAACCACCTCATATCAAGCCTAATATCGAAGTTATCTATGATCCAACTGAACCCAAAGTACAAGAGATACTCAGCCGATTGACCTCGACAGATGCTCAAACACCCAAGCTAGAATATAAACGAAGTCAAAACAATAAGGATTTCTTCACAATGCATAGTGAGACAGAGATGGTCGTTCAATCACAAAATATGGTCGATTTAGTCAAGGAACTGTTGAATGTCATGACAATAGATAACAGCGACGAGTCTGATGAAATATGCGCCAATCAAAAGAGAGAAACAAAGTCATTCGTGATTGAACTCGAACAGGACGATGAGTTTTTTAAATTGCTACTAAAGGAACTAAATGAGGCAAGTAAACTTCAAGATGAAACAACAGAGAAATTCAAACAGGATATTTCAGCATTAGAGTCAAGGATGAGCAAAGTGGTAAGAGATGAGCGTACGATAGGAAACAAGTGCTAAGATATAGGATAGGCGTCACCAGGGCAAAAGAGGACAGACATGTATAATTGGCGAAAGATATTCTCGATTTATATGGACGCATGTATATTTCAAACGAGTAATACAACGATAGAAAAGAGTAAAAAGCAACTACAGTGGTTTTTGAGTGAATTAGACAAGACAGATCAGTTGAGGAAATTGAAAAATAAAGAATCTAAATTAGCCTTTGAACAGTTTATGGCATTAAATACGGAATTAATAACAATGAAGCATTATCAAATGCTAAATCAGACAGCAATGAGGAAGATATTAAAGAAGCATGATAAACAGAGTGGATTGACCGCAAGTAGTGCCTTTCATCAAGTGATCCCTACCGAGCATCTGTTTAGTCCAAAGTTAGCGAGGATGTTGTATGCGACAATTACTGAAAAATTGACGAGCGTTGTACCACAACCAGAGGATTATGGTAAATAACAAAGTACACGATACCATGATGGGTCATTTATCCCTCCTTTTGTTTGTTAGCCTGTCCTGTGTGTATGTGTGTTGCCTGGAGACCGATTCGACTGGAATGTAATCATGTGTTCTGTGTGAGGTGTTTGGTTAAAGCACAAAAACAAAAGATGGATAGTTGTCCCATGTGTCGTCATCCAACAGCAGTTCGAGATGCAACAGCGCTTAATTTGGATGAAAGTCTTCAAAACTTTCTAAAGCTTTATTTTCCTCAAGAGATCAAGGATAAAAAGAGAGATAATGAAAGGGAACAAGCGATTGAAGATGTACAAGCGATGACCGGTAAACGATATTCCGAAGAACAGTTATTAAGGATGAGCCAATCATCCAATTGTTGTATTATGTAATAAATTATGGACAATAAGGTGGAGGAGGTAATAAAGGAGATGATGAGGATGAGCGTTGATGTGATTTGGGTATCTGTAATTGTTGAATTAGCCGTAGCTGTAATTGATGTTGTTGCATGATGGGACTGTTATGAGTAGGAGAGGGTCTATCGATCGTTTCAAAGTCATTCGCGAATTGATCAGAAGTACGCTTCTCTTTTATTTCTTGTTCATTGTCTGTCTGTTTCCTTCTCTTTCTTTTACAAATAAAGAATATACTTAATCCAACCACTAATGCGCCTACTATTCCCAAGATAGCTGCTATGATGTGAACTGTATTGAATGTTGAATTATCTGAATGAGGTGTGAAATACGAAATGTTCCTTTTAAGACTATTGTTTTTATTGTTTATTTAACCATCTCTTTATAAACACACATTCTTTTCTTTCTTACTTTTTCATTCTTTTTTTTTCTTTAAAAAGGAGGGCATAGGAAGACCAAGTTTAAAAAAAGAAAGAGAGAAAAGAAAGAGAGAAAGCAAATATATTCGGAATCTTAAAAAAAGAGACAGAAGATGAGGAAGAAACGAAACTACAGAAAATCTTTTCTGTGTACATCATTTTCTTACTTTTCTATTTCATATTTATTCTTTGGATTCAGGTATCACAAAGACTATAGACAAGGGGAGGAGATTTTTGAGAGGGATTTATTTTTAGATGTCTTTATTTATTTCGTCCAAAGATAAAACACCTATTGAAATATTAGTTGACTACAATGGACCCAAATTAGATCAAGCACCAGGGATCATCATTGCTCATCCTTATGGTCCATTAGGTGGAAACATGAACAATAATGTCGTAATGGCATTAAAAGAGTACTTTTTAAATCAAGGCTACATCACCATCTGTTTAAACTTTAGAGGCTGTGGTCACTCAAAAGGAAAGACCAGTTGGACAGGAATGCCTGAAAGAGATGACTATATATCAGTCATTGATGCCATACTTGATGATCAAATTCAAAAGGAACTTCCAAAAGTAAACCGTTTGATCCTTTGCGTAAGATGACCAAGAGAAAGAATGAAAAAAACAAAACTTAAACAGAAGTAATATATATATATATAGGGATACTCATTTGGTGCCATGATTGCTAATTCTATTGAATGCACTCGTGTTCCTTGTTCTTACTTACTCATTAGTCTCTGTCTAGGCGTCACTTGGGCCTTAGCCATCACTAAATCCTCATTCTTTAAGCAGCATGCACCTGACCAATATAAGGTCTTGTGCATATATGGCAGCCGTGATCAGTTCACAGGATCCCATCGATATGAGTCATGGTGTGAAAAGTATTCAAATACCACTTGTATCAAGGTACCTGATGCTGACCATTTCTGGTTTGGCTATGAGCAAGTTTTGATTGATCATGTGCACAGTTGGCATTCTAAATTAGATATTCAAAACTGACATCATTTTACACGCATTACAGAACAACTGCATTGTTACGCAACTATTTATTAAATTTATTTTTTTCAATAATGTAATATAATGCAACAAAGGGGAGAGAGAGAGAAAGAAAGATGGTTGACTGTACCTTGGTTACTGGTGGCCATTAATTGGGTGCTGAGTTATTATTATTTTTTCGCACGCCTCAAGCAGTCCTTCTTCCCACCCTTCATTGACACTGACCAAGTAATAAGAAAGCCCATTCTTCAATATGACAACATTACATCGCTTGGTTGCATATTATGATATATAGAGTTAATCATTTATAAAAGAGGCAGAGAGAAAAAATAAAATAAAAGGCAGACAAAGAGAGAGACGTGATTGATCTCTTTCTTTCTTACAGTTATATTTTGAGGTCCAGTCTTTTTCTTTTTCTTTTTCTCTTATTCTTCCATTCTTTTCCCTACTTTGTATCATTATGGCACCCATAAGTTATATAACAAGAACACAATCATTCTCGGCAGCTCATAGATTGCACTCTAAGCAACTATCTAATGAGGAAAACCAGCTACTGTATGGAAAGTGTAATCACCATAATTTCCATGGTCATAACTATAAAGGTATTAAAGCAAAAATGTTCTCTCTTTTACTCTCTTATAACTGAATTTTATAGTCGAAATCACCCTAAGAGGAGAAGTTAATCCAATAACAGGCATGGTAATGAATTTAGTTGATCTAAAAGAATGTATCAAGCTGGCTATTATGGACCCACTCGACCATAAGAATTTGGTAAAGTGAATGCACACACATGACTTAAAAGAGAAATTAATATTGCTGTAGGATTTGGATGTCGAATTCTTTCATAAAAGACCTAGTACAGCCGAAAACCTGGCGATATTCATTTGGTGGAATTTTCAGTATCATTTTCTAAAAAATGATGCATGGAGATCAAGTTCAGCCAAATTATACAAGGTGAAGTTGTATGAAACAGAGCATAATGTCATAGAATATATGGGAGAAGGAGATTTAGACGGCGAGGCGCAGCTAGATGTCACTGCCATAAAGCTAAGTGGAATTGGCATTAACAGTGAAGACCCTTGGTCTTTGAAAATATAAAGAAAGAGCAACTATATATTTGTAAATAGAATAAAGATATACATATCCCTTTGCCTGATAGATGCAAGGGTTATTTTAATAGACAACATGATCAAATCTTCTGTCTTATACACAATAGAAGTTTGCTTCTATGCCTGTTATTAAAGACCGTCTTATTAAAAAAAAAACGTTTATTAATCAATTTACAAAAATATTGACACACTTCAGAAAACAGAACTACACAGAGTTATTATGGACATGGACTATATGAGCAATTGTGCTTTCATAGATGAAGCTGCTTTCCATACCAATCTTACGCGATCCATGGTGTGGTCAAGAAAAAGGGGTTAGAACTGAAGTAATTGTACCTGAAACTAGAGAAAGTGCCGTATTTATATCCACTATTTAAATAGTAATTGCTTCTCTGCCGTATTACTTAAGAAAATATAGTTACCCTCTTTACACTTTATAGTTCATCTCAACTACGCATATAACAAATATAATATTCTAAATTCTAAATGTTTTAATCAGTCAAATGCCTTCAGATCCAAAAGTGCTTCAGTATCTCAGTACTGGTTCTTTTTAGACATCGAGTTGACATATGATAATGTAGATCCATCGCTACATATGAAAGACTTTAGAGCAAACAGCATCTACCACACCTACTTACCTACTGCAAAGGTTCCTCCAATGGCTCCCTTACTTCTTCCTCTCATTAGTGTATCTTACACTTGATCCAATATCGCCCTTCGTACAACTTTTTTTTTATACCCTTGATTCTATATGGACATTTTTTAGTTATCAGTCTCCCTTTTTGACCTGCCTCGGGTGGAAAAGATAGATTATTACTGTCATGCGCCCAATTGAGGTTTTAATTCCCTTTTTTAAACAGGTGTTTTGAATAAATAGTAGCAAATTTAAAAAACCGCACAAAATGACAAACATTCATATTGTTGCTATAGAAACGAATCTTCTGGTCGAAACGCGTCAGTTGAACAATAGTGCAATCAGGGGTTCAATGAAAGGTAACACCAATAGAGCTAAAGTCCGAAGGTTATTTATATATTTTTTATTGCCTTTTAGCTTTTTCTTTTTCTTTTTCTTTTAATAAAAATGGTTACAAGTAAAGAAGCTTGGAACCTACTGATTAGAAAAGGCAGTCATAAAGAAAGTAGAGATGCCATATTATTATCAAGTTTGGAAATAAAATAATAACACATATTCTTTTGCCTTTCCCCTCCTTTCTTATTGTTTTCATCCCTCTAGACCCAAGCCCACCAGTCGTGACAACGCAAGATATTATGGCACAACGTTCGAATAGCTTTGCTTATGGAACCAAAAAGTCGGATACCTATATACCGCCGACAGTTTATCCAGCTTTATTATCCAAGGTGGCAAACGAGTTAAAGCGACATATAACTGTTTCGGATCATATAAAGGATGATATTGAATATAAAAATACTTTTCACGGTAGAGAAATAGTTGTATGATCTTATTCTGAATCATGTCATTATCCTATTAATCTACATTTATCAGGACAAGCTTTCGACTATATTACACACAAGAGACAGAAAATTAGCCTTAAGAGTTGGGACGTCACTCGCCTCGCAAAAGCTGTTTCATGACGTTTGCTATGAGACTCGGCTCGTAGACTCGATAGCTTATCTATATGAATTCTCGTTTAATAATCAAACAATCTACCAACAACAAAGTGATAGCTTGAGTGAGATTGAATCCAATAGATCCTTCAACGAACAACCAGTTGTCATGGAGAATAACACAATCAATGGCGTATTTACTGAACTAGCTTATTGCTACTCACCAACATGTTGGGACAATCGACCATGTTACAGTCCAACTTGTCCAAAAAGGATTATGCAAGTAAATAATAATATTGTTATTAATTGCACACATTTTTTATAATGAAAAAAGGGATAGTAACATGTGTATTCTATAGTTACCTCTTGAGATCAAAGACAACATCCAATCCATAACAAAATCTACATTTCCAAAACAGCAACATCAACAGCAACAACAGCAACAACAACCGCTATCACCACAGCAACAGCAGTTCGATCATGGACTCTGGGCCAATACGGTGGATAAAGAACTTTATGACACAATTCCAAAAATTGAACGTAAAAGACAGGAGAACTTGTATGAATTGATATACACAGAAGAGGATTATGTAGAGAGTCTAAATTACGTGCAGACAGTAAGATACAAATCTTTTTTTTTTTTTTTCTGTTTGGGGAATTTCATCTTTAATGCCTTTAGATGTGGATAAAGCCTCTGAAGGAACGGCCGATTATTCCGACAGCAAGAAAGGAAGTATTTATCCAAAAGGTGTTTAGAAACATTGCTTCAATTTATGAAATCAATACACGTCTGTTACATGCTCTTAAAGCACGTCAAAGTGAAAACCCAATCATTTATCAAGTGGGTGATATTCTGCTGGACTTTGTTATTAACTTTGAACCTTATATTGACTATGGATCAAAGCAGCATGAAGCAAAGTACACTTTGGAAAATGAGCGGTTTATCAATGCCAATTTTGAAGCCTTTGTACAGGTATACAAATCCTCATGAATAAAAAAAAAAAAAACACGATTGCTTATAGTATTCAACAGGCTACAGAAAGACATCCAAGCTCATTAAAGTTGGAATTGAATGGATACCTTACAAAACCAACGACTAGGCTTGGAAGATATACTCTGTTATTTAATGAAATTCTAAAACATACACCGACTGGACATCCTGATAAAGAGCAATTACCAAAGGCAATCAACATCATCAAACAATTCTTGTCTCGCGTAAATTACGAAACTGGACAGGCCAAGAATCGATTTGATTTGGAAAGAATTCATTACAATTTATCATTCAAATACAAGACGGATGAAATAGTAACTAGCAATTGTAGCAATTTAAAGAAACAAGAAACTAAAAAGACACTTTTTTATTTTCAAAGAATCTTGACTTGCTTGCCAAAAGCCGCTCAATTATCAAACAAGGGACTCTCAAGAAGACTGCTCAGCCTGATTCTGTAGAGTATCAAGTCATTTTGTTTGACCACTATCTGGTAATTGCAAAACTAAAAATGAATAATGGACTAGAGAGATACGTCATCCAGAGAAGAGTAAGTCCATTGACACATATAAATCGACTTGTTTAACGCGCGCTGGAACAGCCAATTCCATTAGAGCTCTTGCATATTTATCTACCAAGGTATGATCCTTCCATTCACAATAGACGATCAAGCTCTCTTGTATTACCTTATCTGACAAATAACAATCCAAATAATACAATGATGGTAGCTTCTGCTGGTGGCTCTGGCATGCATGTGAGAGCTTCTACAGACATTGCTGCCTATATGAACGCACAGGCAAATGCTGAAATGGATGAAGAGAATAATTCATGTTACCCCCTCACAATTCAACATTTGGGGAGACCTTCACTGCACATCACTCTCTTTGCTACATCTCCAGCCATAAGGAAGTCATGGATGGATAAAATCAAATCTCAACAAGAGGAGTTAAATAAGAAGAAACCAGTATTTGAGCCTGTGCCTGTGTTTAATGGACATGAATTCCTGGAAATAAACAAAATCAATCACTTCATCACTTTCAGTAAGTTGATAAAAAAAAGGGGGATTTTCCTATTCACTAACCACTCTCGAATAAAGATGCAGGTCAGCAGTACCTTTTAGCCGCTGATGATGGTGTTTACGTCGGACATCATCACTATAAACACCTCGACACTCGTCCTCATAAGGCGCTTTCGTTAGAAAGGGTAACTCAAGTTCAAGCCATTGAATGCAATCAAACGTTGCTGGTTCTTGCAGATAAATCTCTTTGGGAATATCCATTGGATGTGGTGAATGGGAAACCTGAATTGCAGCCTCAGGGACGACTGATTCAGACACATGTGCCTTTCTTTTATTATGGTACTTGCTTACAAAGAACGATGGTTTGTATTCCCAAGATATCTACTCTCAGTTCTATCATATCAGCATATGAACCCATAAAGAGGATATATGATACGAATGCTACGCCACACTTACAACACAACGTGAATTCAGGGAAAAGACAAAGTCTGGTCAACAAGATACTGTCACTACGATCATCCACTTCATTAGGTGACTCGAACCTGCGAAAGATCAAAGACTGTTATGTTCCTTGTGAGGCCTACGCGGTAGAACTGTCAGCGACCATGATGCTTATTACTACATCTAGAGGCGTTATCATGGTAGATATGAGAACGGATCAACCACAGCGTAAGGTCCAGATAACAACATATACGTCGTCTATTCACACTGTCTCTCTCATTGATAGAATTGTTAAACCCTGCTGATAAGAATTTATCCTTTATTATGGAAAGAGAAAAGGAGCCAACCGCACTTAACCTACGGCAGTCTACAAAGCGTATTGCGATATTTAGAGCACCTAGGAACCATTACTTTATCTGTTATGATGGTAACTAACTCTTTTCTTTTATATTAATGCTGATCTTTTTTTTTTTCTTTAGAGTATGCATTTTATATCGATAGTAAAGGAAATAGACTGTTCAACAAGTTTTTGATCGAATGGGAAGGGAATCCAGAATCTTTTGCATTTTCATATCCATTTGCCATTGCCTTTCATTCGTCATATATAGAAGTCCGAAGCGTGATTACTGTAAGACAACAGCTTGCATGTCTCAATATCTAATATATCTTACGACTATAGGGCGCAATTGAGCAAATAATACGAGGCAAACAAGTGAAATGCCTTAATAATGGACACAAGACAGAACTACCATTGATCTTTGGAACTATGATGGACCCTCAAAATGGAAAGTATAGGTTTGTATTCAAGTTACAGATGGTTGATGATCATTCAAGGACACACGATACTTTTTCTGAACCATCCACTATACGAGAAAAGACTCGCCATGTACTTTATAGTTAATACACTTTTTCTTTATTATTTATTTAAGAATCCTATTGTCTTTTCAATAGTTTCTCTGTTAAGTCATAAGCTACTAATTTTTATGTTTTATAGAAAACTTACTACGTCTTTAGATAAACAAAGTTGTTATATTGTTATTATTATTATATGAGGGGGATGTCATTGCTATGGCAATGTATACTCTGATATCTTCCCTTGACAATAAATTTCTTTTGTTCACAAGACTTTCATAAAAAAGCATTTGGCCCAAGGGGGTCTCGGAACCTGATCTTATTTGCTATTGCCTTTTTTGGCTGTGGCGTTATTTACTCTACACATAGTTTCTTCCCCCCCCCCCTTTATACAAGACTATTACTTATAGAAAATAATGCGTATAGCAACTATTAAAAATAATATTTACCTTTATTTTAATAGCAAAAGTCAAAGGAAAAAGGAAAAAGAAAAATACTGATAGAGTAACACAATGATGTGTGACCAAGACTAGGAAATAAGCACAGGAACGCGTGACATAAACAGAGGATATATGGAATTTGTTGCTTTTTAGTTTTTTACTGCTGAAAAAAGAGGTGATCAGCTCCATAAAAAATATACAAGTGACAATCTGAATGATATAAAAAGAACAGTAAAAAGATAGACTCAAGTTATGTTAAAAGTCATAAAACACATAAGAAATAAAAGTGTGAGCGTAAACCCTATTTTCTTGTAAGAAGTAAAATCTTATTCAAATACTAATTATTGACAAAATAGAAAACAATAACCTCACATAACTAAGAAAAGGGTATAAAAAGAGAGAAATTTACGCTCATCTCTTTTTCTTCCTCTTTTTTTTCTCTATATATTTTTTTCTTACACTCTTTTTGGTTCCTTCTGGTCTTACTGGCTCTCTTTGGTCAGTGTAAGTTTTTGTATAATACTTACTCAGCAAGGCGACGACTGCGTGTTCAAGGATTTCTATGCAATCTCTTTCTATGATGCTAGACATGCGTCCTAGACTGACAACGGTCGTTCATTTCATCACTCAACTGGAGGCTTTCAGGCAGCCAAAAGGAGAGCTCTGGGCATTCGATTGGAATCTTTACAGGGGGCTAGTGGCTAGTTGGGAACTGGTTATCTGAGATCACAGCTGTGACAGATTGTTGATAATGCTTCCTGCTGTCTGGCTGGCACAAAGGGGTACATAAGCTAGTTAACAATTGACAAGGCTCAGGTAATGCATACCCCAACAGTACATCTGCTACTGCGGATCTTTGCAGGCTGCTTGGTATTTGATCTGATGGTTTTTATGGGTGCCTAGTACCTTGTTCTGGTGGTCAATGGTCGACCTGAAGAATGTCATCACAGCAGCAATCAGAACCTTTGAAAGTCTTTTGGCATCGTTGCTGATCTCTTTTTTCTTCTCTTTTAGGTTTTCTTTGGTGTAAAACTTTGGCTTTTGGAAATAATCTTTAAATATGTTTTTGAAATGAATTTTACTATTGTCTTTTTATTCTTATTGAAAATAAATACTCTAAGTAAAACGCGTTAAACGATGCTTATCTGCAAACGTAATCTGCTACTGAAAAAGCTATTTTATTAACGTACAGCAGCCAGATTGTCTAAAGTATAGCATTTAAACTTTTGTATAGAACGAGGCAGTGTTATTTCATATATAGCAATTAAATAACACACAACGTCAATTTTTACAAACTTGAAGACTAGGAAAGGGTTATCAGAAAGATAGTCTAAAGCCACCGTTAGAGCAAGTATTCACATAATAAAAACGAAGGCTTTCATATATGTTTAACAAGCAATCAAGTGTGAGCATTTTGCTATTTAAATGCTCACTTTGACTTGTATACTTTGTGAATAGTCATTATATGTGCCTCTATTATGTCCAATATGGATTGTGAAAGGACGTTCAAAGGCGACAATGAAATTTACTAAATATAGCATAACAAGACTTTTCCATTTTTGCTGCGCCTGACACATACGCTTTGAGCAACATTTGAGGAATAACCATGTTTCTTTCAAACTCTAAAGCGGCTTTCCAACAGCTGTCTTCATCAATTGTTTTCTTACAATGTTTGCTGTAAAGATATAGTATATCATTACTTGATTTAGTCTCTCTTTTTCTACATATATTTCTATCTCTTTCTCTCTTTTGAGATGATATCATCGTTGACAGCCACTGTTACTCTTATATGCAAAGTCCTTTTATTCCTTTCTAAAATTAATAAAAATACAGTAATAGAAGAAGATTAAAGACTAATAAATAGCTCCTTGAAGGCCTCGATAGTATTGAATCTCTCTATTCACCCCTTTGGTTAAATGGCTTTGGCTTTGAGCCTTTGATGCTCTTAAATGCAATAGAAACACAATATTGTGATCGTTGTTTGATCTTTTACTAAACTAGATTTGTCAACAAAAGACAGAAAAATATAATGTTGTTTAAACCTCTTTTGTGCAATCAAAATAAATTATTGATGCATACATGGATGAGTGCCTGACTTCTCGAGTAAAAGTGATGCGATTCTAAAGGCATAAGACACATGTTGTGCAAGAGTATTGGCCGAGTTCCATGTTATCTCCGCTTGCCACAGCTGTGAGATGGTATGGTAAAGTTACGCCAAAAAAGAGAGTATTTACAACATGTCAAGATCTTTTATTTGCTTGTAAATGCTTATTTTTTACTTTCAATTCCCTTTTCGGACACGGTTTTCCTCTTTCGGGATGATTTAGATATTTATCTATTGCTAGTAAAAGTTCGTATTGAAATAAATTTTTTTTTATTTTTAAACACGCTCTTTTTTTTTTTTATTTTATTTCATGTTTGGAAAAAGTGCTTTTGGTACATCCACAGGAGGCTTTGGCCAGCCTCAACAAACAAGCAACGTATTTGGTCAACAACCACAACAACCACAACAGCCATCTGCTTTTGGAGGTAAGATTCATATGTTGTATTCATTTCATAATTAACATTCTCTATAGGCTTTGGAGCAACAAGTACACCCAATGCTTTTGGAACTGCTACTACAGGATCTGCATTTGGACAACCAGCACAACAGCAGCCTGCATTTGGATCTACTGCGCCTTCTACAGGTAAACAATTACTTTTTTATTTTTTATTTTTTTGTCTCATTTTAACTTTTTATACCTAGGCTTCGGTGCTGGAACTTCTGCATTTGGTCAACCAAAACCCACTGGCTTTGGAGGCTTCGGTAGCACTTCTACACCTGCATTTGGTTCAAGTAAAATATATATATTTATCACGTAATATCATCGTCTAATATACCAACCTTTAGCTCAACCAGCTACTACCGGCTTTGGCGGTTTCGGATCAAGTAAGTCTTTATTGTCCCTTTCTCTTTAGCAAAACTTATTCTATTTAACATAGCTCCTGCTTCAAATACTTCAGCCTTTGGTTCAACCAGTACCAGTACAGGCGGATTCTTTGGACAACGTCCTGCTACAGGAGGATTTGGCAGTACACCTACTACAACTGCATTCGGTCAACCACAGCAACCACAACAACAGCAGACGCCAGCATTTGGTGGATTTGGCGCTGGCGGAACAGCATTTAATCAACCTGCAGCAGGTACTAACCAAGGTACCGCAATCGCAGACTTTACTGCCACTCAAGACCGTGATATTACAACAGGCGTAAACAACTTCTTCCAAACTATCACTGCTATGCCACAATATAAAGATTATTCTCTTGAAGAGCTTCGATTACAAGATTATGTTCAAGGTAGAAAGACTGCTTCTGCTGCAGGCGGTGCTTTTGGCCAGCCTGCCGCAGGAGGCGCATTCGGTCAGACGACATCCACGATTGGCGGTGGTGCCTTTGGTCAACCATCAACTGGTGGAGCTTTTGGTCAGCCAGCAGCAAGCACTGGATTTGGTCAGCCAGCCCAGTCCAACATGTTTGGCGCTACTGCCAACACCGGTGGTATGTTTGGCCAACAACAACAACAACAACAACCTACAACTGCTTTTGGTCAAAGCACTGGCACGAATGCATTCGGTTCTACTACCAACGCATTCGGTGCTACTGGAACTAGTACAACCGGTTTTGGCACTGGTACTACAGGAGGTGCGTTTGGTGCTAGTACTGCTAAACCTTTTGGTTTTGGTAAGTTGCTGATTTATCAGCTATATTGACTTTTTGACTGATGGACAACTTGCTTTTAGGTGGTACATCGACTGCACCTACCACTGGCTTTGGTGCGACAACAACCGGATTTGGACAACAAGGTGCTACTGGAGGATTTGGTCAGCAGAGCACGACTGGTGGATTTGGACAGCAAGCCGGTCAAACAGGTGGTTTTGGTGGCTTTGGAGCTAAACCAGCCACTACCACAACTGGTACCACCGGCTTTGGAGGGTTTGGCAACACGGGTGCAACCACTGGTGGATTTGGCACTGCCACTAGCAAGCCCGCGACAGGATTCTCATTTGGCCAACCTGCTACCTCTACAGGCACCACTGGCTTTGGTGGATTTGGTGCATCTACTACTCCCAGCTTGGGCGGATTCGGTCAAACTGGTGCAGGTGCTACGACGGGTGCATTTGGCGGTAATAAGCCTGCAACTTCCACTTCTTTCTTTGGTAATACTACTGGCGCTACGACAGGAACAACAGGCTTTGGTGGCTTTGGTACAGGTCAAGCTAATACAACAGGCGGATTTGGCGCTGGCACTACAGGTGGACTCTTAGGTCAAAAGCCTGCTGGCACCCTTGGCGGCTCGTTCACTTCTGGAGGTTTAGGTGGAGCAGGATTTGGATCCTTTGGCCAGCAACAACAAACTGGTGCATTCAATTTACCCGGTCAAGGCGGCTTGACAACTTTTGCAACTACTGGACCTCAAAATGGCATTCAACAACAACCCTTGATTGCTACAGTAGACAAGAACCCTTATGGTAACAACCCATTGTTTGACTTATCCAAGTTATCCGGGGCCAATGCTGATAACCGATCTGGTCCCTCTGCCGTTGCGGTCAGTGGATCTACTAGTAAGCCTTCTACGCCTCATTTTCCTGTTTCCCCTCGCGTTGTTTCCAAAATCAAGCTTCGTGGCTTCTCTACGGCTGCTGCAAGACCTACCAGAAAGACAATGGGCAACTCCTCCCTAGAGGGTATTAGTGACGATGCTGTGCTTGGAACGGGCGCTTTCGCCTCTCGTGACAATAACAAAAAGTTGGTATTTGATAATGATGTTGATGCAGCTAGTATTGTAGCTCTAGTCAACAAGAAGGGAGAGAAGAAGAAGGCTGTTTTTGACCCCAATCTTGAATATGTTGCATCAAAGGAAATCCACAAGGACACGACATCCACTGCACCCTTGTCTAGCGCCTCTTTGGACAGCATTCATCCTGGAACTAGCAATAACAACATTGCGCCTGCTTCAACCTCTTCTGCCCTTGCCATTAAAAATGGATATTACGTCTCACCCACCCTCGATACCTTGAAAGGCATGAGCAAAGAGAGTTTAAAATCTGTACAGAATTTAGTCGTTGGTCGTACAGGATTCGGAGAAATTAGGTTTGAAAAGCCAGTTGATTTATCTCAAGTTAATCTGGATGACTTTTTGGGCAATCTTATTGTCATTGACGATAGACGAGTCGTTGTCTACCCCGATGAAGCGACTAAAAAGCCTGTTGGTACGGAATTGAATGTTCCTGCGATCATTAGCATCGAGAATTGCTTCTCTCATGACAAGTACACCGGTGCTCCAATTAGGGATCCTGAGCATCCTCGCTTTAAGCTGTTTGTGGACAAGATGCGTCAACGTCCAGGCGTTGAGTTTGTAAGTTATGATAACTCGACTGGTACTTGGTCTTTTAGAGCTCAAAAGTTTTAATTCGATATCTTTAAACACATAAAATAACAAAAAAAAAACTTTATTAATAAAGAAATACAAAGTATAAAAAAGTGAATATGTTTAAATGCATGTTTTTAAATATATAAGCATCTTTAGATTGTATCAATTGGCTCGATCGGATAAATAAAGCCTGAATCGACGATATAAACGATTGCCTGTACATTGACATCTAAAGTCCGCAATAAGTCAAGTCGAAGAAAGGATAAATGGTTTGTCCTCTTTACTTTTCCTTACAATAACAACTTGATCAACAAGATGAATATTGGATCTTTGTTGAAATTACAAGGTAAAATAACTTATATACACCATGATTGATTCTCATGGGATCATAAAGTAAAACAGCAACAACGTAATGCCACAAGAGCAATCTCATGGGCAGGCATTCAACGACTGTACACAACCCAAGCAAATACCAAACCGTAAGGAGGGAAATACATATTCTTTTTTCCCTTTATTAATGAAATATAGTCCTACGGCTGTCATATTGACCAATATGGGTGGACCAAAAACTATAGACGACGTCCAAGGGTTCCTTTTGAACCTGTTTTCTGATAGAGATATCATGCAATTTCCATTCCAAAGCGTAGCCGCCAAATTTATTTCTACTCGTCGAACACCCAAAATAAAAGAACAATACCAAGCTATCGGTGGCGGTTCACCCATCTTGTACTGGACGCGTAAACAAGGTGAGGCTATGGAAAAGCTTTTGGATACTATTTCACCAGAGACAGGTAACTATGCTCTTAATATCAATTGGACATTGTTTTAAATGCTGGTAATAGCACCTCATAAGCATTATATTGCGTTTCGTTATGTTGAGCCTTTTACAAAAGATGCATTAGAGGAAATGAAAAAGGATAGAGTACAGAGAGCGATCGTGTTCTCCCAATACCCACAATACTCATGCTCTACCACAGGCAGCAGTCTGAATGAGCTTCATCGCCGTATTAAAGAATTGGGAATGGATAAGGATATCAAATGGAGCATCATTGACAGATGGCCAACACACCCCGGATTTATTGATGCTACTGTTCACAAGATTGAGCAAAAATTGGCAGAATATGAACCAGAGGAACGAAAGGATGCGATCATCATGTTCTCTGCTCACTCACTTCCAATGTCTGTCGTCAACAAGGGCGATCCTTATCCTGCCGAAGTGGCTGCTACCGTTGATCGTGTCATGTCCAAACTGGGTAACAAGTATCCCTATCGCCTCTGCTGGCAATCTCAAGTTGGACCCAAAGCTTGGTTGGGCCCACAGACGTCAGATGCACTGAAAGGGTTTGCAAAGGCGGGTAGAAAGAATATCGTGGTCGTCCCTATCGCTTTCACAAGTGATCATATCGAAACATTATTTGAACTTGATCAAGAGTATGCTAGTGAAGCAAAAGAGTTGGGAATTACTGGCTGGAAACGAGTTGATGCACTAAATGATGAACCTCTTTTTGTCAAGGCAATGGCAAATATTGTAAAAGAACATATTGACAAGGGAGAAGTCGTAAGCAAGCAATGGCCACTTCAATGTCCAGGCTGTGATTTTGATACCTGTGGTCACTCGCGTGATTTCTTTACAGAAGAAAATAAATAAACCTTATGTGATTCGCATATCAAAGACAATTTGTAAGATGTAATTGGCTGACAACATTTATTCTTGCATATAAAGATTAATTTCCTTTTTTGCCATGAACATTTCTTTTTTCTTTTGTTCATAAATGATTACAAAAGGACTTATTTCATCTTGTCGTATTCTTATACTTTAGAGGTAGACTGCTTTATTCGACAGTATCACAGTTACATAATCTATCGTGATACAGGGTGAAAGTAACCGCCACTTCGTCCTTGGCCGAAGCGGTGGCATCGTCAAACTCTGATGAACTCCTTGCCGCCGACATTCTTTATACGTTGTAAGATTTGCAAAGAAGTTGAAGCGTCGTCGTTCATTGTATTCATTTATTTGATTCTGTAGGACTAGCCGTTTAATCACCCGTGAAAACAAGAAGCGTATGCTTGAAGACACGTTTGCACATAAGTATTTGGATGCTATTTCTGAGACCATTTTTGGCTCAGAATGTAGATTTAGGCACGATTGGTAAGTGAAGTTGCATAGAGTAAAACGCGAAAAATAATTTGTGCAATTTTTTTTTTATCAAGGCCAATGGCTCCTTGCTTGGAGTCAAAATAAAGTGGCAGGATGCTAACGATGATAGCAGTGGGACGTCGGATGAGGACGATGATGGTCAAAACCACAACGACGAAAACCATTCTTAGCTATACAAGCCAGACTGGATGGTGTACACCAAATCAGGACAGTCAATGACTGCATCTGGCGTCATGGAGTTGAAACCCGTGTACAAACGGAATCCAAGCTTTATGACTGATTTTGCATCATCTTATACATTTGGGTGTGTGCCGCCCAGCTGTCTATGGGATCCTGGTGGAAGGTATGTGAGTATTAAAAAAAAGAGAGGAAAAAGTAACAATACACGTTTTTTATAGGATCCTGATTCAAATAGATTCCATGGATTTGGAATACAGTGGCATATATAGAATGTGCCAACTCTGCAAGCTTGACCTATACCTATTATTACACTATATCGGCTTGTTCCTGGCAATTTTTGCCAACTTGAAGCTCTATAACCAAAAGGCTCTATTGTTTACACACTGAACTCAGTCAATCGGCATTCTTTTTTTTTGTGGAAATAGGATTTGGCCTTGAAAACGGCCACTTTTATCGAATCCAATGAAGTTTCTCGGCAACTTGGTCAATCAATCCAGCTTACAACACCATTAGCTTAGCTGCGTCCAAGCGTTTGTTTCCCTGAAAGTGCCATATAATAAATTCCTTTTGTACATTAAATATAAAATTACCACATTCTTTCTTTTGTAAAAGCATTATGAGAACAATTAAAAGACATTTTGACGAGATCTAATTGATGCGATTGGCTAAAACAAAACAACAAGCAGAAGAAACCTGCAAAGAAAAAGTATGTAAGAGACGAAACAAAATAATATTTATAGTCCATGGGTTCAGGTCCATCATTCTCATCGACAACATTTTCATCATATAAAAGCATGGTGCTCATGTTAAATTGTATATTTTTTCAACATGATTTCTAAGCAAACGATGTGGTTTCTGAAAGTATGGTTCTAATTGACCTATGACGTCGATTTTGATTGGACGTTGCTTGCTAGAAGCACTATATATCTTTTTATCCATTCATATTTTATTTTAGCCACTCCAAAAAAGGTGTCTGAATAATATTAATAAAAATAATTCCCCCCCCCCTCGCTATTATATAATTTTTTCTTCCTGCTTTTATTGAATACACACACATACACACAGGATGAATAAAAAAAAGTCTTTGGCTGACGATGAACCACCCAATAGAAACGTACAACAACCTAAAGTGTGTGTTGATTATTTATCTTACCAGTTTGATGAGATGGACCTGGCTGCTTCTTGGAGAGTGATGACAAAACAGAAAAAAGATATTGTTGATGGCATACGACTTGAGAATGCCTCATGGCGTACATGGGCTAAACAGAGAAATAATCTAAAGACTGTAAGCCCACAAACATTGAACTGGTACAAACATATAATAAGGGAATTTTTGTTTTGTGTGTGCTGTATGTAATAATCTTTTTATATATATCTATATTATAAAAAAAGGTTAAAGGATAGTGATGTTACTTGGTTGTATGGTCCTTTACATACAGTCATCAAAACAGAAGAAGATCCATTTTTAAAAAAACCTAAGCAGACTACAGCAGACAAATTAGATTTGATGATACCAGCCAACAGCAACCACACTCCCTTATTAAAACCTGCTTTAAAAAAGATAAAAGAAACAGATATCTTGAAGCGTGAATTATCAATACCTCATCGTAAACTATCTATTACAGAAGCAAACAATAAGCTTCATGCCATATCACCCGTCATCTTGGCGAATCATCGTCAGCCAAGGTTAAGATTCAATCATGAAGTAGAACAGTGTGTTGCCTTGGCAGATGAGGATCCTGAAGATATATCAACAGATGATACAGCTAGTGAACATGAAGAAGAAGAAGAGGAAATATATACCAAGAATGCATCATGTAGTAACAGCAATTACAAGAAAAATAGAAAAGTATCCATCAAGATCATTGCCCCTGCCAGACTCAAACGGTCTCAGTCTGATCCCGAAACAGAATCTTTATCATCCACGTCATCTTTTAATGAAGGTTTCAGCCCATATGTCACAGATGATGAATATATCACTACTAGTCAGCCAAATAGGCCACCTATGGTCGCCAAAAGATCATCCTCCTCTATACCCATCTTGAAGGAAAAGGCCAATGTAGCTGAACCAGCATTAGTGACCATGAATCAAACAGCGACTGATATTCGAAAAGACAATGGATCCAGAGATAATAAGAATAATAACAACATATTCAATCATCTCGCCACATGGGCTTCATCTTATCTTTGGCCACATTCAACGAAGACGAGCCATAATACCGTCTATAAAGAAAAATAACTTTGTAAATAGAAATTGTAAAGCTATAGTTTATTTAAATAAAATGGATCCATGATAGAATAAAAAATTTCTCTTTATCTCTCTCTTTTTTTACAGCCATGGACTATACAAGATTCAATCAAGCAGAACAAATAGAAATCAACAATTTGTTGGAACAAAAACAAGTAAACAAGCTCATGTGGGAAACTAGAATCAATGTTTTAATTTATAATTAGATGGACGACTTTGTCAACATGTTTACTAACCTGGTCGACCGCTGCTTTAGACAATGTGCTAATGACTTTACAACAAAGGCTGTTACTGGAAGAGAAGTAAAGTCTTTTATTTATTTGCTTTCCCCCTTTTTTTTAACATGATTATAGGCTAAATGTGTTGAGCAATGTGCAGATAAATTCTTAAAGCACTCTCAACTGGTTGCTACTCGCTTTTCTGAACTGAGTCAAACAGTAAGATATATTCTATACACACACATGCAGTGTTGACTTTTTTTTTTGATAGCTACTTAACCCAGCAAGTCAACAACATCAATACCAATAAAAAACTCTAATAGATGACATATATAAAAATAGAAACGGATACATGTAAATAATAAGAATAATCGATTTTTTACAATAAAGTGACAGTAAAAAGAAAAACAACAAAAGGGGCGGTTTGTGCACCTTTTCATATTACGAGTATCCACTCCAAAAAAATATTCATAAAGTGTTCCCACCCTAGTAATAATAACGTACGCTGTCGCATTAGAATCTCTATAAAAGCATTGGCATGTTTGATATGAATCCTTATAATACATTATAGTTTTACAGTAGATAAATTCCAATTTACCGCGTCAAATAATAAATAATCACACTGACAACATTAATCTTCCCTCGACAACTTTTCTACAGAGTCTCTGATAGCGGCAGCTGTGCTGTCAAGCAAAGACAGATTGCTTATTTTACTGGCTTTTGCGAGGTGAAAGCAGCCTATATGAAAAAGAATACTATTAGTACACATCTGGATTTCTTCAGATTATGTATACTTGGCAAGGATACTATCGGTAACGAAGCTGTAGACAATGCTGTCTTATTGCAAGTAGTTAGGAAATTATGTATTTGCTATGTTTAACTTTACAATGTCTTTCTCTCTCTCTTTTTTTTATTCTTCGGACACACGTATTAAATAGAACAAAAAGTATATATGAAGTAATAATGGGTTTCAACTAAAAAAAATGAACTACAACATGGAAACAAAAGTGAGAAACAAGGTGGCAAATGCAGTCATGAAAATAGTTTGATCCACTGAAGAGGCTGAGCTTGCAGCACCCTTTGCAATAGAACCAGCAGGAGTGACTTGCAGAGAGGAAGCAGTAGGAGCAGGCGCTGAGCTTGCAGGTATGCTAGCAGAAGCAGAAGCAGAAGGAGTGCCTGTGGCATTTGTTGTATTTTCTTGATAAGAGGCGTTGTGCCAACCTGCGCAAGTACCAACAGGGCTGAGTTGAACGTGGGGATGCAAGATAGGTAAGGCTTTGATGGCAGCGCCGACAGTGACATTATTCAAGTCATGCATAAGTGAGTTACCACCTTGCTTCATAGTAGGCAGTTGTTTGGCCCATTCGGTAACATTAGCAAGGAGCCCTTGCTCAGTTTGACCACCTGCAGTGATTCTCCAGTCTTGTGAATCAACAGACCACATAGCAGGAACATAGCCAAGTTGACGTACAATGTATCGAATACGGTCATCAATATCACCACGAGGCTAAAGAGCGAAAAGGTATAAAGTAGGGAGAAGTCAGTAAGCATATTGCACAACACAAAGAAGGAGACTTACAGGACGCATCAAACGAGGAGTAACACCAATGACTTCCTTAATGGCTTCTTCGGTCCACTTTAATTCACCAATGACCTGCTCGTTGGGAATCGTTGTCAATTCTTTATGATCCCTTAAAAATTAGAGTCATAGTCAGTTTAACTATTTTTGTAATAAAAGAAGAGATGTTTTACCAAGTATGAATACCAATTTCATGGCCTTCGTCATAAGCTTGTTTGAGAACATCAGGGCGAGCAATAACCTGTTTACCAACGACAAAGAAGGTAACTTTGACGTTAATTGTCTTTAGATAAGCCAGTAGATCTTTAGTAACTTCGTAAGGTCCATCATCAAAACTCTAATTATTAAAGTTACTAAATTTGTAAATAGTCTAGAAGCAAGCGACAAAAAATAGACATTCTTACCGTTCCCCAAATCTTTGGGTCTGTGCAATGAACAATGTCTGTAGGCTTAACACAGCCATCCCAAGTCCAGTTACAATAGGTGTTATTTCCAGAAGGATTGGCATTTTGAATGATGCCATCTATATATGAAATTAGTATGTATTGCATAATAAATGTACACACACATGTACCTGTAGTAAGGATATTAGGAGACACTTTAAGAACAGGATCATCTTTAACCAATGCTAACCATTCAGGTTTAGGATCTGGTTTACTTCCATCTGCAGGGTATGAATTCTTCCAAGGGAAGTTTGATGTTGGAACAGCAAGTGTTTGCTGAGCAAAAGTTTGGTGTGCATACGCTAAAGAGAGAATAGTGATGAGGATGTTTTTGTTGTCTAAAATCATTGTTTTTTGAAGAGGATTAAAAAGGGGAAGAGGAGAGAATAATGAGAACTATTTATAGCCAAACAACGAAATCCAAAATTAGTTTGATCTCTATGGAAACGATGGAAATCAAATAAAACACGCCCTTTACTTAATGAATTCAAAAGAAACAACAGCCTTTTTCCTGTCAATCTTTTTGTATCACGGTTGTTGTTAGGAGTCGAGTAGGACAACAAAAGCCCATATTTATTTCATCTAAAAATAAATTTTACGCTCCACTGCGTATCCTCCACTATAGATTCATCCATAGTCGATTCATCAGGTGGAGGATAGCCTAGTTGTTCATCCAGTTCTTGAGGCGAGCATTCAAACGTTGTGCATATTTCGTCATAGTGGTGTTTACCATCAAGGTAAGGTATAATGTCTGGATAAATAGGCATGCCTGTATTCTTGTTAATGACCATTTCATTATTTGGAGGCAAACATGTGGACTGTGCAACTTCGGTTTCATTAGTGATAGAGGTAAGTATTGGATATTTATGAACTCTATAAATCAAGCCTTTGATCACACCAAATGAAACAATACGCCTATCATTTAGGTTAGCTCTCGCATCCTTAATACAAAACAAAGCCCGAGTCACCTTTCGTCTACGTGTAAATTCGCCACTTGTTGTTCTTCCATCCACTCTTTTACTGTCTGTCCATATTTAAATCCACAATATAATGCATACATGCGCTCAGTTGATATTTCAGGAGTATCTATAAAGGGTAAGTTTATGATCAAGACTGTAGATCCCTTACTTACTTGGGAGCATAATATACTTTAAGCACTCTTGAGCAAGCCCTGACTTGTGATCAAATAGTCTTGTAATTTCTGGCTTGACTGCATAAATGTTTGAATATTGAAAGATGTCAATCAAGATAATACACCCATAATACCTACAAGTCATATGAGTATTTCTATATAATATATGTTTACATACATCATGTGTTCAAGGCTTTGTCGTGCCCACTCTGGCTTAACATTGGCTATTTCAGCTATTCGTTTTACATGATAGATGCCATTGATAAGACTAGCCACTTTTTGTACTGTGATATCCCAATTAAGGTTCATCATTTTCTTTATATCTACTGTACAAACAGGGACATGATAGTCACGTACCGTCTGTGGATTAGGATAAGTTGGAAATAGCTTCAGGTTGATCGTATTAAATGTATCTTTATATATAAATTGTTATCATTAATAAATAAGGAGGACTAATTACATGACTCACTTATTGGTATTTGGCATTCACAATAACTGTTCAAGTCTTCAAATAGCTGCTCAATCACATTTTGTACTGTCTGTAATTCAGAATGAACATTCTGTGATAAAAAATTACACTCAAGCTATATGCAGTAAGTTATATATATAAAGCTACATATATAAAGTATATACATGTACACGCGTGTGTGCGTGTGCGTATATATAAATAACTTACTTCTAAGCCCTCAAGTACCCTTGACAGTTTTCTAACGACAGCTTCGTAACTACTTGTTTCAGCGTCCTGTTCGAATACAAAACAGAGGTTGAACCGAAACTCGTTTCTGAAATGTTGATATTTTTCATGATCGTGCAATACAACAGGACAACCCATCACCTTATATCCATTTGTGCAGATTGTCACTAGACGCTTATAGAGTGGTTTCTTTGGAATGACATATTCACTTATTGCTTCAAAATCAATCAGTGTCTTTCCTGTTCCATCTTGAGTTGTAATACTTCCTTCTGGTACTTGATGTTTAACTACTGTTCCTTTTATAATGTCAAATACTGCATAAAATATACTATGAATTCGTGGAAATCCTTGAAACTCCATACTCTCTTTTTATTTAAAAAAGAAAAAATAAAAACAAACCCTGAAGAAAAATGCTCCAAGCGGATCTTTAAACACAGGATATCAGCGATTCATATCCTTTATGCAAAATAGAAATCACGTTTTCTTACGAGAAAAGGAGAAGAGAGGGGACCATATGTTTCTGAGTTCGTTGTTATTCTCAGTATGTGTCTCTTTTTTATATATGCGTGATGATGACAACAATATGCATGTTAATCTATAGGGAAGAAAAAGTTATTTTTAAGGAAAAACAAACAAAAAAAAAAAAACCGTACGATTCTACATGATTACATCTTTCTGTAAGTGTATATTTTTTATTCTAAAAATGCTTTATTTCTCTCTCTCTATCTCTTTCTTTCTTTTGCAGAGAAAAGGGGAGGGGGCGGAATAATGAAAAAAAGGGAGAATATAATACAAAGGTTTAAACATTCATTGTTTTAAGTTATTTTTGTTGTTGACCTGACTTGATATTCATCTCAGACCCTGTTGAATTCGAAGGTGACGGTAATCCAGGGAAAGGAGTATTATGCTGTACATTAAATGTTGACCTTAGATAGGATAATAATGACGATTTACAAGCATCATTCTTTGGTAGAAATTGTTGATAGATCACATCAAATGTCCAACAGCGAGAGCAGTACTCGTTTTCACCGAGGATACGATTACAGCTGATACACTTTTTATGACAATCTGAGCAAAACCAATCTGTTCCAAGTGGTTTATTACAACCACCACAAACAATCACATTATCACTATCTTCTCCATAGTCACTAAAATACGAGAAGCCACTGTCTACAGTTGGTGAAGCAGGTGGTGATGGTAAGATGCTCATGTTATTGTTATAATATATAAAAAGAGAAGAAAAAGAAAAGGGAAAGAAGAAGGATAAAAATAGAGTTCAAAGTGATATTTATATTAAAGCTCACGGACAAAAGCCGAATTTATTATATTACTGCACTAAAATAAATATATAAAAAAAGAGTTCGTCTCCTATTATGCATACATGCATTATATGTGAATTTCTCTGTCAAATTTGGTAATCGTTCAACCATCGGCTCGGTTGACACTGGGTAAGCTAAAGGGTGCATAGTCTAATTTTACATTTATTTATTTACTATCATGGCCCCCTTTCTCATTTTTGTATGCAATGCCAAAGAGAATCTTTAACAATAATCAAAGTGATTGTATAATCAAATAAAGCGGAATGGCTGCATTAAAATTTTGTTTCTTTATTTATAAAGTACTAATCCGGCTTTAGAAAGTTGCTCTATTTCAACACTTGAAAGTTGTGGAACTTCATTTACGCCAACTTTTAGAGTTGGTAAAATGTCATGATAATCGCTAAATAGTAAGTGACGATAGTCAATAACATCAATCTGAGTCACAAGATACACCAAAAGGCGCGCAAATCCATGATGCCCGAACGAGACAGATGCATATTGAGCAATAAAGGACTGATAAAACTGAAAAAAAGGTACCTGGGCCTGTCGGATATAACCCGACGATCTCCGCCAAGCGTTCTCCAGTGCACTCAAACTAGTTTTGATTCTACAGTGTATATCTAACAAGTCGCTTATCTTCTTTGACACTCGATCATCCCAAAATATCTCTCGCTCACTTTCTACACCTGCTTCACGTCCTTCTCGATCACCAATCAAAAACACCTTCATCAACGTCACAATTGCCAGCTCATGATGCACCTCTTCTTGGAACAGTTTTGCTGCAATCTCAAACGTTTTTGACACAACCGTCGCTGCATCGTCTTTACTCTTTTGTGCCACTTTTGATTTATCCAAATGATACATTGCATCGATAGGTGACATAATAAACGCACTCGTTTCTAGTGTAGTGTCCTCACATTTGTTTTCTTCTGCCTGTGGGTACATCAGCGTCTTGACCGGTCTACCGTCATATCTAAACAGAGCCTTGGATATTTCAAGATCCTTTGTTTGAATCTGGAAATAAAATGGCCTCATACTTTCGTCAACGACTTGTGTTGATAGACAAAGCTGCAGGAAGTCCTGTGCCATCCACGTTTCTGTTATGCCCGTGTGCAAACTTTGAATGCCTGATTCCAATTCCGCCATGCTGAACTGCATGTCTTCTTTCTTACATTGCTTCAGCCAAAGCCAAAGTGCATATCGACCATATACATCCTTTTTACTGTTGTCCTTTACTATTTCCCAAGCTGATACCATTCTTTTCTTGGCTTTCTTGATCAAATCGTCATAAAGTAAGTGGTTATGAAGATTCGCATATGCAGAAATAAATTGAATGTAACGGTAGATATGATGTGTCGTGTAACCCCCAGATGCAGCGGAATTACTAAATATAAAGGCATCTTCCTTCTGAGTGATGGTCTTCCAGGATTGCTGCACCGTCTCCAATTCTGGTTTAAATAAATCAATATAAGTAGCCCATGCACCCATGTATCCTAATGCGGATTCATACAGAGGTCCCAGCTGAGTGTATTTCAATATGGCTGTGATTGCAGGCAAGTACGCTGTAGGTTGTGGCCAATCAATTGCATGCTCAGGAATGGTCTTGTGAGGGTCTGCAGCAGCATGGAGTAAGACTTCCAAAAGTTCAATAGCAGCAGAGGCACGAATACTCTGTAGCCGTGTGTCCTTTTGTTTCTTATCGAGCACGACCCGGAGCCAGTCCATAACAGGTTCCTGAGAACTTTCCAGGATGGGGGCAATGAACCCGTAGGAAGCCAACACACGCAGCAGCTTTAGGGTTTCAAGCTGTAGTGCATACGCCCTACGTTTCAGCGAATCACATGCGATATCCGGGTTGGTTACCAAAAAAGGCAGCAAACTTGTCATTCTTTCCACAATCTCTTCTGCAATGTGTTTACTGCCCTGAGCCAAAACAGTTAAAAGTCTTACCGTAGCCAAACTAGGATAAACAAAGACATTACTGTCATCCGTCATAGGCCATTGCGTCTTGACAATACCCCACTGTACGACAGGTTCGATCAGCTCTTCTTCTTCGATTGAATCGCACACATCTTCGCCTGCTTCAGCCAGTTGAACAAGGATACGAACGAGTAATTCCACAGAGGCTGGGTCGCCTTGAATCAACTCACTTCTGTTCTCGGACGCAATCAAGTATCGGATACGAGGTAAAATATTCATCTTGACGAGAGCACGAGCTAAATCTTGCTCAGCAAGGGCTGCATCATCCTCTTTCTCAACTTCATCAACAACACCAGATTGTTGACGTACACGATCAACAAGCTCAGATAGCTTGTCATTCAAACCCTTTCGTTCAAGAGCCTTGGATCCACTTGGAAGCACGGGGTGAGCGATGTGTCCTAAGAATCTATTAAAGTCTACGGCCTTGGCCACCAATGTCTCTTCCCAATCATCTTCAAGGTCCAATACTAAAGCAGCCAGTGCTTTAACGGCACCTACGAGTGCAACCAAATGACGGTCATCTAATGCTGAACGAAGATAAATGGGTGCAGCATGCTCCTTTCCCGTAAATACACGCAATATTTTCCACCATGTCTCATCAGACTGTTGATGCTTGGCCTTTGTAATAATACGAGAGATGGTCGATAGCACGATGGCTCTCTGAGATGGCACTTGACTTCTCATCAGATAAAATAGTTCTGCTAAAGTATATCCAGCCTTTTCTGGTTCGTCACCATGATGATGGAGCCCCTTGTGCACAGGAATATTTTCGTTGTCGTTGATGATATTGCCTTGTAAATCAAATCTAATCTTTCGATAGACCTTTTCAATTTCACTTGCTTGACTTTTATCCTCTTCTTTTTCCTTTTGTAGCTGCTCTTTAAGTTCGTTTGTTAAGAATCGATCATCGATCCAGGCAAGCTTCTCATTCTCGACAGGCACATCTGAGAAATACTTGCTCTTCATTTCTAACAGCTCTTGTCCTTCATCCTTGCTGCTTTCTGGTTCTTGAAATGTCACCTTCTTTTTATTCTCTACCGGGTCCGTATGTTTTTTTTTCAATCCCTTCATGAGGATAGCAACTGATTCAGGGCTTAAGGTATTCATGATTTCTGCACGCGCTTCCTCCAGCTCCTGCTCAGACATTTCCTGAATACGCCTATCGTTTTCGTCTGTGTACATTGAACTACCCAGTAAGGATTCACTGGAAACCTTTACAGGCGCTGAAGCTGCTACCTGAGGAGGAGCTTCAGGACGGGAAGGCTTTGTATTGTTTCTCTTGGCTTCCAATCTCCTTTTGAACTCGCTTCTGTGCACAGGCTTAGGAAACCCATCCTTCTGACCTCGTGCAGGCTTATTGGGCATTTCTTCTGGCAAAGATGGTGGAGTCACTTTATCCACTGTATGCTCTGTGATATCTCCTAGCACTTGTCCGAGCATCGATGTCAAGTCAATCATTTTCTTGCTTACTGGAACATGAGGTTCAGGGTGTGGATCCATCACTGGTTCATACTCAACATCTTCAAGTGTTGGCATACTCGTATCTTTTTCCTTTGCTAATCGTTCAGCAAACACACTACGCTTGTTCTGCTGCTGTGAAGGATCGCCTTTGCGGATCACTTTGGCTGCAGGTTTCTGTTGGTTGGCAAAAAACTCTTGTTGAAGCCTTTCTAAATCGTCGTCGTCATCTGCATTAAATGTAGGTCGAGTGAAAGTGCTCATTGAAAGGGTCAAAAAAAAAAAAGAAAAAAAAAAAGCTGTCAAAAAAAGACAGTGATTCCATCTCCGCGTTATGCTTTTAAACTTTTTTTTTTATTGTGCAAATGATCTTGTATTTTGTTCAGAGGCAATGATTTGAGAAGAAGGAATAGAAAAATCGTTAAAAAGGGTATTGTAAAAATCGTCATTACCAAACGAGTTTAGACGGTTAATCAAACTGGGTAATGGCTCATTTCTCAAGTGCTTGTAATGCGACTGCTCAGTCTCTTGGGTATATAAAGTATGCTCCATATCTACTTCCATATCTCTTACATCTTCACTTGTGTCCGATGTAATAGAAAATTCTAATTGTTCAAGTGAGGATGGACTTTCTATTGAGAAGTCTGTATCGGGTATTTGAATAGGAGTCAGTTGACCTGTGCTCTGAGGTACTATATCTTCTCTTTGAACATGTTCCTTTAATACACTTTCAAGGCAGTCGCACCATGTGTTCTTTAACTCTTCGGTCTCGGCTTCAAATGTTATGTTTGTCAGATTTCTTGTCGCAATTGAGCAAATGAACTGCAAGGGATGTTCTTCTATACTGGGCTGATTGACCTCTGGACTCAGAAAGGAGAGACTGTGTTGTGATAAAGAAAGAGGTGAAGGTGGATCCGACATGTCTGTGCTGATATCTTCGTCAATAATACGGCTACCGTATCGTTTTAAGGATTGAAAAAATGTCGATCCTTTACGTGATGGTCTTCGAGATACTGGTGACATCTCGCGGGTAATGTGTCGGTTGACCATAGTGAGCTTGCCTGGAGAATGTATTATTTCAAAAAGAGAATCAGGAGATGGCCCATAATAGGTTCCCTTTGATGGCATGAGTGCAAACCCCCTCTCGTCCACTGCCAAGGATCTTTTTCTACTTCTTTCCTACAAAACGCAATAAGTAAGATACCGAATCTATATATTCCTCCGTGTATTCTACCCGAGTGCAAACAATAAGATCATTGAATAAAAACACATATGCTCTATCATATTTTCTCGACGATATCGTAAATGCACTATTCCTTCTTCGAAGCTTGGGTGTTTCAGCTGTACTTGCAAAGGATATGGTTGAGGAGCTCATTTTATTAAGCAATAACTGTTGCTGATTAGAAGATGGTATGATCGTCAGGTATCCTTCGTAAATGAGTTTTCGTTTTGGTTCAGCGATATGAATGGTTGATCCTTCCAAACCCTTTATTCGTGATGATAAATCTTCAAGCTTCAAAAACTCCTCTGCCTCTTTTCTCTCTTGTTCCAAATTTCGAAGCAATTTATCCAGTTCTTCAAGAAAGAAAGAAATACGCGATGCTTCTGTGTCATTGGGATCAAGACATTCACTTAATGACTGCAAGTGACTATAAGTATTAGTATTTAATCTGTATAGTTAATCTACCAATAATTAAAGAGATTACCTTGAAAAACAATGGGTATTTCATGATACGCTGTATCGGTTTTAATAAATAAGCTGACATTGGCAAGCTCTTGCATTCTGACCAAGCAGATCGTCGCTATTATTTATTAAAAAGGGCAGAGTCAGAATAAACAAGTGTAAGATTCCCTTACACGTTACCTGTATAAATGAACCAAGCTCATCTTGACACCTGATACTCTCCTGAATCAAAGCACTGGCTCTTTCAAAATCACGAAAATAAGAGAAGTATATTTCAAGCTTGGGTAACTGTTGTAACAAGTGTTAACTTTTCACCGTATATTGATTTATAAAAGATATACTTGCATAAGAAATAAAGATATCTGCGATCCCATCGATTGCCGGGTAAACGCTCTTTTGCTTTAATCTTAGTTCCTTAAGACAATCGTCAATGACAGTATAATAGAGCCACTGATTATTTACCATGTGTAATTTCCAATGAAGCTCGGTGATACTTTTGATAGACTTGAATAATCTTTCAACAGGAAAGAGCAAACCACCCCATTCGAGAGCATCTTTAATAAATATCTATCATCAAGGGTTAAAAAAGGTAAAAAAAAAAATCACTAGTGTATATTTACTTCATGAATAAGTATTAAATCATCAACATAGACTTGTTCTGTCGTTATGATCTCATAAACAAGTTCCTGATATCTTGCTTGCTTTGCAGTAAGACATAGGGCATCTGCAGGCTGATCACTTAAACCGTCTTTCCATGTTTTAGGTTGATGATCCATATTTAGCATCGGCGCAGCATTACTTTCTTGACACATACAATCGGGATATGCGTTCATACCCAATCCGGTCCCCAAGAATGCTGTTAGTTTAGAATGGGTTGCTTGCTCCTCTTCCTCTGATGGAAATGACTTGATCGAGCCGTTTTTGATGTAATGTAAGCTGTGAGCAGAGTTGGACTTTAGCAACGTGCTGATAGAAGATACATTTGCAATAAAAGCAAAATTCTTTTTTATAGCCTCTCTTGTTTTCTTCCCCACACGCGAAGGTTTTGCATTATGCACCTTTTTTCGTACGCCATCCGCGTGATGTGGTTTTGAAAAGCGAAGAGACACAATATCATTAACAACTGTCTTATTACCCATCAAGATATAAAAGATCGTTCTTCTAAAAAGAAAAAGAAAAGAAAAGCAAAAAAGCAAATATTAGTTAGAACCATGTTCTAGAATAGGTTATAAAAATGCTTGCTTCAGATAAAAATGTAACTTACCATCTTCTTACTCCTTTCTGCTTTACTCTAAGCAAAAAGAAAAAAAAAAGTGATATGCAGATAAAAAAGAAAAGAGAGGCACAATAGGTACTCTTTTTATTATATTTGGTAAAAACAAAGCCTTTTTTAGCAACATGTTGCTTTGGTGAAACTAGTATCATTTTCCTCTTTTAGCATGGATAATGTCTTTTTCGTTTTAATTACTTTAAAAAGAACTTTTTCTCGACATTGCCCTACACACTGTTACCATGGTGACATTAACTCCTGATATTTGATTATTCCGAAGACACTTATCTAATGTGATCGATACACTAAAGAGAACGTTTTGCTACTCAAAATATCCTCTTAGATAGTAGTACCAAAGCTGATTAATAGGACCTAGTTTAGATGAACGCACAATATTACATATTTCTACAGTGTCTACAACATAAACAAACGACTGTTCGCAAAAACTGTCACGATTCAAAGCCTCGAATATCTTTTTTTCAAACAGACTGATGACGTTTATGCTGCAATTTCACAGTCTTGTTGTACCTGATGAATAAAAAACAAATTTATCTTTAGCATGCTCTACCTGTGATTTTCGGTTCAAAAAAGAGAGGAACCAGTGTCGGAGCTTCCGTCATTCCTGTTCTTTTTTTATTTCATTATCCATCTTTTGACCATCTCCATGCTTGTGTAAAATGGAGTTGACTCTTTTACAAGCGTGGTTAATACTATTTTCTGTGGTTCTAATATTCCTCTCAGGGCTTTGTTGGTGCTTTTGCTGTGGAACTTGTAGTAAGTGAACAAGTTGAAAGAGTGAAAGAAAAAGCTAATCTCTCGTATAGTCGGGAGAAGCATGCTACGGAACACTGGACTTGTAAAGTTTACGAGGGACGATGAAGAAGACAGATATTGGTACAGCCATGTACCTCTGCAAACCATTGACGAAGAAGAAGAGGAGCTTTAGCTTTATTAAATCTTGTCGACTTTAACTGTTTGTTCAGTTCTAACTGATTCTAAGCAAGCAACAATAAAAGCAAGGTGGTGGTAGGCCTCTTCAGTTGATACTCCCAGTGGTTTTTGATGACGAACAGCATGATAAAATGCAGAGAATTCACCTTCTACGTCACTTAAGCCATTGCCTGGTGCCTTCTCTTTTAAGCTTGTAATACAGCTGTTATCCACAAGTTGTCCTGATTTATCAAATAGTTCAATTTTATCTTCGTCTATTAAATGAATAGATCCTTTTGTGCCATGAATGACTAAATCCATCTTCTTAACACCTGCTGAACACTATATTTTTCATTAGTGTTATATATTATTTGTACTTGCGGTCTGTTACTCACAAAAGTAAAGTTGGCCACACCAATTGCTCCGCTCTCTAATTTGATCGTGGTAGCCAAAGTATCTTCACAGACATGTACACTATGAGTTGAGGTGGCAAATGCAGCAACAGAACTGAATTTGCCTAAAATAGGAACCAAATGAGCCATATCATGAACACAGCCATCACTAAGATATCCACTAAAAAAAGATATGAATGGGCGTTGTTTTTTCTACATAAAGAGAGGCCTTACCCAGGGTGTTCAGGATTCTGACGCCACTTGGTTGCATGATAAGGTAAATCGGGATTATATGGACGAGCAGAATCATATGTAAAGTTTATAATCTATACTTCTCCTGTTAGCTCAGTCCCATTTTTGGCTGTTGCATACTTACTTCTCCGATGCCACCATTTCTGACAAATTCTGCTACAGCATAAACATTAGGGTGATATGCCCAATTCTCATTAACAGCCACCACTGTCTTGGATCTCTCTGAGGCCGCGACAATGTCAGCTGCGTCCTTCAATGATGCAGCTAACAAAAGACGTATTAGCTTATATTAAACTTCTAACTTCTATAAACAAACCAATTGGCTTTTCGATCATGACGTGCTTATTTGCAGCAACTGCAGCTTCAACAATCTGATATTGATCAGTTACAGGTTTTGGCTTCTGGGGAGCATATTACCTCTTTATTAAATTGAACGGGCAAAAGCACGTCAATAGCTTCAACATTAGGATCATTGATCAAGTCGATAGGATCTGTATAGACAGCATTCTCGGGAATCCCTACCTAATATTGTATTTATATATAGTCTCTCCGAGTTTATGTCTTTTTGTTACCTCCTTGGCAAAGGCCAGTGCCTTTTCCTTGGATCTATTTGCGCACGCAACAATTTCAAATTTGTCGCCACCGACAGCTTTGTATGCTCTATGATGTCTGTAGGCAAAAATTCCTGTACCAATAATACCAACTTTAATAGGACCTGTAGACATGATGAATAATATAAAAAAAGAAAATGTGTAAAAAGCGGGAAAAAAAAGAAACAATTATGTAATTGACACTTTAAATTCAGACAACGCTAGTTTTTTTTTTTTTGGGCGAATCAAAATTTATTTTCAAATATCTCACTTACCTTTTTTGGATGAAATAAAAAAGGAAATTCAGATACAAAAGGAAATTAGCTTCAGACAAGTTGAGCATTTCACCAATTTTGGCCTTCGTTCACCAATAATGAGCTTCCTCATCTCAGTATTTATTCTATTGTACTTTTTGCCGCGACAAAGAGCTAATTCTGTATTTTGGGTGCCACTGGAAGTGTCGGCAGGGCGTTCGATGTTACTGAACTGGGATATAATTGTGTGAAGTTTGCACTGGATGTTGTCAAATACGTGAAATAAAGAGAAGAAAAATAAATGTACAGGAAAGAATAAGAGTTACGCGTTTCTTAAGTCTTGATTAGACATTGATTATGGTTTTAGATGTTTCTGTAGATTATATTAAGCTATATGATGCCGCTCATATCAGCTCGATTAATCACACTCTTGAGTTAAACTCTGCCTGCTATTGGATACTTTATGAAAATTAATCACACCTTTGAATTAACAACAATATTGTTAATGTCATTTTTTCTTTATTTTTAAAGTTATGCGTATACCGATTTATCCAAATGTTGAAGCTTTCATACAAGCTAAAAAACAGCAAATATGAAAGTCTACAATGAAAACAGAGGCACAAAAAAAAATCGAACGTGGAGCAAATTGAAACACGTATGTCTTCCCCAAAAACCGCATGCATTGACCATTATATAATGTATATAACTTGTGTATTTCAGCATATGGATGTCTTGTTGAATTTTTACAGTTTTGAAACTGCAAGAGCTAAATGGTGTAGCTACATCGGTGGCCAGCGCGCGGATGAAAATGCTGTCAACATCCTCACTAATGGATCAAGGAAATATAACAAAAGAAAAAGAAACAAGACGAAAAGAAATAAGAGGAAAAGAAGAAGGACGAAAAAACATCAAAGCAATCCTCCTTGTGCCCTTACAAATCAAGGGGAAAATGTATCAAGGTATTACTCATATTCATGAATACTTCGTATTATTGTTCTTCTAAACTTTTTTTTTTTCGAAAAGAAACACAAGAAAAAATTTGAGGAAGGTCACCGGACTAAAATGCAATTGATAATTTTCGGAGACGGCATGAAAAATAAGGACCATGTCAAGTTCAAAGGTCTTCGGTGTGGTGTTTCTGACAAGTTGTACAAACAGCTTCAACGACGTGAGAGGTTAGGGGAACTTCTTCTCCTAGGTATAAACGAGCATAATACCTCGAAGGTATACAAAAACAACATTCATTTAATATTGATAAACGTATAATAAAATATCACTTTTTCTATAGACGTGCAACAGCTGCTTGGAGAGCAACTTGCAAAATCTTAGGTGTGGAAGCGGCGAAGATGAATGCAAGATCCATCAAGCATTAATTTGTAAAAGATGTAATATTTTTTGCAATTGTGATGTGATGGGCGCTAAGAACATGTTTACCATTGCTGAATCCACCTGGAACGGCAATGGTCACCCTAATGTCTTCCAGCGACAAAGCACCACCTCCAATGTGGTTGTCACGTCTCACTCCGGTGGGGCGCTGGCTTAAATATTTTCCTTTTTTATTTCATCCAAAAAAGGTAAGTTAAATATTTATAATTTAATTTTGATTCGCCCAAAGAAAATTAACATTGTCTGAATTTAAAGTGCGAATACTGTAGGAAAGAAACAAGCTTCAAAGTATATGATGTAAGGATACAAGCTTCCATTTGTTCATAGTGTCTCTTTTATTTATAAAATACGAACAAGGCTTATATTTAACAAACATTCATGATAATAATAATAATAGTTTATACATGTTTTTTCTTTATTTTTTAGTTTTTCCTGGTATCCAGGACATTCTTCTTTTTTCAGGGTAATTGTTGCGGTTATTATTATGATTGGCACCCAGCTTTTTATCAAGTAATAGCTGTGCATATTGTTTAATAAAGTACTTTGAGCTCATACTAGCCGGACAGATATCATTGATTGGTAGCAGAATCAAGTCGGGTGGTATCTAGTCAATTCATTTATACGCTGCCTTTTATAATAACGTGTACCAAAACTTACCACAGACAGCTCATCTCCGTATCGAATCAAATGTTCAATAACGGTAATCTCTTCTGTCAAGGCTGCACTATCATGACGACTACTTGCAGTCGTGCTGCTACCATTGCTATTATGACGTGGTTTACCATAAAGCACACTGGGCGCGATCACGCGTGCCAAATTACAAACGTCCATCTTGTTGGTATCACTAAAGCCTGATATCCACTTTAAGCAGCAGAATATCATCAGCATTGTATCTCGGTTCGGCTTTGGTAAAAGGCAGCAGGCGATGTGCAGTAGCCGTTTGCTGTCTTTCATCTTGCCGCAATGTATAAAAAGCTTGTAAAACTGGAATGTGAGAAGAGGCTCAGGTAGCTCTCGAAGGTATCGCTTTAACAGAGCTGCAAGCTGGATAGGTGATTGGTTAGCTAACAAGCTATTCATCGTTTCATCAATGGATCGTTTTGGAGAGATCTCGTCGTACAGTTTATCGACAGATTCCGCTAGTAACTTTAGTTGACGTATATTGCCATTCTTACGAAAGACTCCTTCAACCGACATATCTATAATAAAATAAATAAATCTCCCCCCTTCTCCTTTTTGGACATATGCATTTCTCCTTTAATTATTTACCTGACTGAAGTATAGCCGATACTAAACTTTTCACAAAGGTGGGGATCAGTGCATTCTGTGAAAATCCAGCCATAAGACTCACACTGCAGTCGTGAAGCGTTACAGCCGGTATTGAGCTTGTGCCCTGCGTCTTTTCTTCTACTATATGCCTTTCCTTGTCCTTATTGACCAGTGCTGATAATGAAACACCAAAGATTCCATTGGCTTGCTCGACATGTTTCGTTTTGATGTGCGTAATCAGTTTTCCCCAAAGAGCGGAGGGTGAATGGTGATGATGTTGTTGGTTTGAATTAGAAGGAGACAATGTCTTGTATTCATGTTCGAGAATATCAGCTAGACCATCGATTGTGAAATAGGGCGCGAGTAAGGGTTGGATGGTGATGACGGCGACATGTCGGAGAACATAGTCTTGAGAAGGTGTTAAGGTAGACATTTGGATCAGTCTACTGTTGGAAGGATGTCCTGTATCATCAATCGTAAATACAGATGCCCTTCTGGCCTGATTACCACGCTTGGAATAGCGTCTGAGAAGATTATAAATAGGATTTGTCTCTTGTCTTTGGCTAAACTTGCGTGTCATGCTCTTTCCACTGCTGATACTAAATGCACGTCGAACACTACCGACAACACTGCCTCTTTGATTAGGCTTGTCTGTTTCATCGTTACCATCGACTAGGGCGGATTGAACCTGACCTAGGTGAATGGTATTTGCTTTATTTCGCTGATGTTCTTGCTCTGCCTTGGTTTCGATTAGGCTAAATACAGGCTTTTGCCGTTTTAGACTAAAGGCCATCGGATGCTCTTTATCTACGTTTTGAGAATGAATTCATTATCAACCGCTCTTTTTTCTTTTTTCTTTGCTGTGCATTATCTATATATTACCTTCTATAGGGCTAGCCGTAAGTTTTTTATCTATCACAGGATATGAAGACATCCGGGAAACATGTAATTTAAGGCTTTGCAGATGTTGATGCAGTAAACTCACACGCGTGCATGGAAAGATAGAACTATTGGAGTGGCGACACGCCTGGCAGAGCAAGGCATTGGAAGGGCCTAAGGCGATCTGGTCGGCCAGCTTGAGATCAGTCGAGCACGCGGAACATGTGAAGCAATAAGGGTGCCAATGCACATTCTTGTCCTTGCACCTGTAATACTCATCAGAAATACCCAGATTGCACTTGCTACAGAGAGTGATTTGTGGCAAGTTTTCCAAGGAAGGAGGATCCTTGAACCAGTACCTTCCAGCTATCCACACACGTTTCTTTTCAAGTTCGAGCAGGTGCTGCAGAAAGTCCAGAATGGCATGGTTGACATTGAATTCACGTTCCTATCATACATTTACTTACTTAGGTTAAGTTTGATTTTAATCAACCTGATCACGTTTAATTTACCAAACGCAGTGCATTCGTCAAGCCGATACGGATGAGCGACTTGAGACTTTGTGCTAATCCGGTAACAAGAGAGAGTAGGTCCTGAGTAATACTCGCATCTGACTTTTTGGGGATGTTTAGAAGCTGAAGAAATTGGATGACCTGAACGCAAATGAGATTAGCTTCCTTTAAACAATTTATGCCTGTATTTTTAAAAAAAATTAGTTAAGCTACCAAAGCTTTCTTTTTTTTTCTTACTTACTTTGCTGATGCTTGACCAAATGCATTTCAATAAAGTCAATGGCATTAAACAAGACTTCGAGGTGCATGATAAACTGACGAGCGATACGAATCGTCTCATTGTACGAGCCAGCAGCAACGTTCAGGAGTAGATCGGATATACAGTTGGCTGCTGATTCTTCAAATGAAGACAAATCTGTCCATACACGGTTTACAACCTTCTCCATAGCTGCTTGAAATTCGACTAATTCATCATTATCTGAAAGAGTCAAGTTAGCAAGCGTAAGAACAATATATAATATATCTGTATACCTGGTTCATGCAATGAGGCCAGTTTCACACTCCAAAACTATTTATAAATGTTGTTAGACCTTATCGTCATTGGTGTACATACACATTATTACTTTATAAATCATGTAGCATTCTGGATGCCATATCTTTTCGGGCATATCACGATGTTGAACAAACTGTTTGAGTATAGCTTGATTACAACCAGAACAATGGGTATCACGTATAAGTGAATAATGAATTCGACAATAGCTTTGGCCATTGTATTCATAAAATGAAGATCGATTGTTACCCGTGCTATTATTAGATGATGTCGGGCAATGAGGGCACTGGATACAGTCAGGGTGAAATCGTTGTCCAGAACAAGGTCTATCGCATTTAGGACAGATCGAGTCAGATCTCTTCATGTAGTGGTATTTACATAGTATGATTTTTCTTCTTCTTCTATTGGATGATTCCTCAATTGAATAATATTTTTCGGCTACTGGTAAAGAACAATCCTAAGGCATGTGAGTATCTTTTTGTTATTATTATTATTATTATTATTATTATTTACTTCGCAAACAAAACACTGGTAATGATACACTTGATTAAGAGCTCTGACGAATCTGCCATCACTCTTAAGACAACTTTGATTACACTTGGGACAAATAGGAAAAGAGTGCCTGTGCAAAGGTTGTGCTGGTTTAATTACTGGCGAGTGTGTGGCTGAATAGTCAGTGCTGACAGTATTGTTAATCTCTTCTGTACTCATTCAAACAAATGTATGTATGTGTGAGAGAGGACACAAAACGAAAAGTTAAAAAAGTGAATAAACAGAAAAAGAAGAAAAGAATAGAAAACAAAGAAAGAGAGAAAGAGAAAGAAAGACAAGCTACTACAATAGGTACCGGTTGCCTTATGCAGTGAAGTTTCCTTTTATATTATCTGGCGAAAAAAGAAAAAAAAACGAAAAAGAAAAAAAAAGGGGGGCTAAAGGGACAGAATCTTTTAATATTCTATCGTCTATAGTTTTTTTTATTATCTCCTTCTTTTTTGATGAATTGATCATCAAAAAAATAAAGAAACGATTTAAGCTCTGATTGTGTGTATTCTTGTGTATTCTTTTGTGAGAGTGTGAGCGAAATTCTGTTCTTTTTCAAAGTCCTCTCCTCTTTAAGCTAAATCAAGTAGTACAATTATGACCCTGACCTTCCACTGCCGATGCGTCAGTCACGATTCTAGATATTAGATAGCAAGATCTATTATCCTTCTCACATTAGCTTGAATTGTAAAAATCATTTTAGCAATAGATAAATGAGTGTAAAAAAGATAAGCACACAAAAAAGGGGGAAAAAATGATTCATGTCTGTGAGGTAGTTTAGAGAGCCAATGTGCATCGTGCAACCAGCATTATAAGGGCATGCATTTTGTATCACACTAAGAGACAAAGCATCACTTGCATTGATCAAGTGAGCAAAATGAACTCGCAAAGTTTAAAAGAGAATCTTTTATCTCGCAACTACAAACATAAAAAGAGAAAAGAACGAGAAACAACAAAGAGAACAATTGGTTTACAAAAGGACTTTAATCGCACTTGTATCTTAAAAGGCAATATTACCGTGTCACAATGGCCAAGACAGACAAAGTCCTCTATTGATCGACCAAATGGAAGGATCACAATGGAAACTACGGTTTCTATGACCACAATAACTATAGTCCCTAAACCCATAAGATTAAAATATTTTAAAAAAATGCAAAAAGAAAGGCTAAGCTTTGATAATGAAACTAGAAAATATCGAATGTCATGCAAAAATTCAACTGTGTGAGCTTGCTATTTTTTGAAAAAAAGCTTATTTCATTACCAAAAAGACCAGAGAGTGTCATTTCGATCTCACCCGTTAAAACAAGAATAAGATGAAGCAGTAAAAGGTATAAATAAAAGTGAATCTTTAATGTCAATCCTACTTTTTTTTTTTTGAAAAAAAAAAAATGCTGTTGAAAAAGCTATCTTTTCGTAAAGTACTCAACATGATCGGGTTCAAGAAGTGTAGACATAAGTATAAGACGAGGATACCTGATGATGGTGATGATGATGGTGACGATAATCACGATAACAGTTATACTGTTACTCCTAGTTCGACTGGCTCGAGCGTTCCCAAACTTATGGCTAATGATGAAAGTATCGATTCACCTTATCGTCCTTATCCTTTAATGCCTACTGGCCTATCAACTTGGGAGAGAAATGCGATCCGTAATCACTCAAATTATAGACATGACTATAGTATTCCGAAAAATCCTGTCATCTTTGAACGCTTTGCAAAGTACGAACGTTAATAATATTTTTAATAAAAAAAAAACGCGCTGATGGCGTCATTACAGAACAATAGTATGTTTAGTTCAATTTGAAAGACGCGCGCCCAGTTCATTTTCATTATGATCGTCTAGATTTCGATAGACTTTTTTATGCAATCATCAGAGTTACACCAAGATCACGGAGTCTATTCTGTTTATGTTTCTTTGTTTACATGCGTTTAATCGATTTCATTATAAAACTACAGAAAGTAAAGTCACGGGTTTTTAAAATGAGAATATGGGTGGAAAAATGTTGTTCAAAACGATTTTGATTTTTTCAGTTGCTTGGGCTGTCAACTCTTCGACATAGTCCTTAGAAAGTCGGATGTCCTTTTGATGTTTCAGCAAGTGATGACCTTGTGATACGTCTTGGATATATAAAGTAAAAAGGAAATGCGTATCTACAAGTCTCTATACAATCTCTTTATTACGAGCAAGATGAGAGAGGGAGCTCATTATTACAAACAGCGAGGCTCTATATGCAAACAGAGTTATTAAGGAACCGATGTAGTTATGGCATTATAAGTTAATAGGATGGATTTTTGTCAGTCACTCTGCATTGTTTATTCTTAGAGTACAGACTTAGAGTAACCTCACTATGTACTTATAGGTGAATACGACATTAACGGTACGAAAGTACTTAACATCAGGGCTACAACCAGCATCATAATCAGTGAGAGTGAAGATTGTGTAAGGGCGACAGTTGTGAGATGCCGTCAGCAGATCAGGAGCTCTGCATTAGGTGTATGCGGTGGGTAAATCAAATTTGCTTCAAATTTTTCTCAATTAATATACGATTGCTGTATCCGAAATTCACAATGTTTCCGGAGAAGCAACCACTGCCACGGGCATCTTGTAAGCATTTGTAATCGAGGTAAATTTTCGTCAACAAAGAGACTTGAATGATAGGCAGCTTGAGATCCAAAGGACTGATCCAACAGATGGCAGCGATATGATATTCAGCCGGATACACGAGGTGCCAAGAGCATTGGATGCCCGTGCGCCGATCACCAATTTCAGTTCACAGAGAGCTCTGGAGGGCTACGGGCCACACACTGCAATACATAGTTTTGATGAACGGTGGCAGCAATGTCGTTTTGACATGTTTTCATGCTACAAAACATCTTGTGATACGCATCAACCTGTTTGCACGGCTGTACACTTTCATTATTTACAAAAACTGCCTGTGTGTTCGCCTTGTTTTTAAGAATGGATCCAGCCAAAGCTTTTTCAAAAAAGCACTTGACCTGGAAGTAATATTTCCAATTCCTGTTGAAAAGCGAGTATACGTCTTGCACATTATCAGAGTAAAATATGTATTGTCATTTATTACATAATCTATATCAACATCTTCACAGGTCTCTCTGAAGGCTTATTCATTATAAATTGATTACGAGAACTTATTGTTTCAATTGCAAGTAGCTCTTCTTCAACAACAAGATCCTAGGCTCGACCTTCATATTCATCGACAACATGTCCTTGTTCACCTTGTATTAAAAACTGGATACTTGTTTTCGGATCAAGGGACATCATGTCTAGACACGGAATATTCTTGCACAACACCAAATTCAAAAAGCGCGATTTTCTAGTGTCTCTTCACCAAAGGTGACACGGTTACTTGATTTAATGCGAAATATCATTGTATTCAATAAAAATTGTCTTTTCGTTTTTAAAAATTGAGGGTTTTTACAAGTTACTCAGATATTTTGAATGACACATTTACCCACTTAGTTTCCATAGTTATTATTAGTAAGTGATTCTGTGCCAATATTACAAAATGGCTGTAGCTTTATTGTTATTTGGTAATCCTAAGCTTAGCGTTTAGTGCTTCAACCTCTTTTATTAGTTTGAACGTTTCCTCTGAATCAAAAAAGGATAGCTTTTCTTTTAACTCAGCCGCTTCTTTTCGTAGTAAATCATTATGTTCTTGCAGCTGTTGTATCTTTGTCTTTAAATCTTCAATATACATCTTTTTCTTTTTGCGGCATTCCTTAGCAGCTATCCTATTTCTCCATAACCGTCGCTGCCTTCTTTCTTCTGCTGATAGATCCTTTATTGGCCTTGATTCCGTGCTAGACTCTGTCGTATCACTTGTACCTTCTTCTTGAACAGGTTCTATGAGACTGAGTGGTATTGTTGTCAGAATGAACGGATTTATGAATGAATGAGCGAATAAGGTTAATGAAGAGGTAGGATGATGTGTCTCATTGGTCATTTGAATGAGCATGTCGTCTTGTTTAACATTACTCACTTCATCAGGACTTGACTTGCTTTGACTCATTGAATAAATAAAAATAATAAAGAGAAAAAAAGGGGGAGAAGGCAAAAGAGAGAGAAAAATAAGTCAAGCAATGGTACCTTAATGATTTATGCGCTGAATTCAAACTTTTTCATTGTTATGTGGGAGAAATTTGATATTTAAAATTCATATTGATTTTCGCGTAAAAAGTGAGAAAAGATGTTGTCCCTTAAAGAAGGGAAATAAAGGGGGGATATGATCCCTTTAAGAAATAAGGAGAGGACTATCTCTTTTTTTTTTTATCTCTTGGTGTTGATTTCTTTCTTTTTACCTCTTTGCCTTTTTCCCTTTTTTCTTGTTCGATTCCCATGGTGGATAATCATCACAAGAATATTACTACTCATATCACCTATGCTTCACTTTCCTCTAACCCGACAAGTAAAAGTGAAGTGGCAATTACTCATATGCCCTCTAGTTCTACTATCATCACACCCTCTTATGTTACTACTGCTACTGCTGCTACCATCACCTCGTCTGTCCACACTATCTCATCAGGATTACCCACGTCAATAACAGACACGAATGAAGGAGAAGCATTGTTGCCACTGATAGGTCCATTAGTAGGGGCTATCATTGGCTTAGGGTTATTAACATTTATTACACTCTACTGTATTCAGCAGATGAGTAAACCAAGAACGAAAAAAGAAACGTCATGGTCTAGTTTAAACAGTATCGAGCAAGGTCCTCCTCCTCCTGTTTATACGCCAGTGGCAACACCAACACCAGTCAAGGAAAAAAGGTTGACAGCTGACACATTGGTCGATCCATCCTCCTTTTCGATGACGATGCTCAAGTCACAATATTCACCCCAACTCGCACTTAGTCCCAGTTTAGTTGCAGGAGAGCTACATCATCATCAACAGGAGGAAACGATTCCGCCCGTACCTAATCATCATCATCATAATAATAATACGATATTATCACCTTCCAATACTCTAATTGATCCATCTGATTGGATGAATCAAGAGAAAGTGGAAGCATATGATCCACAATTACAGTTAGATAAAGACAACTAATAAACTATATATAGTAAAAGAGTTTATAATATTGCTCATTCTTTTATTTTGTTCGCTGCGTTCCATATTTGCCATATACAGGTTTTAACTTGGATTAAACGATCAATAAATAAAGTTATATGCATAGTATATGGATGTAAAAAAAAAAAGAAGAAACTTGACAAACAGTATTTTTATTAACTATCAGTGGCAATCGTCATGACGTTATCTGATGTATCTCGTCATAGTAATTTATATGTTTTGTACATAAGGGAAACTATTACCAGCGGGATTATGGACAGATTCCAGATTTCTCTTCAGATAAGCATATGTTGCTTTCCGTTTGGTCAAAGATTTTTTTTTATTCAATATTTATGTTCTATTCATTAGAAGCATGAATATGTCAGAAAGAAGTTAGTATTATAACTCTAGCTTGTTTATTGTTGTCAAAAGATGACAACAATAAGCTACTAATGATTTCAATATTAAAACATTGATACATTACGATCTACATGCATATGTCTCTGACCAAATTAAATGCGACTTATTTAATGTCATTTACGTCTAATAATGTTGCCTATAGTTGATATTATAGCCTTTATGGACTCGTCAATGTCCAAGTGTAATAAAAAAGTACCCGAGAAATACAGTGCTTTAATAGGTAAACAAGAATATAAATCAGCCAACTCAAATCGTAAGCTCTTTTAGATACCTTTTTTTTTCTTTTTTTTCTTTTTCTTTTTACTCTGGTTATCAGTTGCGAAAATACGACAGTCTGCTAAAGACAAACATATTTGCTCTTGGTCATTCAAATTTCAACATCTGTGACAAGGGGGAACATTGTTGAACTTAAATGCAAAGGTTTCTTCTTTGTCTCGTTCTCTCCCTCCCTCTCTCTCTCTCCTTCTCTTGTATTAGCTTTACTTTTGCATCCACTAAATATAAGAAATATGAAAGTGAGGTAAACAAGCGCAAAGCATTTAAACCTAATCAAATTGATGGACAAAGAGCAACAAAAAGCGTTTACCTCCTTGCAGTGAAACTGATCGCTCTCTCTTTCTCCCTTTCAAGCAGCAAAGTATGCTCCAAGAACAAGACAACATTTCGTTCGAAGCTTAAGGGTACAACCGAAGGAGCTTTTGTTAAAAGCATTCTTATTAAATTGCTTACAGCTATCCTAGTTGTTGATCACACAAGCCAATCAGTATATACTGAATTCCCTATTTTCGAATTTACTACACTTGTTGGAACTTCTAGAACATGATCAATAGCTGTTGTTGCTATTTAAAGTTTAATTTACAACAATTAGTATTCTCTGGTTCTCAAGGTAAGCACAAGTCTCTGAAAGTATCAACCAAAATATCACTTGGACCAATTCAAGTAAAAGCTTATAACTATTGTATTCCCTTTACGATCAAACAATACATAAAACAATGGCCCTAGCTACATGTGCTCAACCTATAAAGATAGAACTGCGGAATATATATTTCTTAATGTGTTCAAATGGCTCCACCTTTTTTTTTTTTTTGTTGCCGATAACTTAAAATTGAATCAACGCAAATCTGCCAAAGATAATATCTTATACCTGTCCCTGTAAAGAGAGTGGGTGATTACCATTTATCTTCTATATAGAATCGCGCAATATGAATGATGTATTGAATAGATTTGATATATAGATCATAATGATGAATTCAAGTTATATATAAATATGCTAGGGTAATCTATAAAAAGACATCTCTTTATTAGTCAAAAGCAAAGGGAATTTCATACATTCTATAATAAATCAGATCATGCTTTTATATAAAGAAAGAAAGGATAAAAAACATTGAATGGGCTGATCAATAATTATAATAATAAACAAAAAAAAAGTGAGGTGAGGATTTTAAACCAATCATTTGTTTGAATTCAATAAAAAAGTGGCCTGTTGTTATATTCCTAGTTTAACCTTACATTATAAAGGAACCCTTTACTTCCTCCCTTTAGTTTTTTTCTCTTTAACTGCTTTTTTTATATATATTTATGATGTTACAAGAATTGTCTGATTTAGACTTTGACGCTTATTTTGAGGTCGCAAACTCAAATCAGCAAAATAATAATCGTGATATACTTTATCATGAAGACCAACAACAAAATAGACAACAACAGAGTAGGCAAGAAGATCAAAATGAATCTAATAGTTCAATGCTACCCTCAATAAGCTCGCCTACAAACAATAATAACAATAGATATTATTCATCCCCACTACAACATAACACACAACAACAGCAATCCAACTTTCTATTCAATTGGGGATTACAACAACAACAACAACAGCAGAGACAAACTCATATTTCTCCTTCTAGTTCACCATTGTCCTCTTCAGATGGGTACACTTCTCATTCTTTATCACCCCCTATGAGTAGTCCTCCTTTATACTCTATTAATGCCATCAAGGATGAAGCCAATAAAGCCTTGGCGGGCTTCTTTTCAAACAATAAAAAATGTCTGTACACTCTAAACCACGATGTACCTGGCATCAACATACCAACAACGCCCATGAACGATATATCTCCTCAGCAAGCCATGTCCACAACCCATACTGAATTGCCTTCTCCACCATTAGATGTACCAGTGGCGAATTTTTCATCCATGAATCAGTGGTGTCAATTTAAAAGTATGCATATTAAAATATTCTTTATTTTCTTTACTTATTTGTATCTATAGGTCCTGTTCATCCGTTGGATGAAGATGAAGATGACAAAGATGATAAACACTGGCGCAAGACAACCCGACAGGCTACCATACGCACCATTAGTGATCCTAATCTGATCCATGCTCCTGGAAAACAGCTCAAGAAGGTGGCCCACAACGCCATCGAACGTAGATACCGAAACAATATCAACGACCGTATCCGTGAGCTCAAGAACGTTGTTCCTGCCCTCTACAAGGCACGCGTTAGTTCAGGGTCCGCTCATCACCATGACAAAGACGATGACAACAGTTCAACCGATTCCGAAACGGAAATTGTCGATGGCGTTGAAGTTGCCAAGAAACTGAACAAGGCTACTATTCTGCGCAAGGCAACCGAGTATATCCAGTTCCTCAAAACGTCCAATGAACGTGTGGACAAGGAAAACCTCATCCTTCAGCAAATTATCGCTCAGATGCCTGGTGGTCAAGAAGTTCTCTCACGGTTCCTCTATCAGAAGAGTGAATTTGAAAAGGCTGAAAACGAACGTCTGGCTCGTGAGCGTCGTGAGGCTCAGGAACGTGAGCGAATCGAACGACAAAAATTGCTCCGTGAACGTGCTGCTCAACGTGCCGCCTTAGCTCAGCTCTTGCCTAAACCGGAAAGAAGACCCTATCGCCGTCGTCAGTCAAAAAAGACATCGTCCAAGAAATCTTCCTCTTCTGAAGACGAGACAAGTCCAAATAACAAAGTATTTATGGCTGCCTTCATGTGCCTCGCATTCTTTACTGCGGCCCCTTCTTCCAGCCCAATCCCTCATGAGCCTCAAGGCGGTTTTACTGATTTTGGCAACACAAGTACCAGTAGCACCTATTACAGAACCTTGTATAACGCCACCTTTTTGGATATTTGGTAAGCTTATACTTTATTTTGATCATTATTCCTTTATTTACATGTCTTTAGGCCAATAGCTCGTTATGCCATCTATACCTTTGGCTTATTTTATCTTTTGTTACTTCCTCTTGCTCTTCGCTGGCTGCGCCCCCGTCCTGTCAAGAGACCCAAGAAGTGTCTTGACCACTGTCATTATGCAAGTGAAGTGCCTACTGCCTGGAGCCGTCTGTACATCAACCTAGTCCAACTTGTCGGCAAGTCTTCCCCAACAATTATTCTCAAACATCGAAATGATCTCCACTCTATCCTACTTACCCTCGTGGATATAACGCGTGACCTCGTCTATCTTTTGGTACCTCAGTTCATGCTCCAGTTTCTTCACAGAAACTCCAAGCCCTCGGGTTGCCCTGAGGAGCTCTCTCGTATCGGAGCCTGGATCCGTTTGAACGAAGTCGAGTGTCTTGGAGGTACGCATTGAATAATGACACCATCCTAATAAATACCCTTTGCATTGACTCCATTTGCTTTCTTGTTTCCTTTTTTGTTCTCTATTTTTAGGTAATCCCGATATCTCTCGTCTCAGCATGCTTCACTCCTCTCTTGGTATGCTCGCTCAACTTCACAAAATGAAGCGTGACAAGGACTATGTTACCTACTGTGGCCACAACACCATTGCTCGTGTTCATGCCAGCATTGCCCTCCAGCTCGAACTCTGTCTTCCCCCCTGGATTGCTTCCCACGTTGTCCCCGCACAGTGGCAAAAGGTCATTGACTGCTTAAACAGCAAAAATGAAGATGAGGTCATCACTCACCAGTTTCTCACATCCGAATGTCATACCCAAATCCTCCACATGCTGAACGCCCGTAACGGATTTAACCACGGTGCCTACCTCTTCCCCGAAGACCCCACACAGTCTGGTAGCGACAATTGCCGCAACGTGTTCTACTCCTTTGTCCTTCCGTATGTTACTTCTCCCTTAGACCTGGTTCTTTACTGGCAGCAGCTCGCCCGTCTAGAGAACTGCTGGTTTGACTACCTTGATGGTGTCCGCCCCGTCTTTTCTGAAAAGCAGCTCAACCAGGTTCTTTCTGTATCGGCCACGACGACAGCCCCTGGTCACATGCTTCAGTGGTGGGTTCGTGTCGGTCTTGCCCTTGAATCACTTACCAAGGCCCAACAAGAGAATATGGACATCTTGGCTGAATACACACGGGCGAAAGGAGCAGCCATCAACAGCCACCCATCATCCAACCTGCTACGAAGACACCAGAGCATGATCTGCCATTTACTCGAAGCCGCCTGCGCTCTCGTCCAAAACACTCGCCTTGAGCGTGTGCCTATGTTACTTGAACAAGCCTCCAAGGATCACTTTGCGTCATCCGAGTGTATTCGCCAGATTGCTTCGACTGATTCGATGCCATCCAGCAACTATGAGGCTTCTGTCCTTGTTCTGTCTACTTTGGCTGTTCACTTACGTACCTTGAAGGCTCTTATCATTCATCAAAGCTTAACCTCAAGACGCCAATCGATTTCGGCTCCACCTTCGTTCTCGGCTAGTCAAGCATCTACATATATTGCTCAGTTACGAGATCAAGTACTTCAAGATTTAGATTCTCCTTATGCCAAGTCCTTGGCTGGAAAGTGTAGAAAACATATCCAGTCTTATATTTATCAAGCAGACGATACTCTTAGTCTGTAAACCATTCTTATATTTTATATATATTCACATCTATTTATTTCCTTCCTTTTTCTCTCTTATTGTAATATATTCTTTTTTCTTCTTCTTCTTTGATTATATGTATTTTTTCTATAAATATCAACCTCTGACAGTTTATTAAATGAAAAAACGCGTTTAAATTCATTCTCTCTAACTAGACATGTATCGTGTCTGATGAAGGAAGAAGATATACGAGACTGAGAGAGTATACTTTTGTTTGCGTTAATGAATAATGTCATTTTTATTCATGCGATGGTATATATACCATAGGAAAAAAACACTCAAAGCATTGATATACATGTACAAATACGAAATATAACATTGTAATGAACGTCGAAAAAGATATGTATATGGAATCCAGGTAAATGAACGAAGTTTTTATTTGGAGAGAAATGACGAACTGCAAATATCTGACGTCGTCTATAGCTGAGACTTAATAGAAAACTAAGAGAGCTGTGAGCTTTGTAAACATTATGTAGGCTTAATATCAAAGTATGCACTTGCGATATCTTTTTATGATGTTTACTGATTATTTGCTCATCATCTGACGAAGCCTTCTATTACAATTTGTTTACAAAGAGGGAGAAATAATCATCTTTTCTAAAAGGAAAAGTTTAGATCGTCTGATTTCGAAGTTATTGCTACTGTTCATTACTACTGAAAACTCAGCAATTTCTATAAATAACCTTCACATCCGTCTTTCTTTTTCTCTACTTTATATAATCTATTATCAACATGAGTGAAGACTACGAAGGAGGACGCCCTAGAGATGACGGCATCATTCGATATGGGTAAGCGAAACATATATCAATACGGTGACATCGTCATGAACCGCGCATGGTTTTTAATAGTGATCATATCTCTCTTAAACACATCCTCACTGGCCGCTTTCTTACTTCCAAGAATGAAACATACAACAGCGGTTCATATCAACAAAGGGTATTCACGAATGACTATGTAAGCGACGAAAGCACCTGGATTGTGCTTCCTCCTGTCGTGACTGAGGAAGAACCTGGCTATGAGGTTGGTTGGGATGATCCTGTTCGCCTCAAGCACGTTCCTACACGCGCCAATCTCCATTCACATGAAGTTCCAAGCCCTGCATCGGGTCAGCAAGAAGTCTCTTGCTTTGGCGATGATGAAAACACTGATGATAACGATGTCTGGAAAGTTCAACAGTTTGATGAAGATGATGAACAATATGATGATGTAAGCATAGCTTGTATAAAAATTGAAACAAGTATTTATTTTCTTGTTTTTTTTTTTGTAGTTTTGGCGCGTAGGTCAGCCCTTTATTTTGCGTCATGAAGTAACAGGCAAGCTGCTTCACTCTCATGACGTTGCTCTTGAAGAGGGTGGTAATGAAGTCACAGGATATGAAGGCACAGATGACAATGACAAATGGGTTGTCAGTTTTGATTAACTCTGTATTATATGCGATTAAATAAACAAACACTTTAACCACTCAATTGAGCTCATGATGACTTAAAAAATATCATCTCATACCATTAGCCAGGTGTAGATTGCGTCTTGGCGGATAATACACTTTAGAGCTGCTTTTCTATATTTTTCAACTAAAATAACTTGTATAATTGCTTTCATTTCGGTCAGATCCCTCTTTTCACCGCTTCATCTTTAACAACAAGTCTCTGGGCGTAAACAGAGGACCCTTAGATCTTTAATAAATGCTTGATAAACAATCGATGAAGCCTTCTGAGAGATCAAGTACTGCTTAACATCGTCTATTTCGTATAGGATCCAACCGATTAGCCGAGGAGGTGAGACAGCGGCGGTAAAATCTGCATTCGGCGTTGGTGGTCACGTTCAGCGACATTGTTCTATGGGATGGGAGTGGGATAGCTAGGCTCCCTACATTTGAAGACTTGATTGGTTCGTTCGCTGCGTAATATTACCGTAGACGAAAGAACTGTCTTCGCAAATAGTAGTTGCAAGCACGTTGAGTTGTGAACAAGTAGGGCAACAAGGTGAGGGCTCAGGTAATGTATATCGAGAGCACGGCTGGTGTTAATATGCAGCTGCCGTAGATGAAAGCGTAGTCACCTGTAGGGATACAGCGCTGGACAGAAACGTAAAGGTATCTAAAAGCTTGACTTGAAGAAAGAAGGCTAATTGTACAAGCAGCGGCAGCTTGGCTTGGAAGAGGTTTTGCAATATTTGGTCTTGCAACCTTAATTGGCGGAGGGAGCTCAGGATCTAGAGGGAAATGTCGGTTCTAGGAGGATTAGTGTTGCCATTGTGTCTCAGGTGGACGGATGACAGCAGAGGGATTTGAGGTAGGCAGTTTAGAGATAGGGTAAATCTGAGCTAGGCGCTCACGAAGAGAAGGATTTTGTTGTTGAGGTTGTGCTATTCCTGTTTGTAGTTGCTCTAGCATTGGTATAGTATGGGTACACTTCTAATTAATATATAGAAAGTGATAGAAAGCGGAAAGAAAAGCCCTTATTCTGTATTTGAGGAATATTCACGATAGAAAGAGTACGATTAATGAAAAGCATTCCAAGCGCAATCAATGAGTTTAAAAATGCATTATCAAGATTTTCTTTATAGAAAAAATAATACCGTCTGCAGTCCAAGGATCGAAGGGAAAGGCATAGCCGTCAGAGAAACGACTAGTATGCTGAACAACATAATTATGCAAGGTATTGACGCATAATAATCAAAAAATTGGATCCACCTTATATCCCTTAAAGGCTTGTAAGCAGTAGCTAACTGCTTTCTACAGAAACAATTGATTAACCGTGTTCTGAATTTCCACAACAATTGGTGGAAGATTAAGAATTGACGATTTTGGTTCATGATGGACATCAATCGAAGCTCTTATTGCATGCTTGTCGTTCACTTCATTTTCAGCTGGTATGTCTATCCGAACCCTTCAACACGTTTTCTTATTTGATTCAAGCATTAAATCATGCTGAATCACCACAAGTTTATGAAAAAGGAATAAGGGGTTTGGCTGAACTCAAATGTAAACTTCCGACAAGAGCGCGTAATAGAAAGAGTATATGTCACGCCGCTTTATACTAGTAAAAAGTCCATGCATCTTCTCCCTTTCCAGTTGGTTTATAAGAATAATGACACCATAATCATAGTAGAGAGCTTAGGTAAAGTAATCCATCCCTGTAACCAATCGGTCTTTTTCATACAAGAATGGCAATCAACCCCAACCAGTTATCCAAAGTCCGTATTGTTATCCAAGGTTTTCCCGTTTTTCCTTTTTAGTCGACCCTGGAAAAAAAAAGGGATCAAAGGGACAAAAAAAAAAGAAAATGAAAATGTCTAGGTTTTACAAGGGTAAAAATTGGCTATTATTATATAAATATTACAGGGACTAAATACATATAGGATATATATACATTAAAAAAAGGAGAAAGCTGTGTACTATTAATTACAATTCATCTCCATGGTCGGGCTTCTTTTCATTTGTTTCGATATCCTTAACACGCTGAGGTGCCTTTGGAATCATGATTTGTTTAGCATCCAAAAAGTAAGCTATGCCGCACATAACAACCATGGCAGCGGTCATTGCCATCGTAACAATCTTGCCAAGACGGAAAGAAGGAGAATCGGAGACATCCCAAGCTTTGACGTTGATGAAATTAGGAGCTAAGTTACCGATAGAGTTGATGATGGCAATAGCAAGAGCACGAGATTCTCTGTCACAAGAGTAGATCTCATTGGCCCAGGTCATCATAATTGGCGAAATACCATAGACAGGAGGAACCATATAGGCGCAAACGAATAAAAGGGGCACAGGGAGGTGACCTCCGTTCACGGCGACGAGAACAATGTACCAGACTAGCGTGAAGAGACCTCCAGCCATGATGTGATAAGGACGCTTTCCATACTTGTCTGATAAGTAGCCTTGTGCGATAATAACAACACCCACCCAAATCCAAATAGGAACCATCATATAGTTTGCAAATGAAGCATCGTAGCCCATTGACTTGAGAATAATAGGGAAGTTTTGAAGAATACCCATACCCATCTGGAAACAGATAAACATACCTGTGAACAGATAGATAAAAGGTGTAGTAAACAAGTTGCGGAAGGTGGTCCAGTTCAGGCCAGAGACCATTGAGCTTCTGCCTTGACGTTCGAGACGCTGAATAGCCAATTCACGCATATCACCACGAATAAAAGAAGTGTTGTGAGGAAAATCAGGCAATATGAAGAAACCAATGATGCCAATCACGACTGCAATGAGACCTTCAATGATAAAGAGCCATTTCCAACCACGCATACCGTGCACTCCGTCCAAGTGTTGTGAAATGGCGCCAGAAATAAGACCACTGAAGGCACCAGACATTTGAGAGCCAGCAACAAAAACGGCAGTTCTTGTGCCTAATTCTTCCTTGGTATACCATGAACCCAACAAGAAGACAATACCGGGATAGAAGGCTGCTTCGGCAAAACCGAGACAGATACGAAGACCGTACAGACCTTGGTAGTTTTTGACCAGCGCCATGAAACAGACAACGGCTCCCCAAAGGAAGACAACAAGAGGCAACATGATACTTGGACGAACCTTAGTGATAATATAATTGGCAGGGATTTGTAATCTAGGAGAGAAAAAATAAATTAACGGATATATTCCCATTTTTGCATATTTTCTACTTACACAATATAACCAATAAAGAACATTGTAAGAGCCCAATTGTATTGATTTTGAATAAGGCCCAGATCTTCCTTTAAACCCGTAGTGTATGCATTGGCTAATAGAATTAAAAAAAAAAGATCAGCAAGAATAAATCTAGAGAAAGAGATCATACTTACGCATATTGTTTCGGTCTAAACCGTTGGCAAAGTAACCAAAAAAGGCCCAGATCATTAAGCGATAGTCAAGAGTTCTTACTAATTTTCTTTCTACTTCAACAGCATTTGCAAATGTTTGCATCTCATAGGGTTGACCATCTTCAAAGCCAGTTTCATTCGTCTCGACAACTTTAGGATCACTCATTCTTAAGAGAAAAACGTAATGAAAAGGAACCCAAAAAACTGGCTCTATTTATTGTGCTTTCTGTAAATGAATAATAATTTTCCCCACATTTCCCCAGATTTTTCATTCCAATCATCTTTCTTTTGCGGGAATCTTTAGTTAAATGCTGGTTTTCAATAAAACTTGGTTTCCGATATGTCAGCTAGGTTACACGATATATATAGCATAAGAAAAAGTTTACAGCAATGCAATTGGCAACGAAAGTACTGTATTTTACACTTTATTGAACAGAAGGGTAGAAAAAAGCAAAAGAGAGAGAGAGAGAGAGAGAGAGAGAGACAGCTTCCCTGAGTTGTAAAACGGGTAAACAATCTACAGCTGGGAAAATTAAGGTTCGGATTCGTGTAACCATCAACAGAAGCGGGTGAGAAATCAGGGTTCATGGATGACACATTTTAATTTACATTTTATTCGCAAACTGAGAAAATAAGAATGAGATATAAGACATGCTTAGTATTTCAGTTATCACATTGATATTTTAAATACTTACTTTGAAAGAGAATTACAAGAGAAAAAGGAGCTAGAAAAAATGAATAAGTTTATAAGGAGATTACTAATATCTTACTAAGAGTGTACTTTGGGTAGGGCCAGCGGTAACTGGCTCGGAAAAGACGGTGAGGGTATACTTTAGAATGAGGTTTGAAACTTCCAAAGTCTGTAATAGCATATACGAAAAGTGGACGTGCATACAGCTGCATCTGACGATTATTCACATGTTGCCTTATGGTTTTGTGCTTGAGTTATAAAGAAAAGAAGCTACAAGTTACAGCTATGGGAAATCCTCTAGAATAATAAGGAGAGTATAATGTCAAGATTACCTTATGCTTGTAATAATGTGCATAATTGGTGCTATCGTCAGATTCTCTCTCACACAAGTAATGAATAATAAAAACGCGTCATTTATTCATCAACTTTTTTTTTTCATTTACATTTATCTATAATAAAAGCATACTCCTTTTAGTTCTTGACAATAAAGTCTTGATTAACAAGATCAACCATGGAGAGGCAAGAGTACATGTGATCCCAAAAAAAGAAGGTATACACTGAATGTCAATGGTGCATATACCTTATAAAAAAGGGGTGATGTGTCAAGAATGAACTTACATCTGAAAAACCTAGAAAGTACAAGCTGAACAGCCCCAAACCAATATATCTAGGAGAACAAAAGTTCGAGGCGTTCCTTTTTTCAACAAAGCAAGCGTTGACTCGAACCTGTTATCCTGGAAACAGAAGGAGAATGAAGAAAGGAGTGGACGGGAGCAAACTTGGTAAAAGCCGGGTTACCCCCAGTTAGCCACCAGCATTGGTTCGAATTATGATCTATAACACTACACCAGTTTCTTACAAGAGCTGTTCATACTGTTGTTTTATTAAAAATAAATTTCAGAAAGAGGATAAAATTATAACGTGTATGAAAAAAAAAATGATTGGCGTATATAAAAAAAAGTATTTACGCAAAGGTTAAAAATAAAGTGCGTGCAAAAGGAGACGACATACAGATGAGAATAATAAGTACCAAGGAGAGAACATAAAGGATTATACAGTTAATTATGTAAGAAAATTATTATATGTATACAACTTACCCCAAAAACATCTTGATGTGTCCTAGCGATAACTAGGACGAAGAATCATCGTCTAAACGTATTCTAGTTCTTGGTTGCTCCTGATCGTCCACTCTTCTTCGACGTCTTGTAGGAGCAACAGCAACCCGGCGAAACCTATGAGGAATCATGCCATTATGTCGAAGCTCACGAAGGATGTGCACGTAGTTGAGGCAAGCAGCAACATCCCTGTTCCATAAGCGACATCTATCTGGTGCTGCCATGATGAGTCTACAGTATAGATTGATACATCTACAAACAGTATTCAATCAGTATAAAGCCATCCAAATGATTAATGCATTATTGCCTTAAAAGACCATGGTAAACAACCGTGGAATATTGCTCTCATTGATACAGTCGTGGGCTTGGAACACGATGGAACGCGTGAAGGCTTTCGTTGTGGCATGTTAGACAGCATCTACTGGTCTTCTACTCGTCTATAAGAAAGGCTTGGAACCTATGCTTCTTGAGGAGTCTTCGAAAACCAAGGCCACGGATGGGTTCATGTCACCTAGCATGGGGAGCGGACCAGTTTCCCATCACAAACACGGTGTCCTCTCCAAACTTGGCACGTAAGCCTTGAATAAGCTTTTGGTCGGCACGTTGTTTGTTGAAGTACGCTGAAAGACGGATTTTGCGAAAGAGGGGGTATCCATTATCATGGTTTGTGATGGTAGGTCCATATAATCGACGGGGAACGGTAGACTGTTCAGATCTGGCTTGAAGGAAGCGGCTAAAGTTTTCTACGGATACGGTGCTGCTTGACTGTTGAGAAAGGGTTTGCTCAGCTTGAATGACATCGGGATCCTAGAATTTGAGATCTTGCAAGAGCCAACGATACTTTTTGGCTTTCCACATCTTGTCTTACTGTTGTTTTGTGTACCGAAATTTCACTGGTTGCTCTGGTGTAGAATTTTCGTATACACAAAACAACATATCTCTTCTTCCTGGGCCCACAGCGACGCATCGACCAGAAATCTTTTGATGATTTCGGCGAGTTAGATTGGTGATGTAGGAGATAGCTTCATACTCCACTGTGAACCTTGCCGTGTATCTTGTTTGCCTGTCAAACCTCTTCTTGAAAACCGCAACACCAATGCTATCAGTCTGAATAGTGTCACGGAATCTAAGTTGTCCACCTTCTTGCGGCTTGAGGGCTTTTGAATCAAGGTCGACAACTCGGCGCCAATAGTCCGATTTATTGACAGGATGTTTTGGGAGAGAATCTTGCTATCGATGGTAACGTAACAAGAAGGCCATGAGCGCCGGAGAGGAAAACAATTGAAGACGGGCAAATCAAGATGTTCAAAGAGACGAGAAACTTGGTAGAAGGTCCTAAAGTGACCACAGCAGGCAGTCCTTTTTTTGACCAGGCCATACTATGTTTTAAATTAATGTGAAATGCAGACTCATCGAGAAAGACGCAATTAGTTCTAAAGTCCATGTTCGCACACTCCCACTTATGAGCCCAGTCAAAACACTCCTGAGTTTTTTCTTCACTGCTCCTATCTACAGGCTGAAATTGGGCTTTTTTGAGTGACAAATTACATTCAGTTCTTACAAAATTGTAGACAGTGCTTTTAGAGACCTTGAGATCCTGAAGCTTTTGAAGTAGTTGCTCCATTACTTGCTCCAAAACGGCTGAAGGACTCTCATCTATATACTCCAAGATCACTTACTTGTGTTCTTCATGAAGTATACGCGAGCGACCGGTTTTCTTATGCTTTATAAATATACTATCAGGATCTGTTTTGCACATTTGAGCTCATCTTTGAGCTGTGCGAACATGAATACCTAATTGTTTTGCAGCAACTGAAGCACTCGTAACTTTCTCAAACATCAGTTTAAAGAATCTAACTTTGTCTTGATTCGTATAAAGTGTGTACGCTCGCTTACTCGACACCTCCTTCGTGCAAGCATCTGGGTCATCTTTTGCATCTTCATCTGCCACAGAGTCTACATCAAAATTATTCTCCTGAAGCTGATTATGCAAATATTGGGTGTGTGAGCTAACTGTTTCTAAAGCATATCGCGCTTCATCAATAATGTAGTCCATAGGATCAGGTCTACCGTGCTCATCAACTACATTACCGTGCCCGTCTTCATAGAAAATTTGAAAGCTCATATTGTAATATTCGGTTTTTAATGAGAAAAAGAGTAAAAAGAGATCTGACAGTGCTTTTATGCTTAATATACTCATATTTTGTACGACAAAGCTTCTACATATACGACATTTAATTTGTCAGCAAGCGAAATCAGTCAATGATTAACATGACATAGAATTTAACAAGCGCGAATTTTACTCTTGGCATCAGTGTCAATAATTTTTGAAAATACACTAAAACATTCCTTAGAGCTAGCTAGGAAATAGATGGTCTTATTATTGTCCAAAGAAAAAAGTAAAAAGAAAGCAATCTAAAGGTTGTTTATAATAAATATCCTTACAGCTTTTCGGTTACGTGTTATTTATAAAGGGTTGACTACATATACAAGTCTCAAAAATATCAAGTTCACTTTATGTACTACATGTTGTCAAATTGGGAACAATAATGAAAAAATTGACAACTAAAGTGTAATTGTTATTGATTTTAAATTGTGCAAATAATTTCTTTAATATATACAGACTTATTTACTGTTCCCATGGTTTTTGTACTGAAGCTGCCCAGGTGTTCTCTTCTCTATTATCACTGCCCCAAGTGCCTTCTTTATTACCCCAAGTAGCCTTTAGATTATCTTCTCCCCATGAAGATTCTTTTTTGTTATTCTTGTCAGAAGTTGCCTCCCAATCTGTTACCGGATTCCATGGCTCATTCTCATGTCTATGTGAGTTCCAACCGACCGGTCTCTGCTTTCTCCTAGTTTTCGCCACAAGCTTTTGGAAAGAGGATGGTCCAGTTTCGACCAGCTTACCAGAGTCCTTGCTAGTCCGCCTGTGAGTAATACTCTGTCTCTTCCGTGATGGTGATTTCAAGTCATTAATAGCATTCGCCAAATCATCCATGTGGAACAGACCTTCATCATTATTCTCGTGGTAACCATAAGACTGCTTCCTGCGGCGAGGCTGTTGAGGAGATGCTCGTACAAATTCCTGGTATCGATTTGGATTAGCAGGTCGCCCCTGACCAGTGAGCGCTGGATCCTTTTCGACATTCATGAGCCATTTTTGTTCTGTGTGGCCTCCAAAGGGTGATCGAACGATATCTGAGTACTTTCCACCAGGCAATGATCCTTGTAAAAATTGTCGAAGGAGCTCATAATTGGGTTCTTCAGCAAACTTGATATTTTGAGCATATTCTATGAATTTAAGAAAGCCTTCAGGCAAACCAGCACAGAGGTCACTCATGAATGTATCCTGTTTGATCTGCTTCATTTTATCCCATCCTGCACGAGAATTTCGTGCCTGAATACCAGCCCACGGCAGGGTACCAAAGACAAGGTCCAAAATGAGATAGCCAATACTCTCTATATCGTCACGTCGTGCGTGTGACTTGCCACGATGTACATTCAGTGAAGCATATCGAGCTGTACCCGTCTTATTTTTGTAATTTTTTTTTGATTCCGGATAGATTTTGTTTGTGACTGGATCCTTATACCAAGTTGTTAATCCAAAGTCAACAATGTGTAATTTGGGTCGAGACATATTCCATTTTTGAAAGATTTCATCACAAGTTGGATATCGATATTTGATTAGTGATGTGCCTTGATCGTCGGTGCTTTCGATCATTTCTGGTTCAGGTAATATACATTGTGCAGGGAACAAAAAGTTGTCAGGCTTTACATCTCGATAGACAAGTCCTCTTTTATGTATATGTTCTATTATAGTAACCTAGGGAGAAAATTAGTCAGTTACTTTATATGCTTTACGATGTTTACCATTTGACAGCCAAAGTCAATGACAACATCCACTGGGAGCTTTGTAGTAACTTCTTTAAGTTGGTTTAAATTAGGGCCGAGTAAGTCAATCACAATACAATCGAATTCATCGTGTTGACCATGCCAGTGACATTGTGGAATACCGGCTATATGCAAAACATGAGTGGTGAGAAAATAATAATATAAAGACTTACGGCCACCAGCAAGCACGTCATAAATGATGCTTTCATGTTTGATTTGAGGGTGACGCATCTTTAATGGTTCTCTTTTAATGGCATACTTTCTTCCTGTATCAATATCCTCAGCTATGGAGAAGAGTTGGTAAAGAAAAAAAAAAACACAAGAAACAGTTGATAGCTACCTTCGAATACTTCACCAAAGGAACCTTCACCTATTCGTCCAAGTACAAGCCATTGTTCGGCAACAATAACGTCTTTACTTCCAATACTCAAGTCAGTACGAATACTATCAAATGAAGCGCATTCTACACCAAATGTATTATTATCTGTGATGGACGGTTTTCTATTTATAGGTTGAGAATGTGTGTTTTTTCTCTGATTAAATGGCTGCCTATACGGACTATTCGACATCAGTAAACAGAGAAAAAAAGAAAAAGAGAATGGAGACAATAAGAGAGGATCAATGCTGTAAACTCATGAACTCGTTTACAGAAAGAAACAAGTTGTTTATTTTAATTGAAGGACAAATTTTTACCAATCGGGGTTTGTTAATCATATAAATGCATTTTAATTCTCTTTGTCTACAGAGCCCACATAGCTGATATTCTTTAAGGACTGAATGATTACAGCATCCGGAAAGGGTAAAGAAGCAATAAGGAATTCAGAGTCATAGTCACCCATTACCTTTCCACCTGCGCTCATAACGGTCGATTTTACGATTTTGGCTTGGTCTTCGCTAATAGAGCTACTGAATCGTATGATATAAGTTGTAAAGTCTATATGTTTATTTAATTTACATTCTATTATGAATCTATTTTTCTTCATTACCTTCAGCTAGAGTGTAAACAATAGTCAAGAATAGAAACAATAGTATGATCGATCTCATAAAGGTAACAGTGCAAAGAAGAAATCATATATTATCTTACTCTGTTTTTATTGCATTTAAATATACGTAAATGCATGTGTTTTTATTTATTTATTTTACTTTGGTTCATAAACTAAATTTTCAATATAAAGGGAGGCAAGAGAGAAAGGGGAGTATTAGACCCCTGAAGGATTAGATGACACACATATGAGGATTCAATGTTTATCCATGTCAAGTACCCTATTATTATGACAGGGCGATCATGACTTTCATGCCCGTACAACATTATTCATTCATTAAATCAGTAACTTATGCGTATCTCGCCTAACTTGACTGAATATACTCATTGGAGCAATGACACATGCTTTAAATAAAAAAAAGGGTATATTGGTCCTTATTTTAAAAATAGGAGAATCAATAGAGGCTTTCAAGTATTTCAAGGCCTTGTCTTCTTTTAATTATAAACAGTGGAGACAATAATAGATACTTTCACCCTTGCTTCTAAATAAAACAGTAAATCCCTTTATTATCTCCCTCAGTTAAATTGTTTAGAATTCTCTCTTTTTTATTTTCTTTCCCTTCTTCTCTTTTACACATCGTTTTTCAGTAATTCTTTTTTAAATGCTCCATATTCAAGATTCATTCTCTCATACATCCAGCTTATTGATGTCACCTCCCATTGCAGTAGTGGTACAGCCGCAGCCTAGTACGTCTTCCAGAACAAACAAGGTGCTTGAACAATTAAGTAGCAAGTATGAAGCTATCCAAAATGAGATCAGTACTACCAAAGCACAGGTAAAAAAAAAAAAAAAAAGGGATAGAAGAATAACCTAATCTAAATGTCTTTCTTTCATCTTCTTTCTATGTGCAGTTGGAAACCCTTCGCCAGGCTAAATTACAAAATGAAAAGGATACGCAATATTACCTTAGTTCAAACAAGGTTTATCGGGATCGCATAAAGGAAATTATGCAGGCACTCGAGTCAAAACAAAAACTATTGGATGAAACCAAAAAGGTCTCTAGTCAACTCGAACTCAAGGTAAAGCAATTAAAAGATGAAGCCCTAGCGTCTCGTCGTCAACTAGAAGACTTGAGAAAACGAGAACAAGTGCTGGAGCATGATCGAGATATTGCAGTCAAGGAAAAGAATCAATTGAAGCATAAACATCATCTCCTGGGAGATTCTGTTGAACAACTCCGTGATAGATGTCAAAGGGAAATGGCACTTCTCGAAAAGGATCACTCTCTGCTTGTGGAGCAAGCAAAATACATTACAGAAAGGAACGAACTCATGATGGAACTCATTAATATCAAACTAAAACAACGCCGTCAACATACAGACAATATTGCATTAATGAAAAAGCAGTTGCAGGCAAACACAGAAACATTTGTTGGATATGTTAATTCACTTTTGGATGTGTTGAAGAGTGAAGTAGAGAAATCGGTTACTCAAACAAGGGATTGCACAAGTGCATCCATACAATGTCGAGGAGAAGTGAATGGTTTACTCTCAAGAATAAAGACAATTGCAGCAGAAATTACAGCTTCTGAAAAATAATACCTCCTTCTAACCTCCTTCACTCTCCTTTCCTCTAAAAAAGGAGGACATAAGGGAAAATAATCTTTATACCACCCTCAGTAATATATAGTATAATATACGCCTTAATAAAAGAAGAACCATCCAAAAAAAATTGTTATCTGATTAAAACTAAGATGTAAAAATTTTTTCCGACGATGTTTGTGTGATACATAAAGGGGGGCCATAGTTTAATCTGATCTTCAAAACATTGCTTTTCTCTCTCTCTTTTTTTTTTATATATATATTCTTTAAACATGGATAATGGGAGCACAGACTTGTCATGGTGGAATGTAGCTGAGGCATCTGTCTTTGTGTTTATAGCAGGTAGCAAATAAAAAGAGGACCTCTTTGTTGTATGTTACTGATTATCTTTAAGCTTTGATCAGTTTAATATTTAGAATAAAACTTGAATTTTCACTCATCTTGTCTGGTATACGATGTGTCATTCAGTTATCACTGATGGTAAATACAACATTAGATGATTAACCAGATGAATAATAACACAAGGTTATAGGGTCTAATACTAGATGATGTATTAAAGACTAAGCACATGAGCGTTATCATCATCATGTCCAGTAAGTATTAGTCTGCAAGTGACTTTCTAAAGATCACTAAATCGCCCTTATGACATCCTTATATAGCCGTACTGGTCCTACTTGCATCCTATGAAACTGTATTCAATAGAACAAAGAAATCATTTAAAAGAATGGTAATATGCGCTTCACACATGATAATGATATATATATTTAATCCGTCTTGTGTAGTTCCCTATCATGTTCATCATATTGCTTACCAGCAATCTGCTTATAACTTACGTGGGTACTGCAGTTGTGTTACAAGCGGAGCCATTTTGGGACCCGCCCACATTTGTACCTGTCATTGGAATGCTTTTGGGTAACTCGATGACAAGTGTCGCAATGGCTACAGAACGATGCTTGGATGATTTCAGGTAAATGGTAAGAGCTATATGTTAACCTTTTAGTCTAATCTGTCTACAGAATCCACGCGCCCGTGCTTGAAACAAGACTGGCTTATGGTGCTAACAGGTTTGAAGCCTCTCTGCCGCTGGCGGTAGAAGCTATCAGGATTGCCTTGATTCCTGTTATCACACAGTTGAGCGTTATGGGCATGATTAACATTCCAGGTATGATGACAGGTCAAATTATGGCAGGAGCGCCTATGATGCAGGCCGTCATTTACCAGCAGTGTATCATGTTTATGGTTGCGGCTAGTAGTACTTTAGGAGTCATCATGGCTGTAACAGTATGTAAATCACTTTAATTATATACATGTGTACTTATTTTTAAATTTAGGCTTGTATGTCTATTTTAATCGATAAGGATCAAACAATGCGATATGATAGAATCTATGAAAACAAATCTACACTGTTCAATCTTAAACACTGGAAAGAAAAGTTGACACTGTTGAGTCTCTACTGTCAAAAGATGAGTCCGAGAAAGACTTCTGGTGATCTTGTATCATAGACATTATACTTGCATTATTATTTATTCATTGTATTATTCCTGTTGATTACATTGTCCCAGAATCATTGTAAATCCACAAGCATACCACCCCCCACTATCTAAAAAGGAAATTCTACCGCATAACTTTCAAGCTTTAATAATAAATTCTTTCCGCATATCCGAATTTGCGCAAAGGGTATTAATATTGCTTTGGAATAAAATTGCGACATTTTCGACTTGACAAGTTTTAATATGAACAACTTATCAGTATATTTATTTAAAGTGTGTGTTTATCACAAAAAACTTGAATGTTCTCCCTTTTCTGTAACTCCCTTTTGATAGACTATTTAGGTTGAATTGTACGGATTACCAAAAGAGAACTCAGCCGTATTTGGACACGTTGAACGCAGCAAGGATACTAAAAATACATATGCCAGAAAAAGAAAAGTGCGACTATAGCATGGTTTGTTGAGCATATATGTTTTTTATGAATGCATGTTTTGATTTATCGATTATTATTAAGTATATATGTGCTCTTGACAGACAAAGAAGTATAAATGAACTCAAATGACACCAGCAATAATAAACCAACTTAAGCTGGATGATCAATCGAACCACATATCACTCGAGAGGAAAAAGGGGGAACAGATCGCACTTTAACTCTATTTTTCATGAAGATACGCGACATCCAAACCATTCATTGAGATACCAATTATTAGAAGTACAAAGAACAATTGACTGCAGGTCGAAATCATACAGCGCAATATGAGCGGGTAAAGCCTATGAGGGCAACAGAAGCTATAATGGAAAACATTCCACAGAAAAAAAAAGAACCTGTGTACGTGAAGAAGGTATTTCAAAAGCGTCTCCTTTAAGTAAAATAAAGAATCTGGCCATTCGTTCTAAATATTTTTTGTTTTAAAAAGGAAAAGGGTTCTTTGTTTTCTTGTCTTTGATATTGCTTTTTTTTCATTTTGATCTTTATAAAAGAGGATGCTTGTAAAGAAACTATTTATTTATGTACCATTTATCACGTCTCTGATTCAAGTCGGGCAATGTCATCGAACAGCTCAGCGTAACCGTGACAATCGATGGCCTGTTGTTTATACCAATGATCAGACGAACACTATATCCTATGACCCTGCTCAGCCTGTAGACGTTTATATAGACCTGATTAAAGACGGCATATTCATGGCTCCGAACGAAACATCCTTACTTCCTTCTTCAGATGTTGTTTATACTTATGACGAGACGTCACCCATTGCTAAGGAGCTCATGTTCGTATCTGCCCTTTGCAAGACAACAAACTGTAGAGAAAGTCTTGACGTATGGGATTGTCCCACATGTTCTGAAGTATTACCTGATGCTGTCGTTGTTCGAACTTTTAAAACGTTTCCTAATGATATCACCGGCCAAATACTGAGATCGGACAAGTATGTGTTAAATTGATCAATGCGTTAAACTTATTGTTTTATGCACATAGTATGACAGCGTTTTTTATTCAAGTCAGGGGAGCTAATAGCAATAGCAACAGAATTCTTGTAACATATCTTTTAATCCTCCCTTAAAATGTATAAAATATTAACTCTTTAGCTTAGTGGAGCAAACAAAACTTGGTTGATCATCCATTCATCCCTGGCGCTCGAGTACAAGAAGGTGAAATAGTAGGCTCACATATGAAGATTATGACTAAAGAAATAAATTGTATCTAGGTTACTTGGAATCTGCGTTAGATATCCGAGAAATCATTCGCAATACGATGAAGGATCAATTGACGATATATCCAAACTATAAAGTAGCAGTAGTTGGGTAAGTATTTTTTATAAAGAAAAAGAAAGGGCAAATGATAACAATCTCTATTAGACATTCTTTTGGTGCTGGTGTTTGTTCATTAGTCGCTACACATCTTCAATATGATTTCCCTCAGTTGAACCGTAATAACTTTAAGGCTTATTTATTAGGTAAGAAGACATATGGTTGTTCTTGAACAATTCTAAAAGACATTCTCTAGCCAAGCCTCGTGTAGGTGATTACAACTATGCGAAATATGTCGCAGACAAGGATATAGAGATCGTCCGTCTTGTGAATGCTTTAGATGGCAAGTATATATATGCATATGATCGTAAGCCAACAAGATATGTACTGACTGTCTTTTTCGGTTGAAAATAGAAATGCCTCATAAGCCATCAATCCTCGATGGATATGTTGTAAGTTGAGATAAACATTAAATGGTTGTCGTACTGATACACACACCTCTTGTTAGCATGAAGGGGATGAATACTGGTTAAAATATTATAATAACGGAGAATTGTTGCTGAGTAAGTTAAAGAGCATATCCCGATAATGATTGCTCACATGATCTCTATAGAAGTTTGCCCTGGACCCTTCGAAACAAGAAACTGCTCCAACTCATCTCCCTATTTTTCTTCCTTTGAGCACTCTGAGTAAGATCATATGCTAGAAGTGATTTTTGTTACTAATGCATCCGTACTATAGAGCCTTTGGTATACAAGAGGCATGTTTCCCTGATGATGCTCTACATCTCAACTTTACTGCATTAATTGAAAAGCTTTCAAATGAAACAATATCACAAATCAGCAACAGCAACAACTAACTTATATCCCTTTTATATATACTATTTAATGTCCTTTCTGTTGAGCTTTAATAAACGATTCAGTTAGTCTCGAAGGCTCTCCCTTTTGTTGAGCTTGTGGTTGACTCGCTTCATTTGCCATTTCTTGATCTACAAAAAGAATTAATATATAAAAAGTATAATATCTATAGATTAACCTACTCATTTCCTGCATCTGTTTCATCATCTTGGGCATAAACAATAACATCAAGCCACTCATGCCCATCATAAGGAACATCTTGTTGGCAAATAGATCTTTCAAGTTAAAGCCTTGTTTTTGCTACATTATACATTAATAACAAGGATGATTTCCCTTCAAAAAAACATTACCATAAAGTAATCTGCCTCTGCTTTAGCTTGGATCTCTAATGGATAACCGATTCTCTGTCCAAAACTATTCCAATCACGTCCCAAGCCAGTATAGGCTGCCCATATGTGTCCTTCATCATTGATATCTACGCGCAACTATAGTCGTGCATTAATACACATTGCGATATTTGTGTATGTACCTTTGGAAATATGTATTTTATGCTGTGAACTTCTAGCATATATGATCCAGGTTGGACGTCATAACTACAAGAATTAGCTGAATCATCCAATAGGACAAGATAGGATAAAAAGTATGCTTACAGTACAAAGCGTCCATCTGATTGAATACGAGTTGTCTTAAAAGCACCATTAAGTGCAACACGGGCTGTTGAATAATCAACTTTTGATAAATCTAGTTTGGAAATGAGTTGATTTGAACAAAAAGATAAAACATGTATATAATGATGTACCATTGATGACAGCATTGGGTATGATCTTTCCTTCAAGACGAACGGCTGATGTAAGTGTCGCAAGCAAGCTTGTTAGATAAATAGTGAGTTAATACGTCACATATATGGCGTGTTTTTCTAAAATATGCACCTTGTAAACAAGAAATATAGTAATCTCATTTCAGTAATACAGCAAAAAGAGGACTCTGTTGGCTTTGCTGTTTTAAATGACTCTTGCTTGCAGTGTCAGAATTGTATCCCCGACAGTTGCCTTTGATATAATGTGCTCCTTTTTTAAACCTTTCTTTCTTATATCTTTCTTTATTCTATTTTTATAAAAGATATGGTCACGAAATACAAGGCTGCCTGGGCTGTTGTGATTACTAGTTCAAATGCTTACATTAAAGGTGTTGTTACAATGAAGTACGCTTTACATAATGTTCATAATAGCCAATACCCTCTCCTGATTCTATATACATCACATGTGAAGCCTGAAATCGTTGAGATGCTCAAGAGCATCGGGTGCCTTGTGAAGAATATCGATGCTATATACCCATCTGGGAAAGTGGATTACCAATTTAAGCGGTTCTCCGAGACGTGGACAAAATTGGCTGTATGGAACCAAACTGAGTACGACCGTCTGGTGTTGCTTGATGCGGACATGCTACCAGTGAAGAATATGGACGAATTGATGGGCCTAGAATTGCCTCAGGACTGGGTTGCTGCATCTTACGCTTGTACATGTAACCCACAAAAGATCAAACACTATCCTCCTCACTGGATACCTGAAAACTGCGCGTACACAGGATGCCAAAGTATTCAACCATCTCCAATTAGTGACCGAGCCAATTATTTTAATAGTGGGCTTATCGTACTCTCGCCAAGCAAAGATAAATACAACAGCATGATTAATTATCTAAATAGCATGGAAGATCTTACAGTTTACTCATTTCCAGACCAAGACTTTCTGAATGAAATGTTTAAAAATAAGTGGAAGCCAATATCGTACGTTTATAATACATTGAAAACGCTACAATGGGCTCATAAACCCATGTGGGATATAAATCAAGTGAAAAACATTCATTTCATCCTGACTAAACCTTGGGATCTTGACATCAATCAATTATCCGATCTGGAAAACATCTATAGGGCGCTATATAAACTTTGGTGGAACTATTACTCAGAGGCTTGTGGCAGCACCGGTGCCTCAAAGAGCCTGGATAGACTGTTGGCTTGATGCTTATGATCTTTGTTGTTGTTAATATGTAAAATAATACTAATATAAACTATTAATAACAATAAATCTTATAATCGGATGTATGCTTTTACCGTTGCTTCAACCGGCGATTACAAATCAGCCGACGTGTAAACTCCTTTAAACCTTATTTGACTTAAACTTGTTACCTTTTGTTACAAAAAAAGATATCTTGTGCTTCATAATGAGATTATTGTTGTTTATTCTCATAAAATAGTTTTCAGGCACACCGCTTGCTAGATATTGCTTAAACATAGTGATTGAAGAAGCTTAGCAAAAAGTTAAAATGAGTTTAGCTATTTGACTTGCGTCATATTAACTAGACTAAAAAAAAAAAAAAAAAAAAAAAAAAAAAAAAAAAAAACGCAGCAGCAAGATGTTGTGTTATATGTCAGTCTAGTTAATAGCAAAAGAATTCTTACAGTGCGAAAGCTACTATCAGCATCAGTTAAATAATGCCGGTTGAAAGCTGAGAGCAATTGTGATATGTACAGAAAACATCTGCTTTCTTGTAGAAAGCGATCATGGACTACTGGAAACATCCTTTCACAATGGGTAGATTTATCAGTACCGTTAAGCGTTCTATCGTTCATTCAATCTTTTCTATATGGCTAAAGTGCCAGGAATACCGTTGGACTGTTTGGGGGGAAGAGGCTTGCTTAATAACATGGTTACAAATAGTTCTTTTATTTCGCATTTGTTGATCCTTGGGTAATATAGATCTGCGTGCCGCTTTTAAAGGCTATCTCCCCCTACTTCTTTTGAATCTGATCTTGCCTACAAAAGATGATATCTCTCTCGCATTCTCTACAATTCTCCTTACGGAGAACGCGGGCTCTATTTTTTGATCCAATGCAAGTTCCCGATAATCTGCCAGTCACACACACACTCTCCTTCACTTTGTCAGGTAGCAGCAGTTTATTGTCCAAAAATATCCGTTTCACTCTTAAAATGATTAGTACAGTTCCCAACATTCCTGGCGAGTTTGTCAAGGACAATGCACATCTTAAGGAAAAAGTGGCTGCACTTTTAAAATTAGAAAGCTACAAGTTAATACTCTACATTTAGTTCCTTTATAATCCTCTTTGACACAGTTTCTCTCCTTCTTTTATATATAGATTTCCAGGTGCACAACCTGTTAGCTTTGGTGCTGAACATTTGACGGAAATTGAGCAAGAAGAGTAATAATAAAGGGAAACTTACTTCCGATGTACTTTGTCTAATTCCTTGATTTAGTTACTTTGTTGCTGAAAAGTCAGATGGTGTACGCTGTCTTGCTCTATTAACTGTTAACGAAAGAAAGGAACCAGAAGTGTACCTTGTAACGTATATTGGATATATTAACTTGTATTCAAGATGACTGAAAAAAAGTTTGATAGTTTGATAGAAAGAATAACTTTTATGTTGTTCGTAACTTTCGCTTTCCTATTCCTGGAGATCCAACCTTTAGGAAGTGTCTAAACAACACAATCATTGATGGTGAATTCGTACTAGATAAAGAACCCGATGGACGAGTAAGATGGAGCTTTACTTCAAAGTATGGTTAATAACATTCTCTAGATGCAACTACGGTTTTTATTATTTGACTGTCTCTGTATAGAATCAAAGGTACTTGTCTCACGCGGATTGATGAGCAGGCTTGGCGTAAGTGTGAAGAATAACAAGGTTCATGTAGACTGACTTTTTACATTAGTATTTAAAGTCGGATATCATCAAGCCGCATCACGAAATGATAAAGAAGAATCCACATATGCTAAAATATCAACCATTTTTGTAAGTAGACGAGGCAATAAGATTAGACCTCCTCCTTTGTTGATATAGTATTTAATCGCTAGAGTGGAATTCAAGGAACAACAGTTCACTTATCATTTAGATGTTGTGTTTAATGAAATTATACCCAAACTTAAACATGGAAACGATGGTTTAATATTTACTGCAGTGAATGCTCCTTACATGATGGGAACATGTAAAAAAATGTAAATAAGCCATACCACCAAAACACTGTCTCTAATACCTTGCTTAGGTTAAAGTGGAAGCCATTAAACGAAAACTCTGTAGACTTTAAGGCTTCACTCATATTTCCTGGATCGTCATTACCAGGAGTAAAGGATTACACTGCAAAGCCAAAGATTAACTTGCTTGTATGGCAAGGTGATAAAGAATACAAAGTTTTTGATCAATTGGGCATCACAGAAGAAGAATGGAAGAAGCAATTTGGAAAAAATCCAAAATATATGGATGGAAAGATCATTGAGTGTAACTATGATCCAGAAGTCCAGCAGAGGCTCGGTTTGCCATCTCCATGGCGGTTTATGAGATATAGAGACGACAAATTAGATGGTAACTTCCAATCTGTCGTGGATAACGTATTAAATAGTATAAGAGATGCTGTGTCAAAAGAGCAGGTAAGACACATTATCTTTATGCACGACACATTGACTAATAATTCTCATATAGCTAATAGAACATATGCCAACCATTAAAAAGGCTTGGACTAAACGCAAAGAGCAGTCTGGAGAACCCCAGGCAGATGGAAGACAGGCCAAGAAGCCGAGACAAGAATGATGAGCATTTATACAATTTTGTACATACAATCAAATAAAACGAATGCATAGAATAAGAAAAAGATGTTTTTTTTTATTTAATAATCATCGCCTTTAGAAACAATCTATTAAAAGAGAAAAAGGATTTAGTCTATGTTGTATGATTATTATCTTGGTGTCACTTACTTCTTTACAGGTGGGTCTAAGCAAAATGGTATGCTCCAATTGAGCAGTATAAGAGCCCTTTGTGTCAACAAGTGGGGGATAAGCAGTGACAACACCTGCATCGACCAAGTTTCTTAATCCCATCAAGTACTTTTCTTCACCTATACGGTCAAGATATCTTCTACAGAAGGGCAAAGTACCAAAGTTTTTGGTAATCGTGCTCAACAGAGACTTGGCTCTAGCTAGACGTAAAGGAACAAAGCCTGATTCTGTTGATTTAGCATAATGAGAGCATTCACCATCTTCAATGACATAACCACGACCAGTCTAAGAAGGAAGATTAGTATATACATATATATATATATATATATATCAGTGTCTTCTTTATATAGCATACAGAACAGAAAGTTTCAATAGCAAGTTGCTCTCCTTCTTCCAATTTCGTCTCATCACCAGAGTCTCGGACGATAGGCACTGATTTACCTGCGTGAATTTTGTAGGGCTCAATGGTGTGGCCATTCAGATTGCGAATAGGCTTGATATCATAAGTCTTTCCATCCAATTCAATTTCATATGAATCATAGACTTCATGTACTGCAGCACCAATATCACACAATCTAACATCGATCCCTGCTTCTTTAATACCAGCGTATGTGGCTTCCCTAGCTGCTTCAACAAGTTTATCAAATTTGGGATTAAAGTTTACTGTGAAAGCTGAGTCGACAATTCTTCCCTTAACATGGACACCAAAGTCAACCTTCATCACATCGTCATAACTCAAGACGGTCTTGTCTCCTGCATTGGGTGTAAAATGTGCAGCACAGTGATTCAATGACAGGCCGGTGGGGAAACCGATACCAGCTTCAAGACCATTTTCTTCAACAAGTGATCGAGTCCCATTTTCGATTAGTTCAGCGATTTCGGTCAATGTCATGCCAGGCTTGATCATCTTTCTAGCGTATGCACGCACCTGATTATCCCACAGTTAGCCAAGTAATTTGCATAATATATCTATATATGCTCCTTATAAAAAAGGAGAAACACATACCTGACGATGAACTTCAGCAGCTTTACGCAAGTCATTGTAATCTTCTTCCTTTAGTCTTTCTTCGGCACGCTTTTCTTCGCTTGTAGTTCTCCAGAGATTACTAGGGATATTGTTTTAGTTCACTTGTCAGACATGTATATAAACTAATAACTGTACTCATTCACATAATCATGACATTCACCTACAGGATATACTTTATTGGTGTATATTTTAGACACAGGCACAGTTGGAGGCTCAGTTTGTGTCTTGGGGCCCTTCTTCTTCTTCTTGTTCTTCTTTTTCTTCTTGGCTGCTGCTTCTGATCCTGCACCGGTGTCTTCAGTCACTTGATCGTTGTTTTCTTCGGCACTTTCAATGTGTGTTTCTTCCAATTTCTCCGCTACTTGCTTAACTTCTTCGGCTGCTACCATATTTGTGCGTGTATGTGTATTGATTGAAAAAAAAGAAGAGAATTGGTTCAGCCTTAAATGAGAGCTCTTGTCGTCGGCAAGTGAAAATTTTTTGTTTTGTTTTTTTTTTGGAACTGAGTTTTATAAGGGTTAATGCTTTATAGATAAAGAACCCTAGTTGATAAACCAAGCTTAACTTCTATTTATATTGCTTAAGCCTGCCATTTGAATGAATGCTCTCAGTATAAGCTTTTTTTTTGCTAGGAATACACATGCCCTTATGTAGAATCTCATCTAACTTTTTTCTCTTGCTCTAACGCAAGTATAAGTATATAATAACTGGCGTTTAGTGAGATAAATCATTATATAATAGAGCTGTTTTCTTTTTACTTTGCTTGATGTCAACTTAGCTAAATACAGCGAAAGCTTCTAGCCATCTGACACAGACGGCCTCATCAAAATCAGATATGCTTGGCCCACTGTCGATACTAAAGACGTTATAGATGGGACGTTAAGCTTTCTTTTTGCATACACCAAAGGTAAAACATTTTACAAGTTGTCAAACAGTGTTTCTGAACTTTATGTATATATTGTGCTTTAATCCAGCAACCATAATATCATTTGCAGTGGAAAGGGCTCATCAGGGAGAGCATCTTTCCCTCAAGAGTTGGTTAAGGAATACAAAAGCCAGCGACTTGAGAAGCAAGAAATATTTCCTTTGAGTACTGCTCTCTGCTCCTACATTGATGCCGTTTTAGAAAGCATTGTTGCTTGTTTCTGTAATGGCCAACCTAAGAGAGAAATTAATTAACGTTTGATTTTATTTATTAAAGTAAACGTTGAAAGTCTTCAAGAGTAAGTATTAGTCTGTGCTCCAACTGGACGGTGAAAATATCAAAGAAGGGCAAGAAGCCGAGCTCCTTAAGGAGCTATTTGCAATTGCGTAAATTTCAAATAATAAGAAACATCCTCGTATAGTCAAATTCACTAGCATATTTATTATATTGGCATGCCTTGTACAGAAGAAATATAAAGATAATCCACAACGAAACGGTTTTCAACAATTTCCTGATTGAACTGTTTATGAAAGCGATAACTTTCTCGATCAATGGTGAAAAGTATGCTGGCACGAACATTAATTTCTTCCCTGGTGAGGATCATCTGCTATTGATGAACAAGCAGAAGAAAAAGCTTGGATTGACGAAAGATGATCGTTATCATTGTAATGCTGATGGGGTCATACGGTTACAAGGATTCCATAATGTTGAAGTTTCTGGTTCTTTCGGTGCAACCGGTGTGAACAAGACTAATTTTGGCCACCACAAAGCTATGTTTGGTCTGCTGTCAATGTTGAGAACCTTGGCAAACGAAACCAAATTTGGCTCGCTTGAGATATTTGAATAAATCAAGCTTTTATTTGTCCATGCTGAAGGTAAGTCATTTTATATTAAATAAGATATGGAAAGCGAATAAAACCCTTTCTTTTGCAGAGGATAAAGTCAAGCTTTGGTGACATGTTTGATATAAATCATTATAATAACTCGAGCATAATCTTACAGTAAAGCATACATTCTATCTTATGAGAATGACATTGACAACAATAGTAGCATAATGATCATGCTGACGACATTAAATATCAGCAGCAGCCATTGATTCTCCCCCTAGAAAATCACACGCGTCTTATTTTCATAATACTCCTTTCTTTTTAATAAACAATGTAATTCGCAAGTCATCGGCTTATTGCTTTTTTTCAGTAACAACTAAATTTGAACACAACATATGGTCTTTAAACTATGAAAAGGGAATTTTCATTTGTGGAGGGAAGGTGTTCTTAAAATGAAGCCCGAGATCAAGGATAAAGAAGAGTTCCTACAAGACTTTATAAGTTTTTACTGGAACTTCAACATATATAATAATAGCGAAATACAAACTTGAGCTTTTGTTCACCTTTTTTTTTTTTTTGTTAACTTGAAAAAACACTTGAGAAGAAAAAAGCTTCACGAATCACACAAAGAAAAAATGAGGCAAGCAAGATACCTCGTCTGTGCTCCTCTTCTTGTGTGATGTCGTAAAACCAAGCATTATCAGGCTTTCGGAAAAAGAACATAGCAGAGGAATGGCAGCTTGTGGTCCTTTCGATTCCCCCGTAAGATAGAGCTCTTTGTAAACAAAGTTTATGAATATATTTATTATTTAAAGTACAAGATTCAAATAAGCACAGCTTAGCAATGATTAGGATATTTGCACCAAAAGAACACGTTTGAGAAATTGAACAAATTGAGTTCCATAACAGAACAAAATATTGTATCCAAATATGACATAAGGACCTTTTACAACAATGGGCGAGATAGTATCGATACTGTGATATATAATGCCCAATCTACAATTTTGATTCTACAGTTACCAACACTGGCAACTAGCATAAGCCCGAAGAGGAAGGCTATATGATACTTTGATTAGAAAGCATAAAATATAGATCATGAACTTTATAGCTAGATCAATTAGATCAAATAATGCAGTCCAATAGAAAAAGCAATGGGCTCCCGAGGGCAGCCCTGGCAAGGCAACAGCAAAACACAAAGTCCACTAATACCAGGCAGAGGTTATCATCATAGCATAGGGTAGCTAACAAGCTCCCAAAGGCTTCCCTTACGGCGCATCCTGGCGGCACCTTGATTGCTTTGTTTTATAAGTAACTCGAACATTTGCATTATATGAAAAAGGATAACATGGAGAATTTTGTTACCTTCGACGAATATTAGGCGCGCGCCCTAAACATGACATTAGTTACTTCACGTTTTGTTTTTGTTTTTTTGAAAGAGATAGAAAAAGAGAGCAAAGAGATGACCGATGTTAAAGAAAGGAATGTAGCTATTCAGAAGTTGTACTTAGTCAAATCCATCTCAGTATTCAAGATAAATGTCACTCTGGGTATGTCAATATAAAAGGTGATGGTTTTTGCAGTTACCGCTGTTTAACCCATTCAGCACAAGGTGACAAAATAAGATTCTGGGGCGTAAAAATGAAGATGCGTGACACCTTGCTCCAAAACATTGAATTCTATAAAGGCACCTTTTCAGACTGCGTTTTATATGACGATCTGAAAAGTAATGCTTATTATGCTATAGAAAAAGAAGTAGGAAGCGAAGAGATCAAATAGTCAAAGCTTTATGATTGCATTCAGCAAAAGGTCATAGTTTCTATCCCTTCCTCTTGCTGGTTTTTTGCTGCTGATTGTGCCTAGCTTACAGCTGATGCGTTTAGGCGTTCCATAGCTGTATACCCAGAAGATGGGTTTGTCAGTAGTCCTCCAGAATTGTTTTTTTCGTTGCTGAAAACGGCAAATATCATCGTACAATTGAAGGATCTGAGGCAACTTCACCATCACCAATAATACTACAAAGAGTAGGGTACAGTCATTTTGTAACATTTAATATAAAACAACATAAAAAAATGTTATGATCAAGGCCTCAGCTAAGCATGTGGGAATATGCTTGCAATAAAACGGGAAAAGTAGCAAGTTACAAGCGCTCTAACTGGAGCTGATATCTCTAATTTATCTCAAAAAACTAATTCTTATATTTAAAGTTACTCAGATAAACTGTATAACTATCCCTTCATAACTCTATGAAGCTATATGGCAGTATGTTGTATAGTATAATTAACACATTGAAAATGTTACTAATGGCTTAATGATATTTTAGTAGACAATATAGCAAAAAATGCTTTATGAAGCTTAAAACTATGTCTTTTCTCTAAAGAAGAGGGTTGACGATTTATCAGGTTGGTGATGTTGATTTTTCACGCATGAAAATGAGCCAAGAAATAAGAAAAAAAATTATTTATTTATATTTTGCAGAAAAATTAGAAATCTTCTTTTTTTTTTATTCTGTCTTTGAAGATGAAAACACGTTGAGCTTTTCCTTCAACTTCTCTGCTTGCTTATCAATATCGATTTGTGCATTAAGAAGATAAGGACGTAAGAAGCGAGCATACATAACTTCGGCACCCTACAGAAATTGAAATAAGCTTTTTTTAAAACAAATAAACAATCGGTGTTACAACTTACTCTAAATTGAGGCAAAGCCAACCAAAGAATCAAGAGCGTCTTGAAGAGATAATAGAATGGGAACCAGTAAAGTAAAAGGTCAGAAAAGTATTCTGCAGTTTGAACAAAACCAATAACAGTCCAATACGTCAACCACTGCTTGTCATCTTCTTTATCAGGAGACTCAATAGCCTTAAAGGAAGCATATGCTACATGATATAAATATATAAAGCCCTTTATAAATATAAAGTTACGTTACCAGGATAAATCCAAGAAACAAGGTTTGTCAAAAGTTGACCAGCAATGTTGAAGAAAATCATCACAAAGCCAATAGCAGCAATGCCGAGAGCGACATAACTCTTGGGTACGCCAGTTCTACGCTCGAACTCATTGGCGTATTTAAACTTGCCAAGTTCAGTATCAACACGGCTAACTACCTCCTTGAACTTGATTTGAATTGCTTCCGCGCTATAAGGGCTTGCTGCAGACATGCTTTATACAAAATAAAATAAAAAAGAAAGAGAGAAAAGAAAAGGAGTAAATAAATATATAAAAAAAAAGTGTAAAAAACACCACTTGCTTGATTGAAACGAGTCATGATTTCTATTGGCGGACTGTAGTGCAACACAGTCAGCAAAGATGTATCAAGACCATAAATGAAGAAGATTAATTACTAGATGAATATTGTAAGATGATCTTGATATTTCTTCACTCAAGCAAGTATAAATATCACATATATATCTTAAATAAGCAATATTCTATTATCTCTTTTACCATAATCCAACATAATTATTATTAGCCAATAATAATTATCCGTCTCCTATATCTGAGTCTATTCCTATTTTGTTCGTAAGCCGCAAATATTACAGCCAAAAGGAATTCGCTGTGACGTTTATTATGTCGTGAGCGTAGTGAAACATATTAAGCACCAAGTATAAAATAACCTATGAACATTAAATACATCATATTTATAATTAAACAGGAGGAATAGAAAGGGAAGGATAAAGAACTGTTTCAGATTAATTATCTTGAATTTTGTCTTCAACGTCGAAAAAAATATCTCGTCACCAGGCGAGGCTTCGTTTTCTTGTTCGAGTACCAGAAGAAAATCACCGGTTGTCCAAGAGAGAGCAGTGTTAAGGCAACAGTTGAAAGATGTTTTCGGCGGTAATGGTTGTGGAACGTGGTCGAAGTAGTCCAATTACCCAGAGTTTGAATACCATCCACGTTGTAAAGCGATAGAGTGGGCGAGCTATCGAACGTTGACGCGTTGTTCTGAAGTAGATCGGCATATAACTCGACGTAGTCAGGAAGCAATAGCTTGGCTTATTACTGGCAAGCTAGTCTAGTGCGTTCACGAATAATGTGTCTGAAAGCCTAGAAGCAGTAGTCTTAAGGTGATCCTTTAGCGCCAAGAAAAAGGCAACAGGGCAAAGATTGCGAGCGTTATGAGAATGAATGAGGACAGGCTTGACGATTCGTCTTCCATTCCTGCGTTCTTTGGAGCCACAATATTAAAACGTAGTTTGAGTTCCTCGTTTACAGTTGCTGAAAGTAAGGAGACCCAAGCCAAATCGGAATGACGAAGTAAAGCTGCCATACCAAGCAGAAAGGCTGCTTTCGTTTGAAGCTGAGGCAAAGAGCAAGAAGACAGTTTGATGCTTGCGATATAATTGAAAGTTGGTGTAAGGCCAACCATTGGATGATGAATGTGTATCGGCAGAGCTTTATCAGTCAGAGCACGAAGAAAGCACGATAGATCGGCTGTGTGTATGTAATAACAAAACTGCGGTACCTCAAAGCTTGACAGTACTGTTATGCCATCACAATATTATCGATAAATATTCGAAGCAATCATTATCTGGGACTACGAGCTCTTCCATATATGGCCTATCATATGTGAGCTTACTCTTAGGGCGCCATTACAATATCCATATGAAGCGTCTGTGCTCTAACCTCCAACTTAACGGTTGCTTATCAACAAACATTGTCAGATCATGTACTGCCTCAGTAACAAGGCACCTAAAACAAATATCGAACCAATAGTTAACACTAGTTAGGTTTTTCCCAGTTATTCTCATTGTAGCTGGATGCTTATAGGTACGCTTACGGTATCCAGTTATCGCTATTGATTGTAGATGTTGAAAAGTATAAATACCATTGCTTTATTCATCGTAAATAAAGGTATCGTATATTTTAGTCTCACTGACTTCTTGTTTTTTTTCCTCTTTTACTTGGCAAAACACACTCTTACGATTTCGCATGAGTTACCTTGGAGGCATGAATACCAACACGTTTAAAAGCATCGGTATATATTTTATGCAGAGCTCTGTATGTAATTGGCGTAAATCTATCATCTCCCTTGAAGACCACAGTCTCGCACCAGTTTTCACGACGAGTGAAGTCAGGGAAAGGCTCGTTCTCGAAATAAAATCTTGAAAAAAAGACTCATTGCCAGAACACCGACAGAGCATACTTCAAAATTAATAATGAAGCCCTTAGATTACAAACACAGCCATAGGCTCATTAATAGACTTACCTCTTTACATTCCTTCAAATAGTATAAATACTCTTCTTCTTTAATAAATAAAACTCGAGTCAATTATCACAGTATAACTTCTGTCCTTAGACCTTCCTAGCCTATTCTTATCCTTTCTTATCTGTTTCTTGTCTCATTCTTATCTGTAAGTCTCATCTCTTCTAGATCATCTTACAAGCCCTTAATACCGCCCTCTTTTGTCCTTCCAATAGTTGCACTATCCAACATCTTAGTTCCTGTCCGGCTCTATTCCTCTCCTCTTTCCTCCGCTGAATAATACAGCTCAATACACTTCAATACCATGATGTTGAAAAGACGATCCATACTCAATCTTGCCATGTTGGCTGGTTTTTCCAAAAGTGATAGCTGCAACCAAAGCAATACATTCTAATATTCCTTGATTTTCTAATGGAAACACTAAAAAGAGAAAGTATAACATAATAATAGGGCTTACAGCGGTTTCAAAGGGATTTGATGTAGAATTAAAAGTAAAAAGTATACCTCTCTTATAGCTTTTTGAAGCATTGATGCCTTGATTTTTTTAATTATTATATTAAGAAAATAGGCCGGGCCATGGCATAAAAGGCATTATCTTATTGGATAAAACCGTCTTCTAAATGTTATGGGTTACAGATGAGTCTTTGTAGGTTATCACTACGGTAATTTTTAAAAATACTTTTTCAAAAAGGAAATCGGTCAAGGATTTTTGAGTTTCGACAGGTATTTTTTTGAATCAGAATTGAGTCTGAAGGTTCATATGCTGACCAAAGCACCCAAAATATCGCGCCAGTAGGACTAGCCTTCGCGTGATAAATAATCGAGACTTTTTCACTTCCTTTTCTCTTTTTTTTTTATTATAAATACTCGAATATTATTGTAGAATAAATGTCAGAAATTCAGCAACTCCATGTCATCATTATTGGTGTAGGTATCATAGGCGCATGTCGCGCTAACTTGTCGCCTTTTCGTATAAATTGTATTATAAAAATTGCAAAAATGCGACTGTACATTCTGAAAAGACTGTGCTCAAGTCCACAATGAATCTGGCGGACTGACTCAAGCTTAAATGCGACTCAGCTGTAGGCAATAAAAAAAGCAGGAGAAAAGGAAAAAAGGAAAAGGATGCTCTAAGTTTAATAAATTTCATCAAAAGGTCTAGTGTCAGCAAAACAACTATCAAATACACTCAAAACTGCTCGCTCAGCTTCTTCTTTACTACTACAGTTAGGATTCTGCTGCACTGAGAGAACAGCTCTTCTTTTCACACATTCCTGATGTTGCTTTGTAAATCTAAAGAATCCTCTTCTGATCTCTCTTGTCCATTTACAGTCTCCACTCAGACTAGCTGCTCTAATCTATGCAGTCTTATATATAAGCTTACATTATAGTTCACTAACAATGTTATACTCACTTCACTGCAAGCTTGATGCTTTAGATTGGTCCAATCAACCTTAAATTTGGTATTATCATACATGTGCACCATCTCATGCACCATCGTATGCTCTTGCATCTTTTTTTCTGGTAGTCTATTATAACATAATATAATGGCTGTAGGTGAGAATCCTCCTGATCTTGTTTCATCGCAAGGAAGGCAAAGAAAGTCATCCTTGGTCACTTCCTTTTTTATCTTTTTAAGTTCATCGACCATAAATCTGACAGGTGGACCTATGAGTGAATGCATAAGACAAGTAAAAATTACACAATTGTTTAAATGATTTACTGTTCTTTAATAAGTTCTCTTTCCATACTTCACACTTGTTGCACTGGTATTCCTCCAATTCTTTTTGCATGAGACCTCGAAAATGCTTTTGTTCCTCTTGAGTCATGCCTAAACCAGTAATGTATTGCAACGATTTACGCCATTTCTCAAAGGCTTTCATATCTTTTAATGAAGTAGCCTTGTCCTGTTCTGTTGTCATATTCTATCGTTGCTACCCTTGGCAAGAAAATTGTCGAAAAAAAAAAAAGAAAAATAGTACGCTTGTTTTAAAGCCGCGGTCTTAAATGTTTTTTTTTATTATATCACTTCAAATGTAACTCTAGTAAATAGTAAATAATGATAAAGGTAGCAACAGGTCTACCACTTATTTCCACCGTTGTTGTTGTATCTATTGTAGCCACCATAGCCACCACGGCCACCACGGAAACCTCCTCCACCGCGACGGCCACTGCCAAAACCAGAGCCATGGCTAGTTTGAACCAAGAGCTGTAAACGAGGATCAACTGGTTGATTAGTTTGGTTAAGAATATCCACCAAGTCACGGGCTTGACGGGCGTTTTCCGCGGTGAAGTAGGTAAACGAGTGACCTGTATTTCCACCACGTCCAGTACGACCCACACGGTGAATGTAGTCTTCAATGTTGGTTGGGAAATCATAATTGATGACGTATTTGACATCCTTGACATCTAAAGGACAGTTAGTATCTATGAGCAAGGAATAAAAGATAAAGAAAAAAAAAGAGAAAATCATTGATTTGATTTGATTTTCATAAAACGCAACTAACAAGTGTACACACAAGTATTGCTACAAAACGCCCTTCTACAAATTCAGAGACAAGCCTCCTAAATTGTCGTAAAAGATATAAAGTATTGATCCAGAGAAACATAACCTTCTCTTGTGTTAAACAATAAACGTCTACAGACTTGCCCGAAAAGAAGGTTCCTAATATGCTGCTATATCTCTGTAACCAAAACTAGTCGTTCTGTAACAATAAAAAGAACCAAATTCTTTCTTTGTTCGTTCCATATGCGATTACGAGAGTTTTATACAACTCTTCTCTTCTTTTTTCTCTACAAGGGATATAAATATGTATACATACCAATACCACGCGATGCAACATCTGTGGCAACCATAATAGGATGATCTCCAGATCGGAATTGGTTTAATACCCAATCACGTTCATTCTGTTGTTTATCTCCATGAATAGCAAGAGCAGGGAACCCATCTTGACGTAAAAATCTAGTAATCTCATCTGCTGTACGTTTGGTACTAGTAAATATAATTGTTTTGCGTTCATTTTCAGGTTGTTCCATAATACGCTCCAATTGAACAATCAACCTATAAAAGTCAGTAAATCAAATATTATTAATGTGCTCACTCACTTTCCACGTTTCTCTGCTTGTGTGCAGACTTCTACTGATTGAGAGATATTAATGGATGCACTCAATGACAAAGAACCAACGGTCACTTGAATGAAATCCTTAAGGTATTGCTGTGCTAAGCGTTCAACAGATTTAGGCCAGGTAGCACTCCACATAAGAGTCTGTCGATCAGGACGAATTTGATTGACAATCTTTCTGATTTGAGGTTCAAAGCCCATGTCAAGCATACGATCGGCTTCATCAAGAACAAGATAAGTCACACGCTTCAAATTGGTCTTTCCAGCTTCAAGCATATCAATTAAACGCCCAGGGGTAGCAATACATATTTCAACGCCCCTCGTGAGGTCTCTAATCTGTGGGCCACGAGGAGTACCTCCATACAGACATGTGTTCTTGATTCTAGAGGTTGCACCAAACTTGTCACATTGTTCACGGATTTGTACTGCAAGTTCTCTTGTAGGAGCCAAGATCAATACAATGGGACCATCACCAGGTTGAAGCAAAGGTTGTGCATTGATATGAACAATAGCAGGAAGTGTATAAGCCAATGTTTTACCAGAACCTGTTTCTGCGACACCAACAACATCTCGGCCACTTAAAGCCATAGGCCAACCTTGGCATTGAATAGGAGTGGGATGAGCAAAACCTAGTTTAGCAATCTCTTGCATGACATATGAAGGGAAGTTGGCTTCTTCAAAATTTTTAATAGGTTTTGGCACACCATATCCAGTTACTGTCATATTAGCAGCATTCCTGATAGCCTCAATTTCTTCCAAGCTTCTTTGAGCAACATCTGGGTGTTCTGTATAGAAATTCTTTTCAAACTTTGGTAAAGCAGACAAGTCCCAATCAATGTCTTGAAGACCGCCAGAGTGTTGATTTTGCTGATATCCATTTTGACTTCTGTAACCGCCAGAATTGTTGTTGTAGTTATTTCCACCACTACGATAACTGCCAGCATAGCCATTAGTGTTATTGGTAGTAGCAGTAGTAGTTGCAGAGTAAGAAGAACCGTAGCCGTTTCCAGTAGGTTGGGTAGCATTTGATCCATAAGAGTAGTTTCCATTGTTTTGGCCGTAACTGCTGCCTCCATAAGAGCTAGAGTATGAATTACCACCACTCTTGTGGTTATCGTTGGGACGATAAGAAGAGTAACCACGGCTTTCAGAGCTGCGTGATCCATTTCCATAACTAGAGGCACTAATGCAAGAATGATTAATCATGCTAATGTGTTCTTTTTTTTTTTTTTCAACTTACGGTCTGCTTGATCTTCTAGGTGAAGTCTCACGATGATCACGATAGTTTCCACTTCCCTTGTTTGAATAACCGGTTCTTTCACGGCCACTGGAGCCATAAGATGAAGAATGATGGGAAGTTGAATAAGAAGACATATTTAATAAAGAAAAAAAAGCGATAAAATAAAAAGCAAGAAGGAGCAACTATTTTGATTATGGCAACAGCTGTCTCAGCCACTATTTTAGCCTTATCCAATTAAATTTAAGGATACGAGTAATCAATCAACCACTAAAGAGACGTAGAGGGAAAGGGATAAAACGATCCTGATAGGACAGAACAACTCAACGTAATCAAGACCGCACTGTGCAGAGCTTCCGACAAGCCAATCAATATCAATTTTGTATTGCCAAAAATGGAAGTTCGTTTTTAGAAACTCTAGTGTTTGCTTACATTTATAAGTGTACGAGTGCGTCAGCTGCAGTGAAACGGTTGGGCGCTCACATTCGAACTGCACACAGATGGGCTAAACAGCATAATGTATGCCCTGAAAGTAGTTTTGAGGACTGCAAAAAGGTAAGTCGTAAGTGTATCTTGATTGAAGAGCATAAAACGACTGATCAATTTCATTGATGCTAATCATTCTACCACTGTTGTTGAAGTGATAGAACATTTATTGAAATGATTCAATGATCTTAAAGCCTCGCGCAACACTGCTTATAACTTTACGAGGAGTGAATTCAGCCTTTCATAGAAAAAAGCAGATTTCCATTCTATCAAAAGAAACAGTCCAGAAAAGATTGAGGAACGGTATGGTTGGGCTCGTAATTGGAAAAAATACAGTTATTAGCTTCCTGACAAATTACTTGTTTCTTGATGAATCTGCTTTTGATATAAAGATGAAACGTTCCAGAGCTTGGTCCAGAGAAGGTACAAGTGCTATTGTTACCAGACCTACTACGAGAGCAAACACAACGCTCATTTTTAACCCTATCTCTGCCGCTGGTTTGATCACAGTCGACGTAAAAAAACCAAGAACTGCCAAGAAGAGAAAGGCTGAAGGATTATTAGCTCAGGAACTACTGTATTTTTATTAATTATTGACGTTAGTTTTATAAATTATTGTCGTAAAATAAAAAAATTATTTTCGTAAAAAGACGACAAAGAAAAACACGTTTGAATAAAACGACATTATATCAAAAGAGAGAGAGATAATGAGTATATGTAGAAAAGAAGAGAAAAAGCATACATGTTCTTCTGGTTTCATGGAAAAACCGAATAAAGAATTTAAACTTTTACAGAGAGACTAAAGAAGGTCATTTCTAATACTAAGTTAATTTTAACTCCAAGACAGCCCACCTGTTAATATTACTGTCAAATGGAATAGTGAGCCATGTTCTTTTTGTATTTGTTATTACTCTGATAACATTACAATGGTTTCAATACGACATCTAAATCTGGAAAGCACGATATTCAGCCTCAGTAGCAGCGTCATTACCTTTTGGAAATACAGTATATCCATGGATGTCAAGGCTAATACTACGAAAATATTCTTGGTGACGATGAATTCACATTTCGTACAGCATGAATTTTGTTCTCGATCACAGGCGAATTTACTTTCCGGAAAGAGTGTATAACAGGTCGCTACTTCAGTTTCTTAAAATGACTCCCGATGAAGTAGACAAGCATCCACATATGAAAGGTAATTATATAGTCATGGATAATGCACACATTCACACGCATGAAAGCATAAGGAAGTATATTGAGCATCGAGAACATAAATGCGTGTATCTTCCTACTTACTCTTCTGAACTTAACCCAATAGAACAATCCTGGGCAGTGACAAAGAGTAAAGTTAAGCGGCATGGATTTTTGCAGGAAGACACTTTATCAAAAAGAATTACAGAAGCCTGCAAAAGCGTGGAAAAAAGCCACTTCTGAGATTCCGTTTCGTATTCTTACAAGTGCTGGGAAAAATGCCGAGACAGGAAGCCCGTATAATGGTTACATACGACTCCATCCAACAGCTAGTAATGCAGCAATCAAACAACCAAATGATAAAGACGTGTGCGTTTACTTTTACATCAACAGAATCCTCAACCCTTGACCATGTACGGCCTCTCATCAACTGTGAGCGAAAGCTCACTTCAACAACAAGCAAGCAATTCTCTTAAAACTTGGCACCGGCAGTTTTCACTAGCTGATGATGTTGAAGCGCAGCACAATAACTTTTGAAGCATGATGCTACAAGGTGTGCTTCACCTCAGAAACATAAGCATACGCCAAGATGGAATAAGTGATTTATGAAAAGAGAAAAGAAAGAAGCTCATGGCAAAAAGGGGAATGACCTTTTATATGCAAAAATAAATGTTGTTAGCCAATTATATCATATGACGCGTCGTCAAACACTATAGACTACAGATGTCATGGATCAGTATTGCGGTCTTGGTATATATTACTATATTAATATTTAATATGACTTTGGCTTATGTACGAAATATATATTGATTGTATTGCGTCAAAATGTGTAGAACCTTCTCTGATATAAAAGAAGAAATACGACATCATCCTTGGCAATTCCCATGACAAACAAATCATGTTTGCTTTGGCGTGAATCATACAGCAACACACGATTCACTGTATGTACGCTTTTTAGCGATGATACCATGGGCTGGACTTGATTCTCCAATCTCCAGTCTTTATTCGTAAAATAACGTGGATATTAACAAGGCCCTCCAGCAATGACGCCTGAGGCATTAGTTATAGTTTTGTTGTTGCTGCTAGTACTTCGCGTAAATGTGTAAGAATAAAAGCAAAGGAGTGACGAGTCTCTGTTTCTCCTTTTATTAGAAGTGAAAGAGAGAACCTATAGCAAAAAGAAATTAGGTTGTCATCCCTATCGCTTGTAAAAAATTAACGAGCTCTATACTCCAACGGGCAAGCTCATAAGACGGCGAGAGCAACAGTGAAACGGCTGGGTGCTTTACTGTTGCGTGAAACTTAAAAGAAATACTGGATAAATTAAGGTATATGATATGTTTTATCTGTGTAAAAAGAAAAGAGGTACGATAAGAGTGACCATGAGATACTAAGTGTTTTAACAACCCTCAGTTATATATTTAGACTCACTGCGCATACAGTCATTAAATTACCTCAGCCCAATAATCAGGGCTCTTATTAGAATAGGAGGTGTCAACATCTGCTGTTAGTCTCCTTAATAAAATATTAAAAACTAGGCAATCTCATTTTAATCATAAATGATTGTTTTATTACTTCGCTTTACGGCTTTCAAGAAAAAAAAAAAATAGTCGTAAATATTAAAATAACAGGCATAGAGAAGAAATCCATAAATAACTTAAAGAAAACAGTATTCCAGTAGACCTTTTTTGACATCACTGTACGAAAAAAGGGGGAATGAAATACAAGAAGAAAAAATGGGAATCTATCAAATAAAAAGGAGACATGTAAACAAATGCAGAAGAGAGAAAGAGAAAGAGAGCAACGGGTATCATGAATAATAAATAACCTGTGCCAAGAAGAGAAAGAGTAAAATGGAAAGTAATAAATGGTACACAATGATGATCTTCATATAAAAACAATTGTTTTTACATGTTGACCTGGTACATTCTTTCGAGTGCTTGCTTTTGCAAGATGGACTCTTGGAACCTAAGATACAGTTTAATACATGGCCTACTTTGTTTATTATGTAACTTACTTTCTCAGTTGTTCATTTTCACTCATCATGCGTTCCAATTCAGCCAAAAGTGACGCTTGGTTTCTTTTAAGATGTTGCAAGTGTTGGACAGCTACCAAAAAAAAAAAAAGGAGGAGGGTTAGTAGGGTAATTAAGGACGATGAAAAGACATACTTCTATGCAATAAGGCAGCTTTGCTCATCTTTTTGTTAATGCAACCAGGCAGATGTTGGCGCAATTCTTCGAAACCATCCTTGATTTGAGCGCGACGCTTTTGTTCGGATTGGATATGAATTTGTCTACGGATTTCTTGGGCAGAGACACCATCGATATCTTCCTCAGAGGAAGAGCTGTTGCTGTTACTGTTATCGTCGTCATGCTTGTTTGCACGTCTACGCTTTTTGTTATTTGAAGATCCATTTTCGTAAGTTTCCTTTGAGTATTGATGGAATTCGGGTAAAAATGATTCAGGCAACTTGTTAACATTGGCAATCTTCTCAGTGATAGTTGTATGAGGAGAGAGCAATGGTGGAGATAAAGTAGAAGAAACAGGAGGCGAGAGACGAGAAGAGATCGACTCGGGGCTAGCAGAACCTTGCTGAGAAGGAACTTGAGGCGGATGATAAACATCGTAGGTCATCATGACAGAGCTTTGATTCAAACTGTCGATTCCATTATCGCCATAATAGAAGGCTATATAGGCATGTTAGTGCATGACATCATATATAAAATACATGTACTTGCCTGAAGGATAAAGTTGAGCATCAAAAGGCTCCAATTTGGAGACAGTGGAATAAGTGGTAGGCATAATGTATTCATCAAAGCCAAATTCTGATTCGATAGTATTCATCTTGGGAATTGAGACAACAAATGAAAGGAGAAATAGAAAGGAAAGTATGGGGTGTTGTTTCTGTATTTCTAAAGGAAAGTAGAAAAGTTTGTTAAAGTAAATGAATGACGGTAAAGCCTGTTTGCTTTTTTGTGTTATAAAAGAAAAAGAAAAAGTGAAAAAGCCTTTTCCTTTTTTTATTCTAATTATTAAGTTGTACAAGGCGATAATACCTTGTACATTGACTATAAAACGACTTGATGGTCTTGCAATTTCCGTGAATTCAGTAACAATAGGTTGTCATGGCAATAAATTTACTTTAAATGGATAAAGCAGCTACTACGGTTACTGTGTTTGTGTTTACTTTTGAATATCTAGCAAACATGGTCTATTTCAATTTTTTTCTTGAGTAACCCTTCTGACATGGAAATAGCCATTTAATTGGGCAAAACATAGTTACACATTATAAAACACTTTTTTTGCTGTAGAGACTATTTTACTTATTAACTTGCATATCGAGTGAGCCCTTATACATCAAAATTATTGTGGCAATTAACGTTATCTATAAGAAGATGTAGCATTAATGTGCCCGATATGATTGGGAATATCGTAGATAATCTTAACATCTTTGAACAAGTTTCGAAATAGGGGGAAGGAGGCAAACCAACTCAAAGCACATCAGTGATCGAGCTATTTTATAGACCACAGCCACCAAGAATGGAAAGATGCCTTCGAAAAGATGCAATCAACACAATCGGAGTTGAACAAAATAGAGGTAATTTAGCAATGCAGCTTGTCGACCAGACAAGACCAAAGTAGCCAGGTTTCAGTCAAGAATTCACCGCTTCAAAGGGCTCTTATTAAGGGACACTGCATTTCCTTGGATTTGTCTGTGTTTAAAAAAATAATGGTTAAATAGGATGTGCATATCTTGTTGAAATAGAACAGACAATATACCGTCTTCTTAACAATATAAGTCCTGTAACGAATGGTTGACAGCTAAATAACAAATCGTAGCCAAACCGAGCGCATAATGTGTATTATTGAGCTTTCGAGAACACTGCTTTCAACTCTTAAAAGTCGCAATTTCTAAGCAAACCAAGTCGAACTGAATGGGTTTTAATAGTTAGAAACTTTTCTCGCATTTTTATCCATTCAAACCATTAAATGAATGATCACGATCAAAATCTATTTAAAGATAAAGCATTGTGCGAATGACTACATTACTGTATTTTTATTAATTATTGACGTTAGTTTTATAAATTATTGTCGTAAAATAAAAAAATTATTTTCGTAAAAAGACGACAAAGAAAAACACGTTTGAATAAAACGACATTATATCAAAAGAGAGAGAGATAATGAGTATATGTAGAAAAGAAGAGAAAAAGCATACATGTTCTTCTGGTTTCATGGAAAAACCGAATAAAGAATTTAAACTTTTACAGAGAGACTAAAGAAGGTCATTTCTAATACTAAGTTAATTTTAACTCCAAGACAGCCCACCTGTTAATATTACTGTCAAATGGAATAGTGAGCCATGTTCTTTTTGTATTTGTTATTACTCTGATAACATTACAATGGTTTCAATACGACATCTAAATCTGGAAAGCACGATATTCAGCCTCAGTAGCAGCGTCATTACCTTTTGGAAATACAGTATATCCATGGATGTCAAGGCTAATACTACGAAAATATTCTTGGTGACGATGAATTCACATTTCGTACAGCATGAATTTTGTTCTCGATCACAGGCGAATTTACTTTCCGGAAGGAGTGTATATCAGCAATTGCCTTAGATACGGATAGAAATACAGACAAAGAGTTTGCATTTAGGAAAATAATAAGTAAAATGGTGCTCAAAAAGGGCCAACTTGCTTAAAGGATGGTACATGTGTAATTTTATTTGTTCAAATATGCTAAAATTCAATGCAATCTAGTATCTTTTTGTTCTATTTCCTGTATCCATTTCTACTGTACAAAGATCATCCCATTCTTCAATTATAGACGTGACTATATTTGGTTGATTGATCCATATGGACAACAGTACCATTGCTTCATCTTTGCTCTGTATACTCGCAAATCCTTGATCTGAAACGAGCCTCTTTTTCGTTTCAAGTTCTTTTAAATACATCTCTATTATTTCTTTCATTCTTTTGCCTAAAGCATATGTGAGTAACTGAATAGATTAAAGATATAACCACAGTACGGTATGTATCTAATGGACATGTTTTATACACTGATTTTGTCTTCAAGAATTCGTCTCCGTGCACTTTCTTTACTTGAAGACATATACTGCATAAGTCCTTAAACTGACTCTGCATTTTACTATGTTGCTTTTCCTGACCATTCATGTATCAATATCTTTTATGACTACAGCATTTTTTTGGGGAGTAATACCATTTTTTGCACAAGATCTGCAAGTTGATCATGTTGCTTTGTTATAATAGTCTGCATTTTATATTCATATTGTTGAATAATATTTCGAAATTCAAGTGTTAGCAAAGGATGCCAATATTCGCTTTCATCAGCATATCTAATCTTATATATAAGATGATTCAATCCGAGAGGAAAATAACATTGAGCATTTTAAACCTTGATTGAATAATTGAATTGGAAAGTTTGTTGGCAGTTGGGAAAGCATGTGAATTAATTTCATTCCAAGTATTGCGTGTACGTTTAAATTCTTCTATTAAGCCACTTAATTGCCTTTGAATCGTGCCAATGTTGTATGCCATATTTAATATTGTGTGTTAAAAGAAAAGTAAGCCACAGTGCGTATAAATAAGCTCCATAAATCATCTGAGTTTGCTGCATTTTGTGTGTGTCAAATTGCTAAAACATGAGCAAAGGTAAAAGAACAGGTGTAGGATGAGTCATGTTGTATTAATCTTTTATATTAGAAGAGGTATACAATCACATTTCTTATAGTCACCGAGAAAAAGATATTAACTATAACTGTAGTTTATTGAGAAACAGATCGAGGACTTGACAAAAGGTACGTAAAGGTACACAACTCTTTCTTTCTTCATTGCTTAACTTATTTTGTCCCAGAATTACAATCTATTAGTAATAAACAAGACAGCAAAACTATTGCATCTATTTTGGTCAAGAGAGGTTTACTTTATGAGTCATTGGACCAATTGGATAAATGTCAACAAGACATTCAGACAGCCTTCAAGATGGATCCAACAAATCAGGAGTTGAGAAGCTTGTTGACGCGCGTAACAGCCTCAAAAGAACATTCTGAAACTACAAAACAAGGCAACAATGATCCTCAAGTCGCTCAGTTTCAAGAAATACTACACAAATTGGATACAATCGACGTAAATAGTGTAAAATCCCTTGTGAGCTCAAACGACTTTATATCAATATTAACCTCATGTGGCTCTTTGGATACATCACCTCGCGTCAAAAGCTTAGCTTTCATGATCCTTACCAAGCTATTTAACCCACCTTCTCAAGCAGCAAGTAAATACCCTCTTACGTTTATCATTGAAAAGTGTGCTACTTGTTTTTCATACTCTGTCGGTCAGGGCAAAAATGAGTCAAAACTGCTAGCTTATCGTACTTTACAAGCTATTTTTCAAACAAGCATGACAGTGGGGTCCGCAATCTTGTGCCAAGAAGGGACAGTGGAAGAAATGATGGATACAGTAGAGTTTGAAATAGTACCCGTTCAGATAGCTATAGCTGAGGTACTAAACATCGCCTGTTCGGATAAAAGTTGCCGCAAGCAAATCTTAAAGTACGCGACAGACTGGCTAGCAAAGATGGCAAGTCAAAACAAGACTGATCCTCATTTGAAAGCAGCAGCTGGAACCATCTTGACAAAGCTGAAAGCTCAGTCTGATATACCAACCGATGAACCAGCAGAGGGCATATCACCGGATGGCTCAGTTCATTCCGGCAATCTGAGTGACTCCATGCGCAAGATGCAACTAACAAGCGATGACTTAGTGAATTCCTTGAAGCAGGTTATCAAATCAAAGTCATCGGATGCCAATGTAGTGCTAAATGCCCTTGAGGGTCTGGCATACTCCTCTTTAAAACCAGAAATCAAGGTATCGTTAGGAGAGGATGACGAATTCTTAAAGTGCCTGTCAACATTGGCAATAAATACTGTACGTGAAGAATCTTCTACTTCAAAAAACCCGCTACTGTTTGGAATTGGTACCATCTTTGCCAATGTTACTATGTACCGACGTATACTTAATGAGCAAGAAAAGCAAATGAAGAAGTTGAGGGATCTGGCCAACGCCAAGCAGCGTCAAGCTGAGGGTAAACCAGCAGAAGTAAATGATGATGATGATCCACGCGAACAAGACAGTGCTGTAGAAGGTCGTATAAATAAGGCAATCAAGAACGGAGTCTCTTTGGCCATGATAGTACTGTCCAAAAGTAATAGTGTTAATATTCGTGCAGTAGCTGCACAGACATATCTCAACATTGTCACGCCCCAGCAGACACGTGGACAATTGCTTCAGCAAGGTGTGCTTAAGGGTCTTCTTCCCCTATCTCGTGATGAAGGCACAACTGGCATAATCGCATCCCAAGCTTTAGCCAAATTAGCCATCACAGCAGATCCTCGCTTGGCATTCCATGGAGACACAGTTTTGGATCTGGTCAGACCCTTTTTGAACCTTTGTAAAGATTCTAGTCAGCTAAGGCAATTTGAGGGCCTTATGGCGTTAACAAACTTAGCTTCTGTTGAGGACCGTGTACGGTTACTTATTGAAAATGCAGATGGCATGTCTACTTTTGAAAACTTGCAACTTTCTAATAATGACATGGTGCAGAGAGCAGCTACTGAAATGGTCTGCAACATGACCTTTTGTGACCCAGTATTTGAACGCTATAGTGACCCTAAAAAATCTCAAAACCGCATTCGACTTTTGATGATTCTATCAGATCATGAAGACCCTGCAACTAGAAGAGCAGCATCAGGTGCTTTGGCTATATTGTCCAATAGTCCGGGAACATGTGAAATGATTTTAAAGGTTGACAAGTGCTATGAAAGAATGGCGCGGTGGTTAGAGGCAGAAGAAACTGTAGAAGTAAAGCACAGAGGGATCGAAGTCATACGTCTTTTATTACAATACAAAGGAAAGCAGATAGTAGAGGGACTTTGTAAAGAAAGCATAGATAGAAAGCTGGTGGATATTGTAAAAAATTGTAATGTTCAAGTTGTTCGATCTCTTGCAGTAGAAGTCCTTAAGCAATTTTCGGAAAATGGTGTGAAAATAAGCACTTAAATAAAACTATCTTATCTATACATTACAAGCAGACAAGGAGTTCCGCTACTTGTCACAGGTCAATTAGTATTGCTTTTCATGGTTGCTCTACACTTTTTTTCAGAAATCATTAGTTAAAACATTGAAAAAGAATTATATCTTGCTTTGATGAAAAGGTTAATTTATATGATTTTCAGGTTAATGAAGTATATCGTTCGTTTTCTAATAACCTTGCTTCTTCAAATCAAAATAAATAAGTAATCCGCTTAGAAAGGCAGCAGTGACGCCGTGACTAATGTTGGTTGTTTATGTTTAAATGGTTATGAAACGCAGCCAGATTATCATGAGACCCTGAAAGGCAGTAATCGGGCAATGTATAATATTGGTGATATGTATTATACAGGTACATGCGTGCATCAAGACAATGAAGAGGCTGTAAGATACTATTAAAAGACTGCAAAGTTTTAAGTTGCCAAAATAGAAAAGAATGCAAGGAGGAGCAGACAGGAACGCTTTTCCTAGCATCGTAAAAAGATACATGAAAACTAGTTCATTAAATAAAGAGTAAATAAGTGAGCTTGGATATGATTTTGGATTTAGTCATGTTTTGTTCCCAAACACCTTCTGCTTCAAAAAGAGAAACAACATAGGCTACTGTTACATGAAGCTGCTTGTTTTCATGCGGCATTTTTTGATCATTGATCTAAACCGAATTCATCAAAGTAAACTAATACTTTTGCTTGCATTGCTACAATAGATAATATATCATGATATATTTATATGTTTACTTGTATAAAAAGGAAGCCCTCGTTTTTCCATTTCTTTCTTCAAGACCATTAAGCATCATACAAGTAAGCAATGCTAAAATTAATAACGAATTTTAACCTATTACTACGATAACAGTGAGATTAAAGTGGAAGAAAAAAGTAATAGTTTCTAAACATGTTGTGATCTTTTATTAAGGTTTGTTTGTATAGCGCCAAAGACGTCTTCAAAGAAAGAGACGTGCCCAAAGAAAGAGATATCATTAAATGCAGTTCTGATTATGACAGTTCCTGAATGATATGCATATGAATAATAATAATATACAAGAAATAAATGACAATATTGTGTTGAGGTTTAAAACTCTTTGTCTTCTTTTGTTGGATGATTGCGATGCTTTTTCTTTTCTTCTTTTAATCCTTGATGCAATTGATGAAGTTGAGCAGATACTGTATTATTGGCAGCATGGATCGCGACACCATTGTGTAAGAAATTATCCAAAAAGGAGGCTGCACCTGAAATAGACAATTCTTTATTGGAATCTATTTTGAGATTAAGGGGAACGAGTTCAGGCTTTCTACTGCTCATGTTGGGATCAAGCAAAAATAAAACAATTGAAAAAAGAGGCCTTTAGCAAATTGATTATATACAAGCCACAAAATGATTATAGTAATATTACAAGTCCACCTACAGGCAACTGAATGCCTGTATAAATACATATGTATATGCTCATATGGGACAACCTATTCTTTCAAAAACTCTTTTTTAATATGATGATGTATATATATATACGTATATATACATATTTAAGGATTTGAAGGAAAAACAGCAAAGACAAACAAAGGAAAGGGAGAAGGCTGTAGCTTTAAAAATTAGGAGCAAAAAGAAGACATCTGTTGTCCAATAGTATCATAGATCTGTTTTTATCGAGTAGAATGTCATAAGAAAAGAGTAAGAAGGAGATCCTCCTGAGCTGATAGTCGACCATTCTACTCCTATTATCATGAACTGCACATAATTTAATTTTGAAATCCCGTTCTTCCTCCCCTTTTTTACACAGTTAAACAGTAATGGCAACTGAGGAAGTGAATGGTGCTCAAGAAAGTGAGTTTTCCATAATAACTATTAGTGATTCACTAACTTATCAAAAGAAAAGATAGTGGAGGCTTCGTGCGACTTGGCCGTTCTACAACTGGAGCAGATATTGGGGAACTTCAGCAAAAGATCAGTCAAGCTGAACAAGAACTGAATCAGCTAAGAGTTGAACTAGACCAGACTAAACAACAAGCAAAGCAAGCTGAATTATCTGCACAAGAAAGTGGAAAGACCAACCGTAAGCTAAAGACTGAGATTCAGACATTGACAGACATGAGCAATCGTAAAGACAGACAAGCAGAAAACTCCAAGGCAACCGCTTTCTTCTTTGAAGGACAAGTCAAAAAGTACATGGATGAAATTGAGACAGCAAGACAAGGCATGGGTCATCTCAAAGAACTTGATGACCAGTTAAATCAAGCAAAGGCAGAACAAGCTGAGCTCGAAAAAACGTCAAAGGAAGAAGCTGTTCGAGTGAAAGCGGTTATAAAGTCGATGCAAGAGACACATAAAGCAAATAAGGAAAACATGAAGCAAGAGATTGAAAAGGCTTATGCAGAACTTGAAAAAGCATCAGCGCAAACATTGCAACTTCAGCAAGAAATTCAACAAAAGATGGAAAACGAGTTACAGTCAGGAATGGATATTCAGGCACTGGAAAGAGAACATAAACTATTAGAGCAAAAACAAATAGAGACCATAAAACAAGTGTATGATGAAGTTGAGCAGCTTCGTAAAAGACTAGAACAATCAGAAGCTTACACTCTTTCGCACGAGGAAAATATGTTGGTTGCTAAAGAAGAAATGGATAGAATTGTGCGTCGACTTCGCGCTATTGATCAGATAGCCAACACAAAAGATACTGACTAATTGATACCTTCTTTTCATTACATTTATTGCTTGATTCAATAAAACATATCACGTTAATTACAATCCTGTTTTTTAGCTGAAACAATGCTCACTAATACCTATTGAACTAATATAATGCCAAGAGAATAAACAAGTTAATAAGCAATTAGATGCTGATATATAAGAAAATATAAGCTATTTTCGTGATCTAAAGATTGATTCTGACTAGAATAAAGTGGACAATTACGCTATTTTGAAGAGAAGGTTTGACAGATCATAAAATATAAAAATTGCATACTGTTCTTTTTCAAATGTTGGCTTCCTTTGAAAGACTTGCTCTTTTAAAAGATTGACAACTTTAATTGATTTTGAGAATTCAAAGCGCTGTAGTATTGCCTTGCTTACAATGCAATAGGAATGAAAAAAGAAGTTTTTTGTCTTTATCAGATAAGAACCCGTGTCGACATTTGCCTTTGGCTTCCAATGTCCCTATCTATTCGTAACTTTGGTGTACTTAATCATCATTTTAGTTACTGTCGCATCTCAAATCCACCAATATTCCTATTGATTGGACAACTTCTTGGCCGAAATATCGGCGCAAACTGAGATTCGACACAGGCAAAAAACCTTCGTCTGTCAAGATATAAAAAATTTATATCAAGCTTTGATTTCTAAAAAGGAAATTCACGTGACTAGAAAAGCAGTCTTGGTCACAATTTCTAGCTTATGGTTCAATATTGAAGTGTTGTCAGTGTTTCTTTCAACTCACTGCATTTACTGCTACTAATACGAATTATTGAAATAATTTGCAGATTTCTAAGAGCAATAGGCTCATTTCCACGATAACAAAAAGATTTAGGGGTATCGCCAGGTGCGATTGAAGGGTTTTTGATGCTGTATTCCAATCTAGTTGCTGAAGAAAGCTTCATAGCAAGCATTCTTGGTGCATTGTAAGCTGCATGAAATTCAACTTTTCATCAGACCAAACTAATCAGCATTATAGTTTAGATGTTTTTGAAGCAGGAGAAGTCTTATCTGCATCCGAAAGTTACTTGTGATTTTATGTAATTAATTTAACTTTGCAATCATACAACAAGGTCATTTTCTATTTTGGAAAAGTTAACCATTTAGCCATGACCATTCAGCTAAAGTACAATTTCAAAAGTGTCGTGTACAAACACTGAAAATGACAAAGGAAAAAAAGGCAGTTTGGTTCATTTTCTGGTCATACGTACGTTACGAACACTAGGTTTGACAAGTAAAGAAACATTTTATCCATACGCACGGTAAGCAAGATTATACTTTATTATGATACGAGTTGGTTGGTGCTGTTTTTTTAGATTATTATCTTGTTAAACAATAAAGCATCATCTTTATTTCGACGCCCAATCAATATAGGAAATCATAATTTATGATTGATGTATGCTTTTTGAGTCATTCATCGGGACTGCTCCTTTTTATATCATCCAGCATCTTATCAACATGAAATTTTTCTTTTCAGAATATGAAGTTTGGAAACTATCTGAAAGAGCGTAAAGCAAACTTACCACCAGCATATGCACAGAGCTGTATTGACTATGACGCCTTAAAGACTTTCTTAAAGACAGATGTTTACTCAAGTACTATTAAATTGGATATAACAACTGAACAACCTGCTTCGTTTTCTCAGCTTGTTTCTGACCGTCTTGGTCAATTGCAAAAGTGTGAAGTGGCATTCATTGAAAAATTGGACGAACAAGTACAGAAATCAACAACTTTTTTTGAATCAGAGTTACAGTCTTTACTTAAAGAGGGACCTGAGACTGTCTCTGGAAATTCTTATGAAGCAACAACTGAACTCTTGAAGAGAATTATCTTGCTCGAAAGATTTGTATTTCTCAACTACACAGGCATCACAAAGATACTCAAGAAAAACGATCGTCATTCTGGTTTATCCTTATCAGAACCATATCTGCAACGTGTCGCCTCTCTTCCCTTAGTCAAAGCTGAAGGATTGACACAACTAAAGAAGGATTTGATGAACAAATTAAACGAACAATACTCTGGTGTCCATATCGCAGCTGTCAACAACATTCATGCTACATCACCCGCTATGGTACGAAGCAGATCTCAGCACAATTTGAACCCCTCCACAGTTCTACCTCCTACGTTTGTTGGGCCCAATCAAAAGGTACTGGTGTCTTTGTCTGGACCACATGGTACCGATATTGTAGGCGCTGTGCTTGACTGCTTGGCTCGACATCCCTGTGACATAGAGGACTTTATGCTTTCTCGTCTCTATCATAATGTAACATTTGGTGTATTGATCACTTTGCAATCTGATAATGTGGCTATTTTCCGTGATTTATCCGAAGCAGCCAAGAAATGGGATGCTACTCTAACCTATGATATACCCGATTCTCAAGCCACGGAGCCTCTTATCAGGGAACAAAAGGAAAAGAAGGAAAAGAAAAAGACGCCATCAGAGCCGCAGCCCGTTTACATACCTTCTTCACTTGAAGAAGCGCCCTACTCCGGACGTATCAAATATGCAGCTACAGTTCTCAATCAAAATGGATTGAGCTCTGTGTTCTTAAGCAAATGGACTCAGCTGTTATTAAGACATCGCATCTCTGTAGAAAAAATGATTCGACTGAATAAGGGAAATGACAAGCTTTCTTGCGCAGATTTTAGATTGAGTGTTCCAAGAGGCATTGACATGAACGCCCTCCGTACAGAGCTGATCGCATTGTCTTCTGGCCTTGAAACAGATATTGCTTTTCAACAAGATGATGTCTTTAGAAAGAACAAGAGACTGGTCGTTTTTGATATGGATTCAACCTTGATATACCAAGAAGTTATTGACGAGATTGCTAGACACGCAGGAGTTGTAGATCAAGTCTCTGTATGTATTTGTAATGATATGACGGTCTCTTTCTGACTTTATTATCATAGGCTATTACAGAAGCTGCTATGAACGGAGAAATTGACTTTAAAGAATCATTGCGCCGTAGAGTTGCCCTTTTAAACGGTACAAGTGTACAGGTACTAGAGGACATCAAGAGAGTCCTCACTTTCACCGAAGGCGCTCGTTTCCTCTGTCGTGCGCTCAAGAAGCTTGGATTCAAGTTGGCAGTCATTAGTGGTAAGCTGTTTTTTATAAATGTTGGCCAAGACATGTCACTAATGTTGTTCTTCACACTAGGTGGATTTTTACCCTTAGCTAATTATGTAAAGTCTGAACTAGGTCTGGATTATGCTTTTGCAAACCAGGTAGAGTAATTTATTTATAAGCTTTATCATATGCTCATTTAAGATTACTTTAGCTCAAGGTTTCTTCTGATGGACTCACTTTGACAGGTGAAACTGTTGGGCCAATTGTTGATGGAGTTCGTAAGGCAGAACTGTTGGAAGTTATTGCCCAAGCAGAAGGTGTTACTTTGAACCAGGTTATTGCCGTAGGAGACGGTGCTAACGATTTATGGATGCTAAACAAGGCTGGTCTGGGTATAGCATTTAACGCGAAGCCTCGAGTACAAGAACAGGCTAGGGCAAGAATTAATCAAAAGAGCCTAAAATATGTATTGACACTATTGGGATACTCTGAACAAGATATGGAAGAACTTGGTAGCGATCATTAAGTTTCTGCTATAGACAATATATAAATATCTATTTAGAATATAATTTATGTTACAAATATCTATACATTAATAAAGCTCACTAAATATCACATAAATCACGGCTTACGGCCAAAGATTAAGAGTACAAATCACTCATGACAATGCTAGAATATAAGGTTAATATATCTAACGCTTGGATTTTGTTTATTAGAAATGTTTTATACAATTCAGGCTAAGGTCACATAATTTTAAAAAGAGCATATCGTCAGACCGGTGTTAACATACAGATAGAGATTAGTTGCGCCATGAAATCCTTCAACTTGATCGACAATATCATGAATCAAATAATGGTCTCAAGTGGTTAATCAACAACGGTAGAGCGAGAAAGGGAGGCATAACCAGTGGATTTATAAGTCCACTGAATTCAAATCCAGTGTGAACGCGTGAATATATACACTTTCTTTTTTTCTTTTAGAATTTAAATAACAAATGTACACTAGTAGGATTTACTCTGCAGCATATTCTGGTGTGCCAGTGTTTGAAATGATTGTCAATAGTGTTGCTGTCATGCGTAGACGAAATGATTCCTACATGAACGCAACTCAGATTTTAAAAGTTGCCAACATTGATAAAGGAAGAAGAACCAAAATCTTGGAAAGGGAAGTCTTGTCTGGTCAGCATGAAAAGATACAAGGTGGATACGGAAAATATCAGGGAACATGGTAAACATAGAGTGGGCGCTTCATATCGAATGTTTGTTATCTAAGAGTCCTTGTAGGATTCCATTTGAAAAGAGTAAAGAATTGGCCGAAAGATACAACGTCTATGAACTATTAAAACCACTGTTTGAATTCGATGTGAATTCTACGCTTATAGTCGACAATCAAGATACCTTGCCCACTAAAGAACAAGCTATCGTAGCCTTAAGAAAACAAAATGCTGAAAATATAAGCAATTTACAGCAATCCTCTTTAAATAATAGCCTCCCTAAATTGGAAACCTCAAGTAACACTCAAGCAGTCGAGAATGAAAAACCAAAGCATACCCCTTCTCATACTCAACCAGCATCTCGCTTTCCATCAGAGCATCAGCATTTACCTCATATTCGTCCACAATTACATACATTACCCTCTCGTGATGAAGAGGGGTCACCAGCGCGTAAGAAACCAAAGGCGAACACGGATACAATGTCGTCTCTGCCTAATCCAGCAGAACTACGGAACACCACTGAAGAAATGGCGACACAAAAGGAGGATACAGCAATAGATGAACGTAGTCGCAGTATTTTGATGTCTATCTTTTTAACTGATAATCCAGAACATGTGCTAGACATACTTCAAAACAGCGCATCACCCTCTAATATTGATATGGTCATTGATGAATCTGGTAACACCGCTCTTCATTGGGCTGCTGCTTTAGCAAGAGTGAAGACGGTTGAGCAGCTTATAGCAAGAGGAGCAAACATATCTTGTGCAAACTATTCTGGCGAAACACCACTCATGCGTAGTGTCCTAGTCACAAACAATTTTGAAAACAGAACCTTTTCTGAAATTTTAGAGCTGCTCAAAGGCTCTATTACTACAGTTGATAACAAAAGAAGAAGCGCATTACATCACGCATGTCTTACATCTGGTATCTCAGGGCGTAGTAACGCTGCAATTTATTATGTAGACTACCTTTTAAAGACTATTACAAGCAAGGAAGAGCATAAATCTGTCATTAATATGCAAGACTCATTAGGTGATACAGCTACTACAATCGCAGCAAGATTAAACAGTCATGAAATTCTCGAACTCTTAATGAAAGCAGGCGCTACCAAAATAACAGAAAATAACGTTGGATTAGCGTCAGAAGACTATGAAGACGGGGGCTCACCGGCTCTTCAAAGCCAGCAAGCGGTAAGTACAATTAAATATAAATGCATGGTTATATCTTACGAGGGTCTACTGTTTAGGAAACACAGGACTACAAGGCAGGGCCATCAGATATGTTTTCATTCTCTAAAAAGACACACGGCCCAAGCCAAAGAGGCAAAGAAATAGTCGCTAGTAAATACAATATGAAAGATGATAGCATATGCAGCCTTGATCTAACTGCTTTCTTTTTTTTTTTTAAAAAAAAAAATGTAGCTGTACAAAAAATTGTCGATGCTCTTGATGAAGAATACGGGGCTCAGTTAGTGAGCAAAGAACAACAATTAAATTCTATACAAAACGAACTTGATGATGTAATGAAAGAGCTGGATTCAACGCGTAAAGAATTGGAAGAACGTCAAGTCCAATCTCAAAAACTTTCTGAAGCACAACAAAAGACTCACAACATAGAAACTGCGCTTGAAAATGGGTGGGCACGTTTGGAAGAAACGATGGAAAAGGCGGGAAAACAGATGCCAAATCGGAATGAGATCGACACCTTTGATGAAAATGAAGATATCGATTCCTTATTTAATGTAAACATAGATATATCTGACGATGCAACAGAAGAAGAGCAAAAGAACAAGATGCAAGAACGTGTACGAAGACTTCGGGCTGTTGTTGAAGCATACAGGATCAATGATGGGTCATTGAAAAAAGAGATAGAAGAGATCCAAACTCACTTTATGGAAAAAGAGATGCAGTGTAAACGATTAATAGCCGCTTGCTGTAATCTTCCTATAGAAAAGATAGATGACTTGGTTGAACCACTTACGCTGGCTATTGAGAGTGACCCTCCAGACCTAGATCTTGCACGAGTTATTGGATTTATGGACAAAGTCAAAAGACAAGGAGCGTTTACAGAGGTTCCTATCTCTTCAAGCACAAGCTCTTTCAGACAACCAAGTCAAGGTTCTCCTCTACCGCTTTCTAATGCTGATACAAATAGTGATACTGATCATACAATGCCATCAACATCTTAACCCATGCGTTTACACTATTTCAGGGAAATGTAAATAAATTTAAGGAAATTTGAATAATCCTTTTATTATAATTGATTTCATCTTGTCTTTTTTAATATACTCAAAGTGTATGAGTACTCAAGTAAACAGAGAAGAATACGACCAGTGAATTTTGTTGTATATTCTTCAGACAATCAGAAACAAGTTTTTTATGATCCCTGTTCAATCAGCCTTTTGTTCTTGTAAGAAGCCAGTGTCATTCATCGTAAAACGATCATTTACTATTACATGTACTTTCTATTATATCAAGCAATAGTGATTTCAAGTACTTTGTTAAAATGCTTATCTTACAAATCGATCATTTTTATATTTGTAATACAATTTTTTTTTAAAAAAAGCAGCAGATATATTCTAGAAGCTGGTTTTATTCTAGTTTATATTGTATAAAGACTGTCTTGTCTAAACAATTTGAATCCTTTCCCCTCGGGTTTATACCCTTTTTCCCCCTCCTATTACTTGTCTCTCCACTTCAACTGCATGTAGGCCGTGGTAATTTTCAATGTATTGTGTAGCACAAAAGCTGTTAAAAATGCTGACACACAGGCAACAAGGGAGCCGTGTCCATATTCTTTACCCCACAAAAAAAAAACTCCGTTGTATTATTATTTAAATAAAATTCGTATTGTTTTCAATATCCTTTCTTCTTTACAATATGCCAAGCACAGCAACTGAATATAACCAAGATACCAATAGCTATAAGCCATCTCATCCTACTTACTTTAAAGTCGTCCGTCAAGGTACTCCAGGTGAGTTTTCGAGTAAACTCGTAGCAGAACGTGCTTTTCCAAAGGGTTCTGTTATTGCTGAACTCAAGGGATTGACACCTGGTGAAAAACGGTACTCTTCTGTTCAAGTGTCTGAAAATGAACATATTGAGTTAAACAGTGATCTTCTCTACATGAATCATTCATGTGACCCTTCTGCCATAATGGACGTCGATCGCATGGCTGTCACTGCTAATAAAGATATTGCTCCTGGTGATGAATTGACCTTCTTTTATCCTTCCACTGAATGGGATATGGGTAAGTTGCTATGAATACTTCTTATATTGATTCTAATAAGTCACTAGCACAACCTTTCTCTTGCTGGTGTGGCTCATCAAAGGTAAGCTATAGTGTTATATTACGTAATATGCTTATACTCTTTTATAGTGTATCAAAACCGTACAAGGTGCTCAATATTTATCTACACAAGTCCTGAATCAATTTCATCTCAGTAAACACATTACGGAACTGATCAAAAAGCGTGACGAAAAGACGTTATAAATCGATAATGCAAATAAAATCTAAACTCATCCTTCATCTCTCTTCTTTACATTGTTTTTAAGCCTTTTTATTATTATTATTATATTATTAATACTATGAAAAATATATAAAGATATATTATATCGTCATTATGCAAAAGCAAAACCAGTTGAACATTCACTAATCGCTTTGAAAAGATTGGCACGTAAGCTTTCGTATGAGTCATATTCGGGTAGATCTATTTGATTGAAACTATATCAAAAGTGTTAGATCATCTTACTTTGAATCTAGAGCAGTAATAGTTTACCATGTATGTGCAGAAGGAAGTCTATTTTCACCGCCAAAGTCCTTATGAATTTGGAACTTTTGTATACCGTTTGAACCTTGAAGATGCGCAAAGCCTTCTAAAGGCACCTTGGATGTACCTGTAGCGAATTGAAGCAATTTAGCACGTTCTTCTTGGTCAAAGCTTCGAACAGCACGCCAGAACCATTGTACAACAGGAGAGGCTGCTGTATAGCCTTCGTATACCGTGTTGTTCTTCCAATCGTCAATATCAATATCGGGTAGACCAGAAATCAACAATTCAAGCTCCTGTTCATTAAAAATTTGGATTAATGAGGCTGGAATAATTTCATGGAAGCCTTGAACGAATGCATTGATCTGGTCTTTTATGGCTGTCGTCAGTTTCTGTTCAGTAACAAGAGCAACGTATTCATGCTTGTTTGCTTCGGTTACTGGTATATTTCTACCATTAGGCTTGAGATCAATTGTTTCTTTGGTGCCAAAGTAGTCAATTTCAATGCTAAAGGTCAAATCGATGATATCTGTAATGTCATTTTCAAGCATCCAAACAAGACTCTTGTAATATTCTGGGTCAATGGCTTCAACATCTCTATAATCCACTGGTCGACCCAAAATGTGTTTGTAAAATGATCTTGTAAAGTAGGCATCCAAAAGACGTCCATCATAGATAGCCTTGCCAATGACTCGACCAACAAACTTGAAATAGCTCAGGTGATCAGGATTCACTGCAGATGCACGGTTTGGCTGGTATGTTAGCTTGTCGGCAGCGGATGTGATAAACAATGCATAGTTGGGGTCAAACATCTGTCTTGCTAAAACAGAGAACCATTCACGAGTGAGACCACCAGCATCCAAACCTTCTTCATGATAGAAACTGACAGCCAACTTGCCGTATTTAATTTCATCACCTGTTCTTATCTGGAAGTGGTGATAAGAATCTTCAAATACATACTGTCGGCGAACATTAAGCTGCAATTGAGGATAAGTCTCTCTAGGCCCTGTACGTTTGTGTAATTGCTGGAAGAAATAGTTGCGCTTATTGTCAAATTCTAACATCTTGGGGTTGCGGACAAGTAAAGCAAAGGATCCACTCATGAGTGCAGGATTGTTACGAACCATAATGTTCAGAACCTTCTTGTGTTTTTCAGTGAATGCAAAGAAGAAGGAATCTGTTGAGCCAGTTTCTGGTGCGGTTGCAACATTCGAATATTCATGATTGCCTTGGCCCTTCTCTGCTGTGCATTTAGAAACAATAATGAAGGACTCAATCAAAGGTAAGAGTACAGTAGCAACATTGATCAGATCTTCCTTTTCACGAACAACAGATAGACAGTTGCCTAGCGTCTGCCAAAGAGGTAAAAAGTCAAGCTCTTCATAGATTTGCAACATCTGCTTTTCATTCTTAGCCACCAATTCCTCATTGGTAGTCTTGTCTTTGTTGCTCAATTTGCGTGAGAACATATAGTCTATTGTCTTCAGTACACGTAATAACTTGGCTTGGTAAGAGGTAGATGCAGAGAAAGGCGCAAGTACATTGCTGCTAATTTCGGTACCAGGCATTGCGTTCTCAAGAACTTCAACAAGGTTAGCAAGATCTTTAAGTATTTGAGCACCAGATTTCTTAGCATCCGCAATTAGTTCGTTCACAATTGTCTGCTGAGCTCCTTCTAAAGCAGAGAGGTGTGATATGGCATTCAAGGTATATTGGAACGTCTTGCTGGAGCATTCGCCGTTAGTAAGCACATGAACTATAAGCTTTAGATAAGAGTCCAAGATAGTTGGCGGTTTAGGCATAGATTTTTCATCCAAACTTGGGTCTTTCTGCTTGTTTTCTAACTTCTCTTGATATTTCTTGACCAAAACAGGGAATGGTCTGCACATAACTGACAACAGCTCCATCAATTGCTCCATTAATGAGGAATTGTTGATAAATACTGGTCTATCTAACAGGCTCATTAATACAAGTATAGGATACTTATTCCAACTACTGGACGCCTTTTCTTTGCTTTTGCCTTTTCTTATGCTTGAAGATCTCTTCAGACCGGCCAAGGATTCACTTTCTGTTAAAAAGTAAGCCAGCGATTGCTCATTACAAGATATGATATGTGATAATGCTTCCAAACAGCGTTGAATGACATAGTTGGGAACATTTTCAGCATTTGGTGATGTTGATGGCTTGGTTGTTTTTTGAGGATTCTTGCTCGCTTTTCCAGTAGAGAGTGCAGCAAAGCTATTATCAACTGAGGCAAGATCCGTGTTGCCATCATAAAGTACGCATACAAGGTATGATAAAAGATCACTTCGCGTCTTGCTGTTTTCACACAGGTTGAGCAGTAATCGATTGAGTAGAGACTTGGAAATACTTTGAGGTATGAACAGGAGTCTCACTAGTGTAGCAAGCTGTGGCTTATCAATCAACTGGGCAGCAGCATCACGTCTGCGGTGCTTTGTCTTCTTTTTAGATGATGTTCGCTCATCATTTTGGTTTTCTGAAGAATAGCGTCTGCGAGAGGCAAGTGCATCCTCAGCAGCTAAAATACAAAGTTTTAGTGGACATTCTAATTTTGATCTTTATCAATTTACCTGAAGAAGAGGGGATATTGGCCGCGTTAGAAGAATCAGTGGTTGCCTGTGTTGTCTGACGGTTATGTCTATCGCGTCTTTCCCTTTCGATGGCTTCTTGATGTAGAACTTCTTCTCGAATTTCTGGTGGCAGAGCATCCAAGAACTCAGGACTAATCGAATCGTCTTCTGGCTGTAGGTTGGTCTGAGGATGATTGCGAATTTGCTGGTTAATAACTTCTTCTCGTAAATCGTCTGGAAGGGCTTCCAAAAATTCTACATCAATTCCAGTGCCTGAAATATCAACAGGCTCACCATGGACCACAACAATTGTACGCTCTTCTGTGTTTCCATCAGCAGGTTCGCCTTCAGTAGTTGTTACATCCATAGCACTGCTCGATGCTTCAGTTTCTTGAGTATTTACATCAGCCTGCTCTTTCTGAGCCTCTTCGTTATGTTCTTGCTGTTGAGCCGCTGCTTCCAAAGCAGCTTGTCGTGCTTCTTTTTCCAAGCGCCATTTTTCCTCTTCAGCCTTACGTCGTTCTTCTTCTTCCTTGCGACGCTGCTCTTGACGTCTCTTTTCTTCTTCAGCTCGTGCAATCTTGCCATCTTCAATTGCGATAGGCACAAGGATATTCAATATGGAATTGACTACTTTTAGTGCCTTTTCGCTCAAGTTGCTACCAAACATCATGCGAGCTTCTTGGTTCCAGCGGTCATTGGATGTCATAGGCTGGAAATCTTGCAAGATCGCAATTCCCTTTTGTATGTGGTCATTGGAAGGGCCATTGGCAGCTCCTCCTTGAGGGTTTTGAGCATTGGGTGGACGATCAAACTCAAAGGATCTGAATACTCCTCCTGGACCATTCGAGACGTCTACTCGGACGTGACTGCCTTGATTTCCAGAAGGAACATTCGTTAATAAAGATTCAAGCATGCGTATAGCATTACCTCCGATCATTTCCTCAAATTCCTGCCAGTTACTGAAACCAGTACCATGACCTCTTCGAGGAAGTGGGTCGTTAAGGGCAGCTCTTAAGGTACTACCGCCACTTACGGTTTGCGTGGTAGGGTTATTGGACAGAAGGGGATGGGTAATGACATCCTCCTGTCCGTTAATGTTGGTTGGAGTTCTCATTGTTCTTCCAACTATTGAATAAAAAAGTAAGCATACTGTCAACATTGACGATTAGAAAAAGAAAAATTTACCTCCTTCGATCAAGGCACGACGAGCATTAGGCAGTCTTCGTCTAAATCCGATAGGAATAATCGTACGTGGGGCACCATCATATTCATCGCCTTCTTCAAACTCATCATTCTCTTCAGTGTTGAGAAATGGAGTATCAAGGTCATCAGCATCGAGAACCATGCCGTCAGAAATGAGATCTGCTTCAGATTCAGCATCCAAGTTCTCTGAAGCATCTTCAAAATCAGATAAAGCATCCAATTCATCTTCCTATCATATGCGCATGTGTAAATGGATGGTCAAATTTATAAAAAAAAATTTCTTTACCTCTTCATCATAGGGAATATCAGCAGCCCGAATACCAGGGCTCTGATCCTCGCGTTCATCAGCATTAACAGAGCCGCCACGGATGATACTTGAGTCTTCTTCAATATCCTCCAAGTGCCAAGTCATCTCACGATTTCCATCTTCTTCGTCCTCGTCATCAATCAATTCAGCTTCGGCATCAATGTCATCAATGTCATCAGAGTCGTCATCTTCATCCATCTCGTCCTCATCATAACCATGAATGATCGCTTCCATTTCTTCATCGCCATCACCTTCATCTTCGCCCTCACTCATGTCTGAAAGATCACTTTCACTTTCTTCATCAAACCTAGAGAAATGTTATGAGTTTATCCATCGTCTTTAATGTGTATCTACTTACTCTTCTTCTTCTTCGACAGAAGAACCAAACACATCACTATAATCTTCGCTGCCGTACTCTTCTTCTTCCATTACATTACCATACATACCTAAAGCAGAATTTCTATAAAGATCAGGAGCACCTTCGTTTTCATCGCCTTGGCTCGCTGGTAATTGTAAGCTCTCTTCGGCAGTATCCATTCTGTCCGCATCATCCTTGTTAGAGTCACCGCTAGCATCCTCAGTATCATCTGCGTTGATGGCCAATCTTGTCAGAAGCTCTAAAGGCCTCAACATAGCATTGAGTATAGTCTTGGAATGAGGATAGCTGACGTCAACATCATTCACTGCAGACGTTAAGACAGCAACAAAGTTTTTGTCCAACATGATTCTTGAATTACTCATAGCAGCGTCTTCTTTACTCAATTCATTAGAGGATTCAGCGCTTATGGTTCTGGGAAGAGAGGATCCAATGTTCAGTCTTGCATTCAAGATGCGATGGCAAAGGTCAGACAAGACAAGATATTTGGAATATTTGACAGAGGCTGGGTCGCTGGATGCTATCGCGTCCTTCAAAGAGCGCACGACGGCTTCCAACACGTACTTTCTGACCTGATATAGTTCGCTCTTTTGCTGGACTGACATTTCAGAAATAGGTGTCGTGTCACAGCACATGGCGACCAAAGTGGAGGCAGTCCATGTAGATAAAGCTTGCTGTTTACGCGATTCTTCAGCATATGGGTTGATGTGGTTGTATGGCAATAGATCGTTGATGAGCATAGATACAAAAGATCTATGCTTGACACCTGGAGTGCGTGGGTGGCCATTCTGTTTCTTGCAAAAGTTCAAGACATCATGCTTGCAAGATGTATAGGACGATATCAACTCAACAAGACATTGAAGCAAGAAGCCTATATAAACAAAGCTAATACTGTCTTCTTTATCCTTTTCTTCTGCTGTCCTATCTTTTTTGCTGTTTACTATAGCCTCGGCACGTGTAGCCATGATCTCGGTCAAAAGATAGTAGATCACAGTTTCGGATGATTTCTTTTCTTCCTCATTGATGTCAGGTTTAACACTTTCTTCCCGCTTTTTCAACTTGATGGTTCGATCAATATCATACTCGTCATATCTTGTCATTCTGCAAGTATCCGTGGTCACTTCGACAAAGGTGCTTGGATCACGAAGGACAACATGTGCATTTGTGCGAACAAATGAAGAGACATCCATATTGCGAGGACGAGGATTGATAAACCAGTTGACAATGGTATCTTTCATTGTGCGCCGTAAAACAGGTTGAGCTTCGATGATGTGTCGTAAAATTAAGATAATGAATGCTTGCTGTCCTTGTATACCCTCTAAACTTTTCTTGGGTCTGGAAAACAATAGCGAGATACCATCAAGTTCGACAAATGCACGAGCGTATTCTTGGTTCCTTGTCAGACGTACAGCCATTCGGAAAACGGAATATATGTTGTCTCTAGAAAGATTGGATCGTCTTAACAGTGCAACACAGCACTGTAGGAGCTTGTTACAATGTTCAGAAGAAATATGTTGGATCGTTGCACGGCCTTCTTCTGTCGTATGCAGATTGTTCTTGCTATTGGTGTCTTCATCGTCATGATCATTGATACTGTCTTCACTGTCTGATGGAGAATCTTGGCTGGGTAAATTTAGTTTTTCTTTCTTTGGTTCTTCAGCTTGTGCAATGAAGGCTTCCAATACCAAAAAGAGTGTTGCAACCCAGTCAGGAAGCTGATCGTCTTCAGCAAAATCAAGCATATCAAACATGAAACTGAAACGTTCAGGCAATTTGTATATTATTGACTGCATAGGTGGCTCACGGAGTAAGAGTGCGAGAAGTCTAAGACGATGGTTGAGAAAGTCTGATTTTGAAGTATCCTTGGAAACTTCTTCGATGCGATCGAGAAGCAGAGTGAGAATCTTGATCGAAGCATCTGTCACAGCTGCAGTAGTGCCATTGGGTCTGTCGTCGTGTTTACCTAATGCTACTAGCAAGTCACGAGTGTCAAAAATAACATCCTCTCGCTGGTCAGTTAGTGACAAGAGATAGGGTGGAAGTGAATTACAGAGATCACGACGAGCTTGTTTCAAGTTGCTCGTGTTTTCAGAGTTGTTGTTGTTGTTGTTGTTGGTTGAAGAGCTTGATTCAGCAGAAGCTTCAGTAGGTCGTGATTCAAAAATAGACATTGACAGATCTACAGAACGATCCATATCTTCATCCATATCACTGTGCTCATCTTCATCGTGTGAAGCCATATCCTCTTCCTCGTTCTCTTCTTCTTCATCTGTATCCTCTAATGCTGGAGTTTCAGACAATCCATGTGGTTCTTCAGCCTGTTGTTCAGCGTCATGGGAGGTCTCTTCAGTAGCTTCACCAGAGGCTTCACGAGGAGGGCTAGTATCGGGAATAGCACCTCTTACAGTATTTTCTGTTTGTCCAAGCATGGTAGCAGGGTGACTAAATAGGTAATCGACAGCCCGAGACACTTGGTTGTTACAGCGTGTCAGTGCTTGCTCAGCAGCTCTTCTTTCAAAACCCATTTCCACTAGAGTCTGGATATTCTGCTCAGAGGCAACTGCAGGAGTACGAAGGAGGGTAAAGGGTGATGTCATAAGAGGAGCAGTGAAGCTACTGAAAGGGTCTCCACCACGAGTAGCGACAGTGTGCGTCAAGAAGTCTCCTTCTCCTTTCATGACTTGCAAAAATATTTTTATGAGAGTTTGGACAATGGTCTTTGAAAATAGATAACAGTCAGAACTGGTCAGATATTCTTTTAGAGGAATCATCTTGAGTTCTACACCCACTATCCATTCAAGTGGATCAAAGTAGTCATTGGCCTTCTTATCCTTATTGACCAAGAATGATGTACAGGATGAATCACGTAAGGCTTTGGGTGAGCTAATTTGAAGCAGGACAGCAAGCAGGCTTTCGATAGTGTTGTTGATCCGTTTTACTATCTTTCGGTGTTTGTCTTGATCCTCGCTGTGAAGCTGCACCACAGTATTCCACAAATACTTTAGATTCTCCAAAAGTAAGTCAATACCATTTCGTTTATCAAGAGCAAGAGCAATAGGCGTTTGAAGTGAAGATTGCGAACGTTCATCACGTAAAAGAAGAGATGTCATGGTGTATATTGACGTTAGATAATCATATTTACAAGGCATATCACATTCAGTAGTGTTCAATTTTTCAATATCTTCCTTGATGAGTTCAGCCAAATTCTTTGAAAGCTTCAAGGTTTGGGGCTTCTGTAAAGGGCCAGCAGCACGTCGACTAACTGACACTTTGATAGCAACTAAGAAAAGATGCATTAATAACAAGGTATGAATGAATGTGATAGTTTTTTACCTTGAAAGATAGGAAGAACAGATTTAGAAATTTCATTCAACATCATCTTGAAGTGCTTGATGTTCAGCATACGAGGGTCCTTTGCTGGGGGGACACTTTCAGAAGTAGTTGTTGTAGCTGAAGTAGCACTTGTTTCATTACCATTTTCTTCTGGGCTCGAGTCAGTAGTCGAACTGTAGATTCCTAAAGGATGTTCAGAGTTGTTCATGACGTTCTTTTTCAATGCAGGGTTGTTTGGTGTAGGATGCTTGTAAGCATACCAAGCAGGAGGCAGGGCTTCCTTGAAAAGCAGAGTTTCCCAAACCATCACACGATGCAATCGACCCAGCAGTTGAATAACGTTTTCATTTTCGGATTCATTCAAGAATTCTGTAACAAGAGAAACACCATTTTTTCCATGAGAAAAGACAGAACAGCAACAGAGGTTCGAGAGTAAGCTGACATAAGCATGCGTCTGAATTAAGGAACGGAGTAGCTTGTTTCCAGAATCAATCTTGTCCTGTTCGTTCTCATAGACGTCTACATAGTCCACCATCATACTCTTTTGTCTTGCGATATCTTGATCCAGTAATAAACCAATAGATTCCTTAATCTTTGTCACAATGGCCATCATCGTAGGTAAGGGGCTAACTTCACTAATCATTCGAAATATGTATGCAAGGGAGTCAGAGCCAAGTGTGACAGAAAAGTTGGCAGGTAGAAGAGGGAGAGAATAGTAGTCCAGAAGCATCTCCGGGCATCCTTTCTCGACAAACTCCTTAATGTTGGACGTGTTTTGAAACAAGCCTTCGAGGAATCGTGAGACCATGTCGATAAAAGAAACAAGTAAACACTCAAACTTTCCGGCCTTGTCATCCTCTTCGATTGTTGTATCAGTCTCCATTGAACTTGTTGAGCGAGTTTGAATTAAATGACTGTTATCATTGGCAGCACCAGGACCATTCATGTCAGATCCCATCTCAAGTACCTTCTTGACCATAGTCGTGACACATTCAAATACAGCAGGCTTTAGTGATGGATGATGACGAACCAGCTCGTCCATAGTAGAGCCTAATGTAGTTGCGCAATCAATATCAATAGGGGTTTTCAAAAACTCGGACGAAGTCATCAATTCAAAAAAGTGTGGTAAGGGCTTTTCTTGATTAAACATATCGAGGCCTGGAGTGTTCAAGCAGATGGCTCCAAATGCATTTACGGCAGCCATCAATACTTCACTGTTTGGTGTTTCGTATGTCGAGATGGTGCGTAAAAAGCTTTGAGGTAATTTGACTTCTTGTAAAATCGGAAGAGATGTTGGTTCACTGTGAATGAGTGTCGTGGAAACGTTGATAGCCAAGGCAAAGATACTGTTTCCAAATGATTTTGGATTATCCATGATCAGCTTTAATGAATGAGGCAAACTGGAGTCAATCAGGTTTCGTAAACCTTCAGCTGTACCCGAAGATTCCATCATCCTCAACAAGAATTTCAGCATATTTTTAATGACAGAGAGTCGGTCATGGGGAATATTCGTCTGTTCGGTTGAATGGTAAGAACAAGCGGTTTCTACTTCCAACTTGATCTTTTCCAAGAGTGTGTCTAATCCACCGGCGTTACAAAAGGCAGTGAATGAGTTGTTGAACGAATTGACAATGGTATCGAGCAAACCGACGACCTTTGCAATGCCTTTGAGTTGACTGATTTGGTGATTTCCAATTATATGAACCAAAACGGGGATGATTCCTGCCGAGATCAGCATTTGGCCACCATGTTGAGTTTGTAATAAACATGCGATGAATGAAAGCATAGCTTCAAGAAAAGATGGAGAATATTCTAACACAATGAAATAAGAATAATGTGTCAACTACTTTTTAATTGATTCTTTACCTTCATTTGCGCCGACTCTACGCAAGATTTGCATAAGGATACCATGGTTAGCAGAGGCATTGATAGCAGTCAAGGTTTCAGAAAGTTTATTTCTGTGTCTTGTAATGGCATCCAAAGCATAGAATACAAACGTTTGAATTTCCTAAAGAGATATTAGAGTAAATTCATCACGGCTTACACATTATTTACCAAGTCAATATTCTTTTCAGGAGAGATCAAATCGATTAGTTGAGAGACCAAATAGGGTTCATATATAAAAATCTTGTTTTGAGCAGTATTTTCGGATACACCATGAGCTATATAAAAAGGGTTAGTCTCTCTCTCTTTGATGATGATAAATAATGTATTTTACCCATGATAGCAATAGATAATATACGAATAGCCAAAAGGGTTTGTCTCTCTTCAAAATTCTTTACATGTTTTATAATACGTATTCTGTTTGCTAAGTCAAAGTGATTCTCCTTTGGTATATTATATTCATTAACGAATTGAATAAAGAGATCAATATCATCCTTTTCAAAGTCTTGATCAGTGAATACATAATTGATCGTTTCTAGCCCTTCTTCTGCATTATTATTATCACTTGTACGATAAAATTGAAGGTTCAGAGTCAACATTTTTGGTGAAATGTCTAGATGAGGTTGTATAGGTATTTGATTCCATCCTTTGATCAATTCGATTATTTTATCTTGAGGTACGGTGAATGATGACCGTATAGCCTTGGGATTATTTATTCTTTGTGCAGGTCGAATCATGAAATGAAGTACTTTTTGTAATACGTCAATGTCAAAAGTATTTAAAAGCATCGTTAAATGCTACAAAGAAGAAATGAGTGAGTGAGTGAGTGGTTGTTAATATTTACAAGCTTACCTCGTATGAGTTATATATGTTTCTATTTGTACAATTTTCAAACAAAATATTTGCAAATTCAATGATTGATAAAATAAGGTGTTTCGTATGTTGATCAAATCTTTTTCGTTGAATATCCTTAAGTTCGTAGTCTTTACAGATTCTATTCAATATTCCATCAAATCTGTCTAATACTGTCACCCAATAAAACAAGTCTCCTCTTCCATAACTCCAAGTCTTTAATTCTCGAATGACATTAGGAATCTCTTCTTCTTCAACATTTTCAAGTTGTTTGATCAAGTCACTGAGCTGACGTGGCTGTTTTTAAATATAAAATGAGACACTATGTATTATATTTGTATATATATATATATTTACTAAAGGTGCAAGCTTCTTTGTAGGTGATTTCTTGATCTTCATTGTCTATTCAAAGTGTCTTTGGTCGTAAAGAAGTTGTATTTATAGTCTAAACTACCTTTTATCACAGAAAAATAAAAATAAAAAAATAGAGAGAGAAAAAGAGAAAGAAAAAAAAAATACAGAGAGGCCTTTCAACTGCGGTAAGTTTTATTATTAACGCAGGAAAAAAAAAAAAGAGAAAGGGACAATTGCGTGTCGAGTGAACTCTTTCTGAGCTTTAAATGTGTAAAAAAGTAAACTAAAAGGAAAATATTTGTAAACAGCCATGAATGCAAAAGATCGTGTATATAAATATGTGTATGTCTGTATGATGATTATAGAATGAATATAGCAGGTATATTCTTTTCCATTTCTTGCCTTGTTCCCCGAGTCGAGAAAGAATCGTGGTGTAGCTGAGTAGAAAAATATGGCAAGTCTAAAAACTGACTTTTTTTTTCTTTTTTCGTTCTTTTTCATATTTGCATAATGGAGAGCTTTTTAACAACATGTCATGAACTTACAAAGAAACAACAAGTGATGCATGATACAATATTTGATAAATTAAACGCATTTCAAAATATCCTTCAGACAACAAAAGAAAGTCTTGAAGAAGGTAAACCTTTTGTCAGTTTGACCAAGGACTCATATAATACATAGACAATAGTTTGCAAAAGATGTTGACAATACAAGAACATGCAAAAAAGTTACAATTTCAAAGACCACAAAAAGAGTTTCAAAGCACTTTATCAAAGCTTGGAAAGGAGATTGACAGGGTATGATTTTTTTTATCAAGTAGAATAGGATTAATTTGTGTATTTATATAGAAATTTAAGCAAGATGTATCCGTTATATATCATCCAGAAGCATTTGCTGATAAACAAGATTTAATCTATCGTGCTTTGGCTTTACATTTCACTCGACAAGGTCAATTTGATTTGTGTGAGGAATTTTTAAATGAAGCAGAAATACCTATCGATAATGAACTACGCGATACAGTTGAGAAACTAAGAAATGATATTGAACAAATGTATACGATTCTAGACAAAATAGAAAAGGGAAAAGATCTAAGCTTGGCTATTCAGTAAGGAAAAGCATTATGGATTGAATGTGTATATTAATTATAATAGATGGGCCGAAGCTAATCATGATGAATTGAAGAAAATGCAAAGTAGCTTGGAATTTAGTTTACATCGTATGAGATTCATTCAAATACTATTGTCAAAAACACCCATGGAAGCAATACAGTACGGAAGAAGACATTTTGGAACATTTTCAGAAAAGCGTTACCATGGTAAGAAAAAGAAACAATGAAAGAGTGAATGATTAAACATAGTTTATAGAAATAAAGAGATTGATGACAGCTCCATTATTTGTAAATGATTTACTCAACTCTCGCTACAGCGACCTCTGCTCTCCATCCAATTGGACAGATATCAAGCAAGAATTTCAAAAGGACTTTTGCTCTTTATTAAGGATGAGTATACAGAGCCCACTATATACAAGGTAAAAAGAATAAACCATCTAATTGATCATTTATTAAAAAAAAAGAGAAATATAGTGTTTACGTAGGCACCACCGCTTTACCTGTCATCATGAAACTATACAAGGTGATGATAATGAATAAGGCTGAATGGAGTGCTCAAGGTGAACTGCCCGTCGAAATACCTCTGGAAGAAGAGCTGAGATATCATTCTGTATTTGCTTGTCCTGTTTCAAAGGAACAGGCAACAGATAATAACCCTCCTATGATGATGCCCTGTGGTCATGTTATCTGCAAAGAAAGTTTAACTCGTCTCGCAAGAAGTAGTAGGTCCTCTTCCAAGTTTAAATGTCCTTATTGTCCTCAAGAATCTACCTTTGATCAAGCAACGCAGGTTTATTTTTAATAAAGTTATTATTCAAGCTTTTTAGCTCTATATAAAACAATGTATGCAGTATGCCAGTCTCCTCCTCCATCAAGGCGTTCAATCTCTGCATCTTGTAAGACGGATACTTTATCGTCATCAAATTTATACCATTCATTGGTATCTTTTTTCACCCATGCGATATAATGTCCACTATCGGCTGATCTACCAACGTGTGTCAAGACAGCACAGAGTTCATATTGTCCTGTTGGATTACATCCCACATCCTTTACGAGATCAGGGTCCAAGTATTCCTTCCAGTCAACTTTTTCTTCTTCTGTAGAAACATCCATGCTAGATGGACCATCCTCTCCATCTAACTTTCTACGTTTTTCTTCTCTTTGTTTTTGAATCTTTTTATCTTCTACTTCCTTCATCTTCAACTTGGCCTTACTAAACTTGTTTTGTAGTTCAGGAGTACACAGTTCTGTTGCATCAAACTCCAAAGGAAATTTGACCTTTCGTAAAATCTTGGCTCTAACCTGTTCTTGTGGTTTCCAAAAGAAACGAATAAACTGCACAGGCAGATACTGAGGAAGTCTACTGACAAGAGACCTACGCTGGTACTTGGCTGTGCGATTTAAAGTAGGAGAATGCTTTTCGATCTCTTCAGTCATGGACTCCATGATACCACTGATCATATAGTTTGTATTGATAGAGATATGGCAGCTTAACTTGTTAAAAGCATCTGTACTCACCGTTTCCTCTTCTTCGGATGATTCTGCACACTTTGTTACCGTCTTTAGCTCTCCTGTCATATAGCGTTCAATAAAGTTCTTATCCTCCTCTTGCTTGGGCAGCTTGGCTCTCAAGACTGAGATAATTTCACTCCAACATTCTTCCGCGTCTTGCTGCATAGGAATACCACCTTGTCCTGTTTGACTAAACTGAGGAAATGCCTGGCGCAGCATTTGCCAAAAGACAAGTGGAGGAAATCCATCTGAAGCCTTTGAAAGGTTCGTGAAGAGATCACGAAGACTTGCTACAAGGTTTCCACGATTATCTACACCACTTAGTCCCCCTTGATACTTTTCTAATGATTGCTGAAGCTCAGGCATCACACGAAGACATTGCAATGTAGCATTCTAAAGAGAGTTACGTAAGCTGCTGCATTTTACCATTCCTATTTTTTTTTCTTACCATATAACAAGTATTACCAAGGTTTTCTAAACCAGGTGGAATATCCAAAGCTTCCATGACTTCAGCGTCAGTCATATCTTCCAAGAACTGGACAGGTTTTGGTGGAGGCTTGGGAAGTTCTCCCGCAGTACCCATCATCATGAAAGTATGTCCATCCTTTAAACCAAGCTGGTTTAAATCTGTCGTGTCCTATAACGTTTTGTTTTGTTGGTCAAGTGTTTTTTATAAGTCTGTGTATGCCCTTGCCTTCAAGATGCCTCCTTTGACCATGATTTTCTGTCTTTCAGGAGGAACACCTGTTTGAGAGTAGATTTGTGTCTTAAATAGTTCAGGTGATTCGTCAGTGTCTAAGGCACTCATGAGTTGCTTTATTAAATAATTGGTTTTATGCCTTACCTAATTCAATACTATCAAATTTCTTTCCGCTCCACTTGACATTAACGTTGATCTTGGGCATTTTGTTGTAGGTTCAAAAGAAATAAATGTCGCTTGTTCTGAAACTTTTTGTTTATTTAACCAAAAATGATTACTGGTTGTACCTACGCCAATTCCAGTTGAGTCGGACTTTGGATGTGGTCAATAGCAGCTATTCGAGTCGCGCTTTTTTGTTGGAAAGCGTACGCCTTTGTCCTCCTCTCGTCAGCTACCACCTGCAGTGGAGTTGGAACTAGCGCTGTAGAAATTAAGCCTCTTAATGTATGCGAAAAGCTCATGGATGTTGAAGTTGAATATCTGGAAACTAGATTGACTAACCATAGTGCCAATGGTACAAAACAGAGTTTAATCAAGATAATTTATGGTGTTGAAAAGCTTTCAGCGTAGAGTATCAAGCCAATACTGTATTTTTATTAATTATTGACGTTAATTTTATAAAATATTGTCGTAAAATAAAGAATTATTTACGTAAAAAGGCGACAAAGAAAAATAGGTTTGAATAAAACGACATCATGTCAAAAGAGAGAGAGATAATGAGTATATGTAGAAAAAGAGAGAAAAAGCATGTTAGTATTAGAGCACATATCCTGATATTAGTTTTACTTACCACCAAGGTGCAATCTGGGGAGGGTAGCGATAACTACCCAGGAGAAGTTTAAACAAAAAAAAAAAGAAACGGAGGACAGAGAGAACCCAGGGCGTCAGAAGAGACTACTGGGGAGCGTTCCAGATACACGCCAGAGAGCAAAGAGGGCGGGATAAGCGAGTTAGAGCAAGGACCATGAGGACAGGTTAGTTTTGATTGGTGAATCTTTGAACACTCAGAGAGACACTTGATAACTGCTGTAAAGAAGCAAAAAAAGGACTCAATTAAAATGGGTTTTTATATGTTTTTCTTTTTCAAATAGGGTATCTAGGACAAAGAAATCATGTCAAATAGAAGCAATCTGCTTCGTGACCATTCAAGAATATGCATTGCCAAATATGACTACATGTTCTTCTGATTTTATGGAAAAACCGAATAAAGAATTTAAACTTTTACAAGGAGACTAAAGAGGGCAATTTCTAATATTAAATTAATTTCAACTCCAAGACAGCCCACCTATTAATATTGCTGTCAAATAGGATAGTGAGCCATATTCTTTTTGTATTTGTCATTACTCTGATAACATTACAATGGTTTCAATACGACATCTAAATTTGGAAATACAGTATATCCATGGATGTCAAGGCTGATACTACGAAAATATTCTTGGTAACGGCGAATTTACATTTCATACAACATGAATTTTGTTCTCACCATTGGATGCATTTATTTTCGATCACAGGCGAATTTACTTTCCGGAAAGAGTGTATAGCATTTTCAGCTGATAATTTCAAAAGTTGTTAGTTTCTTCAAAAGTGGTATACCAAAATTAAAAGTCATCTTTTAAAAGTATGAAATGATCTGTTATCAGCTGCAGACATATGTACTTCTTTTTGTTTGATTTATTGACTTGTATTTCTCTATTTGGTTGATCAATAAATTAAGAACTTAGTTTTTAACAGCTCTCCTTATACGTAAATTAAAATGACCTGTAGCTCAGATTATCTAGAATTTGTTGAACAGCAGCTAGTCCATGCCAGCTACTTATCAACCAAGCCTTTACTTGCCAAGTCTACTTTTTCTTTTGTTGTATATGCTTATAAGCAAAGATGGACTACATCTGTTTTTCTCTAAAAAAAGATATTCTAAAGGGCCGAAAAGTGTACAAAGATGCGGAGAAGATGCCTGTACAACATTTTGAATTGCCAAAATATTAGTTGTAACGATGAAAGCAAGCTATTTTATTCTTTCTTTCTTTGCTTCATCGTTAGTCAATGATTGCTACTCTTTTCTTACTATGTTTATACTTTTATAACGTAGCCTTAGCCAGCATCCACAAAAATGTAGCACCCGTAGTCTCAGAATTAAAGGACACTGACCAATATATCATCATATTTAAACCTGAAGTTCCATCCATAAAGATACATAATCAATTAAAGCACATACAGTTACATCAAACAACCAAGCATAAAAGTCATCATACATCCAAATTACATGCAGTCGATAATTCATATAGCAGTATTGGCAAATTTAAATGGTATTCAGCACAATTTTATTCAGAGCCATTTGAAGAATATCTTTCAACAAATCAAACAGTCAATGACACAGTCCATTATTGGGTAAAAGATACTCAGTTTTCACTACAAGAGTTTATACAGACAAATCCTCCAAGCTGGGTAAATATCGATATTAAAAGTAACCTATTTACTTTAATTAATACAGCTGCTTTATTAGGGGTTGGATAGAATTGATCAAAGAGAAGGGTTAGATAACGAGTATAGATTTGCTTCCAGTCAAGTAAGTAAAAAGAAATTACTCCACAAGATAAGTGTCGCAAACTCTGTAGAAAGGGAACTGGCGTCACTATTTATCTAATGGACACTGGAATTCGTGAAGATCACAACGATATTGCTGGAAGAGTGACTATTGGCAAAACCATCGTAGGTGACCCCAACGACCCTTCAGATAAGAATGGCCATGGTACATTTGTTGCTGGCGTTTGCTGTGGAACAAAGTACGGTGTTGCAAAAAATGCCCAAATCGTATCTGTCAAAACATTGGATGATGAAGGCAACGGCCGTCTGTCTGATGTATTGATCGGGCTTGAATGGATCGTCCAACAGCATAAAAGTCAACCAAATGCAAAAAGCATTGTGAAGTAAGTTTTGGAAAATTTTTATATAGAGGTACGAGATGCTTAGTCTTCGATTAGTTTATCCTTGGGTGCTTTGTACAGTCAACCGACCAACGATGCCATCACAGCAGCAATGTCCTTAGGAATTCATTTTTCGATTGCAGCAGGGAACTATGGTGAAGATGCCTGCAAGTATTCACCAGGATCAACACCTGGTGCTATTACAGTAGGTGCCTTTGATCAGGATGATTCTGTCTCTTACTACTCAAACTTTGGAAAATGTGTCGATATGTAAAGGATGCACTACATATTTAACTTCTTCCTTTATTCACTTATAAACATAGATTTGCCCCTGGAACAAACATTAAATCAATATGGCCAACAAGCCAAGACGCTACGCATGTACTCACCGGTACATCCATGGCAGCACCGCGTAAGATAGATAATTAAATGAAAATGCTTCACATTAACCATTACATTAGATGTGGCAGGCACTATGGCTATTTTTCTCTCCCAAGCGAACTTTACGCCACCAGAACTTGCAACCTATCTAAAGAATGTTTCAACTTTACGAACTGAGGACTTTACAATCAACAATACAGGCACTTGGTACAGTGAAAATAAGACTGTGATTGATAATGCGATCGATGTTGGATATCAAGTACAGAATTTAATGAATCAAAAGACTCGAGTTAATTTATTATATAATCATCCTCAAGATGGACAGCAATTTTGGGTTTATGGTCGAACTCTCAATTCTGCTTCTATTTTATCTTTTAACTTTATGATACCTCTTTTTACTGCTATAATAACTTTTATAATCCTCTTTTAGAAAACAATAAAGAATGCTATTACCATTATCATCCTTTTCACTTAAATAGCAAGCATTTGATGCTGATTCTTGTTAACCTAAAGAAGTCTATTCGTTTTGTCGATAATTGCATGAGTTGCTCAAGCATCCAGGTTCATAGACTGACGATCAAAAATCAGTTAAAAAGCTATTCCAGTGTTGGCGTGCAGTTCACTTTGTAATGAAATAGGCCTTATACAGATTATACACTCAAAGAAAGCTTTGATTTACTCTCTACAATATCCATAACATTTTTATGCGATTAAGTATAACTCTTCAAAGATTACTGGTATACTGAAACGGTTTTATCGCCACAAGATAACTAAAGCCCCTTGATTTTAGCATGAAATTTATATGCACTCCCGCCCCTTTTTTCTTTCCAATTCTCCTTTCCCCTGTTACATTGTACAAAAGCTTTAGCTTAAATGACTCGATCCTTATCTCAAGATTTACAAAACAGTCTTCGTTCTCTTTTGTCTGAGCCCGACATGTCCTTTGACGAGATTGCTCAACGATTACATGTCTCTAAACCGACTGTTTCGCGTTATTGTAACTCATGGGGTATCGCGCAACCTGATAATCTCGGGGGAAGACCTTCTATTTTAACCAAAACCAGCAAGGCGTTGATGAAGAGGATGGTGCTTACTGGTGAACTCAAGACTGTCAAGCAGGTTCATCAGCACTTTGTGAGTTTATACCCCAATTTAACTTACTACATCACCTTGAGTGCACTCAAGAGCATGGGCTTCAAGATATGCTCGAAGAGAAAGCATCCTTTCTATACAAGAAGCGCCTAAATTGGATCTTGGCGTACTGAAGCTAGACCGTATATGAGTAAAGAAGCGTAATCCTCTCTCTGATGAGTTAAAAAACAACGTCTAGGGGCTTGGATGATACTGAAATTTGCTTTGAAGTACTAACAAAAAATGACTTAGTGTAAATAACACCAACTTTTACAAACAACAAACCTTCACTTTTATTGAATACTTTATTTTGTATTTGAAATATCCACCTTATTACAATAAAACTTCATTGTACCTCTTATATAATTCCCTATCAATCTCTGAAAGTTCTTTGAAGTCGGATTATACTTCACTGTAACGAATATTGCTGGAATGCCAGTAATTGGGCTGATAGCACCACGAAGTAGCTTCTGTAGCATTGCCCTTCTTTCATAAACACCAAATTCCATAGGCTTGACTGTACTCTCCGAAAAGGACACGTAAGCTGTTGTTATTTAAAGTGATACAATGCTGGGGCTATTTTTTTTTGACTTGCTGTAAGCCCCTGACTTCCTTTGACATACACATCAAGATGAACCTTTGCTTAATAGCTTATAGTGATAAAAAATAAACAAGCAACATCAGTGGTCAGTGACTATAGTGAGTCCTTGTAAGTACTATAAAGACAAAAGAAAAGCCCGTAACTACGTCAAAAGCTGCATTGGACAGCATCACCAACTTTAAATACCCTATATCACTGTGATCAGGCTTCAGATACACCTTTGTTTTCTTCGGCTTGCTGGTGAAAAGGTTTATATCATAAAGTATATGGCATTGTCATTCCCTATAGTTATTAATCAAACTTTATCACGCTGAACAATTGATCAATGGATTTATAAACCAAGATATTGTAAGCAGTAAGTGAATCACCTTTTTAGGCATTCCAAACAAAACAACCAGGTAATTCGATATTCCCAATTTCCAACATGATATAAAGTGCATCGGTCAAGAGATGGACTAAATAGAAAAATACATAGCGACCAATCATTTGAAACACAAGAGCTCCATGCAAATTATGGATATCAATTGAATGGAAAACACTACATGCACCAGAAAATGCACCAAAAGCTAAACTAATTCTACGGGTGCCGCCTCTATTTATTACTTGTGATGTAGTCCAACAAAACTTTTCAATCTGCAGTGTCAAACTGAGCATGACTTTTATAAAATCGTCATATTGGTTTGTTTCTTTTCGAGAAGAAGAGATAAAAAGAAATGTTATTTATTTATTCATTCTAATTTTATGTTGTCAGTATATCAACCAAGGCCACTTAGTTCACGTGTAATTATGATAAATTCGTATTTTATATCAGTGAGAGTGAGCTGGACAGCTTTAGGTTAGGTTTTGATAATGTGAAGTTGTAGTGACAATATAGGTAACGTCCCAATTAAGCGCTTGTAGCATTAGCCTATTTTTGGTGCATGTTGTGTTGGCCATTCTAAGTAAGCGACTTAGGTTTCTAAAAATACGAAATTGATTTTGATTGGTCAACAACATCAATTTTGGTTTGCCTGCGACATCATTCTTCATTGGCGTGACCTTTATTTTGATTGGCTGCAGTTTTGCTTGTTGGAAACACTGCATTCCAGAAAAGTGATAAATCTTTTTCAAAGATCCGACTAATATTGTAAACTGACGGTATAATGACATCTTTGACGAAAATAAGCTTTTGTATTCATATATAAAGGAAACTTTTGGACCCTTTCTCTCTTTATTTTATAATTTCAATATGAATAACAAAGCCTACCTCGTCCTCATTGCTGTTGCTTGTCTTATTGCTGTAGTCAGTGCTCAGTCCTCAGGTAAGAAAGAAAAACGAAAGAATGTTCTTTAGCTAATATCTCTCTTAGTCAACCCTGTCGAATCTCTTCAAAGCAAGGCCTCAGGTGTCGCTGCTTCTGCTACCAACACATCTCCTTCTGCTCCTTCTAATACCGCTCATAGTGCTGGTTTCTCGTTAGCCACTAGCCTATCATCTACTGTTATGATGCAACTTGTCGTCATCTGCTCAGCCTTTATTGCTTCTTACTTTTTAGCTTAAATGCATCACCTAATGACTAGCTGCATATAACAGCGGCTTTTGAAATAAAGCTCATTTAATTTTATTGCAATGAAAGCAAACCAATGTCTTTTGCTTGTGCCTGACTTAAGTGTATTTCATCAAATACCCCTTCTTGTCACCTTGCACATAGTTGATCTAAAGCCACTTAACATTTCACATCATTGATTGAGTTTATATTATTGTGATATATTCCTAAAATAGGCATCCTCTCTCAAGCTAGATAATCAAGATTTAGTTACATGTAATTCATGCTCATGTCAGGTTATTTACATAAAGCCGATAAATCAGAATTTGTATTGTTACTGAGTGGTTTTTTATGTTTGGCGCGGGATTCTGTCGTAATGTACCTTGATTTAAAGATGCATCTTTTCTTTACTTTAATCTCATGTCATAAATGAACGCTTGATCTCTATTGTCTGCCTACCTGCATTCTTTTTTTTTTTATGAAGAGAGTCTATTTATTTATAAACAAGGTTTTATTTTGCTAATAAATATACAAGCATACATATACACATGCATTATAAGAAATAAGGGATTATTTTGTGCTCATTCTCCTTGCTCTAACTCGAAGGGTATGATCAAAGACGGGTCTAGTACTGGTTTTTCTAACTCTAACATGTCTAGTTGTTGCGGGTGCAGTTGTTAGTGATTGTGAAGAAATAGTTGATTCTGGAATGATAATAGCGGATAATGGCCTGGCATGACGACGGCTTCTAAGACTGCTTGTGCTATCCTGTACATTAGGAATCAGTAATGTCGAAGACGGGGCAGTAGCCGACATTGGACTATCCGTGGTGTCTTTGTCAGCAAATATCTGCCTGAAACCAGGAGATACATGAAGTACAGAGGCGCTCATACGTCGTCTTCCACCGTCAGGCAAGATCATACGATTGCTAGCGGAATGATTAAAGTCTACTAGAGCGCTAGCTGTCGGACTTGTCGCTTCTAAAAGTGAGCTGGATGCCTCTGCCTGAATAGATCTAAGCATTTTGTTGGCTCTTTGATAGATTGGATCCACATTTTGTGTAGAATATGACTGCTGAAGGGTTGTACTCACACTTGTAGATCTCTGCCTCTGTCGCTGGCTTCGTCTTCTTGCCTTCACATCAAGTGTGTCCTTTTTCAACTTGTCAAGCAAACTGTGTAAAATGGCCTTATCATCTTCCCCATCAGCTCCTTTAGCTTTGCCGGCGTTGCTATAGGCTCGTTTTCGTCGCTCTAGTTCTCTCTTCTTCTGCTTCTCTAATCTTTCCTGTCTCAATCTGTGTTCTCTCGAATCAGCAGAGCATTTCTCCCAATTAGTTGTAAACTCCTTGAATATACCAAAGAATTCATCTGGTGGCATCTTCTTGGGATCTTCACCATAGAATCTAACAGTCTGGTCGTAGTTTTCTTCCATCTTCTTTGAAAGCATTTGAATGCGCTTAAATTCAGTCGAAGATTCTTTATAAAACTGATGCATCTCAATTGCAAACTTATCCAACTCTTTTAGGCCTTCACCCTCTTCTGCATTTCCATTATTATTAGGCAATGGAAAATGTTCCTTTAGCTCTGATTCCAGTTTGCTCAATTCTTGTTCAATGCTCTGATATTCAGCAGTAACTTCGGCACGAGAGACTGGGTGTATGTTAATAACATAAGACACACTATGCGTTGCAACATACCTTTGGATGCTTGGCCGCATTCATCTAACTCTTCTAGAAAAGGTAAAATGTTTGGAAAATTCTTCTCTACAGCTTCAACCAAAAAGTGTAGTAGGGTTGTAGATTTTGATGTTCCTTTGGTGTCTATCAGCTTTTATTATTTAATTTTAATAAAGATGTTAGGCCTTTAAGCATATATAATCATACCTTATTTATGCTGGCAATCTTTATTCCAAATGCTCCACCACGATAAGTGTTTCCATTCAAAAAATTGCCTAGCAAAAGGATTAACTGAAAATGAAAAAGGTAAGTATGATGGGCTTAGAATACTTTGAGAGACATACATGCAGAAGTTCCTTGAAGCATTTGGCATCTTTCAGTGCTACAGATGCATTGTAAACAGAAGTAATTTGCTATTCGTTGTCAGACTTTCTATATCTTTATATACATGATACCTTACCTTATGCAACAACGTATATCTTTCCCAAAAAGTAGATTTAAACAACATGCATTCAAGTCTTTCTTTGAGTCTTGAGATTTTCATCATCTAATTTTTTGTATGGTTAAATACTATACATTGTCTTTTGCAACTTTTACCTGTAAGCAAAACTTCTCTGGCATTCCCAGCTTTTCAACATCCTCCAAAGGAGCATCTTCAAAAGGCTTTAGTTTTTCCGTTTCATCTGGTGTCGGCAGATACTTTAACAAGTTTAGAATGATTTGTTCATCTAAAAAGTAAGGATCCAATCTCAAAAAAGAGAAGCGAATTTCATCAAAAGGGATCTTCTTGATAATGTTTTTTATAAATATATCTGTTTGTGTAATACAAATGAGTAAATGTAGATACAATTTTACCTAATGAACTTACTCAAATTATATGCTTTTTTGGTGTCTAATATCAGTGTTTCTTCTTTGAGTGGTTTTGCTTTAAGTTCAACGACTGGCTTTTGAGCAAATGTTATCTCAACATCGTCAAATACCCCAGCCTTTGCTAATTGATATTCCATGAGTGAGTCAGTGGATTCAATTTGCTTGTGAACTGATACTTCAATCTCGCGTTCAAAATCGTGCCAAATCGTTTGCTTAATGCTCGAAAAGTTCATCTTTTCCCATTCTACAAATTTTAGCTTCTGTTTGGGTTGAAACGCGCTAGGCTTTCTTCCGCTGCTGCCTAAAAACACTGGAGGTGGCGGTGATTGCACTTCTAAACCATTATTTTCTGTATTGCCTTCACTTGAAGAAGGTAGAATTTGCCCAGATAAGGTTGGTAATGGTGGGGGAGGTGGAGGTGGAGGTGGAGGTGGAGGAGGGGGCGGCGGTGGAGGCGATGATGCTCCCGTTACTTCATCAGTTATGGATTCTTCTTCCTTTGATTCTTTTTCTGCAGACAGGTCCTCGCCAAAGACATAATTATCAAATGAAAATCCTTTTTCATCCTGTTCAGGTATGACTTCAATCTCTGGAACAGAGTCCAATGGAACGATAGATGAAGGGTGCATCATCAAGTCTTCTGCCGTGCCAAGGTCTTCCACAATCGATTTTCTCGACCGTTGATTTTCGGTTGTATTCGAAGTTAAAGAGTTAATAGTGTCCTTTTCTGATATATTCTTTGCACTCTGTAGACTTCCATGGCTAGACGACGTTGTTATAGATTGATTGATTGAACTCTTACGGCTACTGCTTCCTGATTTCTTTGATCCTATGCTTACTGCTGAATCAGTCGAGTTACCACGAGCTTTTTTGGATAAAGCATCATTGCTTGACCTTCTAACAAAACTTCCAATCTTGGATTTCAGTGACTGTCGAATTGTTTCTGAAAATCCACTACTGTGTTGATTGGAAAAGGACGCTCTTGCCGAATGCTGACCATTATCCTCTGATCGTCTTGGTGAAGGCGATGGAACTTTACTGGCAGTAGAGCTTGAAGAAACGTTATTAGAGGTAGCTGAAGGTGATATACGAGGTGATTTCGACGTAGCAATCGAGTTCCTTGAAGGACTCCGTGACACTGGCGTCTTTGTTTGGTTGCTACGAGAGTGAGATTGAGCATGGCTATTTGCCGCTTGTTGCTGCTGTTGTTGTTGTTGCTGCTGCTGTACTGGCTGTACTTTTTGCTGCACTGGTTGCGCTTTTTGCTGCGGTTGAGTCTGTTTTTGTGATTGTGGTTGTTGTGATGGCTGAGAAGATGTGTTTACGAGCTGAAGGTGATGATTTCTAAAGCTTCGTCGCTTCGGTGACGGATTACCATACTCTGTAAGACTTCGTACTGAATCATGTAGCTTTCTCATCTTTGTCTCAGTGTCTAGTAATTCAGATTTATATCGTTCTTCCGTACTTTTAAAAAATATCTTCAACATCGCATTGGTTTGCCGTGAAAGGCTAAGGTCTTTTTCAAGATATTCTATCTTTGCTTCTAATGCTCTTATAAGGTCTTCACAGCCATCTAAGCAAAAAAAAAAAATAGAATGAGTAACTGGAAATAGTATCAAGAAAGCCTTACCATTGTGCGTAATAGTTCCAATAGGTGATTTTGGGTATATCTCTTCTTCAACATACTGCTCTTTGGAGAATTTGGGTATTAAACTTTGTACAGTAAACTCACTCGCATTTTCTGAATAGTTATTTGCATCTGTGGCTACTTGCTGAACAAGCATCTCTATTAACTGAAATTGATAATTGCTTTTCTCGGGATTGTCTTGAATCTTTAACAAATAGCAAAGTATATGGTGTAAACTGTTATAACTGGGTGTGTTTTGTGTCAAGGTAAGTAAACTGTGCAAGACACTCATCGGATCCATGCTGAAAAAGGTTTCCATATCCTCTTGCATTGCATCTACTTCTATTTCTTCTCTAAACTTTTGAATGGCAAGATTGATGTGTTCGTGATTCAGTTGCTCCATCTTTTTAAATATCTCGTTTACACCCGCCTTTTCTAGCTCTTGGCTTACTAGAAGCCTTTCTTTACGATCTTCAACAATATCAGGTCTGACGAGGGTGTTGATAAACAATACGCTAATGAACTACATGGCTTGATTAGAATAAGTGAAGGGCGATAAAAGATTTATACATACCATGTACTGTGTTATTTGCGAATCACCCGCCCCCACCATGCCCGTAGCCTTTAGATCATGGCTAGCTCCAACTGCAGATCCCATCTTTCCTCTTCCATCCAATGTTTTCTCCAATGCCCGTAGCCAAGCGTCGAAACGTCCAAAGTCTTTTCCAAACTGTTTTAATAGTTCCATGCCATGCAGTACCATCGATCTGCCATTTGGTAAAAAACAAAAGGCAGTCAAGGACTCACAGGCCTGGGTTCTTGCAGGGATATAAGGCGATAAGAGCGAAACGCAAAAGTTATCGATGATTCGAGAATGCTTGAAGGCTTCTTGAATACCTGACTATGAAAAAGGGAGGTGTTATGATCAAAGGATACACAGAGTCAATTTTGTATGGTACCTTCTTGTTCATCAAAGTGTTTAAGCATTTCAAGATCTCGAGTTCTATTTTATGATCTGTCTGTGTTCTGATCATATCTTTATTAATCTTTCTTTTGTGTCTCCTTTGCTTCCCTTTTTAACCTACCTATTTTGTTTTTTGTGGATAATCCCGAGTTCTTTTGCGATCACTTGCATACCGCCATCCTGGATAAACCGCTCTAACCAACTATGGAATGAATAGTCAGTGTTTCGTATACGTATGCATATATATGTATTACCTATCCGAGGTTCTGATATAATAGGATACTTCCAGTATAAGTTCATACGTAATCCCCTTTTGTCGTTGCTTACATAATATTTTGACATAGTTGGGTGGAGCAGTTTTCTTTGATGCTGCGCTACCAATTGATTTCAAAGTAGAAGTTGATGACTTTTTTGAAATGACTCTTTTTGAAGCCGCAATGTACTCATCAGAAAGACTAGCGAGTTGTTCTTCATCTAGATCGAGTTGTTTCTAACATCTAATTTAAGTATATAAAACATTCAAATAATGCCTTATAAGGAATATTTACTGCTACTTCTGTAAATAAGTCTTCTGCACTATCCTGATCTTCCGTAGTCGTCGACAAATTGAATGTCAATGTCTCCGTCTTTTTGCTTTCATTTGCTTTATCTAAAATCTAAGTTAATCTGCCCTGTTTTGAATTTCAGGAACAAAAGTCCTCATATACCAGAGTTGACTGTTTTGGAAGGTTTCAGATCTTTTTTAGGTACTTTGTTTGATATAATCAAAGGGGGTGTATTTGTAACTGAAGTGATTGAACTTCTTCTAGCATAGCTTGCTGCCCTTAACCTGCTGCTTGGTTTCCTATTACTACGCTTATTTCCAATACTTGATATAAAATCCATGTTAAGGTAGAGCTCACACGAAAATGTGTGGCAAAAAACCTTGTTGAAGTTGAAAAGAAAAAAGAAGGAAGAAAAAGAAAATATAATTTAAGGAGCTTTGCCTTTTTTTATTGTTACTTGTCGTGTTACATGTTTTCTTCTTTCCATTGTGTGGAATATAGGTTTCAGCGGATGTTAAATTGCTTAAAAAGGTTCATTGCCCTCAAGCAAATTATTATTCTCTAAAGCACAGAGCTTTTTTCGTGTAAACAAAGGACTTGATTTAGTCTTTGATTATTATACGCGACTAAAAGATATAGCAAACATATCTCTTGTAATCACTGATTAGAGATCTGTGTTACACACTGTATGATAAGACAGAGACAGCCAAGTCAAAATTGAAATTGAATCTGATAGCTGCATTAATTGCTGTTCTGTAGTTTCAGATTGGAGACACGATAATAATAAATAAAACTTGGTTTTGTAAGATGCTAATAGGACAAAGCAAAGGGAGAGCTTAGATAAATTGTGTAGGAGATCATGCTGTAATCTAATTTGCGGAATTTGATCGGCCACTTCATTGTAGTCTGTATTCTGTTGCCTGGATACCAGGAGAAAAGAGGAGTTGCTTAGAAGATAGAGATATTTTTATAATGACACGCTTGGCATAATAAATTAATGGAACTAGTGAGTCTATCTGATATAAACAATGTCACCAGCATACAAATTCATTATTAAAAGTAGATTGGTATTTTAGCTGTTAAATGATATACTAGTAAAGTTATAAAAACAAAAAGAAGGAGTTGTCAAGTACATCAAATGTAACTTATTACACTCAATTTATCAGTACAAATATACTATGATTTTCACACAGTAGGAGGTTGTTGGGATAAAGGGAAACCTCACCAGAATTGGTATGCTGGTGTTGTCACAGCTCATATTTTAAGTCAAGAAATGTATCAAGGGCACGACTATCGATTTTATTATTCTGCAGTATCTCTCTTTTTTTATTTCCAGTTTTTTTTTTTTTTTTTTTAAAAAAAAAAAATGTCTTCAAGTGTCATTTTCGAAAGCGTTCCTGTGTTCTCTTCTGCAATTATCGCCGAATTGGAAAAGAAATTAAAAGGCGATCAGGTTTTTCACCAAAGTCTGTCTGATGGCGCCAAGTCTGGAGCCACTCGCTTGATCCAGTTTTGGAATTACAGGTGTTCTTTAATCCCTGTAGATGAGCAGACAATGGATGAGCCTCAGTACTCAAGTATTGGTGACAGTGTGAAGGCTGTCACGTCTCCTGATGGAAAGGAGTGTGGGGGTGTGCAGTCAGGCGATGAGGTTCTTGAAGAGCTTGTTTCCGATGTCGAGAGTGATGAATGGTCCTTGCCATGCACTCCTCTCTTGTACTGCTTGCGTTTTCAAGAGAATGGATCAATAAGATTTCTTCAAGGCAAGAATGTCGATGGTAAGCCATAAATCAATATTTAGACAAAAATTTCTAACACACTTGCTTAAATAAAAGATTCTCTTCCCGCGAGCCATTCCATTGCAGGCAAGTTGTCTGATGTCGTTGAGATGCTTGGTACTGATGATCGAGGCATTGACGGCCAAGATGAAGAAGTAGACTGCAACAATGAGCAAAAGGCTGCTAATGCTGCTCTTGTTGTGCCTGCTGATATTAAATCAGTAGCGAAAATATGCGAGGACCACAAGCCTTTTCCTATCAAGGCTTTCCGCAAGAGGTTCGGTGCCTTTTTCAAGAATGTAAAGAAAGCCTTGAAGAAGCAGCCAAAAAAGAAGGGCATGAAAGGTATTGCTTGGGGCGAAAAGCCTGATGTTCTCCCTGTAGTAAGTTTTTTTTTTTTTTCAAGTTTTTCAATTATTGCAATCCAGTGCTCACATCATTCAAAGGTCCCAATCCAACAAACTTGCAAGAACAATGAGCAAAGTCTGAGCTCGAAGGCATTCTTGTATGAGGGGTGCCTTGGCCTGATTGGTTCAAGAATCTTTGTAGCTAACAGGCAACAAATCTTTGGTATTAGCATCGATGAGCAAATTTGGGTAAATAACATCGAAAAGGCGGCAGATGATCAGGAAGGTAGTGATAATGTTTCTGATGGTAAATCCTTGTCTTTGGTTTCCCCTACTGGTTTGATAGCAATTAGAGCACAAAGTAGCGAAGAGATCCTTGACATTCCCGAGGTAAAGGTGAACGACGCTGGCCTTTATATGGCTGTAAGCAAGACTTCTAACGGCAAGAAATACGAATTGGCTTGGCAGGATGCCTTCAACAAGGAGAAAAACAACCCTGAAGCTTTCCAGGCGACGGTCGACAGGTAAATTATCATTTTGCATAAGATCTTTTCTAATAATTCTCTATAGCATATCTTGGGCATTATATGATGTTATCAAAAAATCACATGCCAGAGAAGATTTCAACTGTGATCCTTTGTTCTTGTGGCCAAAGGCTTCTCGTAGTACCACTTGGGATAGGCATTGTGACACGCAGTGGACTGATGTATTTGAAGAAATCGACGAACTTTTTGCGCGACCTGATGTAAGATGATTATTAATCTTTAAACATCTTTTTTAATCAGCTATTGACCTACTTTTATCAAGCTGACTTGTGAAGATGTAGTTATCACCTATATCTATATCAAACGACTCATAAAGACATCTGGGCAAGCATTCTTTGATGGTAGCTGGAAGACCATTCTGCGATTGGCTGCCCTTATCACAGACAAAGTCTGGAGTGACAAGTGTGCTTACAACACAGAGCACTTCCAAGTGACCAAGGAGTTGCCTCTAACAAAGATGCAAGTATAAACAGCCTGTAGCTTTATTCATGAAAATTAACGTCTATTTATATAGTAACCAAATGGAGGCAAGCTTTCTTAAATATTTAAACTGGAACGTCAATGTAGAATGCTTCGACTTCGCTGCTGCCTACCATGAACTTAGGCATTTTTAAAAGAATCGATTGATTCTTAACTCATCAAATATGTATTGAGGTTGACATCAATAAATTGTCTCCTTATCTCTTTTTATTGCTTAAATGCCCTTTTAATGCGACACTATACTTACTATAAAGAATAAACATTACGCGTTAAATAAAATAGTAAAGACAAAACCCTATGCACTTATCTGAGTCACCAAGTATTACAAAGAATAGTGATTTTCCTCAGTTCTTTGTCAAATCTGTTGACTGTAATGGATTCCCTTTGTATTTTTATGCAGCCCAGAGTTTTATACAGGATGATTTAACATTCGTTAAGGCTGAAATATAATAAAGTAAGATGAGACACACTTTCCAACTTGTTATCAGGTTCTTCAAATCGCTTCTTCCATCAAAAAGTTCGGATAAAATATTAATCACTCTAATATATTTTTTTTGTATGAAATTATGTATCTCTACCTCCTGCTGACCTTCCTTTCTCCGCTCAACGAAAGCGGATTATTGCGTTCGGAAATGGTTCTTTTTGTTCAAATATGAGAGGCAAACGAGCTGCACCTACTAGACGTATTATTGAAGAAACCAAATGAAAATGCAAACAGTCCAACGGAGGGGGGACCGAGTTTGTTTCGGTTGACGAGTATTTAACGTCAGATCTGCAACAAGTGTAAAATGAAAGAAATGAATAATTTCTCTGCTTCTGAATCAAAGCGAAGAGTGCACTCTGTCTTCAAGTATGAATCTTGTGGTACGGTGTGGAATCCCGATATGAACAGTGCATTAAATATATATGGTATCTTTGTTTATAAATCAAAACACGACAATGAACGTCCTCCTCCCTTCACAAGACCTGCAAAAGACTAATGGTGCTCTCTGGATTTAATGCGATGTTCATAACGGCATTGCATTCCTTCATGTCTCAGTAAGTATAAAGCGTATAATACATTATTCTTTATTCGTTAGTCTTCTAATTAATAATTTATAAGCTCATTCACTTTCTTACTTCTCTTTTTCTCTTATAAATTCTCTTCTTTATAATATAAGTATTTAATATCAATGTAAATAACTGAGTTATTAAACTGTTCTTTTATATCTCATTTCTTTTGCTTCTTATGGGCTCTCTATCATTTTCTGAATAAGGTGCAAGTCAAAATCCTGTATAAAGAGCAGTCTGAGTGTTAAATAAAAGCGCCTATTCCCCCTAATCCCCCTTTTTCTTTTTCATGGCTTCCCGTCTTTTAAGCAGCACTTCAAGATCTTCTTTAGGCTTTTATAAAAAGGCTATTTCTTCGGTCCTTAAGCGAAATGAATCAACTGTTAGTCCTGGATCAGAGGTATTACATTTAAATTTATAACATGTGTTAAAAGTTACTTACAAACGATTACAGCAAGGATTAGTCCATGGATTTCCAACCATAGTTCAAGAATATTCAAAGGCTTCTACAGGTCTCTGTAAAGTTACAACCCTTCCTAACGGTATACGCATTGCTTCTGAAAACACCCCTGGACACTTTAGCGCAGTAGGAGTATACGTGGATGCTGGCAGTCGATATGAGACTGCGAAAACAAGAGGTGTTAGCCATATTCTGGATAGATTAGCTTTCAAGGTATGAACAACAAATAATACTATTGTTCATTGACTAATCCAATTGCATATAAAGAGCACCAAGAACAGATCAGCTGATGAAGTAGTAGCAGAATTAGAATCTCTAGGCGGCAATATCATGTGCTCTTCTTCTCGTGAGTCCATTATGTACCAGTCTGCTATCTTTTCTCAAGATCTTGGTCGAGTTTTATCTCTTTTTTCGGATGTTGTCTGTCACCCTACGATTGATATGGCCGAAGTTGAGGAACAGCGCCAGACTGCTCTTTATGAAATTGAAGAGATTTGGTCAAAGCCCGATATGATCTTGCCAGAGATTTTACACACAGTTGCATATCAAGGAAACACTCTTGGAAACCCATTACTTTGCCCTCCAGAAAACCTGCAAAAGATGGCTCCAGAACTTATTCATGAATACAGAAATGCATGGTATAGACCTGAGCGTATGGTCATTGCTGCCTGCGGTGCTGAACATGACAAGGTGGTTGACCTTGCTGTCAAGTATTTCGGGGATATTCCTAAATCAGAAGAGAATTTGGATTCAGTCATGACGCATTTGGAAGCTTTAAAGAAGCAAGCAAATAAATCCCAGAGTCAGGACAATAATAGCAGCAAATCCTTTGTGAAGTCGCTGCTCAACACAAAACTAAGTTCAGCTAAATCTCAATCCCTTTTCGATATTGCAACACAACCTGCTCAATATACTGGTGGTACGCAAATGCTGGAAATTGGATATGATACTCCATTGAATCACGTCTATGTTGCATTCGAAGGTGTATCGATTGATGATCCTGATATCTATGCACTTACTACGCTTCAGATCCTTTTGGGCGGAGGTGGCTCCTTCTCTGCAGGCGGACCAGGCAAAGGAATGTACTCCCGTCTCTTCACCAATGTTTTGAACCAACATTATTGGGTCGAATCATGTCAGGCATTCAATCACTGCTACACTGATTCTGGATTGTTTGGAATTTCTGGATCTTGTCAACCCGAATACACAAACGCTCTGTTTGAAGTCATCTGTCGCGAGTTAGATATTGTGGCTAGAGGCGATGTCGGTAGATTGGGCGTTACAGAAATCGAATTGAATCGCGCAAAGAATCAATTGAAGAGCTCCTTATTGATGAATCTGGAAAGTCGAATGGTACAACTGGAAGATCTTGGTAGACAAGTGCAAGTACACGGAAAGAAGACAGGCATCGATGAGATGCTGTCGAATATTGATAAAGTCGACATCAATGAATTAAGAAGAGTAGCCAGCAGGGTTGTCCGAGGCGCTACTAGTGTCACTAGTGGCGGAACTGGTAGAGCCACTGTAGTCGCTCAAGGTAATCTCGCAGGCGTAAGAGACTTCAATAAGATTATAGATAAATATGGACTTGGAAGTGGGAAATAAAGTTTTATAGAACCTTGTGTATATTATTGTAAAAAGGCCCTTTTTTTCTTTCTTTTTCAACAGTCAGTAATTCAACCGGCTGTTATATTAGAATGGATATAATTTATTGACATAGATAGCTTTTTGCCTATCAAAGGCACGCAACTGAGTGATATTATTTTATACGAGCATGAAGAGTAAATTGCTGTATAAATAGTGATGCTATAACAGTAAAAATGGACACGACAACACAGAAATAAAAGGAGTAATGTACGGCAATTTCAAAGGTATCTAATACGATTGCCAATGCTTCTGGAGAAAGAAGGTCTCTAACCTCTGTCATGGATTTTCGGGCAATATCAATAACCTGAAAAAAAAATATTATTGGTCATGCATGGAGGAACATATGCTTGTGTACCTTTTCAGCATCGGGCCCCTTTATTCTCTCCGTCAATATCTTCTTCACTAAGCCTTGAAAAATAGCTGACGTGACTGATACACCTATAACACCGCCTGTTGATCGGAATAGATAAGAAACAGAAGTAATCGTTGCCATTTCTATAAACGTTGTTAGATCTATTTATCGGTACTGCTTCTCTTTTTGTTACCTCCACTGCCCACACAGGAGAGCATAGCTACAAGGGTAGAAGTAATGATAGCTCCAGAAGAAAATCCATCGAGGATTAAGCAGATAATGATGAATGAAAATGATGTATCGTGTGTCCAAGTACTGGTGCCTATCATAGCCAATGCTGCTATAAAGGATGTTACAATGATAAATTTGCGATATTCTCCTGTACGTGCCATCCAAAAACCAGAGGACAGAGATCCAATAGACATAGCCGTCACTTTAGGCAAAAAGAAAAGACCAGCTTGGGAGGGAGTGTAGCCTAGGACGCCTTGGAAGAATAGAGGAGCGGTATAAGTCGTAGCAAAAGACCCCATAATAACAAAGAAGTTGCTCAGGGCACAGGCTAATGGAGTACGGCTTGAAATGATTTGCCATGGCATCAGTGGACTGCGTGCAATGTACTTTTCAACCAAGCAAAAGATAACGCCGAGTACAACAGAAGCAATGAGCAGTCCATATACTAGCGGATCACTCCAGGGACGAGAGTTTCCGCCCATAGAAGTGGCCAGTAGAAAGGAGACAACAGATGATACAATAGCAGATGCGCCCATGTAATCGATGTTTTTGAGCTTTTTGATAAATGACTTTTCTTCTTGTTCCTCCAAGTTGTAGTCCGTAAGTAAATAGATAGCAACATAAAGTGAAACTACTAAAAGAGGCAAGTTGATATAAAAGCAGTATCTCCAACTCAGCTTATCAGTAATCAAGCCACCCAAAGGTGCTCCGACAACAGAACCAAGCTATTCTGCAAGTTAGTTTTTCAAGGCCCAAGCAACATATATCCAATAGCTTACTCCATAAGCAATGTTGGCATAACCCTGGTATTTTCCTCTTTCTCTCAAAGAAACCAAGTCGCTAGTGATCACAGCGGATACAGTATTCATGCCTCCTCCGCCAATCCCGGCAATACCACGGGAGACAACCAGCATCCACAGTGTGGAGGATGCACCACACATGGCAGAGCCAATGAAAAAGACAGCTGTAGCAAACAGCAACGATGTTCTTCTACCAAATGCATCCGAAATACGACCGTCTACAGTTTTAAAAGGTTAAGGCAAGAACAAATATATAGTCTGATGGTTCTGCTTACATAACGGCTGTAGAGCTGTATAACTCAACATATATGCTGTTGCTATCCAAACTACTTCGTTTGATCTAAACGAAAAGCTATTACGAGATTATCGAATAAACTGATCCAATTTACCTTTTAAATTCAGTACCAACTTGTGGGTAGATGGTTGCTACAATAGACGCATCCAATGAAGCCAAGGCAACGCCTACCCATAAACTATTCACGTAAATTAGTTACATACTCAACCCAAAAGTATATTACTATCCCTTTTTACCCTAGAAAAATTGTCCATCGAGGCGCTCCATTCAACCTTCTTTCTAATATCTCTTCAGCACTTGGTGACTTTTGTAAAGGACTGTTGGGGCTTGTGACAACGGTAACTATATCGCCTGTATCATCTTCAAGTATGGGATACTTGCTGTTTCTTATCTCATTCTGATGCTTTAACAATGGAGATCTTTCCGTTGGTTCCACTTCTGTTGTGGTCATAGTGAAGTTGGATATGTTAAAGAGAGAAACAGAAAAAAAAAAGAATAAATGCGTAGATTAAATAAATGCCTTAAAAATTCAGATACAGCACCTTGCACAAGTCACTCGCAGAATGAGCTTATTGTTCATAGTAGCGGATACAAGTATAATTCAAAAGCAACAAACTGTTGCCTTTATTTGAGTTCTTCTTGAATACTTCTTTGGGTGCTTTTGTTATGATAATTAGCTTTAACCATTCCATATAAACGATGTAAGAAATTTATAATGAGTAACAGCTGAGTTAGTTAATCACAAAAAAGATAAGAAGTGGCCCTGAACTGTGAGAACAGACTTGTATTACAAACAGCGACTGCATTGAGTAAGCACGTTGCACAGCGATACTTTACGATGTAAAAAAGTAGTGTTGTCTATAGAAACACCTTTGATATATATATTAGTGTGCTTTTATATTTCATATTCAATCGTATGGCAACAAAATGTATATATGGCTCTCATTAAGCTATGAATGCAGAAGCAATAAAAAAAAAAAGCTAAACATTATATATCGAATGGCGTTTTTATCAATTATAATTACTAAGCAAAATGAAGACAGCGTCTATTTACTATCACATATCTATCACTATTAGACTGGCAAACCAAAAGGTAAATAATACAACCGAGCACTCACACAAGTCTTGTGATCTTACCAAAATACCGCTATATGTATATGTTTATTGATACCCAATCAATTTTTTTAACAATTAAGTAAAAATCCAGCCAAGATGAGCATCAAGACTATCATAAGGGGAAACCTATGAGGCTCAACGGCGTTGGCAGAACTTTTTTGAGCTGCAGCTTGCTTAGGCGAAGGTCTACTGATTGTACTTGGGTTGGCTTTATTAGAAGGTATAGGCGTATTAGTTTGATTTCCTAAGCTTCCATTTGCCAAAGGTTGATATATAAAGTCTTCAAAATATGGATTTGAGATATTCATACATGTAGCTACATTCATTATGTTCTTATAGGCGCTTGATATCCTAGCCAGGTTATTGACGGCCAAGGTCATCGAATCATTACTGATTTCATGAGTCAATACAATGTTTCCTGTATGCTTAAAGGTACCATTGGTTCCCATTTCAATAAAAGCGTCATAATTACTTTGAATCTGTTGCATTGTCGCTGTATCTCCGGCTGCCCAGTCATCAGTGTCAAGGTTCCAAATGACAGCAGTAAGTCCCAGCTGACTAGCAATCCACCGAACACGGTCATCAACGTCACCATAAGGCTAGAAAAATAGGTGAGTTTACAATGTGTTGAAATTCAAATGAAATTTACAGGACGCCAATAGCGAGGGGTCACACCAGTGGCAAGCTTGATGGCCTTTTGCGTATAATAGAATTCCGCAAGCACCTCTTGATTTGTGAGGGTGGTTGTGTACTCATGAGACCAGGTATGGGCACCAATATGATGTCCGTCTTGCATACCTCGCATAGCGCCATATGGCCAATCAATGACATTTGATCCAATATAAAACATGGTTGCCTTATAATCATGTTCTCGAAGATAATCATAGAATGCATTGTGAGAGCAATTAGGCCCGTCATCATAAGTCAGACCCCAAGTCTCGGGTTCACTGCATGCGACAATATCTTCATTGATTCCAGGATGCTTTGGAGTAGTACAGAGCGATGACGACCACCAACAGTCAGGGTCAGAGCTAGGATAGCCTGTGAAATCAAGAGAGCCATCTGGGTTCTTTTTACGAGGCTGAATATTGGGTGCACTATTCCAATCAATCGAATTATAGAGATTGAGGAACTCACTGCTTGATGCCATGCCATTGGTAGTAGCTACTTGCCAAACAGTAGGAAATTCAGAAGCATTAATTCTAATGTATGCAGGATCAGGATTATAGTAAGTGCATTCTACTGAAGGTTCCAGGCTTATTGTTTGCGCAATACTTGGAATGCTAATGTTTGCAGGATTTACTTGTGTTTTGAATGATTGCCAGTAATCAACTTGAGCTGATACTTTAATGGTAGCAACAGTAGCAATTGCGGCTATTATAGTTGCAAGACGAAATACCATGATGACTATTGAAGGTTTATGAAAAGAGAACACGCGTATTTATAGTCGTAAACTTTACGCAAATAAAGTTATTTCTGTTTTGCTTGGCATTAGAACAGTCTGGGTCAGTTACATGACCAAAAAGGGTTAATTATTCCAAAAATAGGTATAAATTTTCTATATTTATTTCTGCACTTTATTCAGAAACTATTAGCTAAAGTCTTAAAAAAAAGACATTAGCCAAGTATCTTCATAAAAGGATAAAATCGTTATAGTCAATTTCATCATAAGTAGTCAATTCATAATACCCCCCTTTTTTTTTTGTTTCCTTGAAAACGTGCACTATTCAATGAGTATGCAACATCGTCGCATTTATCCTATAAACGCTTAATCGTATGAACTTACTCCAAGAAAGAATAATATAAACAGACTGATCACAAAAAGCTTCATTATCATATGCCAATGATAATTTGTCATGATTGATTCAGGTAATACTTTTGTTTACATGTAAAATAACGTTGTTTGTAATAATGAGCTTCCTTTCTTTTTTCATAATAAAGAAGTTATACAAAGATTCATTGACATATATCTGTACTTCTTCTTTGTGTTGCTATGACTATATTACAAGCATGCGCAATGAAGTATGCCAAGAGCTACTCGAAATGAACCGGTGTCACTGTAGATCAGCTAAGCAGCAGATTGAGGTTAGTTGTTGAAGGGAGTGAATAGGGATGTAAAGCCATTAAATGATAATACCAAAAAGGCAAACAAACAGCATAGCATTTTATGTGTGAACCATTACAGTTGTTGGATAATCATATAGGTTCATAATCAAATGGTCACTGTAGTGCGTCTGAAGATTTAGATGTCGCCACTGGGGAGTTTACACGCCAATCATAGACTACCTTTTTAAAATGTGCCATGATTTTCTCAAGCCAGCCCTCACCACAATAGATCACTTAAACACTGTGTTAAAAAGTATGCCATATATACCTCCAACGGAATTTAAGACTGTCATTGCACCAATGGTTCAATTCATGAGGGAGCGTTATCATGTATAATATATGGTATGAATATTTTTATTCTAAATGTATGTTCATTTTTCTGAACACATAATGAAGTTTATTATAAAAAGGGCACTGTTTTAGCTAGTACAAGCTCGAAATAATAAAGAAAAAAATGATAACAACATTCAAGGCCATGTCTTACGAAGTGTAGTAAAACTGTAAGTTATGAATACAATTTGTAAATTATGTGAGAAAACAGATATAATGAATGTTTTCAGTATAATAAAGCGCTAAGGTCGATTTTTCTTGGGTTTCGTTAACTTTGGCTGTCATTGAAAACAAAGAAGAATAGGACTCCTTCACCCAAATCAAATGTCACTACTTTGTCTAATGTAATGGCCCTTGTTCTTTCAATTATTAGACATGATTTATATACAGCGCCCAATATTTGTAAGGGCTATCTAATGTTGAGTTCTGGGTCGTCTGGAAATTGTAAAGGATACATGTGATTAATTTAACAAACCGTGCAAGCTGGGGAATCCATTGTCAGTAATGTGAATGTGGTTTCTATGGACTGGTAACACACAGTCTCTATTTCGCAGATCTTTTCAGGGCAGGAGTTGGCCAAGTTAACAATCATATCTTTCAGGATTTTGGCATTTTAAGTCCTCCATCCATCAGTTGCTCTGTACCATTGAACTGATAGTATCTGCTACATTCTGTCAAACCGTATTCACCTGAATTTCGTTTGAATACCACGATCAACTTGCAACCACAGAGTTTGCATTGAATATTATTTTTACCACCTATTATTCTTCCTAAATTAGTACTGTGCAAATAACAAAACCCAAAAATACTGCATAACAAGGAAACAGATACTTCGGCTTTTGAAGCTTCCAGAGACAAACCTGATGTACAAAAGTTCCAGTCGGACTATTGTAAGTTAATGGTAGAGTCCAAAATAACAATCGACATGTACATTAGAAAAGGCTGTTATCAAGCAAAGCAGCAAGTCTGTAAAGAGCAATAAGTACAACCGAGCTTTTTAGAAAGCACCTGAAAAAGTACTGAAGAGGGGCTGGGTTAAAGGAACTTGGATCGCTTTTCGCGATAGCAAATCGAAGCTGGCACCTCCTTCTCCAAATCTGGTGACTTAATAAAATACAGTGCTTACGGTCTCAGTTGGCGGATATACCAAATCCAAATAGCGTTTTTTTTCTTTTTTCCTTCAATTGTCGTATTGGTTCAATTTATCTTTATATAGATTCTTTATTTAAACACTTAGAAAAAACGTTAACAGAATGTTGAATACAGTTTTGAAGGGCGTTTACAGGCACACTGTTGCGCGCCTCAGCGATTTTGGTATGAAGGTCTTCAGTAGCATCAAATTAGCTACGTTTTACTCTGTTTTTGACAATAGCCCAAAATTGGTCAATGGGATTCAATTTAGGTGAGTAAGGAGGCAGATAAATACATCTATATCCTCTACTACTAATTAAAGAGCTAATTTCTTCGTGAGTATGAATAGGCGCATCATCCATAACAAGGTAAACGCCTTTCATTTCTGGGAAATTATCCAGTTGATTTAATGTTCCTCCTCAAAAGCTCAAGGTAATGGCCTGTTCTTATCCCCGCCTTGCTGGATTTTGTTTTTGTACTCGTAGTTTTTCTTTTGCGAGCCCCAGAAACTTTTACCTTTTTTCTCATCTGAACGGTTCTGACTTCAATGTTGACAACACTTACAGATGAAATTGCCCCTAAGATGGTATGTGATTCGACTCTGGTAAAAGGTGTCTCAACAACAGCAGGCGTGTTACGGATAGATCTACCACGGGATGATCTCATATTTATATCAAAAGCGGATTCATCAATAAAGACGCAGTTTTTAATATAATCCATATCCGTAGCCATCTATTTAACAATTCATGTATATCTGTTGTTAATACGAGTGGTATCATTTCGAACTACAGGCTGACGTGAAAGTTTTTTCATTGACAAATTACATTCATGAAGAATAAACTTGTTAACTGCACTTCTTTTTAAGCTAAAGCCTTCAAATGCATGAATGAGGCTTTCGATATCTTCATCTGTTGTGGCGAATGGCTTTTCGTCATACAAACTGATGATATGACTTTTTTGTTCGTTTTGAAGCTGACTACGTGGGCGATTAATTTTGTTGGTCTGCTTTTCATATATATTCCAATCAGGATCGACTTTCAAATTTTTAGCCCAAGTTTGTGCTGTTCGTCCAGATATACCAGCAAGTCTTCTTGACTTTGCTGCTGAGAAAAATTTGATTTTCAAATTGTATAAAAAGAGGGTTTTCTGGTCTTCCGTGTAGTTATTGTAGCTATTTTCTGCGAGCAGTTTTTTAGCCTTTGTTTTCTCAACTTTCTGAATAATAACTGACATTCGATTTTCCAAATTTTCATCATCAGGGTTCTAATTCTATAGGAGTAGGATGCAGTTCCTTATAGTTGGCGAAACGGAGACGGATGATGTGG